AAGCCACAACAAAACGCTTTTGAAGCAGCTAAGGAATTGGCAACTTCAGCACGGGTATTGGTTCATTACGATCCTCAAAGACCCCTCATCCTTTGCTGTGATGCGTCTCACAATGTAGTTGGAGATGTTAGTAATGAATGCTCGGTCGGTTACACATTGCGTACCCTCTCAATAGCTGAGAAAAATACTCACACTTGGAGATGGTCTATCGATAGTTTTTAGTATGAGAAAAATCATCAGTACCTATATGGACACCCTTTCACACTGTACACAATATTAAAAAACACTATTCGGTCTGCTTAAGGGAGATGGGAGAGTGTCAGAGCTCTCCGCAGAACGCATTCAACGGTAGGCATTGACATTTGCGGCGTACGAGTACACCTTGGTCTGGCGCAAGGGAATTACGCGGACGGCCTGAGCCGATTACCAATTATTGAACCACCTGTTCTAGGGGAGATAATCCAGGTAATGGAACAGATTGAGACACGACGGTCAACGAACGCGTTCCATATAAAGCTATGGACAGGACTCTGTTTTTGGCAAAGTCCTAAACTTGGTCAAATCCGGTTGGCCAGCTAAAAGCCCAGATGAATTACTCACCCTATTTCAAGGAGCGGACTGAGATTAGTATCCAGAATGTATGTTAACTCAGGGAAAATCGCATAGTCATACCTCTGAAAGGCCAAGCCGCCATGCTCCAAATTCTGCATGAGAGTCGTTCTGGAGACAACAGGATAAAAAGTATCGCAAAGGGATATGTGCGATGGCCAGGACTAGATGCAGACCTTGAGGAGACCACTAAAATCGACTGGGATGACTCCCTGTGAACTGCTGATGGGAAGGTGGATCCGGACAAAACTTGATTTTGTACGGCAAGACTTACGGCGAAAAGTTACAATTATCTTCTGTGGCAATGGTCTTAAATATTTTTGCGTCCTCGGTGAACAGGAATATAGATGATTTTACAGTATCCGGAAGTTCATTCACAAAGATAAAATAGTATGGGACCAAGAACTGAGCCTTTTTCGGAATTCCCGACAACACATTTATCCATTCTGAGAGCTTGCTATTAACAGTTACCCGTTGTTCTGTTGATTTTAGAAAGCCGTTTATCCACTCCATTATCCAGTAAGAAAATCTTCAAGCCTTTCGTTTATTTAATAGTCTGTTGTGGGGTACTTTATCAAATGCATTCTTGTAATCTAGGTAGATACAATCTACGGATAGTCCATGTCTAATGCTTCTGTCAATTTTTCCATTACCTCCAGCATTTGTAAAGATATATATCTCCCTGGTAAAAATCATGGAGTAAACATATCATTGGTCTCCATGTACGATGTTTTATGATCTCGCACTAGCTTCTCCATTTTTGCATACAAATGATGTTAAGATTCACAGGTCTGTAATTTCCTGTCTCGCTCTTGTCGCTATATTTGTGGAAAGCACTGCTCTGCGCTCTTTTCCAGTCATCTGGTATTTGCTCTCCACGTTAGGATTGGTTGAAGACAACCATTAGTGGTGGTGCTATAGATGTTGCTATCTCTTTCAGTACTCTTGGATGTACACCATCAATACCTGGGATCTTGTCTATTTACAATTTTTGCACTTAATCACTTGTTCTTCTTTTATTTCCAGTTTGGTCACCTCCAATTTCACTTCCCTTTGTTCCAGTTCCTGTAAACAACCTTCACTTTCTTTTACAAAGAAACTTTGGAAAACGTTGGTCAGAATGCTTGTTTTCTTTTTATCATCACTAGACTTTTCTGGACCTTTGTCACGTTGGTTCTTGTAGAGATATTCAATTCCTGTTTTCAGTTTGGATTTCGATGTATCTCCAAACAGCTTCGGAATGACTTTGGGCTTGGCTGAAGATCATTTTCAAATGTTTTCCTCATTTTTGCTTGTTTTTCTCTTCAATTGATTCCTTATACGCCCGTGTTCCTTTTGTATCTTGTTTGCATCGTCTATTTTGCATGTGAGTGTTCTTTCATTATCAGTCCAAGTGGTTTTTTTTTCTGTCCACAGGATAATCGCCAACTGAATGTCTGTTATTGGTCATACTCTTAGCAGGAATATATTTTTGGAAAAAAAATTTGTTGACTGAATTTGTTTTGACTTTCTCTTCCCATTCCTCATTTCTGATTTCTAAATTCTCTGCTTCAAAGTTAATTTTGTTGTATAATCTCATTTTTGCATTTGTTGTTTACCCTGGTGTAACAGTTTAAAGTCCTACATATCAAACTAGGGCCCCTTTTTCCTAATGGACTTTGTAGTTCCATATCTGAGATCATAGTGTCTTCATTGGCAAACACTAGGTAGGTCTAACACATGTGGTGTGTCTCCTCCTCTCCACCTAGTAGGCTTGGATACATGTTAACATAAAAAGTGACGCATTCTATAAGTTTAAACTCCTCAGTATTTTTACTTTTCGTATTTAACATGTCCCAAATTATTTCTGGATAACTGAAGTTTCCCATTAGGGGAAGATCCGGGTACTTTGACTCTGATACTTCCTCAAGGACACTACGTAGTTTCTGGTTATTTTCACGTAAACCAATGTCTTGTCTGTACATCAGTCCTATCAGCAGAGAGTCTCTGTTGTCTATTTTGACTTCAACAAATAAGTATTCTCTAAAGTCAGAATGGATTTCCGTTGATCTGCACTAATGCTATCATTGATTTATAACATTAATCCTCTACCGATATTATTATCAATAATTTACCCAGTGTCTTTTGTATCCTTACATTGAGAATTCCGCTTGATTCAGTTTAAGCCTTCAGTTTTCGGTTTTACTTCTGTGATCCCAACCACATCTGGTTTCATTTGATTCATTCTGATACTATATTCAGATACTTAATTTGTTAGATGGTCAGCGTTCGTATAAACACATTTCAAACTCAAGTTTGATGTGCTTGAACGACTCTTCCGTCTTTCCTATATCCTCAAATGTAGCAAGTATGTGCCTCTTGCCCACAGGAGTCCCATTCTCGGACCTACTTATAGGTTTCTTAAACTTTCCTATTCTCCTTTCTTTTTGTATGGATCCTGTCTTAAATTTACATGTTCTTATTATCTCTCCCACCATACCAGTGTCATGCTTCATCCTTTCTGTTGTTATTTCTGCGATCAGCTCTTCTACTCCAAAGGTTATTATATTTGATTCTCTTTGATTCCTCTCATTTATCTCGGAGACAACAGTGTTTGTAATCTCTTCTCCTCCAATAGCTCCATCCTCTCCTGTCTTAGGCATATTTGCTTGATCCTCACTAATTTCCCTGAAACGTTTCTCATCATACAAGACCCCTTCCAGATGGGATATCCTCTCACCATAAGCACTAATTTACGTCGCTCCTCAATTTTGCGATCTGTAACATAACATCCTCTTAACAATGTCCGCAACACTACATTTAATCAGAGTGTGATCAGATCCCGTACTCTCTGTTACGACTAATTGATACATTTTATGCGGTAGTGCAACCTATACCTCGGACACCTGCAACAAGCGACAACGAGGAGAAAGGATGGAAATGTGAGGTCTTAAACTATTTAGCGATCCAAAACAAAAATCATGGAATACCAGAGGTGTAGCTTGCTACATAAATTGCGTTCAGAATTAAGAAGCTACTTGGAACATCAATCTTACTTGTGTAGTTTCCTCACGTTACAACGATTTTGATTTTTTTTTGTTGACATGTTAGTTTTTTTTTTTTTTTTTGTGTGTTTCAGAGAGGATCTTGTACCAGATATTTACAGTAACATCTATCTCCCCATGTATATTGTAGAAAATATTTCGAATACATAAATAGACTAAAAATTTCTGGAATAAAACCCGAAAAGCCACCACATCCACAAAAAAACCCCAAACAAACAAAACACACACACAAAAACAAGAGGCCCATAGGCCTTAACGGTCATCTGACATAAAATACAAAATTTCAAATTTTGAACTGAAGAAGTCGAAAATGTGATTTCAAGATGGCGGCCATGTTGGATTTCGGACCAACCCGAAATTCACAAACTTTGGTCAGGATCATGTCACGATCATTTCAGGTAAGTTTCAGCTCAATGAGACATGTAGAACTTGAGAAGAAGTTGGAAATGTTTACGACGGACGACGCTGGACAAAATGTGATCGTTTAATGCCCCACAAAGCTTGCTATCAGGGATGACCTTGACTGCTCGACAATGTCACAAGGTCATGTTGGTCAAAAGGCCAAGAATCATGATATTCTTCTTTAAGTCTATCAAAGTTTGTAAAAGCAAATGACCTATATCCCATATCACATAGGCCAAGCTTGATAAAATACTCCAATTACTTCTTGTTAATAGTTAAAGACCTCAAATAACAACATTAGCCAAAAGATTCCCAAGATGCCATCTGGCAAAATTGGTAAATAGTGAAAATGGTGAATCACATTTAATGTTAGAAGGGTCAAATTTATTGTAATTTATCTGTAATGAAATTTGTTGATTAATCCAAAAGAGTTTTTCACAGGAAAGGGTTTAAAAATTATTTGTAGCATTAAATATACACCATACCAGTTTCGCCATGACAGATTCATCAGTAGTGGTAATATTGATCTCTGAGTTTATGTATTCTAAGCTTTGAAGTTTGTTTAAAAAAATTTGATTTTATCCACTTTTAAGGTCAGTGATGAGAGATGTATAAGTATCACAAAATGCTATGACTAAAATGTGGGTCAATTTGGCCTTATTTGTCTGGTGTAAAACAGGCCTTATGAATCCTTTCACACAGCTGTCTCATTTCACCAGGTCTCTATTAATAAACATTTCTTTACCCCTGTTTCTGTTACTTTTCTATAATCAGGGTGTGAATTTACTAAATTAATCAAAAGCACATTGTGTGAAAGTACTTATTTCTGAAAGAATAACAAAGGTAACACAGAATTCTGATGGAATTAGCACGATTTTTAAATGCATCAAAAGCACATTGTGTGAAAGTACTTATTTCTGAAAGAATAACAAATGTAACACAGAATTCTGATGGAATTAGCACGATTTTATTAATGGAATGTTTTAACATAACATATTGCATAGAACCAGAGCCACACTTATTCAACAACAGAATGGCAACTACCGGATATTACCCAGCTACTGTGACTCTAAAAGTTACACAGAGAGCTTCCATCACAAAAAAATACATCTTTAAAACAAACGGGTCTTGCCATTTTAAAGAATTTCCCCAACACATACATCGGTGTCCAAAAAAAAGGACACAATACATTGTAAATATTTTTTTTCAATTGTATTACATGTAATTCCGCATAAACATTAAAGAATATATGTATATGAATGAGAATCATGAAAGAAATAAAATTCTTAATTGCCACAAAGCTATCTTTGTTTAAAAAGTTTCTCTGTATGCCTGTCTCTTGGCTGTGTATGACGGGGAAATCCCTAAGTGTTGAGGATATTGATGTGGCACTGGTACAAATTTATATCCTGTGTATCAAGCAGGCAATTACATATTATGGAGATATAATGACACTGTGGCTACAGTTGATATTGGGACAAGTGTAGAGGTACTGATCGACTGTCAATACAGTGTAGGAGATACAGACTGACTGTCAATATAGTGTAGGAGGTACAGACAGACTGTCAATACAGTGTAGGAGGTACAGACTGTCAATACAGTGTAGAGGTACTGATCGACTGTCAATACAGTGTAGAGGTACTGATCGACTGTCAATATAGTGTAGGAGGTACAGACAGACTGTCAATACAGTGTAGGAGGTACAGACTGTCAATACAGTGTAGAGGTACTGATCGACTGTCAATATAGTGTAGGAGGTACAGACAGACTGTCAATACAGTGTAGGAGGTACAGACTGTCAATACAGTGTAGGAGGTACAGACTGACTGTCAATATAGTGTAGGAGGTACAGACAGACTGTCAATACAGTGTAGGAGGTACAGACTGTCAATACAGTGTAGGAGGTACAGACAGACTGTCAATACAGTGTAGGAGGTACAGACAGACTGTCAATACAGTGTAGGAGGTACAGACAGACTGTAAATACAGTGTAGGAGGTACAGACAGACTGTCAATACAGTGTAGGAGGTACAGACAGATTGTCAATATAGTATAGGAGGTACAGACAGACTGTTCCTACACTGTTCCTAGTACTGACAAATTGCCCCAAAGCTGACTTGACGACATATAATATAGACATATATTGTATACACAGATGATAGGCCAAGTCATGGTGAATATACTATTATATCTAAATGATACAGAATGTTGAGTCAAACTGAAGAACAATCCCTCTTGTAAAACCTTTAGTACATTGGTTGCCCCTGATTTTCTACTAATGTACCAGTGATGCTGTGTCTCCTTGTACAAGGGTACCTCACTAAACAAAATATTGAGGCCTGTCACTTGCAATCCAGAGAAATTGGGGTAAAGCGTCTTATTCAAGGACTCATCCTTGTTAGCACAAGGTGATTTCTTTGTCAGCGTCATGAAAAACACAAACCAACATGGGTAGAGAGAGTGGAACCAGACACCTCACATCCTCATCTGAGGTAACATATAACTCTGATGACTGAGGCCATCCAGTTCCACCTTCGTGTAACTTTCTCTCACTCCAATGAACAGTAATAGTTACAATAAAACACATTTCACCACCTGTAAATTAGAATTACTCATTTACAAAGTCTGCCCAATTACGCGTATATAACAACCTGACTTAAAGGTAACCGTTCCAAAAAGATTACCTGTCTATAAAGACCACCTGCCTATAAAGACCACATGTCTATGAAGACCACCTGCCTCAATTACAATATAAATATCCAGTAGGCACATTCAACACTGAAAATCTGTCCATTACAACAACCTGTTTGTTCCCTGGCTGAGGTGCAGTTTCCCTGTTACTGACAATGCCATGTGTTTTATTTATAGAAACAATTTTTTTTTAAATAATGTATATAATCAGACCCCAACAACTGTACATTTTGACCTTCTATAAACATATAGCGAAAATAGAACTAATTATCATAGATAAAACTGTTGTGATGTTCAAGGACATGAATGAATCATTTAGAGACAAATCCAATTGTACAATTGAAATATTTCATGTAAAGGTCAAAATATATGGTTATTGTCATCTGATTACCCTAATGAGTAAATCAGTTGTTGTGAAAACATACAACTAATTATGAACATAATTTTATATAAATATGCGTATATTTGAGTACATTTATATAGACATCTAGAGTGATAATCATGAGCAGAGTTGTAAATGCGAAAGATCTAAGGTTTCTCAATTTTTGGGGGAAATTTCTTTGATCCCAAAAATGTCCTAAATCAATCTAGAGATACGAGCCATCAATTAATGTTATCTCTTTTCCACTTTTTGCTATTACTAAGAATATAATGATATTCTGAAATGTAACAGTATCTTGAAAAAAAAACTAATGGAGAAAATCATGGTTCATTACATAATATCTGTGAAGAAACCCAATCTCATTCTTTTGTTAAAACAGAAAATTTGAATCAATGAAATAACATTGACTCAAATATTCACTGTATCTCAAAATATTGCTTTCCTACAGCTAACAACATGAGGTACGAAGCATCAGGAAGGATGAGTTTGTACAAAAATGTTTCACATGATGACAGAATATATAATGTATACTGTATATCTACACTTATTTCCATCAAAAAATTTTTACAAACAAAAACATGAAACACATATATCGGAAAAATAAACTTTATATGAATGGCAGATCTGTGATCTGTGACAAATTCTCCCTATCTGGGGTCCTCTGTTCTCTGGTTAATATCTCTCTCAAATCAATTATACAGAAATGTCTCTGACACTGGGCTACACATGTCTCCCTCACAGTACAGCCATGGCCCCTATTCCGCTTAGCCTCGTCTTCCTAATAATACGGTCACCCTCTTGACACTAGGCCTTCTGTAAAGCAACATTCCAACTCTCAAGTCATTCACCTGGTAATGAGTTCTGATTTTTCTCACTCAGCAAGCCAAAAATCTATGGCTACAAACAGTTTTGAAAGCTAATGTCAAAAAAACACGCTCAATTAAAAATCAGGCCAACAAGCCATGTCCCAAAACAAAATGTTCAGCTGATTATCAGAACACTTGCACACATTCATACAAACAAGGCTTACCAGGTAATGCCTTCTATAACAGAGACTAGCTTACAACAGGCTTAACCCACAGTCATCCAAATTACACACGCTTCGGCGCCACAAATCCTGTCCTGTGCTCAGCGACCAGAGATAACACAAAATCACAACATGCCATTAAAATTGCACCATCATATGGCAACACCATACCATCTGAATTGTACCATTTCAAAGATATCTCTTATGTACTTCAAACTATATTTTTATATATCAAAACAAGAAACAAGACCAAAATTCCCCACTTAAAGATGTACTTGTATACATGTATGTGGGGAAAGCTTGGGATCTATGTGGATGTGAGTTGTAACACTTCAATAAATACCAGAATTGCATCTACTACATCACTTCTAGAAACATTCACCATCCAACCAACCTTTTATGTGATAAGTTGTTGTTCGTGAACAAAACCACCTTAATATCAGAGACGGTTTAAAAATATGGTTATCTCAGGAAATAAATTTGCATTGAATCTTTGGTTTAACTGGGGAAAAAAATCTGTCAAGATATATCTCTTATCAACTAAAGGCCTGTATCTATTTCTAAGAAACTCCTCAGTTCTAACATATTTTCCCCGCTGATAACTGTTACATTTTTGTGTCTAAACTGTCCTTCATAATCCAGAGTTATCTGCCCTTGAGAGTAGATATTGATTTTTACATCATTTGTTTGTGAGAGTAGAGTGAGTAAAAATGTTCATTTTCTCATGCAAAGTAAGGATGTAACTATTAATATGATCACAAGAGCAGATAACTCTGAATTTAGAACATACAGAGTTACTCCCTTCGACATGTTCCATTTTATTTAGGTATCTATTATTTGTGTCTACAGGATGGAGGAGATCACTTTAAATCTGAAATAGGATAAGTTTTTTCATATTGAAACACCAATAATTCAGGTATGTTTATCAGGCCGTAAGTTCCAGGCTCGTAGTAGGTCGACGAAGAAAACAAAGGTAAAAAACATTGAAACTATTGTCCAGAGTAAGAATATACAAGTTTTCTATATTTAAAGACCAAAAGTATCAAAGCACATGGTGTATAAAGTATTCAATGCTTTAGGCATTTTCTGCAAGTTTATCACTTTAAAGCTCCATCTGAATCATTTGAATTGAAATCTAATCAAATTCAGCATAAATTTCATAACTATTTAAATAGAAAAAAATATATATATATACAGATGGGATTAAAACAATCCATTCTGCACACATAACATACCCATTTTCTTATTCAAGTTTTAATAAGTTTAATTAAAATTTTGATTCAATGTAAACAAATTTTATATCATTTATATTCTGTACAACTCCCTTATTTGTCTTTTCTATTTCAGAGTCTGTTCAAACCTTTGGTAACATAAGGAAATTCACGATTCTCCCAAAATTGCTAACAAGGTATTTGAACAATGTACGTTAACAGCACATGACGACTAAAACAAGATGTGAGGGGTTGGGGCCTCATAAAATTTAATTGTTAAACATGATTGTAAAGAACTAAGCTTCCTAAAAAAATATCTGACTATACAGTTTGTGTCTTTTATGTTTCACTTTTGATTTTCTTCTTCCTTTACTAGATTCCTAAATCAACAATATGTACATAAAGCTTGTGAAATATCGCCACATGGAGTTGATAAGTTTTCTTAATTTAAAAAATCAGTGAAATAAAAAGTCAAAGTCAGTGATAAATTAAGCATTAACTTTGGCTTACAAGTTGACTTGGCTCTTTCTTTCAAAGAAGGATCTTTGGGAATTTTTTGTTTACAAAACAGAAATCAGAAATCTGTTTTGGAAGACACTTGGGTTTTCTGAAAACGACTAATTAAATGGCACAATTGAATTTTATCTCTATAAATAGTTACAATTATCTACAATTTTTAGTCAATTTATGAATTAAATATCATATACCCTCATCATTCTTAAAGAAAACACGTAGCCAACTGTAGATTTTAAAACTCAAATCTCAAAAAATACTTTAACTCACAGCATGGTGTGTTGTTTAAGAATCTGTGTTGAATCTCAGTAGAACAGAAAAAGATTTTAAAAATGAATATATCTAAATACTTAATCATCAAAAACAAAAGTTCAGAGATTCCAGATTTTCATGCAATTAGGAAAAAAATGTAACAGTAACTTCTATGGGGAGAAAAGGTTTTTGATTAAAGTTGTAATCCAAAAAGAATTCTTTAACCTTTAATATTACCGGGTACATTAAGATCTATAGTCCTATACAGCTCTCAGTACAAAGATACATAAAGTTAATATAAACACATATACAGTAAACATAAACAGGTGATATGATCAGTAGTAAACAAATCACAAAAATGACTAAATAAACATATTCATCTTCATAATGTTGAGAACTGTTTCCATAGCAACAAAACCTCAACACTATTTATAAATCAAAATCATACCAATGTCAGATTCAAGACAGCATATCTATTCAGATCAAAGTATAAACAAGGATAAAAATATGTCAAAATAAAACAAACAGATCAATTTCCATTCTCCAGGAGAAGACACCATCATCATAGCAGCCCAAGGGGAGATTATCCATCTCATGGATTTTAGAAGGGGTGACAACCCACATCATAGCAATAAGCCAACAAGCAATTGCCTGTCACAGTTTGTTTTAAAACCACCATAATTATTTATCTGATTATAGCTTTTTTTTATAAAAGAAAAACTGTTTTTACGGAAATGATGGAATTCCCTCCCCCTAGGCAACTTATCTATATTAAATGCATAAAATTATATCATTAATTATTCATTTCAAAAAACAAAGCACTCTAGCTGACCTTTGACCTAATGGAGAAAAAGTCATGATATGTATGTAGTCTCACACTCAGGAACTTGTTACAGAATATCACAAAGTTCACATTATCTTCTGTTACTCTCTTCCACACATCTGTTGCCATAGCAACAACTTACATCACAGTCACATTCAAAACTAATTATTTCCTCAACAGATAAGAGAAGTTGGAATCTTAATAATGAGCACAGCTAAATAGTTTACCTCCCTGTAAGTCAGGAACCTTGGTAATCCAACACATCTGACCTATGACCTTGAAATATCAAGAAAACCACTGTCCTACTTAAACAGTGATATTTCTCTGTGTCTTTGATATTGTTTGCAGTTCACAGCGATCTATTCAGCAGTTATCCTGTGTCCTGACTAGCAAGGTTCCTTCCTACTGATTCCTATATGTTCAATAGGGACTGTATATTATGCTAAAGGCGCTGAGCATGGTGCTTCAGGACCTGATAATTTAATCTCAGGATGACAAGGAATGTCCAACTCCAAATCTCCAACGTCCAACTTCCACTGATCGAAAAATGTCCAATCATCTCTGGTCCAAAGCCACTAGTTGCCAATCAGACGGTGGAATGATTTTATGTTTTGAAGGCTGATGATGAAACAGAGTCATTAAATCTTGTCAGTATGGACATTTCTGACGATAGGCAATATTGGATTTTTTGAAGATTTCCATGACCACATCACGCCATGACCAGAGGTTCATCGTCAGAGAATCCCTGTATCATCGGGGAATCTTCGTCTTCACCTGTAAATCATTACAAATAAGGTCAGGTCACTTCAGCAAACAAAATATTATTAAATACAAAACGCTGCAAATTTTCCAAACATTTTCTGATTTCATTTCTAGAAGCATTTTTTTCTCTTCCACTAATTTTGGGTTTAACTACAATATAGAAAAATTCAGCATCAAAGCAACAAAAATTTCAACATTTTTTTCAAATAACAGGGGCAGTACTCAAAGACCAGAAAAAGATCAATTTGGCACTTTAACTGTACATAATACAGTATTACACACCAAGCTCATTGGCTGAAGAGAATGTTGTCGTCCCTGAGCGTGTGTCGTAATGGCTGTTTGCAAAGGACAGGAAGCTGCGTTGTAGACGATGATGGCGGACGATGAAAACAGCAAGAACAACAACAAGGGCAACGACAATCACTGCCACCACGACAAATATCCCGATCAGATTATTTTTAGAGAGTGAGACAGTGGCCTGGTTCTCTGGGAGATGGAGTATTTCTGAAACAGTCACATAACAACAATGGTAAGGTCACATGATCAGCTCTTGATGTATGACTAATCACATGATCTAAAAACATACTAATGATCATACAATCAAATTTCCAAATGTGACCAAATAGTAATAAAAATTTCTTTCTAAAACTAGAAGTCACATCATAAAACCCACACTTCTTCAAAGTATACAGTCAGTCAAGAAAATATGTATCTACACCCACCTGATGCTGCCACCTGAACGGGCTCTGTGAATTCTCCGGGGTAGTGATTAACTGCTGCATAACGTACTTTGAAGGAGTACTCGTACGTGCTATCCAGCGCAATTTCCATGTGAGTAGCCGTTGTTGTCTGGTGGAATGTATAGTTGTCCTTCTGACTCGAATCTATACGATGATATCGACTGTAGTACACGTCATATCCCTGTAATAAAGTCATACAGACAGGTAACATGTAATAATCACACACGTATTACATACATACATCAGCAATATATAGGTATACAGAAAGATATACATAGGGAAACATAGGATAATATATAGGTATAAAATACATACAGGTGATTTACATACGTCCAGCTACATAAAAGTGTACAATATGATACAAACACCAAGAGTAAAATATTGAAAGGGGATACACTGATCCTTGTCCAATGTTGTCGCTTTACATCCAATCTGGGATAGTAATCCTACAAACCTGGAAATGTTCATCAGAAGGACTATCTTCGGCCACCTCCCAAACCAGGTCTACTTTACCACTGTTTTCAATGACAGCGTGGAACTTCTCTGGGGCTGCGAAGCGGGCTGGAAAAGATCCCAAAGAATCAACAGATGTGAAAAAAAAAAAAAAAAAAACCACAACATGTACAGACAGTCCCAGCAAAATAAATCAATTACATTCAATTAAAAAGATTATTTATAAACTTACGAATACTGATGATCTACGGTTCTGAGCTCCTGGCATTTAAAAAATTATAGTCAATTTAAAAATCATTTATAAACTTACGAACACTGATGATATATGGCTCTGAGCTCCTTGCATTTAAGAAATTGGAGCGGATGGTTAAGTTGAAGGTGGCACCACGCTTTAGGTTTGTCAGGTTCATAGATGTTGACTTTGTTAGGAAGGCATTGAAAATACTGGTATTGACCTCAGAGATGTACACAGTGTAGTTCTGTTGACAACAAGATACATCAAGTATGTTATTACTTCATAAAACTTGCCCCCCACACAGTGTAGTAGTTCTGTTGACAACAAGATACATCAGTTGTGTTTATTGGTTCATAAAACTTGCCCCCCCACACAGTGTAGTTCTGTTGACAAGATATATCAGTTGTGTTATCGGTTCATAAAACTCGCCCCCCACACAGTGTAGTTCTGTTGACAAGATACATCAGTTGTGTTACTGGTTCATAAAACTTGCCCCCCACACAGTGTAGCTCTGTTGACAAGATATATCAGTTGTGTTATTGGTTCATAAAACTTGCCCCCCACACAGTGTAGTTCTGTTGACAACAAGATACACATTGTGTTATTGGTGCCCCCCACACAGTGTAGTTCTGTTGACAACAAGATATATCAGTTGTGTTTATTGGTTCATAAAACTTGCCCCCCACACAGTGTAGTTCTGTTGACAACAAGATACATCAGTTGTGTTATTGGTTCATAAAACTTGCCCCCCACACAGTGTAGTTCTGTTGACAACAAGATATATCAGTTGTGTTTATTGGTTCATAAAACTTGCCCCCCACACAGTGTAGTTCTGTTGACAACAAGATACATCAGTTGTGTTATTGGTTCATAAAACTTGCCCCCTACACAGTGTAGTTCTGTTGACAAGATACGTCAATTCTGTTATGGTTTACAAAACTTGTCCCCCAAATAGTGTAGTCCTGTTGACAACCAGAAACATAAATTTTTTTTTCATGTTCATTAACTCGCTCCCCACACAGTGTTGTAGTTCTGTCTACAACAAGATACATCAATTCTGTTATGGTTTACAAAACTTGTCCCCGAAAGAGTGTAGTTATGTCGGCAACAAAACACCTCAGTTATCATACAGGATCATAAAACTTGCCGATTCCCCACCATTGTATACCCTTTATTAGTTCTTCATCAACTGGATCTTTTTCCTTCTTTTCTTTTGAACTGGCTCCAAAATCAAACTATACAAGACCAGGGACTAAGGGAAAACTAAAAGTGAACTTAGAGAATGTCCCATTCAGTACTGCTGTGAAGGAAGGACATAAATGTATAACTATTGAATCCTCCGGTTCCTAGTGGGGGGGCCTAATTAAAATAAACTTACATCTGGTACATTGCTATTGATGCATGGTGGGTCCCACAGAAGTGTGCCCTTGGTCATCGTTTTGTGATCCAGTTTGAAGTCAGTATTCTTTGGAGGCGCATTTTCATCTACCAATAAAGAACAGAGAGGATACATATTCGTGTAATTCAAATGTTCTCAAAATTAAAAAGAAAGATTATGAAAAAAGAAGAGTATCAGTGAATCTGATGATGTTCCCCCCTCTCAAAAAAAAAAAAAAAACCCTTATTGGACATAAATTTTAACAAAGTGCAATAATTCTGTAGTGAAGGGATTTCAAGCAATGAATTTAGAACATCTAAGTATGATCACTGTATTCTTCAAGTTTCATTATCCTTGTTTAAATGAAAGCCATGTTATACTACAGACACAAAATTTTAGAAAAGGGCACGAACTCTGTAATTACAGGTTTGCAAGCCCTAAATTTGGTACACTGTAACACAAATGTATACACCAAGCTTCATTATCCTAGCTTAAATGAAAGCAAACTTATGCTCCGGACACAGATTTTTACCAAAGGGCTGTAACTCTGTATTTCAGGGCCACAGACCCTAAATTTGGTACACTGCACATCACCTCAGTATGACCAATGTATACACCAAGTTTCATGATCTTTGCTAAACTGTAGGCAAAGTTATGCTTCGCACAGGAAAAGGCAGGTGGAAAGATGGACAGACAAAGTGGTGACTATATGCGTCCCCAAAACTTTTAGGGGAACATGAAGATATTACGAAATATCATATTGTAAATTTGAGTTGGTTGTAAAAGATCTTAAATGATCTTTTACTGGTAATTAATGTAATTTTTACTGGTCTTGTGGGTCTCATTACAGACAGTGTTTGACAGTAATAAGTTAGTATTAATCTTCCTATGAAAGCAAAGGACATATACAGGCGTTTGTAGTGGTTCACAACATATATAAAATGTTAAAGCTACATACAAATGTACATACCTTCCGCAGTAATAAAAGAAGAAAGTTTGGCTGGCATGCATGTCCCTGGAGACAGCAGGCCTACTCTGTAGAAATATGTCTCACAGGCCCTCAGTGACTGTAGTGTATATGACCTGCTTCCTGTCACCTTCACAGAGTGTGCGTGTTTCTCAATCTTTTTCGGCTCCATGTCTACCGGTGAGTAGTCGTAGTACAGGATGTAAGTCTGTTGGCAAAAACATTTACTGATATCATCCAATTCAACAGGTCTGTATCTCTAGGATCTGTCTGATTCACTTCTGTTCTCTAAGTTTTACCAACAAATTAATATATCTTTAATATAGTAATATATATTTATACTTCTATTAATGGAGTTTTTGTCTATAAAGGTCTTTGATAATTACCATGCTAAGAGTGAAAACAAAAAAGTGAATTTGTGTAACTCATGTACAAGACAATGTCATCAAAATTCTGTCACTATATCTTTGCATTTCTCTTACAATATGTTCACAAGGCCAACACATTACCTCTGCCTCAAAGTAAGGGGGTGGGCTTATTAAGAGACAATAAAACAGCAATTAATGGTTATTCTACTGTTGATGGGTTTATTTCTGGGTAAATGTTACATGAAATATGATAAATGTCACTTGACACCGAAGCTACTCCACCTTTTGAGATTATACATACCACATCGGGTGTGGGGTATTTCTGGGATTCCCACATTATGTGATACTGTCCAGGGTTGGTGGTCTCCCAGGAGATATTTGTGGGAGCAAAGGATTGGTAAGACTGTGGAACTAATGAAGAAAGTATCAAATTAAACATAAATTTAAGATGTTTGTGCTGTAAGGGTAGAAATGTTAGCCGCCGTCAAATTTTAGCAACTTGAGCACAAAACACAATAATGCTAATCATCTACGTCTTAAAAACAATATCAGAAGAAAAGTTTGACCATGATAAATAATGAGATATATAATGCATCATATGTTTATTGGGGTAGTATAATACTCACGTGTGGGAGTTGCTGTTTGAAACACAAAGGGACTGTTTCCATGGTCGTTAACAGCTTTTACATAGAAATCATAAGAGACACCAGGACACAGGTGGAGCACTGTTTAACAAAATACAGAGAAACTAGATTTCTAATATGTCTTGTCATCCCAAAACTTTCACCTTAACGTTATCTGTAAAAGAATCTCAGCCCATAACATGTTAGTTGTCATGCTAATTTAATTTTCTCTAAATCTTTACACTTAACTCACTTAACTTTATGTGTAAAATCAACCTGTGTATCAAAATTTCACCAGAGACAAAAAATATATGATACAAGATCAATCCAACACTGTCCTAAGCCTTTAACAAAAACAGATGGAGACATTGACGCAATGACAACTTGAGCCCCTCTGAATATGTCAGCTAATAAAAATGAGAAGTAGATGAAAGTTCTTTCACATCATCAAGCATGTAAATGGAAATGTTCCATATGACAGATGATGGAAGCTCCAGAGTGACGTCTACCAAGGAAGTGAAGAACTATGAATACTAAATCTTATAACTGATTCTCATGTGCAGAGTTGCCAGTGGCAAGACTGTAGCTGGCACATCTCATTCAAGCATGTTTTGCCTGTCTCTCTAACCTGGTGCACTTTTTCACAGCCATCAAGGGATGTTATGTTTGCCACAAAAAAGCATACAAACAAGCTGATGTGTCACCTTGCAACTGGTACACAATGAGACTGTGTGGGTCCGTATCATCAGACTACAGATCATAATTAATAATTTTTTTTGGAAAGAAAATCAGACACGCCTCCTTACCTGTAAGGTTTGTCGTTGTGGTCTTCACTATCTGTTCTGTTTCCAAAGCATCATTGTACATAACCTCATAATGGTCTATTTTCGCTGTGGTGTTAGGTTTGGACCAGGTCAAGGACACACTGTACATTCCTGTGGTCAACTGTAGGTTCTCAACTTCACTCATCAGTAGCTCATCATCCACTGTTAAGATGGCCTTCTTAGAGATTGGTCCTTCCCCTGCGTTAGTAGAGGCCGTTACCTACAAACCACAAAATTTTAATCTTTTTCATATCTTATCAACAGCACACTATGAAATCAGTTACTTTCCCACATAAGATTATATAAACATCACCACGTAGTTACCTCCCTTATACAAAGTCATAATCCAGACTTACCCTTCACGTTCTTTTTCCGATTCATCTTCTCTCACTTTCACTTTTATACCTCATCGTACTGTTAATTTTTACCAATTAATGATGTCTCAAAACATTTTTTCATTTGAATTGTTGAAATTAAGTTTTGATGAGGTCAAAAAACCTACTTTTATTTGAAATGTTAAAATTAAGCTTGTTTGTGATCCCATAGGTACCTCTCTTTATAAAGTTATTAAGAATCTGTAAACATGACCTGAAACTTCTGTGAGGCCTGCTGCTACGGTGGGGATGGGATATGTTGAGATATACCCAGAATTTGTAAGTGTGACCAGTAGCCACAGAGGGGATGTTGAGATATAGGAAGACACGGGTGGTAGAGTTACCTCCCTTTCCTAACTTACCCAGAATTTGTAAGTGTGACCAGTAGCCACGGAGGGGATGTAGAGATATAGGAAGACATGAGTGGTAGAGTTACCTCCCTTTCCTAACTTACCCAGAATTTGTAAGTGTGACCAGTAGCCACAGAGGGGATGTAGAGATTGTAGGATGTGGCAGGTGGTATGATCTCGTGATTACTGGTTGACTGCTCTGACGAGGTATAATACACCTGAAAATATTGATTTGAAAATCAAACAAATGTTCAATATCATTTGATATCTAAATTTCTTCCTGCGTTGCCAGCCAATAACTCTCACATACAAAAGGGATCATATTATGTTAACTTCAGCCTTAAATACATCATAATTTATACTGTAACTACAAAACTTAGCCCATGTTCCATCATTGTTTTGTTAATGGGTGAAACTAGTGAAAGTAAATATATGGTGAAAGATTCCCTGTATTTTTCATCTATAGCTATAAATCTCCTTCAGTTTAATCAATTAAATTTCCATCTCTAAATTCATTCAACATTAACAAAAGTATGTTTATCTCTAAATTTCTTCAACCTTATAAAACTTCTATCAACCTCAGAACTCCTAAAACTTTTCAAAATTTACATCTACTTATCAACTCCTTCAACTTTCTCTAAAATACATCTACCTCTAAATTCCTACAACTTTATCTATATGTCTACCTCTAAATTCCTACAACTTTGTCTAACATGTCTACCTCTAAATTCCTACAACTTTATCTAACATGTCTACCTCTAAATTCCTACAACTTTATCTAACATGTCTACCTCTAAATTCCTACAACTTTATCTATATGTCTACCTCTAAATTCCTACAACTCTAACATGTCTACCTCTAAATTCCTACAACTTTATCTAACATGTCTACCTCTAAATTCCTACAACTTTATCTAACATGTCTACCTCTAAATTCCTACAACTTTATCTAACATGTCTACCTCTAAATTCCTACAACTCTAACATGTCTACCTCTAAATTCCTACAACTTTATCTAACATGTCTACCTCTAAATTCCTACAACTTTATCTAACATGTCTACCTCTAAATTCCTACAACTTTATCTAACATGTCTACCTCTAAATTCCTACAACTTTATCTAACATGTCTACCTCTAAATTCCTACAACTTTATCTAACATGTCTACCTCTAAATTCCTACAACTTTATCTAACATGTCTACCTCTAAATTCCTACAACTTTATCTAACATGTCTACCTCTTAATTCCTACAACTTTATCTAACATGTCTACCTCTTAATTCCTACAACTTTATCTAACATGTCTACCTCTAAATTCCTACAACTTTATTTAACATATGTCTATACCTAAATCACCTTTATCATATCTCTTATAAAATGTAGGTCTTTCTCTAAATCTCCTACAAAATAAAGTTAAACTATAAATCTATGAACTATGTAGGATGAAATCCTCAACACCATGATACTATATACTATAGACAGATGTCCTTGCTACCTACTGTGTAGTGCTGGATGATACCACTGCTGTTGCCTGGAGACTTCCATGTCAGTTTGAAGTAAGCATCTTGATGATTGTAGCTTGCTTGAAAGTTTGTAGGAGCGTCTGGCACTGCAATGAATAGGTACATATAAAATACCATGAACACAAACAGGTACCGAAGAATGTCTCTACAATGCTGTTGTATGAAAGATTGTTGCTGTAAATATGTCTTTAAAATGTTGTAGTACACTAGACTGTCCCTATAATGTTGTAGTACACCAGACTGTCCCTATAATGTTGTAGTACACCAGACTGTCCCTATAATGTTGTAGTACACCAGACTGTCCCTATAATGTTGTAGTAGTCGAGACTGTCGCTATTACGTTGTTGTACACCAGACTGTCCCTATAATGTTGTAGTACACCAGACTGTCCCTATAATGTTGTAGTACACCAGACTGTCCCTATAATGTTGTAGTACACTAGACTGTCCCTATAATGTTGTAGTACACCAGACTGTCTCTATAATGTTGTAGTACACTAGACTGTCCCTATAATGTTGTAGTACACCAGACTGTCCCTATAATGTTGTAGTACACCACACTGTCCCTATAATGTTGTAGTACACTAGACTGTCTCTATAATGTTGTAGTACACCACACTGTCCCTATAATGTTGTAGTACACTAGACTGTCCCTATAATGTTGTAGTACACCAGACTGTCTCTATAATGTTGTAGTAGACTGTCCTATAATGTTGTAGTACACCTATAATGTTGTAGACTGTCCCTATAATGTTGTAGTACACCAGACTGTCCCTATAATGTTGTAGTACACCAGACTGTCCCTATAATGTTGTAGTACACCAGACTGTCCCTATAATGTTGTAGTACACCAGACTGTCCCTATAATGTTGTAGTACACCAGACTGTCCCTATAATGTTGTAGTACACCAGACTGTCCCTATAATGTTGTAGTACACCAGACTGTCCCTATAATGTTGTAGTACACCAGACTGTCCCTATAATGTTATATGTCCCTATAATGTTGTAGTACACCAGACTGTCCCTATATGTTGTGGTACACCAGACTGTCCCTATAATGTTGTAGTACACCAGACTGTCCCTATAATGTTGTAGTACTATAATGTTGTAGTACACCAGACTGTCTCTATAATGTTGTAGTACACCAGACTGTCCCTATAATGTTGTAGTACACCAGACTGTCCCTATAATGTTGTAGTACACCAGACTGTCCCTATAATGTTGTAGTACACCAGACTGTCCCTATAATGTTGTAGTACACCAGACTGTCCCTATAATGTTGTAGTACACCAGACTGTCCCTATAATGTTGTAGTACACCAGACTGTCCCTATAATGTTGTAGTACACCAGACTGTCCCTATAATGTTGTAGTACACCAGACTGTCCCTATAATGTTGTAGTACACCAGACTGTCCCTGTCACTATAATGTTGTAGTACACCAGACTGTCCCTATAATGTTGTAGTACACCAGACTGTCCCTATAATGTTGTAGTACACCAGACTGTCCCTATAATGTTGTAGTACACCAGACTGTCCCTATAATGTTGTAGTACACCAGACTGTCCCTATAATGTTGTAGTACACCAGACTGTCCCTATAATGTTGTAGTATACCAGACTGTCCCTATAATGTTGTAGTACACTAGACTGTCCCTATAATGTTGTAGTACACCAGACTGTCCCTATAATGTTGTAGTACACTAGACTGTCCCTATAATGTTGTAGTACACTAGACTGTCTCTATAATGTTGTAGTACACCAGACTGTCCCTATAATATTGTAGTACACTGGACTGTCCCTATAATGTTGTAGTACACTAGACTGTCCCTATAATGTTGTAGTACACTAGACTGTCCCAGTACACCAGACTGTCTCTATAATGTTGTAGTACACCAGACTGTCCCTATAATGTTGTAGTACACTAGACTGTCCCTATAATGTTGTAGTACACCAGACTGTCCCTATAATGTTGTAGTACACCAGACTGTCCCTATAATGTTGTAGTACACTAGACTGTCCCTATAATGTTGTAGTACACCAGACTGTCCCTATAATGTTGTAGTACACCAGACTGTCCCTATAATGTTGTAGTACACTGGACTGTCCCTATAATGTTGTAGTACACCACACTGTCTCTATAATGTTGTAGTACACCAGACTGTCTCTATAATGTTGTAGTACACCAGACTGTCCCTATAATGTTGTAGTACACCAGACTGTCCCTATAAATTGGAGTATGAAATATCAATATAAAGTCATTGTATACAGTTGTATATAGTTGAAGTATTCAAGATGTCATTATAAACTCAAAGGTTTTGAAGTGTACAAAAATAACATCTGATCTTCTTGTCAATCTGTCTTTGTAACAGCCTGCCAGTATAATCATCCTAACTGTACAACAATGACACAGTGGCTGGATGGGTCTGAAAGATTTTGATGAAGCTTGAATCAATTTTTTCTCTCATTAGATTCTGATGTGAAAGTTAATTATTTTTTTATATTAACACTAAAAAATTCAGAATGAAGACTCGGATTATTTTCTTTAATGAAAAGCAAATGCAGATTTATTGATGTAAGAAAATTTAAGAAAGCATTTATGCTATAATTCAGAATTTTCAAAACACATTCATGGAAGATGTGAAATAAATGTGAAAATAGTTGAGAAAAATATGGGAAAAATATATGTGAAACAATGTGTCCTTACCTCCCTCGGAAGTCCTGTACTGATTCACTTTTGTAAATGGGAATATCGTGCCATTAATGTCAGTGACATATAACCTGATACGATACAGGGTCAGAGGTCGTAGATTGGTTAAAGTGTACTTGTTAACATAACCCACAGTCTTGTTCTGGTAGGATCCTTCATTGTTAGCCTCACTATATAAAATATAACACATCAGTATTTTTTTTTTTACCTAATGTTACCGTTTGATGGTCCTAATGACCTTTTATGTGTAGACGGGCCGTTAAGAATGTAATAATAATAATAACAAAAATTATTATTTTACCTAATGGTGCAGTATAAACAGTGAAGTTTAAGCATATTTCATAGATATTTTCTCAATTTTTTTATAATCATTCCCGATTATTCCATGGTTTTGGATAAATGTCACATCTACCCGAGGGAAATAGCTTTTTCCATTGTAAAATAGAAAAAAATTACATCACTGGTAAGTATGACAGATTTACACAGGAATCTGTAGCCTAGAATTCTGAAAGACTCGCAAACTTTTGAATGTGTTGATCTTACATGAATGAGATAATGTAGGAAACATTGGTTCCATCCACGTGGCTCCAGGACAAAGAGAGGCTTTGACTGGCACTGTTCCACTCTGTCATATACCCAGTATTGGCTGTAAAGACAGGTGAAACATTGTATCACTATTTCATATAAACAGCAATGGGACTTGAAACAAGAGGTTTAATGGACCTGTACTGCTATGCATTGTTTAAAGGGTTTATTCTGGCAACCTTCAAGTTCATCTCAATCTAAATGACCCTTCTTTACTGCTGGTGAAACATCTTGCTCTCTTATGTATCCAGAAGACGTTTGAAGCTTATAACACACATTTCAACTTTGTGAGCTTGATTGTGATCAAGACTTTTCATTTTATCAAAATGCTACTGGATAAATTTCTTAACTAATGACATCTTTGTTACCAAAAAAGTTTTTTTTAAATATTAAAAAAGTTGAGATCAGATGAATAAGAAGACAATGGGCCCTTCATCACAGCAGCAAATGAGTTGCCTATCGTTGAGTCTACACATTTACTAAACTAGAACTTTTAATAGAATATACTTACCATAAGGATGTTGACAGGAAGGCAGTGTCTCATCCGAGTTATCAAAACAGTTATACATAGTGTCACAGGTATTCATCCACAGAATACATTTACAATAACTCTGACATTTCATGTGGTGTATGTCACAGCCCTGGCAATGGTGTGGTGAACCTATTAAACAGACCACAGTGTTACCTACCTATTCCTGTGTATTCACCTGGACACGCGTACCTCATCATAGCAGCGTTTTATTACATCATATTATGTCAAACGTCAACGTCAAGTAATAGAGTAACATCATTTATCATCCAATCTATTTTTCCTGTGACGTTATGACAACAAATATTTTCATATCCATCCAAATCATTTCTCAATGTCATCAAATATTAAGACATCTTTTAATCAATTTATGGTAAAATAATCCTATTTAACAAATGATTGTTTACCATAAGATCATGAAATGAGTGACAAAGTCCAAGTATACCGGGAAAATTTAATCCTGGAAAATTTTTGCCCTCTGACAAGAAACATTCTTTTCCATTTTTGCCCTATAAAAGCGTGACCTTAACAATATAGAGAAAGTTTCACCGTACATGAAATAATCAACGTTGTTCTCTTAGTTTCCCTATGTTTATATTTGAAGAGTTAACAATGTTGTGTAACATACTAGTGGTTGATCCGCAGTTGTACTCATCAGAGCTGTCAACACAGTCCGCTACCCCATCACAGACACGGTTTTTGTTCACACACCCCTCAATGTTCTCACATCGGAAGTCTGACTCATCGCATACCTGGGTATCTGTTAACGACAGGTTATAAATTATATCATATTTGTCCCTCAACATGTAACCCTATTCTCCCTCCCTGGAATCCTCATCCCATCACATCGCACACAAGGTGGTTCAGCACACACATATGATTTAAGATGATATATGATATCAATCTATCTCAGAAGAGAACTGATACACCAAAAGAAATCACATTTGAGATTGAAAAATCAATCTGTAACATTTACCATTAAAATATTCTTTTTTTTTCTACAAACTTTATGTCAAAATTGTATAAAAACGTTTATCCACTATTCTTATTTCCAGTATGGTAAAGAGACAATATCAGTTAAACTAGAGAGCTGATATTAGATATAATGTTGTGTAAATTACGACGTCATTATACCCCAAATATCACTTCAAGATATCAGATACATCAGATGTCATTGAAAAATCTATGAACCAGCCTTTCTTGGTATTTCTCAGTCTACTTCACTAGTATAGGTGGACTAGTTTGACAGATATTATCTAAGGTATGACCTCTATTTCAGCATTCAACTGTCTTATGACATTTATTGTCCTATCAAATGACAGAACTTTGCACAAAATCATTCTATATTTCATTAACATTAAGCCTTATCAACACAACAACAGCTTTTTAATCTGATTAATGAAAGAAATTATAATTTGTTAAAACAAAGAGTTAAGAAATACCAATGATGACACATTGTGCAAAAGGTCATTGCTTAATGACAGAATGATGTGAGTACATTTGATTGGAGTTATCACATGTTTTGCTATTTAGGTGAATAAAAAATAAATGAAAATGTAGGATAAATTAATTTGTTTAATTACTGCCATTTCAAATATCAGATTAAATTACAATGTGTGCTATCATAGCCCTACTTCGTACAACCGTAATCAACATCAGGAAACTGATATCGTCAACCTTATTTATACACTTTGTTTTAGTTGAAATATGGATTAGTCGAAATATTTTCCACGTCCCTTGAATTCCAAGATAACAAGTTTTGACAATATAATGATCTACCAATTGTAACAACAATGAACAGTAAAATCTACCTGTTTTGGTACGGCAAGGCTTCTGATTTCATGTTGGTGATCTTAAAAAAAAACCATTTCTCTTCCATCAAAGAAGCTCAGTTTCTGATAACCGTGATAAATTTCAGCTAGAAGACAACCTACCATTACAGTCTCTCTCATCTGCACCATCAGCACAATCTGGGTAAGCATCACACAGCCAAGAAGTAGGAATACACAGACCGTCCCCACATTGGAACTGACCCGTATGGCAGATCACAGGTGATGCTGTTGAGGTTTTATCTGTCATACAAAGATATGAAGTTAATATTTTCAAGATTCATACCCTATTTCTATCCAAGAATAAACAAAGTTTGTTTCAATATTGGAGGTTTTCTTTTCTTTCCATTGCAGTGTAATTAAAAAATTTTATTTTCAGTGAATATACTTTGTCTTCCTTTTCAGAAATATCTGAGGTTATTTTCATTTCAGTGCCATAATAGACTTTTCCTTTTGATAGTCAATAAAGATTGTTTTCACTTTCATTAGGGACCTTTTCCTTCTCAATGTCATCCGAAGTCTTTCCCTTTCCATTGTCATCCAAACTATTCCTTCTTACAGCTACAAAGGATTTTTTCCTAATTTTAGTTAAAATCTCTTTGACTATTTATTGTCATCTACAGCTATCACCTTTTTAGTTTTAATGCCTTTACAGTTTAATCATCCACTATCAAAGCATTCTTCCAGTCATCATAAAAGCTTAATTCCTTTTGAGATGTAAATTAATACTTAAAACTCACAACAGTTGTCTTCATCACTTCGATCACTACAATCATAGTGTCCATTACATCGAAGGTTCATCCCGATACAGTGATGCTGATCCCTACATCGGAATTCATCTTCACGACAGAGTATTGGTGTTGTCTTCCCTGTAATTAAAACCCAACAACATTTTAATCATTCCAAACTTTTCTTAAGTAGACTAATAAGAAATTTACAAACCTCTTGTTGTCAAAGACACTTTTACAATGTATAAACATTGAATCAGGGGCCGGGCACTACAAGGGAAATTTAGCAATACATTTACAGTCCTTCTTCTAAGAATGACAAATTTGGTTGAAGAGGACTGGGTTTTGTTTCATGCTATAAGCATGGTATAAATAACAGGCTCCTCATGTGGGGTCCAGTTAACATGATACACTGACCTGGGTCCAGTTTACATGACATATTGACCTGTGTCCAGTTCATATGATATACTGACTCAAGTCCAGTTTACTTGATACACTGACCTGGGTCGAGTTAGCATAAAATACTGACCATCACAGTTGTCCTCATCACTGTTGTCTCCGCAATCATTGACCTGGTCACAGCGGTCACTCCACCAAACACATCCCTTGTTGTGGCACGTAAACTGCCAGAAGTGGCAAGATGAACTTACAGGTGTGCTGGTTACTACTGGAGGGGCAGTGGCTGTTAATATCAACAAGGAAAGTAAACAAGGTTGTCAATAAAACTAAGGGAGGTAAGTATGTCTGTCAATATAACTAAGGAACGTTAGTATGTCTGTCAATATAACTAAGGGAGGTAAGTATGTCTGTCAATTTATCTAAGGGAAGTAAGTAAGGATGTAAATACAACTAAGGGAAGTAAGTAAGGATGTAAATACAACTAAGGGAAGTAAGTAAGGATGTAAATACAACTAAGGGAAGTAAGTAAGGATGTAAATACAGCTAAGGGAGGTAAGTAAGGATGTAAATACAACTAAGGGAAGTAAGTAAGGATGTAAATACAACTAAGGGAAGTAAGTAAGGATGTAAATACAACTAAGGGAAGTAAGTAAGGATGTAAATACAACTAAGGGAAGTAAGTAAGGATGTAAATACAACTAAGGGAAGTAAGTAAGGATGTAAATACAACTAAGGGAAGTAAGTAAGGATGTAAATACAACTAAGGGAAGTAAGTAAGGATGTAAATACAACTAAGGGAAGTAAGTAAGGATGTAAATACAACTAAGGGAGGTAAGTAAAACTGTCAATTTATCTAAAAGAGTTAAGTATCGTTGTCAATATAACTTAGGGAGGTATGTGTGACTGTCAATATAACTAAGGGAGGTAAGTATGGCTGTCAATATAACTAAGGGAGGTAAGTGTGACTGTCAATATAACGAAGGGAGGTTAGTATGACTGTCGATATAACTAAGGTAGTTAACTATGGCCGTCAATATAACAAAGGGAGGTAAGTATGGCCGTCAATGAATTGAAGGGAGGTAAGTATGGCTGTCAATGTAACAAAGGGAGGTTAGAATGTCTGTCAATATAACTAAGGGAGGTAAGTATGTCTGTCCATGTAACTAAGGGAGGTAAGTATGTCTGTCAATATAACTAAGGGAGGTTAGAATTGATGTCAATATAACTAAGGGAGGTAAGTATGGCTGTCAATATAACGAAGGGAGGTAAGTAAGGATGTAAATATAACTATGAGTATGATTTCATAACATATGACAATTAATTACATTGATATTGTATAATAACCTTGAAATAATCAGATTTCATTGTATTATCAAGGAAATAGTGTAATGACTATGAATTACTAATTGCACTGTGTATTGACTTTGAGTTACCATGGTAACCCTGTGGTGACTTACTTCCACAAGTGGCCTCACTCTCATCACTTTTATCTGAACAATCAAAGTCCCCGTCACATTTCCAGTTGTTGAAGATACATTTTCCACTGTCACATCGGAACTCTCCAGAAGGACATGAGGTACAATTCATTTCATCAGACCCATCACCACAGTCACGTTGGCCGTCACATTTGAGGCCAATTGGCACACACTTTGGCTGGTGGGCATTACAGTGGAACTCACTGGACAGGCATATGTCTGGCAATACAGATAAACACAGGTAAACAGAGATACATACAGGTAAATAAAGGAAAACACATTATTATACTAATTACAATGCCTGACTATAGAAACTTCACACGCTACTCCTGGCACCTCTCATACAATGGAATGTCACATTCTCACTTACATGTGACATGAAATACATATTCTTGTGTTTTATTTACATTTCAACTTCTTAGCTTGTTTGATATCACACTTGTACAAATTTTGTCACAAGAATGAGGACAATTTCTCATTAATCAGAAAAAAAGTGTATCATGATCTAGGTCATTTTGATGCAAGGGCTCCATGTAGTTGCTGAAAGTACCAAACTGAACATATGTGTGAGGCCCATTGCATGTTATCCAGAGCAACTTGATGATAACTATCTCTCTCTTCTAAGGTTACAATGACAGTCAAAAGCCTGGCTTTGATCTTAGCTTCCTATGAAATACTTTTGTGGATAAAACCACACATTTAAGAACTTCACCAGAGTTTGCATAAGTAATGTGGCCCATTTAATAAAAAACAACTCAATAATAGTTTTATAATGTGTGGCACTTACCACCGTAAGAACAGTTGCGTTCATCTGATGAAACAGACCCGTTGACACCATCATGACAGTCATTGTCATAGTCACATGTCCAGTTTTTAGGTATACAACGTCCAGAGTCACAGGTGTGCATATAGGCAGCACAAGTAGTGTGGTCTGAAACAGAGTAACATTAACATGACAGAGAGAACCAGAACAAAGCAGACATGACACATGTCTGTCATTGTTTAAAATCTGATGTCCTGACAAATGCTGTATAGGTTTTTGTTTCTGGAATTGAAATAAATCAGTTACTAAGACTTTCAAGTCCTTTCAAGACTTTCAAGAAAATAATATCCCTTCTGCTTCAAATTTTTATTGAAATTGCAAAACTTAAAACCATTGCAGAAAAAAAAAGATACTTCAGACGCATCTTTCTTGCAATTAATCTTCAAATATAATGATGTTTTAAAAACATTTCACAGTACATTCGAAGTATGTCGTGTGTAACTTACTGCAGTGCAATTCATCACTTCCATCAGTGCAGTCCTTGTCAAAATCACAACGCCAACGATCAGGAATACAACGATTGGAGGATTTACATTTAAAACTGCCTGAAGGACATCCCCGCAAAGCTGTTTTAAAAGAGTAGAGTCAATGTTTTCTTTTTATTTCAATAACATTTTACATCAGAAGTAGGTTTTGTGCTTCGTTAAACTCTGAGCATCTATATTTGATATGAATTTGAGGTATTCTAGAACTAAGGTGTGAAGTACAGGTATACAAGATCTCAGGTGTGAAGTACAGGTATACAAGACTTCAGTAGTGAAGTACAGGTAAACAAGACCTCAGGTGTGAAGTACAGGTAAACAAGACCTCAGGTGTGAAGTACAGGTATACCAGAACTCAGGTGTGAAGTACAGGTATACAAGATCTCAGGTGTGAAGTACAGGTATACAAGAACTCAGGTGTGAAGTACAGGTATACAAGACCTCAGTGGTGAAGTACAGGTATACAAGATCTCAGGTGTGAAGTACAGGTATACAAGAACTCAGGTGAGAAGTACAGGTATACAAGATCTCAGGTGTGAAGTACAGGTATACAAGAATTCAGGTGAGAAGTACAGGTATACAAGATCTCAGGTGTGAAGTACAGGTATACAAGAACTCAGGTGAGAAGTACAGGTATACAAGAACTCAGGTGTGAAGTACAGGTATACAAGAACTCAGGTGTGAAGTACAGGTATACAAGATCTCAGGTGTGAAGTACAGGTATACAAGATCTCAGGTGTGAAGTACAGGTATACAAGACCTCAGGTGTGAAGTACAGGTATACAAGACCTCAGGTGTGAAGTACAGGTATACCTCAGGTGAGAAGTACAGGTATACAAGATCTCAGGTGTGAAGTACAGGTATACAAGAACTCAGGTGAGAAGTACAGGTACCCAAGAACTCAGGTGTTAAGTACAGGTATACAAGAACTCAGGTGAGAAGTACAGGTACACAAAACCTCAGGTGTGAAGTACAGGTATACAAGACCTGAGTGGTGAAGTACAGGTAAAGAAATATTCTGGTGTGAAGTACAGGTATACAAGATCTCAGGTGTTAAGTACAGGTATACAAGAACTCAGGTGTGAAGTACAGGTATACAAGACCTCAGGTGTGAAGTACAGGTATACAAGAACTCAGGTGTGAAGCACAGGTATACAAGATCTCAGGTGTGAAGTACAGGTATACAAGACCTCAGTGGTGAAGTACAGGTATACAAGATCTCAGGTGTGAAGTACAGGTATACAAGAACTCAGGTGAGAAGTACAGGTATACAAGAACTCAGGTGTGAAGTACAGGTATACAAGAACTCAGGTGTGAAGTACAGGTATACAAGAACTCAGGTGTGAAGTACAGGTATACAAGACCTCAGGTGTGAAGTACAGGTATACAAGAACTTAGGTGTGAAGTACAGGTATACAAGAACTCATGTGTGAAGTACAGGTATACAAGACCTCAGGTGTGAAGTACAGGTATACAAGAACTCAGGTGTGAAGTACAGGTATACAAGAACTCAGGTGTGAAGTACAGGTATACAAGACCTCAGGTGTGAAGTACAGGTATACAAGACCTCAGGTGTGAAGTACAGGTATACAAGAACTCAGGTGTGAAGTACAGGTATACAAGAACTCAGGTGTGAAGTACAGGTATACAAGAACTCAGGTGTGAAGTACAGGTATACAAGAACTCAGGTGTGAAGTACAGGTATACAAGAACTCAGGTGTGAAGTACAGGTATACAAGAACTCAGGTGTGAAGTACAGGTATACAAGAACTCAGGTGTGAAGTACAGGTATACAAGAACTCAGGTGTGAAGTACAGGTATACAAGACCTCAGGTGTAAAGTACATGTAAACAAGAACTCAGGTGTAAAGTACAGGTATACAAAATCACATTGACTGATCAATTTGAGTCCCTTAATGAATATGTACAACATGGAGTAAAGAGAACGAGATGGTATTTAAAGTTACATTTCCACAAAACTTTGAGATTAGATTTTGTATGAGGTTAATATATCCATCATTTATTTAAATAGTTACCATCTAAAGATAAAATATTACTTATTTCAATAGCCTTTTGCTGTAATCATCCAATAAACATTAAGTTTTGAAAAGTAAACTGACTTAAATTCTTTAATGTTGACCTTTACGTACATGGTTATGCAATCATTCTCCCATGTTCTGTATGTTCATGCTATTTCATGTGGCTATATGGGGGTACATCACCTTGAAAACTGAACATAGAATACTCACTGCAGTCCATTTCGTCGCTGAAGTCTCCGCAGTCGTTGTCACGGTCACAGATCCAAGCAGATGAAATACATTTACCATTATTACAGGTGAAGTCCTGGGCCCCACAAGATCCATTTCCAGCTGACCCTACAACAAAGCAGGAGAGAGAATAATGTTCACTCTACTGAGTAAAGTGGCAGCGAAGTATCAAGTATGGTGAACTGGATGTTCAGTAATTTCAAATTAGTGATATCTAATCTTATTACTTAGTGAATAATTAACAGTCACAATCCAAGATGGCCACCTGGTGTTGACATTATTCTGATAAAGTCTTGTAAAAACGGAGAGGAAAAGTAACAGCATTCTGCTGAGAAATCCATCAATAAGATTTATATGGATGTAAAAGATCATCAACCATGATGTGTAAAGATGTATCTTTCCCTGACAGATAGATCATTGTTTCTGTGTCAAAATATAACAGGTATAACTAGCAATAAAAAACTTATACACCAAATTTAATCTATTCTGTATATTTGATTTTTCATCAATCAGATGGCTGCATATTGTCCCCATGGTAACCGATGAAAAAAATTTATAGGCTGGGTTTCATTGAAGCTGTAGATTATCTCACTGAACCACATGTAAAAGGTTTATTCCATGCCATTCACTGCTATCAAAGTAAAGTAGCTTACCAAGTGGATGCAACTACTGCATAACAGTCTGTAACAACACTCCTTAGATCTTCACCTTTGACCTAATGGTTTGTCAACATAACGATCTATTACATTCCTCTGAGAGAGTAATTGTAGACAAATATATTGATATGGTTCTTCTGTACTAACCTGTGCCGTTTCCAGGCATGCAGGCTCCAGTCTGAGTGTTCAGATGTTCCCCTGGTTCACAGTGACATCGTTCATTTCCGTCCGCCATAAGCATGTGTGTCACAGCATTACCACAGCGACAGGTGCGATTCTTTTCATGCATTATAGAAGTTGGCGGTTTTGGTAGACAAAGCTGTGAACACTGACCATTTCCTCCACTGCAAGCTGTCTCCACTAAAAAACCATCATTACACCGTTATGGAGCATTTTTTTCATGTGTGTGGGTATGTATGTAAATATGTTTTCCTATGTAACAAACAGAAGATTTATTATCATTAACACAAAGTAATAAATTATGTTTGGTGTGAACCTTATTGAGTCAACAAGTTTGATAATTGCTATTTTACAATTTTTGAAATACATCAATAAAAAAATCTGTATAATTCCTTTGCTAACTGACGATCTTGATAAATTGCCCTCCATTGTCTGTCATATCAGTGAACTTTGGTCAATGGCTTATAATCAGGGTGGACATGTAGTTAACTTAGACCTCACAGAATGTATTAAATCAAGGAAGGTCAGCTATTTTTTACAAGTATTTTAGTAATTTGAGACTTACACTGTTGTGTTTGATGAGACAAAACTTTCAGGTCCATGATATCAGACACGTTGGTAAGTATGGGTCGTATGTAGGAGTGGTCAAGACTATCCACACTCATGATGGATTCCCTAGACCAGTCTGTCCAGTATAGAATACTCTGTAAAACAAAGCCCGCTTTCATCACTAATTATCATTGTATTGTCATCCTGCATTAGACAATTCAAATGCATTTCTATCAAAATTTGTGACAACTACCTTGCTATACATACAAAACCATGAATTAGATAAGATTTCTATAAAAAAAAAATCAAATCAAATAATCAAAATTTTTATTATGGTATTAAAAAAAGGTTCTGAACACTGGTGAGGTTAAGACAATAGTGTCTGCCAGTTACCCAGTGAATTCATTCATATAATACTTTAACATCTATGTCACTGATGAAACATACCCTGGAAATGTGCCACTCAGAAATTAAATGTGATGACGTAAAATGTGGACAATGTGACATCATAAATAGAAATTCTTACAATTAAACGCCTTATCTCCATTTATATTTTTCCTACAAAGTTTTACTTGAAAACCTGTCAAGATATAAAACCTATCAAAACGCGATTTTTTGTGTGATGTGATGAAAAGAATCTTTAATTTGTTTTAATTTCATATGAGATTGTACAAGACTTGTCTCACATTCCTTGGGAGTTAATTGAAGTATTATCTAAGTAGTTGTTTAATATGTACCTTGTACATGCCGATGGCATATGGATGGGGGACTGCACTCCCAGATACAATCAACTGTTGGTTATTACCCTCGAGGTCAGAAGACATGATATGGTCAAGGAATGCGTCTGTCCAGTAAATCCGTTCCAAACGGTGATCAATGGTGATTCCATTAGGCCAGTGAACAATGGAACCATTGATAATCACTTTAACAGTTGATGGATTGCCATCCATCCAAGCTTTACTGATACGCGGATGAGTATCTGACCAGTCGGTCCAATACATCCACCTACAAAACCAAGGGCAGATAACTCTACAATTAACTTTATCTATGTGTGAAAATAGACTGAACTTGTTACAGTTAATATCACATCATGTTCACAGGATTGAAATCTAAACACAATATTCTTAGTTTACCTGTTGGGTCGAAAAAAATTTAGAAAAAGTATGTTTGGACTATTGTAGGAATATCATTAAGTAGTAAGCCCGTAATTATTGATTTTATTTAACCATGTGCCTTAAGATGGATATGACTAAAGATGTGACATCATGTCACGATACTGTAAGGTTGTTTAATTTAGAAAGGTTAAGATTTGGTGGTTGCACCAGTTTTGGGCTAGTTCATCGATATTAAATTTTGCACATGTTTAAGCATCAGTGTCCATTTATATGTTTTCATTCGCTGTCAAAATGTTCATTTGGTTGTTAATATCATGCTATCATTATTGACTGCAAATAACGTGAAATCCTTTCCCCCTTAAATATCACCAATTACACAAAAGTGAAACTTACTCATGTAGGTTTCACATATGGGACACATCTATCTTACACATTCAGAGAAGAAATTCTTTACATACCCATGGTGAGGATCCAAGGCAAGGGCCCGTGGCTGGTCCAAGTCTGTTTTATTAAAAAGTGTGCGTCTGTAGAGGCCATTGCTTCTGGCTACTTCCAGTGTTCTATTGTGTGAATCTATCCAAAAGATGTTGCCTCCTGTCCAGTCAAATACAAGCGACTCGACAGAGGCCAAGCCTCGTGTGACAATATTCTCCACAGCACTTGAGCCGTTCAGACACATCCTCTGTAATCATAAGCCATCATTCCAACCAATATAATTGCAAGTCTATTCCACAGGATTTAATGTAGAAAAATGCTGTCACTCTGGCACGTTATGAGGTGTCAGTGTGGCATCTTAGGTCTCTATCCAGGGTATCTCTCATTTCATGAAGCCATTTCTGCTTAACATTACCTGCCTTATTCATTAGAAAAAATTCTTCTCTTTTATATCTTTAAACAATTACATTGTTTTTGCCAGTTTTGTCCAAATTACTTGCTCCTGGATCAAATTGAAGAGTTCTTTAATGAAAATGTTATCTGTCTTAAATCCGCTTAATAATAAAATTTGTATATACACCCATGTAAGAACAACCAAGTTCTTACCTTGATCATATTCTCAGCGCCATCGGCCCAGAAAAGGCAGTTGGCATGGTAATCAAAATCTACAGCAAACAGACTATGTTGTTGGGAGAAATCTCGCTGCACAAGGACTTCATCACGATTCTCTCCGAGTATGAATCGGTGAATTGTAAAGCGTGTCGAGTACAGGATAAACTCTGGGGTCTCTGTAATAGAATCGAAGACATCCTCAATACTCAACATTTGGATCACCTCTAAGTATTGGCTAAGGAGCATCTTAATCTAGGAAAACCTGTTTGTAGTCACTAAGTTAGCCACTTGCACTTTCAATGATAATATGTTTGTCCTAATATAAGCTAAATAAGCCATTGAATTCTTGCAAGGAAAAGTATCTTGAAAATGAGATAGTTTTAATAATCAGCCACTCCCTCAAATAAGTCATATTATTAGTTAACATTTGACATTGAAAAACCTATTCATAAGTGCAAGAGTTTTTAGGTTCTCTTCACTAATCTACACTAACAAGAGAGAAGAAGAGGTTTCCAAACAGTATATACTATATCAAGTTGTAAACTAAAATAGGACAAATTGATTTCACATATGAGCTGCTGTTGATTTGAGAGATTCAAGGGTAACCCCATTCTTATGGATGACCCAAAGCAGAGTACGAACCTTTGATGGGACAGGAGTACATCAGTGGCGAGAATCTGTGATCTAGTCCACCTTTACACATATCCCCAGAAACTTTACGGTATCTGTAAAATCAAATGTGAAAATATCATTTCTCCATGTTTAAGTCAAGGATTTACTCTAACTGTACATAAGATTTGTTCTACATAAAGATACCTATCATCTTGTGTTTTTTATATTATGTATAAGTGGACAGGCACAAACATCTACATTACTGTTCTGAGTAGACATACCTTCCCTCTAGTGTATTTATAATAGGTTCCAGGTGGACAGGGGTCAGGGATGGCATGTGAACGTCTATATCACTGTACTGAGTAGACATACCTACCCTCTAGTGTATTTATATTAGGTTCCAGGTGGACAGGGGTCAGAGATGGCACGAACGTCTATATTACTGTTCTGAGTAGACAAATGGGTTCCTGGTGGACAGGGGTCAGGAATGGCACAAACATCTATATCACTGTTCTGAGTAGATATACCTACCCTCTAGTGTATTTATAATAGGTTCCAGGTGAACAGGGGTCAGGAATGGCATGAACGTCTATATCACTGTACTTAGTAGATATACCTACCCTCTAGTGTATTTATAATAGGTTCCAGGAGGACAGGGGTCAGGGATGGCGTGAACATCTATATTACTGTCACGATCCTCGTCACAGGTACTTAACCCCATTACAAGTCCAGAGGCATTGAGTTTGAATCCAAAGTCACTGTAAAATAAAAAATAAGTCCAAGACTTCATGTAGTTAGTAATTCGAACAGTTCTGTCGATATAATGGACCTGGGCTTATTACCGGACTATAGAGGAGTTAGTCCACCAATATAAGTATTCAGTCCTTGTTTGAATTTTTCATTTTTCTGTCTCCTCCTTTTCCAACAAAATTAAAAATTCTTGTCAGTTCAGTTGTATGAATACGAGTTGATATATATCTTTTGACACTAAGTAGCAATGTACATGCTGAACATTTGACAACTGAACACAAGCACAGGTTATATAAGGGTAGTTATTATATACCCTTGATAATATTTTTGTTTGTTACTATACATTGAAGAAACGATGACATGACCCTGGTTGTCACTTTACCAATCTATCAATAAATTCTTGTTATTATCAACAGAGCACTGATAACATTTGGTGAGATAAAAGCTAGACACAATGAACATGTAGGAGGAGAACGTCATTATAAAGCTTATCACAGAAAAACACAGAGAGAGAAATGGCAGTGATATAAAAGTTGAGAACTTTGATAAAACAATTCTTGCTTCTGTCTCAAAAGGAGTAAGAGGCTGTGATTTCATAAGAGAACTTTGTACCTGTTTTTTCTTAATTTTCTTATTTGATTTATTACAAAGTTTTCATTTTTTTGAAGAAAAGAATGGAAATATCCCTTTGTATCCTGTCAACATAAAAACCAATGTTTCTATCTTCCCTAACCATGAATTAAAATTTCCTTCCAACCATTGATTACTTACCATTCAAAGTCCTCACGTTTACAGGTACAGTTGTTCTGAGTGACCTTGCGTTCATAATCAAGCCCATTGTAACAGAAGGCATGTGCGATTCTGCGCTGGTAGACAGTTTTTCGACCGAGGATACAGCCTGCAAACGGTGGGTTGTCAGGGAACGACCAGTCCTTGTAGTCTTCAGAACTACACGAACCACCTACAACACAGAATTATACATTATAACTGGTCTACAGAATATTTACTTAAGACACACGCAGGAATAATTCTAAGTGTAAATATCTGTAAGTCATAAATACCTCAGTGAACATTATAATGTGACCTTTGACCCTTCAACACTGACCAATGATAATCTTAATCCAAAGAGGTATAGAACTTCATGTAATAATATTATGGAATAAATATGAATCATGTCTATTGAGAGTTTCTCAAGATATTTTGTAAATTTTATTCAATTCTCAAAAAGAAAAAGTGAAAAAAGAAGTCCTGGAAACAAAAATTAGAGAAGACTTGTAAAGTAAGATGATTTTTTACAATGAAGTAAAATGTGCCAGTAATGGAAAACACCATTGGAATAGCATCGTTAAAGTTCATATTAAAGCCTTCCAGTATCTGAACCTCATTATTCTGTCTATCTTATGAACTGTGGAGTGATGAGAGACTTACTGAAGATAGACGTCAGGTTCACTTGGATGATCAGCCACTGGTGGTGACCAACATGAGAGCCGAACAGTGAAAAAACAGCAGTCTTTTCTCCAGGTTCTGTGAGGAGGCCGTATACTCGAATCTTCTCTGTGTGGAATGTGATGTTGTTCCACGTCTGACCTTCATTCCATGAATACCTAAACAAAAAGATGGCTGTCAGGCTATCAGCAAATAAATCATAGACAGTAAATCAGTCGCGAATACTACCATGTCATAAAGATAAATTATACTGAATTTTAACCTAGGATATTAACAGGACAAGTCTTGATATGTTAAAATAAATACAGAAAAAAAAATTGTAGCAAGAGGCCTATAGGCCTTTACAGTCATCTGACTATAAAGATCTTTATCTGAAAGGGGCCACATAGTCCTAAAATGAATAGCTCAACTACTCTACAGCTTACAAAACAAATATCATCAGTTCATAAATACATTATCTGCAGACTTTCATTATAGGTCAAGGTCAATTATTTGAATAAATTGATAGCCTTCATCCATTTATGTTAAAGAACCCATATCATCAGCCTGGACCTTATTATTATTCTTATTTGATCCCTATGACCTTGAAAGTGGACTAAGGTCAACCATATAATTTGTAGCCCTCTATCCCAGCATTCTACATGCACAGTATCAGTATCCAGGGCCTTTTGGTTATTGAAAATAAGTTTTTACAGATCTTGAACAAATTTGACCCCTGTGACATTGAAAGTGGGTCAAGGTCAATAATATGAACAAAAGTGATAGCCCTACATCCCAGCAGCTGCATGTACAGGCTTTATATCAGCACCAATGGCATTTCGGTTATTGAGGGGAAATTTTAAAATATATTTCAACACATTTGGCCCCTGTGACCCGTTTACACTCAGCGTACAGCGAACAATGGCAAAAGAAACACGATGGCTATAGGTCATCCTTACACTTTAGGTCAGATGACCTAAAAACACAGTGAGCAGGGGCCCACATCAATACACCCCTACCCAACATCTTTTCCTTTTGATCTACATCTATTTAGAAGTTAAAATATTGTGTATCAGTATCTGACCTTCAAACCCTGAAAGATGAACTTATCTGAGGCTGGGAATGAAACTATGGAATGAGTTGTTCTTTCTAGTATTAGTCTCAACACCAGGGATTTGTGTGGTGTATGTCGTCACCCTTGAGACTTGTCTGTTATCAATCTCACCACTAAGGACCTGTGTGATATCAGTTCCCACCCTTGGAAATTCTGTGGTAACAGTCCCACCCTCCAGACCTGTGTGGTTTTCAGACCCCACTAAAGGAACCTGTGTGGCAACATTTCCCACCCTAGTGACCGGTGTCAGTCACCACCCTCTGCACAAGTGTGTGGTCAGCACCCTTGGAAATTCTGTGGTATCAGTCCCCACCCTCTGCACCTGTGTGGTATCAGTCGCCACTATAAGGACCTGTGTGGTCACATTCCCCACCCTAGGGACCTGTGTAGTATCAATCCCCACTTCCAGGACCTCTGTGGTAACAGCCCCTACCCTCCAGACCCATGTGGTTTTCAGAACCCCCTATAGGGACCTGTGTGGTAACATTCCCCAACCTAGGGACCTGTGGTATCAGCCTCATCTCTCAGGACCTGTGTTATACTTACAGCAGAGCATCAGTAACACCAAACTGTGGTACCGCCACCAAGAGACCTCCATGGTCACCAATACTATAGAAATTGTGACCTTCCAGTACCTACAACATCAGACACTCTAATCAATAAACCGTATCATTCTCAGCTACAAAGTTGTTATGTATACGTTTCTTCTTGATCACTTGGATTGTTCATTACATATGTTATCCAATAAGCCCAGGAGGCCAAAAGGACACTTCTGAATGGAATGTGAAAATTACAGATCAATGAAATGTTTTAAGCTTATTACTAAGCATATACTTATTGTCTGATTAAACCAGAATAATGTATATTAGAGATTTATCATGCTTCTCTGTATAAACCTACCATGTGCCATGAGTACCCAGCATCACTGGACAGATAGACATCTGCATCAAGCTTCAGGTTCATTCCCAGGGTTCCTGTAGCTAACACAATCCCTGGGGCATTGGTGCGTGACAGGATCTGTATTGCCCGACTTAAGGGGAACAATCTGCTGTACTTCTGGGCAAGATGGAGTGAACAGTTGACTGCCTGTTAACATAGATGTTTGTGATTTCACACACAGATTTTGATGATCTAACACACATGTGATGTCATACACAGATTTTGATGATATAATACACATATGATTTCACACAGATTTTGATGATAAAACACACATATGATTTCATACACAGATTTTGATGATCTAATACACATATGATATCACATGAATTTTGATGATATAATACACATATGATTTCACACAGATTTTGATGATAAAACACACATATGATTTCATACACAGATTTTGATGATCTAATACACATATGATATCACATAAATTTTGATGACCTAATACACAAATATGTGAGGTCACTAACAGATCTTAATGCACAAATGCACAAATGCACAAATGCACAAATTTTCAAGATGTTATATGCAGGTTTTGATGATTCCATGCACTGAATTTGATGATATCATGTACAGCAGGTATGTACAATTTCATATTCATTTAGTTAGACAACTGAAGAATGATGCAAATTTCTATGAGCAAAGTCAACATTTTCACTGAAATATCTAACAACCGTATTCTCTAGATGCCCAGATTTAAATCTGCTAACAGCTTTTTACACATGACATTAAACTCCATTCAAATGCTATAAACAAAGCAACAGAACACTGCCTGGCTATTTAATCATCAACCATTTGTTAAAGTTAATTTGTGGGATCTAGTGCAGTTACATTTCCTGAGGAACAACCAGTCACAATAATTCAAGAGCTAACTTTTAACTTGGTTCTGTTCTAGTTGACTCGTGAGAAAAAACAAGATTGAATGAAAACCAACTAGGTAAGCAATTGTAATGTGACTTTTGATTTCTTTAGACACGTTTGTTTCACGTAAACTGAAATTTAAGTTTTTCTGGTTAGATCAGAATCACTGAAAATAATAATGATGCCATGCAGTCTGTTTTGATGACGTGCTACCTAAATTTTGATGATGCAATACACATGTTTTGATGATGTAGTACTCTGATCTTTATGATGTAATTCAAATATTAGCATTGATAAAGTGTACAACTCAGTGACAATGACATTCTCTTAAACTTATCACTGAAAGTCTGAATAAGAGTTAAGATGTACATGCATATCAGCAGTTTAACATACTGTGTAGTACTGAACAAGGATAACAGTTGACCCTGGTGAAACTAGTTCACAGGAGTAAGATTTGTTTACAAAACCAAATCCCTTTTTTCAACATTTTGCAAAAAATATGATAAATGCATCTATTATTCACTTAAGTTTATATATAATTAGAGGAACAAAAAGTACATTCTTGGAGATCTGAATTCACATTAGATATATTTGGTCTTTAATCAATTTTGCTTTATCTCTAAGATCACCAAAATAGCAAAGTTAAATACTTCCCCAAAATAACACTGACTACACAGTATGTTAGACTCCAACACAAATCATTATAAAGACTCTGGAGTTAATTCTTGTATTGCCAGCTGGAAATAAAGCACGTTCATCTTAAACACTAAATTTACAAGTCAGAGAAATTGTGCTTTCTTTTCAAATTCACACGACAGGTGATATAAGCAATAATTACATGAAATAAAAATACAACTAGAAATGTTTATAAGGAGCTCTATTAAGATGGATAATTGGTTATGCTGTACAAAACTTTATACTTATTTGATAGTTTTCAAAGGTTCTTGGCAGAGTATAGGTCAATAATTGTGACCTACATTTATCTATTTATGGTATGAATATAGGTCAATAATTGTGACCTACATTTATCTATTTATGGTATGAATATAGGTCAATAATTGTGACCTACATTTATCTATTTATGGTATATAGCATTCTGTAAATCCAATATATGTTTATGTGCTAGAAACCTAATATGAATTTGTGTAGAAGATAATGGGAGAACTTTCTGTGAAGTAGATCTTCCTGAAAGTTTCTATGTGAACTCAAACTCCCTATGAAATAATTTATATATATGTGCTAGAAACTGCATATGAAGTAGAACAGGAGATATCTCCAAACTTTAGGTTAGAAGGTCAGAGATCTAATGTTGTTACCCTCCAGTATTATCAATGAAGTACCAGCTTGAAACTATAAACAAAACTGAAATACGAAAATGATATAAGACTGCATTCTTAACAAAAACTTCACAGATAAAACTGAAGAAAATAGAACATCACCTATATAGATACACCAAAACATGCATTGTAGATGAACATCAAAACTGGCATTATGTTGTTTACCAACGGCATGTATACCACCATTCTAAACTAGTGTTCATCTATCAGTTATTGCAGGTTTCAAATGTAGACATTGACTTACTTCACATAATAAATCTAACTCCATTTATCTGGAAAACTTTTCTTTGTGACGTTATTAACCAAGAAAATCAAGTACTTTGTTATTAATAAGGAATGGGAATTCACCAAACGCTGAAACATGTCACATGCCAAATTTACTGAAATCCAGATTTTCATGTTTTTTTTACGCAACAATATTCACAGAAACATTCTGGTCCCTTTCTGATAAGCTAGGTACTTTCAAACATTGAATAACTAAAAAATAAGAGGATTTAAAAATTTTTGTCTACCACACAATAAAGAACAAAAACTGTGTAAAAATAAAATAAAAACATAAATGTCACCTTTCACTACATCAGCTTTCGAAGTTTGAGTTCAAGGTTACATTTTAAGGAAATTACAACTCTACTGACATGGTAAAGTCAGGTAAAATACTGTTAACAGGGTAAAGTCAGGTAAAATTACCAACAAAAGGAGAATGGGACAGTCACATGAATCACATGCAAATCTCCTAACCAAAACATGCTGATTATTTTGGCTAGTTTACCTTATGGAAGTCCTTAGTGATAAACATCTGGAAAGGAAAATACAGAGATGTATGCAGACACAGCTATGGTAGGGTAGTTATACACTTTTGGAAAGGAAATGGAAAAAATCTGAAATCGTAGGACACCATACAATGATTGGATAATATTTGGATAGGGTAAACCTTAGGTTACTATCAGTAGGTGGGAAGTTTAAATACATGACTTTTCAAATAAAAACAATAATTGTCTGTCTGTTAATAGCAGAACCCGTTTTTCACCTACATTTCAAACCATTAGAACACATCATGGGATTGCACATACTGAACTAAAGATTGGGATAAAAGTGTCACTACAACCATTCATGTAGTTACCTTTCACACTGCAGGAAGGAGGTTGTAAATTATCATCATAAAAAACTATATATTGCTAATCATAAACGATTAGCTGTGATTTCTGTGGTCTTTCATGTCAAGCTGTTGCACCTTGTTAGGACTACAAGTGACTGGTTTTTGGATAATGTATTACTAAATAGCAAGTGTTTGATAAGATATTTTGAGTCAAACTCTCCCTATCTAATACAACAAATAAGGAATTATAAACCTCATAGATATGCTCCATAAACATCGATGGAACAATTTCAGTAAACATTAATCTGTGGCTATAAATCTCAATCCACACTCATACTGCAATACCAATAACAACATCCCTTGACACGTTTTTTTTCAGGTTGACATAGTTTTTTTGTTGTGATATCCAATGTTATGAAGAACAAAATGAAACTTGTGATTATTTAGCAGTTCATTAACATAAAAATTATTCCAAAGATACTGAATAAATAAGGACATAGTCATCAAGATCCCCTGCCCATGTTCATTTGTAAAATGTATACATTTAAAGAGAGCTACATGGAAAACTGGAAAAGATATCAGCCAATCAGGTCAAAGCAGCCTCATTAAATATGTGTAGAATTTGCTGATAATAAAACTTGAACAAGGGATTAAGGTAACAAATCTACCAAGCAAGTCTCATCATAATTCATTCGTTCCGTAAAAAGCTAACATGCAGAAAGCATTCAGTTAGAGTGCTGAAAGATTTCAGCCAATCAGGTCAAAGCAGTCTAAAGATATTTATAGAATTTGCTGATAATCGAACCAGAACAAGGATTTATGGTAATAAGTCTACAAAGCAAGTTTCCTAAAAATTTTGTCATTCCTTCGTAAGATAATGTGCAGAACGATTTCCCATAGAGTGGTTAAAGAAATCAGTCAATCAGGTCACAGCAGCCTCATTAAATTGGTCCTTAATCAAACTTGAGCAAGGGATTAAGGTAACAAATGTACAACCCAAGTTTCATCAAAATCTGACTAGTCCTTCAAAAGATATCATGGGGAAAGCAGCTTCCTAGAGTGATTAAAGAAATCAGTCAATTAGGTCACAGCAGGCTCATTAAATATGAACAGAATTTGCCATTAATCAAACTTGGGCAAGGGATTAAGGTAACAAGTGTACAAACCAAGTTTCATCAAAATCCTACCAGTCTTTCAAATGATATCACGCAGAAAGCAGCATTTGAGAGTAATTAAAAAAATTAGCCAATCAGTTCACTGCAGCCTCAAGAGATATGTGTGGAATTTGCCATTAATCAAACTTGGGCAGGAGATAACAACTATATTTTTTCAATATTCCAAACAGGTCATTTTTTTTCACAGATAGGTAGTTTCCTGTCTGCTAGAACTTTTTTTAAAACACCAAGTTTTGATTCGGGGCGATGTCAGCTCTGATAGTTGGAACTCTGACTTATTTTCACAGCATAATTTCCTATAATTCAAACAGGTTCAACAATATTTATCTAACTTTGTTTGGACTGACCAAAGGTTTATTGTACATACAGAAATCAGTAAGTAAGAAAGGAGTCCAGGTCTCAAAAAATACCATGAAGATTAATTTGAACCTACGGTACCTGAACGTAATCACTTAAATGGTGACATTTTAACCCTCTCTCACTGGTTTAGCGCAGTAGATATTCCAATTCTACCACAAATACCAACTGTGGGACTCTCCCTCAGTCATTTTTTACCTCGTGCTGAATTTTTGTCTTATCATTCAAGAAAAGGGCAGAACTTTCCTTATGTACAATTTTGATAAAGATAATAATGCAGGGATAAAAATATCTCAAGCTTAAATATATTACCATATTCCTGTAAAAGGTTTTTAGATCTAAACTATGAAATTACACAAAATGAGATTAAGAAATATATCAAGTTTCTTATTCTTTTTGTTTTTGGCTGTTTTAGTAGGATAAAAAGACATTTTTTATTGTTGAAATTTCCAAAATCACACACTTTCCTTCATCTTGCATTCAGCTTAAATCAAATTGATTGATAGCAGAGAATGTCTTGTATTAGTCAGCAAACTGGCCAGATTGCCATAAAATTTTGATCTAATTTTGTTAAATATTCTTCATGTCCGTTTATGTAAGGGTATTAACTTTAACATCATAGTCTTTAGCCAATATTATTCTGTTTCTTTTTCAGTCAGTGCTTTCCAATATTAACAGTATAAATCATTTTCCTGTACTCAGAAGCACTTGGGAATACAAACAGCCAACCAGGTCAGAATCTCATCTGTACCAGCCAATCCAGCTGGGATTTAATCTGTATCAGCCTACCTGGACGGCATTTAATCTGTACCAGCCTACCCAATCAGCATTTAATCTGTGCCAGCCCACTGGCCGGTATTTAATCCGTACCTCAGCCTGGTCAGTATTAACCAGCATACAGTATTTACCTGTGTACAGTTCGTAGGTCTACCACTGCGGTCCATGGCCGGAGCCTTGACCAGCTGCCACTGCCCACCCTTGTCAAATGTAATGAGTGTACGTTGTGTCTCCTCACTCAGGTCTGTGCTGACATTCATAATCTGAGAGGCAACGTATACACCTCGAATACCCTCAATCTTAGCCAGGTCAGCGAACGCTTCATCAGCAAAGTACCTATAAACAGGTCAAATAATTTTCTCTAGAAACGACAACAAAACAAACAGGAAAATGCTTGACAGCAAACAAACTGCACTTGAACCATCACAAATGCTTATTAGCTTTTTAAATCTTTTCATTATTTTGTCTGCAAATTTTCAGCCATGGTTCGTTTTCAAAGAATTTTCTCAGCAAGAAAAATCTTCCTCTCTCAACATGAGTTATGTGGCATTTGTAGATAGATAAGCCATTTATAATATATGAATGAAACAATTTTTAATTTCATTTTCATCTTTCACCTCTCTACAATGACATTTCAATAAGTGTACCCTAAACAAGATCACAATCTTTCAAATACATGGTTAAGGTTATATGCTACAGCATATGTTACATGTACTAGTGAGAGTTATACCCCTTTAAGTAACAAACATCTATGAATTATGGGAGTATCTCAACTGAAAGAGCTCTTGAATCCCATTCAAATGTATCACCAATGAATCTTTTAAAGTCCATATTATCATGTGTGATTTCTAAATGTGTGGAGATCTCCTGGAATGAACACCACTCTATTTCTGAAGTCATTTCTCACAAAAAACAACATCAATTAGTCAGAACTGTAAATCCTTAATTACCTTAACCAAGTGTCCTTATTGGCTCCCTTCGGGTTATAATATACAATGTTCTCAAGGTTGAGTGAGAATTTTTTGCCTTCCACATCAGAAAGGTACAAGTGGGTGGAGTTATTGTCATGATTTACACACAGAAACACCATGTCCTCGGAAGCATCTGCGACATAATAGTCCTGAAAACACAAGGTGACATCTTAGTCATCAGGGTATACAATAACAGCAGTATATTCCTTGGATACTTAACAGGGTTGCCATGATAATATTAGAATTGGTCATATTTGCTTTTGTGTCGGTGTGTGGTTGGTGGTTTCCTTGGAGTGACTGACCATCAGGCTGGATGCCTGCCACACGGGTTACCCATAGCAAGTGCTTAGAAATGTCTTATAAGGTGTTATGATAAGCCTTTCAAATAATATGTTTTATCAACCTTATGCGAATGTACTGTTATTATCATTTTATAAGTACACTGTGCACCATATCATGAGATTATGACCTCAAGACATTTACTGGTCTGTCCAGTAATCAAAGCTTCTTTCCTTTTAACAATGCTAAATCTCATAATAATTCTTCTGAAAAATAAGTGTTTTATATTTTACTAGATTTACAGTCTAAAAAAGGCTGTTTCACCTCATTTAAAAAGTATTCCTATTCTGAAATTTAAAAAAAATGACCATTTTAATAATTGAATATTTTTTCAAATTTATACAGGCACATGCCGTGGTAAAAAAACAGATAACTATTGCCTACCTTGTGAACTCCTCGGTGAGAAAACTGGGCATTGTAGAATGGACCTCGTTTGTATGACACCCACAGTTGAAGTGTTTCCGACGGACCGCCAAGGAGGTGCTGAAACAAATAATAACAAAACTTCAATACTTCATACTAATCCATCCTTTCTTTATCAACCTTTATATAAGTCCTTATTTTAAATATATCAATGAAATAAATACTTCTTTTATTTTAAAAATTAAATTAGAAAACTTGCATCAAACATATTTTTTCAACTTGTCAAGCATCCCTAGTGTGAAATGTTAACTCACCACTTTTTTGGTGACAAACATGTAGGCACCCTTGATCTCAAAGTCCTCCACGTCGGTCATGAGTGTGGTGATATCGTGAGCAAAATAATCAGAGCTTCGTAATAGGGTACTTTTACCACCATTCTCTATGCGTTCCACATATGTGTCGTTAGGCTGATCATAAGGTTCCTCTCCCCTGAAATGGCACGATCGTAATACATGTAAACTGATAACAAACACACAGTTTTAGCCTGCCTCATATTGTACAAAAGATACACAAGTGAAAGCAACTTTCATTACAAATTTAGAACTAGATATAGTAGAGTCAAATAATTACTTATACTGCATCATACAGCCATTTTATACTTCTAAAACTCATGGATGATGTTAAGGGACGAGGAAACTAGAACAAGAAGTTGGTCTGAATCTGAGTTCGGATATCAGCACAGTTTCATACAGATCCAGGTGTTCTACATTAATTACTTACATGAAGAAAGATTTCACTGTTCCCTGCATCAGCGACCAACTCTGCCCAAAATCAAAGGATTTGTAGACCTGTTCACATAGAAAATCAGGTTTACCCATACAGACAAAAAATTGTTTTCTTCTACACACAAAAATCAAGTTTACCTGTAAACATAGAAAATCAGGTTAACATGCATACAGAGGATCACTTTTACCTGTCACAATGAAAATCCCTTTTACCTGTACACACAGAAAATCACTTTTACCCGTACACAACAAAAATCTGGTTTACCTGTACACACAGAAAATCAGGTTTACCTGTACACACAGAAACCACTTTTACCTGTACACAACAAAAATCAGGTTTACCTGTACATACAGAAAATCATATTTACATGTACACACAGGAAATCACTTTTACCTGTACACAGAGAAAAACAGGTTTACCTGTACACACAGAAAAACAGGTTTACCTGTACACACAGAAAATCACTTTTACCTGTACACAACAAAAATCAGGTTTACCTGTACACAAAGAAAAACAGGTTTACCTGTACACACAGAAAAACAGGTTTACCTGTACACACAGAAAAACAGGTTTACCTGTACACAGAGAAAAACAGGTTTACCTGTACACACAGAAAATCAAGCTTAACTTGAGCTATAAACACTTAATTTTAGGCCATACATGCCATGTCCCTATTAACTAGTACACTGGAACTTCTCCAAACCAATCATGCATTTGGTTATGAATATCTGTCCAGTTTAGAGAGGATTCGAAATGTAGAATTGAAGCAAGTTGACCAGTCCGTACTCGGATACAATCAAACCGCTTCTGTTCTGTATATTACATTAACCATTCCGTTCCCTGTCAGCATTTACACTGCACATGCCCAATCTAATACAACTGATACAACAGGTGATGATTTCATAGTCCACTGATCGGAACTCAGGTCTTGATCATTCAGTAAATGCCAGTTTTCAGAAGTGATTTTCAGTATATTTCATTCATTTAGGATGCAAAATAGGTTTGGTATTGTGTTGAGAGGGATCTTTATTGGGAAGGGTTTTATTACTATGATGAAGAGGATATCATTCACTACACAGCCATTTCATTTGGTTTCTAGAGAGGATCAAATTTGAGGTTGATTGGTTTGTAAAAATTGCACTTTACTAGATATAATTTGTAATTTACTCCTGAAAATTTGAGACTCCATGAAACTCCAAAATAGATCACTTCTATCTTTGGTTTGTTTCCTGCCTGTGACTTCTAAAAAAATTATCAATGAAACTTCCAGTCGTGGGATTGTTATCTAATGGAAATAGCTCTCAATTTCAAAAATTGAAAAATAAAAAAAAAACAATTCCATTGATGAGACAAATAAACTTGAAAGTTATCCTCTTTCCACTGATGAGACGAACTTGAAAGTTTTTGAAAGTTTTACGGTACATGTGACTTAACACTGATTAACCAATAAAAGTGGTAAAACTATTTTGTTAGAGGGCATCCACGTTTTATTACTTAGCATAAAAAAGGTCATTCATTGAATGACCTGATATACTAGTTCCCTTTACTGACATATAGTGTATTTAGCAATTAAGATTATAAAACAGCCCTTGACCTCACAGACTTTGTTCACTCAACGACTCTGTAAATGTTTGTTCAGGGGAGAATTTAAGTGTTAAGTAAAGAGATCTGGGATCATTAGTTCATATCCTGGTTAGTTTAACATTACATTAAGATATAAATATCTAGTTCAAAAGTATATCATCAATGTTCAGATGTCTACAAAACAATAAGTTTTAAGGGAAAGAAAGATTAACAAGAGGCCCACAGGACCTGTACCAATCACCTGGCTTAGTTTACATCAATTGATTAATTCAAAATAAAGGAAATATATTTTTAGAAATGGTGTATTTCTCCAATTAGGCCCCATACCTTCTCCCAGAGGAGGTTAGATGCACTGTTTGTAAAAACTAAGTTCTCTTCACCTAAGGATACTTCATATCAAATCTGGACAAAATTCAATCCTTCCAACAAAGGAGTTTTGAATATTTGCTCTATTTACCCTATTGAGCCCCGTCACCTAGGCCTCTGGGGGATGAGAACCAATATTCATACAACCTTAATTCCCCTTCCCCTAAGGTTGCTTCTGACCAAATTGGGTCAAAATCTGTCAAGTTGTTCATGACTGGTGGCAATTTCTAATAAGAAGTTGACAGACGCGTTGGATGCAGCACCATATATATATACATATTTATTCTGGTATTTGTACCAATTTACTTTGACTTGTATATATTTTTTAATTACATACCCAGAGCTCCAGATAGGATGCGTGATTGCGTGTTTCATGCATAATTAATGGGCAAAAAAAAATAAATAAATGCAGAGCAAATTCAATTCATGTATATGCGTCGATTCCAGACCAGTGGTCCGCAATCATAGTTTTTGTTTCATATTTCCCATCATATTATCGGAACACCTCGTCTTTACACCTTCATATGAGTACCAGATGAGGAGTTTCGATCAGCTAATCTTGATCAAGTAAAAGCTAACGTAAACTCCCATATCTTACAAGCGCAATGGCGATTTGTTTTCAACTATGAGAATATGTCTGCTACGCAAGGGGAGTAAATTCTTTAAGTATTGTTAAACATGTAAATAATCAGTATTAAATCATTACTTAATTACTCATTTGAAATTTCACCCCTGTGGACAACAGGTCATACCAACTTCACCCCTGGTTTTCACATTTAGGGGTGATTCATTTCCAACAGATTTACCTACCCTTTTCTGATCCTCGTCATCATCAGTGCCAAGGACAATCTTTGGATTGCTGTGGTGAAGGACAATAGACTTGGGACGGAATGGCACACTGTAGGGTGTAAATGTCTGCCCATAGTCTTTTGTTGTAAATATGTAGTGGTTGGCAATGTCCGTGAAAATATACTGAAATAATAAGAAATACGTAATAATTAAATAAACTTCATCATAAGTCAAGTACATCATCTTCATTCTTACCCAGTGTCATATTCACCCTAAAAAAAGGAAGAATAACACAGATATTTCAGTCTTTTCATTCAATTTTAATCCTACCTTAAAAGGGCAAAAAGGGGCGAATAGTTTCCATATATACATTGTAAGTATAACTTCAGATTTTCCTTTTGAATATATTTTTATCTTGTGATCTGAAATATGGGATATTTCTATATATTCTGTATACTTTGAAATATCACAAGAGATGAATCCATTGTTTGAATCTGTTTTCAAAATTCAAATTTTTATGCTACAAGCATCATAAAGATTGATCGCTTATCCTAATACCAGAGTCGGACATATGTTTATTTTCTCAGTCATTCTAGTCGAAGTCTATTTTGTTTTAGAGAGCAAGTATTACTTATTTGCATTTACAACCATATTGTTGTTCAGAACACTTTAACGCATGAATAACCATAAAACTGAAGTTCAAATCAAATTTTGACAGAACCAGGATCTCCAATCTACCACAGCCTTGTAATTGGACACCTGCCAAATTACCTGTGTACCAAGTACATACAGGTAGTAATGTCGGTACAATGAAGAGACAATCAACTTTAATGATACAGATGAATACAAGATATTACCAAGAATGTACATTTTCACAACCACGACAAGAAAGTCTAGAAATTTAAATCAGTAACACTATTTTAGTGCAAAACATCAACAGTAGTAACATATGTAATTACAAAAAATGTCGTAAAATTAAAAATCATCATGTACCTAGGTTGTCGTTTGCATTAGCAAGACACAAACGCTGGACTTAAAAGTCCAGGCCAGGGAATCTCAAGGTGTGTAAACATATCTACTGGCGATACACAAGCTCTCGGCTATAGGCCCAAGCAAGGGAGCTCATGGGTTTACATTTCTATAGGCCCATCATGAGCTCTCGGCTATAGGCCCAAGCAAGGGAGCTCATGGGTTTACATTTCTATAGGCCCATCATGAGCTCTCGGCTATCAATACAAGCCAGAGAAGTATGTTACTATACATTTAAACTACAGTCTGACACAAAATTTTGGTAATTAGTCCAAGCTAAAAACTCCAGCAAGGTGTTTAATTCCACTAACCTCAACCATACATCTAGTTAACTGTATGACGTAGCTTATGTCTACACGATGTTTTATTAAGAAAAGATAGAACAAAATCTCCCTGAAGATAAAGAGGGTCCTAAAATAGGAAATTTTGTACAACTTTCCCACAACACTTACATAGCTGTTGAAGACTTTGCTGTTATAGTAATGGTCAACGATAGGCTGCTTGCCGGTCGGGATAATCAGTTTAGGCCCCACATTGGTGAAGGACTTGCCATAGTCATAAGAGATGAACAGATTGCTGCTACCGGCCGAGTCGTTGAAGGGACGACTCTCTTTAGACAGTGCGAGGATTACATCACTCCCCACACCTGCCCAATGTACAATCATCTGGTTATGGCTGTCATTCAGTTGAACCTTTAAACAAAAATTAAACATATTAAACAACTTGCCACAACAAGCTATTTATAAATTTTGAACTTGAATATAAAAAATTCCATCAGTACGTGTCTTATAAACATGTTTTTATCATACATTATATATTATTATCATACATGGTAAATTTTGCCACCTAGTACCAGGAGTAGAAGCACTTAACATAATCAAGCGATGTGCTGCTGCAATTATTACCAGACAATTGTCTTTCATGAGGATCTTTACATTTTGACCACAATGAGATCTGTCAGGAATTCCAAACCAAACACCAAAGAATTGTTGTAAATGGAGTTGACATCATGTACTAGTCAGCAATGCCTACAGGTATTTAATTCTTTTCAACATCACTATATATATTATCTGAAGTATATACTTTATGTATTACATAGCATCAAAAATCAACTGTCATGTTGTCATACCTACAGGTAAACATCTACAAACCAGTGAAAGTTTCCCTTCAAGAATTATTCCTTGTATCAAAGCAGAGCAAGTGATGTCATATTTTAATGATCGCCCTTTCCACAATGGGCTACAAAACATACAGACCTTGCAATATGACATAATACTCTATATTTGTTCATTTTACCATCCTAAAACTTCAGATGTTGGGAGTATGAGACACTTTGGCTCTGCCATCAAAGAAGCCTCACATAATAGCAATGCTGCCCTTCTAATAGGTGGTGATTTTAACTTGCCTGGCTGGGACTGGGAAAATAAAGTCCTAATGCCTAGAACCAATCATGTTAACATCCATTATGACTTCGCCACTCTACTGGACGACACTGCCCTTACCCAACTAGTTGAGCGCCCCACCAGAAATGACAATATTCTTGATTTGCTCATTACCAACCTACCAAATCAAATATCTTGTGTAGAGGTCAGCCCAGGACTTTCTGACCATGAGGCAGTATTTGCTGAGTTCAATCTAACACCATTGAAACTTCATCAAAAACCAAGATCTGTACCAGTTTACAAAAACACCAACTGGAATACTATTAAGTCTGAGCTCTGCACTGTCCATAATATATTATCCAGCAATGAATAGGACATTAATACTATGTGGAATTATTTCAAAACCAACCTCCTATAAATTGCTAATAACCATATTCCACATAAGACCGTCAAACCTAAACATAACCTCAAATGGATCACTCCAGAAATTAAAAAATTATTTAAGTCCAGAGATAGGTTGCATAAAAATTTTTAAAAATCTGCAGGTGTTAACACACAAAAGAAATCAGAGACCTGAAACATCTAGTACAGAAAAAACTGTGTACATCTTACTGGAATTACATTGAAAACATAATATTCCCTGGTAATCCAGAAAATGACAGCAACTTTTCTTACATGAAGCGTTTTTGGTTACCGGGGGTAAACATAAAATCCAAGCGCACAGACTATAGTGGTATTTCTCCATTGAAAAAGAATGGTAAGCTAGTCTATGATTCCTTAGGCAAAGTCCAGGCCCTGAATGTACAATTCCAGTCTGTCTTTACTCCATCTGAGTCTATTTCTGGACACCAATTCCTCTCTTGATGCAACCTACCACCTGATTCCTACCCTAGAATGCCTGACATAAACATCACTGAGGGAGGTATATTCAAGTTACTAAAAGGCCTTAATCCATACAAAGCTGCAGGTCCAGATTGTTTACAACCTAAGATTTTGAAAGAACTTGCATCTGAGATATCTCCAATCCTCTGCCAAGATCTCTTGAAACCGGTATAGTGCCTCAAGACTGGAGGCTGCTAATGTCTCTCCTGTATTTAAAAAGGGTCCAAAACCTCTACCAGAAAACTATAGGCCTATATCCCTTACATGTATTTGCAGTAAAATTATGGAGCACATTATAGTATCTAACATCATGACTCATGCGGAACTATATAACATCTTGTATCCTTTCCAACATGGTTTCCGCAGATATCGCTTCTGTGAATCCCAACTATTAGAATTTGTCAATGATATATCCAACAATCTCCACCAAGGACATCAGACAGACCTTTTGATCATGGACTTCGCAAAAGCTTTCGATAAAGTCAGTCATGCGTTACTTATCCATAAGCTACGACACTATGGAGTCAATGAATCTATTTCCAACTGGATTGATAACTTCCTCCGTGATAGGAAACAATCAGTTGTGCTTGAAGGTAAAAGATCAGACTCTGTTAATATCCAGTCTGGTGTCCCCCAGGGATCTGTCCTCGGGCCCTGTTTATTCTTGTTTTACATAAATGACATCCCTGTGGGTATAGACTCCACCATCCGTCGGTTTGCAGATGACACAATCGCCTACCTTGTCATCAAGTCTGATAGTGATGCTAAAACCCTCCAACATGATCTGGATAAACTTGCACAGAAACCGACTCATACCCCCAGGTCAAACATTCTAGACACAATCATCCACTGTCATTTCAGCTACCCCATTGTAAAACCCAAATAAAAAAACAGTCGTTCTTTCCCCGAACCATATCGAAATGGAGGTCATTCATTTATCATATTTTATGTGGAGATAGTACTAGTATAACCCATACTTAAAATTATGATCAACATGATGTAAAACACATTCTTCCAGTTTTGCAAGACAGACATTTACTGTGGATTGTTTTTAAAAAAAGCTTGTGGAAACTTGTCATTATTGATGTAAAAATGCCTTATTTCACCAATTAATTATTGTATTTAGCAAAGAAAGTATAATGAATACAGAAAATAGATAATTTGGCAAAATGCATTCCTCAAGAGCACTGATGCATCAAGGTAAACCCATAAGCCAAGTAATGCAACATCTTACCAAATTGTTCTGTTTTCATTCACAAAGAATGACAGTTAATCAGTTTTTAAAATTTGGGTACCCAGGCCCACAGTTTTGTACCAGTGACAGTCTTACAAAATATAGGTCAATGCGACCTACTTTAGATACACAACACACTGCTTTATCAAGGTGAACCTGTATCCCAAGTATTAAGTTCCTATGATTAGTTATGTAGAAGATAAGACCCTGGACAAGACAGCTGAAGGAAGAACAGACACAACACACAACTCCCTTCCAGTTCTTGGTGGGGGACTGAAAATGAATATCTTTAATTGTGCTCCAGTAGAAGCAAGTTGGCACTTCATTTTGTTGATGTAGTTAAGTGGTCCAGATAGAATGTGTAATAACATCTTTCACAGAATTCTTCGTCAAAATTACAAAAAAAATATCTGTCAGTGTATAGTATTTACACAGAATAAATGGCAGTAATGCATATTACATCAGCATTCTGCATTAAATATAACGCTTGTGTCATGGAAATGATCCTGGATTCTATGTTATTGAGAAGAAGTCATTTAAATGGGGAAGTTAACAGTTGATATTCTTCTTTAATTATGCGTAACTTTCTGAAGAATTTCGTTCTTAAAAGTGACCAGTTTCGGTTTATGTAACAATATCATTAACTGTAATAGACAAACATAACATTGTCTCGATTAGCCGTTATGAATGATTGCATACAGTTGGCAGCGTGTGTTCGATTAAATGTATTTGTAAACTCTGTCCTGTAATAAAAAGGTTACATCATAAGTCAGTCCAGGAGCCCGTCCCTAATCCGTTTGGTGAATCGAAACCAGGAAGTTTCAGGGCAACATAAATTTTGATCATGTGATGGTGTCGTAAATGAAAATATGTCGAATTTTAAATTGTAGCATTATGTCGAGTATTTCTGATTGTGTAACAATTTCAACCTACCGCTGTTACTTGGGGGTCATGAGGATGATTGCCAAGGGGCGGAACGGTTGCAGACCTCCTAACTCTATGAAGGCCTTCTGTCTCCAGGCTTATGTCAGCTTCAACGACAGCCGTCCGAGCGTCATATTTTCTTGACCGACCACTATTGGCTACATGAATGGTGGTGGACTGTGATCCGTATCGCTCAGCAACCACCACGCTGAGCAGATAAGATATCAACAAAATTATCCCTCGCTGGGACCAGTGCATCCTGGATCTGGACGCCATCTTTGTTTACTACGAAAATGGGGTAAGTCGGCTGTGATTTACATCGGACAAAATAGTTCCACGGTAAAATAAAAACACAATTTTTTAACGTTATCAATCTATAAATTTTGTTATTTAAATAGATAGGAAGAAGGGTATTTCTTTATTTGACAAATTTATTAATAGTTTTGGTTGGAGATATATTCATCCGCCAATTGTTATATTTTGTCAGTCGTAATCGTTTTTAGGAAGAAAATGAGCAGATTGAAGAGCGAGAATTAAAATATATTTGCGATCACCTGAGCATTATGTCATGGTCGTGACAATGACCGTGCCGGGTACCGTGTTATTGTAAACAAGGTGTTCATTTACATAAATCTTGACCTACATATATATATACTTTAATATATTACTGTTATGCGATAGAAGTCTTCAGATAAACACAAGCAGTGACAAATTATTATGAATGAAGTTATTATATTTGTATACGTAAATATTTAATTGCAGTTTTGAAATTGTTATTTAAACTAAATAAGTTTGAATGTTAAATTATATTAACATTTTGTGATACATAACAAGAGACGTATAAATGTTATATGTTTTGATATGTATTATGACGACAGAACTCTAAACTTAATCTAATTCGTTAGATCAGGGATATATTATACGTCTCTGGTTAGATACGTCATCGATTATACAGAGAAATATACTTCATTAGGATCAAAAAGATCACATCATTCGTGAAAAAATTTAGATAGTTTTAGATGTTCCGATATAATCAATAAATTAACCCTAAGACGATCACGTGGCATTACATCTCATATGTAATGAAAAACTCAATATGCTTTTTATCACATAATTCGTAAACGTGATATTTTTACAGGTTTCAAGTCAAAATGTGGAGATAATCAAACGCGACAAAATGCCTCCGTATATATATATATATATATACAAATTACCGATTATGACGTCACAACTGATTTCAGACTGATCTCATCATGTTGCGACAAATATTAATTTATGGAACGAGCTGTAGCATTCGTGTGTCACTTTTAATTTCATACATACGCAATTGACATCTTCTGAATCTATCCTACAAAATTGGGGTAGTACATCTCTCCACTGACATTTCTTTCATCGCTTTAGATTTTTTTTTTCAGTTCTAGGCTTCAATATTTAAACCATTAGCATCACTGACGAGCCCTTGAAAGAGGAAACAGCTGTATGCAGGTTCATACATGTGTCTTTTATACAATTTTCATAATATCTCACCTAAAATGGGAACAAAATTAAGATACTTCATATTCCATATCCCAGAAACGTTTCAAAAGTTAAAATAAAAAAAATAATGTACAACATCAAACGTGGAGTCAGCTATTTTGTTTCCTAGGTTGCCATTGTGATATATTCATGACGCGACGTCATTGTCCATATTATGACATCACAGCTCATTTTTGACTGGCGAAGCTAATTTGGAAACCCTCCAAGGAATATATTACATTAGTGACAAGAACTTAATCCGTGGAGAACAAACGGATTTTGTAATACACATAGAATCTTGCATGCAATTCTAAGAATGTTTCAATTTCGCGAGCCTTTGGAGAGCTGAAATGAAAACAAATGGTGACGAATTTCATATATCGCATATTAAAAGTTTAGATGTGACGTCATTTGACTATATAAAATGACGTCACAATAAACTGTAATACAAATGTTAAATAGGCAAAAATAACGATGTTTCTCAATCAGAAAACAATTAAATATTTATTGTGTTTATTATACTATTAACACTGAGCGGCGCGGGACCGACTCCTTCCATTTACACGACGTAAAGTCAGCATGTCCACTGTACAACGTTATGGTGAAGACGTGACGTTTTCTATGTTACATATAAAATACCTGTTGAAAATTAAAAAATTCCCGATAATTTAATATATATCTATAGTTTAAATCTTAAAGAACACTATGAATAACCGAGATGTTTGTTTTCCTTAATCTTGAAAATATGTAGCTTTGTTGTTCATTTTTTTCTTGGAAATAAAAATCTGCATATAGACACGAATGAAATTATATGAAGAAATGTGCACGATTTCACGTTATCTGGAAATAGGTCTTAATTGCATTCTAATTAATTTTTTTCTGATTTCGGAGATCATTGTGTAACCATCCATATTTTGTTAAATGCAGTAATTTTTATTCTATCTTGGAAAAAGGGCTTTAATTAATGTAATAAAATATTTTTGAAAAAAATCTGCACGGAGGACATTACATTAATGACACCTTATCATTTGTGAGTTACGACGATTGAAATCCAAATTTTTAGATTATTTATGTTTGATTTGATTGAAATTTCAATGGGATCGAACACGAGTTTTTTTTTTTTTTTTTTTTGACATTTTGCCCTTTCCCCATAGAGTTTGACAAAGTGTATAATGACAAGACAAAACTATATGTTTAAATACAAAATTACACGGAGAGAGAGAGAGAGAGAGAGAGAGAGAGAGAGAGAGAGAGAGAGAGAGAGAGAGAGAGAGAGAGAGAGAGAGAGAGAGAGAGAGAGAGAGAGAGAGAGTGAGAGAGAGAGAGAGAGAGAGAGAGAGTTATAATGTATACAATTTATGTTTGTAAGTGTAAATCAGTCTCTCCTAAACCGGGGAACACTTGTATTAGTTACACTTTAAACTTTTCAATACCTCGTTATATTCTAAACCTCATTACAGCTGCTAAATGATGCCGTTTAATTCATAACTTGGTCCTAGTGTATCTAATTCTCAACTTAGTATTTTTAGTACTATTAAATGGTATGTTGAGATTGCAGGTGGTAGACTCTTAATGGACTTTTCTTCTCGAGGTTTTGCGGAATTACCCGAATGCCCAGTTTGGATTCTTTCTATAAGTTGTATGGTTTAGAATATACACGTGTGCTTGACGTTGTTTTGAAGTCATAAAGCTTCCAAATGTATCAAGTTATGGGAATAGCGTTCCTTCCCGTCTAGATTTTAATATTTCTTTCGAACTGTACTATTTTGTCACTGTTGCTCTTTCGGCTTCAAGATTTCAGCTCTTAAAATCAATGACGATCCTTAGAAAGGCCGAAACAGATACATATGCAGTTTAGTCAATTGCTTGGCTCTACTGTATCTAACTCAAAGATGAGTGATGTGTTTTGTACTATTCTTGGGTAGTATAGGAGTGCGACGTCGTTGATACGAGAGTACAACGCATTAATCTGTGTACGTGACCAGGTATTTAGTGTGGTGAATGACGAAGTTGTATTCAGTGTATTTATTTAAATATGTATCATGACGGAGCATCACTTAGAATTATTCCTATTTTGAATCCATATCATCCATGTCATCAAACTATAGCCTAAACAAGTCCGAATAATTCTGACGTTTGGCTATGGTCGATTGACCCCAGACGATGTATTAAATTCGATAGGACGTCAGGGTAATTCGGACTAAGCTTAAATATGTTGACAATTGTGAAATTGTTGGACTCGCTAACTAAACAATTGTATCTAATAACACACCTCTTCAGAGAGGGGAAAGCTAATTGATGAAATGAGCATGAACGTTATGTACCCAGGCGATACACGATACCAAGCGCTAGAAGGGTGAAAATAATGCAAAAATTGACGTCACCAAAATCAAGCGCAACGTCAATACATATCAATATTTACGATAATGTTTTTAAGTTTAAAGTGCATATCTATGTTGTTATATTCCTATTCGTGGAAGAACTAGATAAAACATTTCTTGAGAAATCAGTTATAAATCTACATACATGTTTGTTCAACCTTGTTGCTTTCATCCCAAAATTTGTTGTATGTGTAATATTGCTCAATTATTGAATTAATATAATTGAAACTAAATAAACTCCTAAGTTTTCTATCATGCTACCTGTAATGTTTTCACAATTATCGATATCAATAACGGTGTGTAATATCGATATAAATTATAAACAACATAATATGTAAAATGGACATGATAAGCTGTTTTTTTTTTAATTAATAACAAGACTTAATGATACAAAATTAACAACAGGAGATAACACATGCGGCAGTTCGGCGACACATCAACCGATGGGAGGTAACTCCATGTCATGTTCCGGATACATTTTCTCCGTGTTGCGTTTAGGATTTTAGAAGGCGGCAGAAATGGCGGTGCTTTTGGATGTCAATTTGTAAACAAGGAAGAGAAAACACCAATTGTATTCCATTTGATCGGAAATATCAATAACAGGTTCATATTAAATCACCTGTCAATACTTTTGTATTTATTTCAGATGTATAAGAAACATACTGTTTTACGTTGAAAATATGATAATTACGTTTTGTGTCGGCGGAGATGGAACAACATCCAAAACACATGGCGGCGATTTCAGATCTGGGGTTGCCACTTACCTGATATTGTCTGGTCAACCTGATATTGTCTACATAATGACCTACTTAGATAACAAATGCTAGATTCACGTAATTTTATTACTTTTGAAACAGTTTAAAAAACTTCGGATTCAACTTTTCAATCTAAGTGATAAACAAACCATTTCGTTTAGAACAATTGCGAAGCAAATCTTTCAAACTTACATTACTCACTCTTGTTGGCAAGCGTACGAGAGGTCTTAGTGTGGGAGGAAACCGGAGTACCTGGTGGAAAACCCATATGGTCGGGCAGGTGATCCCGTACCTTTTCACGCCCATTCTGACTCGAACCATAGACGGTTAGGTGAAAGGCGAGTGCTTTACCACTGCGCCACCTGACCACCTATATCTAATAATATGGATCTAATGATATACATGCCATAGAACATAATCTCAATACATATAGTACAGATGCGAAAACTATACAAAAGAATTTATTGGCAACACTGCATTCAGAAACATTATATTATGAACTTTCTAGATTTCTTTCTTTGTAAATATGTTTTACTGAAACAGTGTAGGAAAATACTAATATAAGCAATTATAAATTTAACAATCGGGCCATAATCAATTGACCAATTCCAACTACTGATGCTGTCCTTGGTGCTGTATGGCAAATTATGATTACATGATAATATAGTGAGTGTATTGACAGTATAATCTACCTGTCCTGACCTTTTCAGGGCTAACATGAAGATTATTTGGACCCTAATTATAAAAAAAATCCAAAAAAATTATAGCTTTTTGTTTATTTCATTTGTTTACGTGATATCTCGTAGAATGGACGCTAGAATACTATATGCCAATTGTTAATCTACAAAAAGAATAATTTTTATAGTCTAATGAATAATAATAGCCCATTTACATTAATAGTTTTCTTATGAAATTGAGTGTCCTGTCAATTGAACTGTGTTTTAAGACCATGTCAAAAATCAGACATATAAGAGATGCTGATTCTAAAATACTTTGTCGACTGAAAGTCATAATGGTGGGTGTAAAATCTTTTAAATAAATGTGAGATAATTGTGAAATGGAGTCTTTGGTTGCTTGAAAATTTGCACATATCTGCAAAACACACAATTGTAATCTCCCCAACAGAAATTCCAAGAATCTAAAGGTCATCTACCATTTTATCTTCAGGAGGTATGGTAGTTCCCCGTGGTGACTGATGGCTGTAGTAACTACGTTTGTGGAGGGCTGGGATTTTGTCCAGACATTGGGAGAAGGAGCATACGGAGAGTGAGTTAACATAGCATTTAATGATGGGCGTAAGACCTAAAATGTTCATGACTTGTGTAGTACACGTTCTTTCCAAAAAAATCTGCTATTGTCTCTTTTGTTTTGTTGATTAATTATCATTATGCATTCTAAATATTAAAGCAATTCCCATTATTATTTTCAAAATATTGCTTAGAAAACTCTTCTGTCTCAATCTATCTGCAAATTATTCATATAAACTGTAACCCAGCAGAGGTATTGAAATGGTTACTTGTCTTAATGCACAAAAAAAATGTCTTAATATGTAAACCAGGTAAAATACTTAGCCCAGTATACTGCTTGGCTATAGAGATCATCTCTTTAGCTTGGTCAGATGTAAATAAGAGGTCCTGGGTCCAAATCCTAATGGAGGCAATGAAATATATATTGACCTCCTTTACATATAGATATATATAATGACCTGTGTTACATATAGATATATATAATGACCTGTGTTACATATAGATATATATAATGACCTGTGTTACATATAGATATATATAATGACCTGTGTTACATATAGATATATATAATGACCTGTGTTACATATAGATATATATAATGACCTGTGTTACATATAGATATATATAATGACCTGTGTTACATATAGATATATATATAGATATATATAATGACCTGTGTTACATATAGATATATATAATGACCTGTGTTACATATAGATATATATAATGACCTCTTTTACATATAGATATATATAATGACATATTGTACTGTCATTTGAGGGAATCTGTCTAAAACTGAGAAACAATAATGTATGTTTACATGTAAATTTAGTAAATTTTCTATTGTTATGTTGTTTCTGCAGAAATGAAATTAATTGTTTAAAATTTTAGAGTGAAGTTGGCTGTAAATACAGACACACAAGAAGCCATAGCTGTGAAGATCATCAACTTAGAGCGATGTCCATCAGCAGCCGACAGTGTTCGCAAAGAGGTTAGAAAAACACCCTTATAAACAGACATAATATGTGCACTTTGATAATCTACAGACTTTTTGTTCATAATGCAGTCTTGTTTGTCTACTGGTACATTTCAGTGATAATTCAGATGAAAGCATTCACAGCTTGCATTAGATTAATTCATGATATGAATGTCTTTGTCCCTGATCATCAGGGTGCATCCTAAGACACTTGATCTTTTTTTTGTTGGGGTCATTGCCCTGTAAACAACCAGGATCATTTTGAGGGGAGTTTCTTCGTAATATTTGATGGCTTCCTTGCTGAACATCATATGGGAGGCTCCTTGTATGCAATCCGGAGTAAAATGCGTTATAGAGACCATATCAGCACAGACTGGTCGTTTCTTAAGTTTGTGAGTATAGGTCTGAAAAAATAGAAAGTCTGTTAGGAATCCTTTGTATTTTCAGATGATATGTAGAGAAGGAATCATAACTGATATTCCTACCTTGAAAATCGTAAAAAAAAAAGAGAGAGAAAAATCTTGATTACCAAAGCTAGAAATATAGTAATGAAATGTGTTTTCTACTTTTCAGGTTTGTGTTCACAAAATGTTGAATCATGACAATGTCATCAAATTTTTTGGCTTCCGGAAAAATGGCAACATGCAATATCTGTTTCTGGAGTATGCAAGTGGTGGGGAGCTGTTTGATAGAATAGGTAAGTTTTCTGATGTGATAACCTAACAGAGTAATTCATATTGCCTGATTTACATCTTTTTGAAAAGCAAGTCTCTTATAGGTTGCTTTTGATTGACAATTTAGTCATTTCATACAGATTTAATATAGAAATAAACATTGATTTGTAATTTATTTTATAAAACTATGCTTGTAAAATTAAATGTGTAGGTATAAGTACAATTTACCTGAAAATAAGCCCAGGTAATGTTCCCACCTGTATATATATTGCTGATTAGTGAAAATACAATGCTATTTCATTGTTCTGCAATAACTTTCCTCTCACTCAGAATTTATACAGACTTTCGTCACTTATGAGATGTGTGGAATTGCCACTATGACAGATATGTACAAGTAACAAATTGAATTGAAGTCTGTTTATGCCCTTTACATTAAGAACCGTTAATTATCCAATTAGCCAAGCCTTTCATGCTTGTTAAGTCAGTCACCTGTGTGAATTTGTTTACATAAGGTAATTAGATATGTTAGGGTCACGATGATTGTGGTTTCCTAATATCAATGGATCAAACCACAACTGTTTCATCGCGGTAACCAGTAATCAATTAATCTTTCTGTAGAAATTTTTTTTTTTTTTTTTTTTTTTGAATCTGACCCCAAAAAAGTACCTGCACACTATACCCGAGCGCGCACTATACCCGCAAATTTACGATATATGGAAAGATGATATTAGTTAAATTTTGGTAGAGTATATGATGTGTAGAGATTAAAATCACAGTTATGATATGTGGATATTTACACATCACAAATCTTATAATTCCAACCTATGCTTGAATCAAATTATCTTCAATGTAAATTTATCTTCCTGTAATGTGGAAACTGAGATATAGGGTTTTCTTGATAGATGTGTTTGGTGTTTCAGAGCCCGATGTTGGTATGTCTCAAGGAGATGCAAACAAGTACTTCAAACAGCTGCTGGCAGGCGTGGTGGGTTGTTCTATTTCATGTCAAGTTAGGAAACATTTTCATTTTCTCCAGTTTCTTGTACAGTTTGTCAGCATATATCTGCATTTAGATTGTAGAGTTTAAATCAATATTCTTACTGGAGTGTAAGGGACAAACCCTTAATACACACAAACACTGGTCAGTACTAGCAGATACACACAAACACTGGTCAGTGCTAGCAGATACACACGAACACTGGCCAGTACTAGCAGATACACGAACACTGGCCAGTACTAGCAGATACACATGAACACTGGCCAGTACTAGCAGATACACATGAACACTGGCCAGTACTAGCAGATACACACGAACACTGGCCAGTACTAGCAGATACACACGAACACTGGCCAGTACTAGCAGATACACACGAACACTGGCCAGTACTAGCAGATACACAGGAACACTGGTCAGTACTAGCAGATACACACGAACACTGGTCAGTACTAGCAGATACTACGTCATTCGAGCAGAATAGCATTCTGCAAATGTAACAATTACACAAAAATAGCAGTAAGTTACAGATCAGGATATACAACATGAGGTTGTTAACTTTGGTATGAACTTGTTAACTTTGATATGAACATGAACTTGTTAACTTTGGTACGAACATGATCTTGTTAACTTTGGTACGAACATGAATTAGTTAGCTTCTGTATGAACATGAACTTGTTAACTTTTATATGAACATGTACTGGTTGGCTTCTGTTTGAATCCCCTAAAATCTTTATTTGCAATTTAGCCTCACTTTCTTCAATATCTTGAAAACTCTTTAAATTAACAACACTGTACAGCAAAAAACACCCTCCCCTTCTAAAAAAAAGAAGAAAAACTTTCTGAAGTTAAGTCTGTTCTATTTTTAGCATTAGAAAACACATGGTGTATACTAACTTAAAGCAAAAATAAACTTCACTTTGAACCAACATTCTTTTGCTTGTAAGAAGGTATTGATTACAAACATGTCACTAATTTGATTGTCAACATTAATTTTTAAAGAAATATGTGTATATGGCTTGCTTGCACTTTAAGGTTTAAATACATATTAAATAAAACTGATAATTTAGCAGCAATATTGAAGCAAGTTGACCCCTGAAAATATTTTAGTGACTTTGTGTCTAGAAATTTACCATCAAATGTGTGATAAATTGTAACTACAGGAGTATCTACACAGTCGTGGTGTAACACATAGAGACCTCAAGCCAGAAAATGTCCTCCTTGATGATTTTGGTAAGTAACTGTCTGGTCTCAAACCTTTACACTTCAGGACGACCTGTAGGTTTGTCATACACTGAGGCAGGATCTATAGTGTTTGTCATACACTGCAGGAGGGCCTGTAGTGTTTGTCATACACTGAGGTAGGACCTGTAGTGATTGTCATACACTGCAGGAGGGCCTGTAGTGTTTGTCATACACTGAAACTCAACCTGTAGTGATTGTCATACACTGAGGCAGGACCTGTAGTGTTTGTCATACACTGCAGTAGGGCCTGTAGTATTTATCATACACTGAAACTCAACCTGTAGTGATTGTCATACACTGAGGCAGGACCTGTAGTGTTTGTCATACACTGAGGCAGGACCTGTAGTGATTGTCATACACTGAAACACAACCTGTAGTGTTTGTCATACACTGAAACACAACCTGTAGTGTTTGTCATACACTGAAACACAACCTGTAGTGTTTGTCATACACTGAAACTGTAGTGATTGTCAACCTGTAGTGATTGTCATACACTGCAGGCTGTAGTGATTGGAAACACAACCTGTAGTGTTTGTCATACATGAAACACACTGAAACACAACCTGTAGTGATTGTCATACACTGAGGCAGGACCTGTAGTGATTGTCATACACTGAGGCAGGACCTGTAGTGATTGTCATACACTGAAACACAACCTGTAGTGATTGTCATACACTGAGGCAGGACCTGTAGTGTTTGTCATACACTGAGGCAGGGCCTGCAGTATTTGTCATACACTGAAACACAACCTGTAGTGTTTGTCATACACTGAAACACAACCTGTAGTGTTTGTCATACACTGAAACACAACCTGTAGTGTTTGTCATACACTGCAGTAGGACCTGTAGTGATTGTCATACACTGAAACACAACCTGTAGTGTTTGTCATACACTGAGGCAGGACCTGTAGTGTTTGTCATACACTGAGGCAGGACCTGTAGTGTTTGTCATACACTGAGGCAGGACCTGTAGTGTTTGTCATACACTGAGGCAGGACCTGTAGTGTTTGTCATACACTGAGGTAGGACCTGTAGTGATTGTCATACACTGAGGCAGGACCTGTAGTGTTTGTCATACACTGAAACACAACCTGTAGTGTTTGTCATACACTGAAACAGGACCTGTAGAGATAGATATTTAGTAATTGTCAGCAAAATTGATAAAATTTTAAAGGTATGACTCACCGTCAACATTACAAGAAGTATGTCACAGCAGCATTCTCATCGCTTAAATCCCTGCATCATGAACAACCAAATGAAAAGCAATCATCAACTTTTAGTCTTTTTGATCTGTTTGACATACAATCAGACAAACAAGTGTAAGAATTTCTAAATATCTATGGGCAACATCTGATTATTTGGGATAACTTGGGTAACAAAGCATTTGTTTCATTATTTTAATATCAGTCAGGAGTGAAATATATTTCCTCAAGGTGTTCGGACCAACCCATTATACTAATTCCTTCAGACTACAGCCTTGGGAAATGTGTAATCCTGTCAGTCCCAACACCTCGGGGAAATGTGTTATATTCCACTGTTAGCTGATAAGGTATGAAATAGTTGTATATTTGTATTTTGACTAAATATTTGAAGAATGGAATTGAAAAATTGACACGATATTTCATTTTTACAGTATGCTATGTCTAAATGAATTTCCTTTCCTACTTGACAGATAATTTGAGGATTTCTGACTTTGGTCTTGCAACAGTGTTTCGTTACCAAGGCAATGAACGTCTACTGGAGCGTTGTTGTGGCACAGTGCCGTATGTAGCTCCAGAGGTGATCAGTCGTAAACCGTATCATGCAGAGCCGGCTGATGTGTGGTCATGTGCTATAATACTTGTAGCTCTTCTGGCTGGAGGTAGGTTTATACAGTCCTTGCTCTTCCTATAGACATCTTATTGTGCTGCCATATAAAATGAAACAAGACATTGTCAATAAAGGTCAGGACCTCAAAATGGCTGTCTAGTGAATGATTACCTTTAAAGAAAACACAAAACAAATACATCTTTGATAATTCTGATAACTTTTGTCATAAAATAGTACCAACTCAAATCATTAATCCTCCAATGTATTTGATACTCTTTTTTATTTTAGAATTTTTGAAAGGGTGTATTACAGAAAAAAATATCTTTTTATGAAATATTACTTAATCCGCTGTCTGATCCTAATGGTACATTTATCTGTATGATTAGTTAAAGTGAAAACTAATGAGTTTCTGATTGCACAGAATTGCCGTGGGATGAGCCTAACTATGGCTGTCAGGAGTACAGTGATTGGAAAGATTGCCGCATCACAGTTCCTCCTTGGAGCAAGATTGACAACTTGGCACTGTGTAGGTATTTCACTGAGTGTTAAAATGTGTACTGACATGCATCCTTATCACATAATGGGTTGTCATGTGGCACAGTGATAGTACACTTTCCTTTCACCTAGACATCAGACTCCAGTTCTCTGAGTAAATTTGAGTTTTCATAGGTTGTCCTGTTTCCTCTGACATTAAGACCCCTCACAAACCAACATGCTTTAACACTAAGATGTCTATCATAACGGGAAGGAGCTACATTGTTTCACACAATTTGTTTGATATTAATTTATTTCTATATGTCAATAATTTTTTTTTGCTTTAGATTATTCAGGAAGATTCTTGCAACAAAGGAAGTATATAAATATCACTTTTAGAGGTGGTTGTTTTTTTGGAAGAATATAATCATTTCAGTAACACATATTTAAAAAAAGATACAAAAATTTAAGATTTGTGAAAAAAAAGAACTTTGATTTGGAGGCAGTATTTTTTAATTTGATTACAGACATAAAATTACTACAACAACATACAACTTTGTCTTTCCATATTGTATAGAGAAAGGTTGATTTAAAAGAGATTCAAGGGAGATAATTTATCACAAACCTGCGATGCAAAACAGCTCCCTATTATAATGGAAGGTCTGAACACCAAAGTGGATCCCTGGAAATTTTTGCCTTTGTTCTAGACATATAAAATCTGTATTTTCAAACAATATTCTGAAAATATTTTGGATACAACCTCCAGATAAACTAAATCTTGCATTCTCAAGCACAGTATACAGAAGTACAAATGTATATAAAGGGATGATGTTTATATAATATTGTTAAAGATTCAGTCTTGGAGTGTACTTAAGGTAAAACCTCTCAATCAAGAGTATGCATGTAGTACTGATAAGTATACATTATGTATCAGACCTAATCCGACCAGTCTGTACTGTCTAGTGTCTACCACATTCCTAAAATTTACAATTTACTTCTGATTATTTTCTTCTCAAAATGAGGGCAATGTGTGCTTTTAAAAACGAGTGAAAAAAAATCTCTGTCAGAAAATTATTAATATACACAATTAAAAATGAGGTCAAAATACAGATCAAAATTTAGATACATTTGTGTTTTTGTCACATTTTCATATCAATTACATTCTGTGTATCATAAGTAGCTATTATATGTACTTAAAAGATAAATTGTGGCCTTTTTTTCACCATAAAAACATGATTAAACAAGCTTGTACCATATTCTAATGTTATTGCAAAAAGAGTGACCTAGGTGATTTCAATATGGACATTTCTGCAGAGGGATGTTTGTCGATACATGTACATAGAGTTCATAGATGGCTCTGTTACTTTATTTATTAGGTCAGTGTTTTTTCTCTGGGAATTCCAGCTTTCTTCAACTATCCAGACCTGGCACGTCTTTAAATGACTGTGGCTGTTAATAGGAAGTAAAGCAACAATAAACTAAACTATCAGGTTATAAAATTTACATGATAAAAAGCAGTATTTTTGCAATAAAATTTCAAACAAACAATATTTCATGGTCCTGTGATAAACCCACCCCCTGACAGAGAGAAGGTAGTGTGTAAGTCTGTAAGGCTGATTACAGGATACAAACTGTAATTTTTTTAATTTTTACAATAGAATTAGTATGGGATGTCTCTCTGCTCCCTGATCTATATACACATATATTTATTGTAGCTTTGTTACGGAAGCTGCTTGTGGAGAATGCCTCAAAACGATACACAATCCGACAGATAAAGGGACATCAGTGGTTTAACAAAAACTTCAATAAGTCCAGCAAAGGTAGGTAACATAAAATTATCATGGCATTGCATGTAAATATCAATCAATCAACAGATGAAACAGGATTTGCTCGATACAAAAAAAAAAGATGTTTTTTCTTGTTGCTTTATGAAAGTATGTTGCCAATTTTTGCCATTCTGTTGATAAACTTGTCAGCATCTCATCAATCTGGATTCATTTCTGAATGTATGCAGATATGCAAAATCTGTCAGTGTAAGATAGAATTCATTTAGTCAGAGTCATCTTTTTCCCAAACATTTATGGGGTTAAATACGATTTTACAGATCAGTGGTAATTCTGCCATATAATAAGTTTAGTCTTTAAGGGGTATGCCATATATCATATGGTTGTTCATACCTACATGAATGACTTAAAATGCTTAAGTTTATATTTCATTGATGTACTTACATTTATGTATATTTGAGCAGGGTCATGGGGTCGCCTGCCATCAGGATCACCAGGAGATTCACCCTGTGGGACAGGTTCATTCAAACGTGTCTGTTCTGGATTATCTCCCCTTGGACATGGTACAGACAGGTAAAAAAAATGAAGTTCAATGTCTTTTGGAGGTGGTATCACTTCATGATCTTATTGATGTTGATATGGAAAGGTCAAGGTCACAGCCTTGTGAATCGTATGTTACTCCTTATAGATCAATATTAACAGTCTATATAGTGTATTTGATTTATAATTACACAGAGAAGTGTGATGATATGTAAGAAGTGGCTAACTCAATTCATGTGTTACCATAATCATGCAAATATTTGTTTTGTAATGTAAAAGTATTGATGTTTGTTTTGTATGTGTTGATGAACATTACATGGGTCATTTTGACAGAGTTTAATGTAATATCCAATGATTTCCCTTTGGTAGCTCTTCAATACAAAATATCATACAGAAATAACTTGTGAAGTAAGTGGAATAATGTGTTAACTGTTGAAAGGCAAATGTTTGGTTAAAAAAAGTGTAAAGTCTTATTCTTCCTTGACACGAGTTTTAAGCCAAAATCATAAATATTTGTTTATTGTTTTATCTTTATGTCACGCCCACTGTATTTATCAGGTAAAAAGTTAACGTCAGGTTTAGATAACTTTAACTCACTGTACTTACCATGTAAACCAGGTTAAAAGTTCACATCAGTTTTAGATCACTTTAACTCACTGTATTTGACTAGAATTTTTCAAAAAAGACAGGTCCACAAACCTTTTAAATAAAACACAACTCAAAGTATTTAACCAGAATTTTTAAAAAAGGACAGGTCCACAAACCTTTTAAATAAAACACAAGACAAAGTTTTGACCAGAATCGTTTGATAGACAATAAGTCTAGGTCAGAGATCAGGTCAAACCCACAGTTTTAACCAGAATAACCTATGAATGACAAGTACACATCAGCTTTAGGTAACTGTTTCCAGTGTGATTCATGAGGGCCAAGTCGACAGGGATTCAGTAGAGATCACTCTGTATGAGATTTAGTAATTATCACATGTGTTTTGCTAAAAACCCCATTGAAATATTCAGAATATACTATTGTGTATCACATTGAAATATCCAATCTGCTTTCTGCAAAACCTGTAAATTCCTCTTTAACATGAATGACCTAGAATTATCCGTGTACTACTTTGTGTATTTGACAGTGACATCATGCGAGTGTCATCCTCCCAGCCAGATCCTCAGCAGCTCACAGACACTACAGGGGACAATGGCCAATCATCTGTGGATGCGGTCTTTAGTTTCTCTCAACCAGTTCACCCAGAGAACATGTTCCTTAGTAGCCAGTTCCAGGGCACGCCAGGATGTTCACAGGTAGGAAATGTAGGAACATGTTCCTTAGTAGCCAGTTCCAGGGCACGCCAGGATGTTCACAGGTAGGAAATGTAGGAACATGTTCCTTAGTAGCCAGTTCCAGGGTACGCCAGGATGTTCACAGGTAGGAAATGTAGGAACATGTTCCTTAGTGGCCAGTTCCAGGGCACGCCAGGATGTTCACAGGTAGGAAATGTAGGAACATGTTCCTTAGTGGCCAGTTCCAGGGCACGCCAGGATGTTCACAGGTAGGAAATGTAGGAACATGTTCCTTAGTAGCCAGTTCCAGGGCACGCCAGGATGTTCACAGGTAGGAAATGTAGGAACATGTTCCTTAGTAGCCAGTTCCAGGGCACGCCAGGATGTTCACAGGTAGGAAATGTAGGAACATGTTTCTTAGTAGCCAGTTCCAGGGTACGCCATTATGTTCACAGGTAGGAAATGTAGGAACATGTTCCTTAGTAGCCAGTTCCAGGGTACGCCAGTATGTTCACAGGTAGGAAATGTAGGAACATGTTCCTTAGTAGCCAGTTCCAGGGTACGCCAGGATGTTCACAGGTAGGAAATGTAGGAACATGTTCCTTAGTAGCCAGTTCCAGGGTACGCCAGGATGTTCACAGGTAGGAAATGTAGGAACATGTTCCTCAGTAGCCAGTTCCAGGGCATGCCTGGATGTTCACAGGTAGGAAATGTAGGAACATGTTGGGGGATATTTGTTTGAAATAACTCAGCTAATGTCATACTGTAAATGTACTTTCTGAATTTTAAAGAAACTTCAAAAGGAAATAGCCAACGTCATGTAGAAGTAAGCTGGTGTTAGGTTGGTACTTCGCTGTCAGTATGGATACCCTAAAGGTATGCTGGGCGATTAGACAAAGACTAAGAAGTATATACGAAGAGGCTATTAATCACAACATACTCACACGTTACCGATTAAGAGGGTGTTGACTTTATTGTCAACTAGTTTTGCCTCTGTCGCAGAGGCAGTGCCCTCCATATCTTTAGGGTATCCAAACTGACAGCTCTGCGACAGAGGTGAAACTAGTTGACAGTAAATTCAACACCCTCTTAATGGGTAGTGTGTTAGTATGTTGTGATTTATAGCCTCTTTGTATATACTGAATTTTAAATGACATTTTACAGTCGCTTTTTGGCAAGTTGATGTTATATTTACAACATAAAGAAATGCAATCACATTTTAGCACTTTTTCAGCAAGAAAACACTGAAATAAGAAAACTCCTTAAATTCATATTAAATGCTGCTTAATTTTCTGTTTCCTTAAACATCTTCCTTAATTGATAATTTAATCTTGGATCACGTGATATACATGCTCTTTGTTATTTGGTTTCTTCTCCTTCATTCCAATTTTACAGTGTGTCAAATCTGATTCTACATTTTGTGCCCACTCCTGTAGCTAATTGATTCAATTATATATTCTAGCTTGGATTTCAAGTTACTTGTAGCTAAACATGCAATATCATTTTGCTTGCTAATATATCAATTTTAAAAAATGTGTGACTGTATATCTTCATCCTGTAATATTTTTTTACTGAATGCTATAGGTGGGCTTATTAAAGGATATTAATATAGTACTGGTTTATAAAACTCCACTGAGTAACAGTGGTATCATTTCCAGCCATGGGTTTGTAAAGATGGTAACTTGATGTTTTTCTGTTGTTGCAGACACCGTTACAGAAGATGGTACGACGAATGACCAGGTTTTTTGTACGAGCAGATAAGGAAGGCAGTATGGCTGAACTGGAGCGGGTTCTCCAACATCTAGGGTATAACTACAAACGGAACTCACCAGGCATGGTAGGTAACACAGGGTAACTGAAATAAATCTGTTGACTTACTATTTGATTTTCAAATTTATATGACATTTGATTCACACAAATAAATTTAAACTATACTTGTCCTAAGGGACAAAGCAAATAATTTGGCCTTCACTTAATCTCTGCAGTTTATCAATAGTTTGGGTCAGAGGCACACTCTATAAAAACATTACACAGTTCTAATTTTATATACATGAAAAGGATATAGCAGAATCGATTCATGGAACACTAATTCTCATTTAAAACAGTGGACGTCTGAACAGTAAAAATTTCAGAGGATCTAAAAATGTTCTGTATGTGAGATTTGTTTAAAGACTCCACATTAAGTAAATCAAGCAACGAACAGCTTTATTCCTTTCGTATAATAGATATCATTGATTTCAACTAAAATGTCTGTTATGGTAACATGTCCTTGCATCAAGTGTTATAACTCTTGTATGGTTGGTGTGTGGTATGTATTTGTGCTGAAATATCTTGCAGTGACAGGACAGTTCACTAATCTGGTCGTCAAGTCAAAGTTGACAATGTAGAACTAAAACCTTGGTGTAGTGGGAAACATGTTTACCAGTTGGAAGGAAAAATTTTCTTTAAAACTCTCAATAGACTAATGCTTGTAAAGTCTTTAGCTCTTATTCTCAAAGTAACATCTTTGAAAGTCTTACCAAATATATGACAGCAGTTTAATTTTTCTTGGGGATAATAAGGAAAATTTTAGGAGATAAGTTTTCTCAGAAATACCTTAGCCGCAAAAAAGAAGACACTGAAATCAAAACAAAAAGAAAAATAAGTCTTAGTTATTCATTGAATAAGCATATCGTTTTCAGGCCACAGTGAGTGCCCATGACAGAAGGAAGATGTCCCTTGTGTTCAAGGCCTGTCTATTAGAGATGGGAGAAAATTTGCTGATGGACTTTCGTCTCTCTAAGGTAAGGTTTTATTCTGCTGTGAAAAAATTATTCACATTCATAATTCATATTTTCATACTGTTCCTCAAAAAATTTTCATGACATCACAAATTATGCTGTATGTGTGAAATAAGACAATGATGATGACTTTTCTGGTAAAACATCTTCTTGGCCTCACTACTCAGAAACAGGTCTCTTCTATCCAAGTTACAGTATCCCCTCAATTATGTCTAAGAAAATGATCGATGGTATAGATACTGGAATAATCCTAAACAAATCTGGAGTACTGGGTAGGGATAAATGATTTACAGGCATAACCCTAAACAAAACCTGGGGTACTAGGTTAGAAGAGATGTTTTACTGGAATAACCCTAACCAAAACCCGTACTAGTTTGGAATAGATGTTTTACTGGAATAACCCCAAACAAAACCTGGAGTACTAGGTTGGGATAAATGTTTTACAGGCATAACCCTAAACAAAACCTGGGGTACTAGGTTAGAAGAGATGTTTTACTGGAATAACCCTAAACAAAACCCGTACTAGTTTGGAATAGATGTTTTACTGGAATAACCCTCAACAAAACCTGGAGTACTAGGTTGGGATAAATGTTTTACAGGCATAACCCTAAACAAAACCTGGGGTACTAGGTTAGAAGAGATGTTTTACTGGAATAACCCTAAACAAAACCTGTACTAGTTTGGAATAGATGTTTTACTGGAATAACCCTCAACAAAACCTGGAGTACTAGGTTGGGAAAGATGTTGAACTGGAATAGCCCTAAACAAAATCTGAAGAACTGGGTTGGGATAGATGTTATACTAGATAAAATCACAACTTCTGTTGTTTAGTGTTCTTTGTAACATTACAGTTGAGTTTTTTGGAAAATTTAGATATTTGTGTTTCTTTTATAGGGAGATGGACTGGAGTTTAAACGGCATTTTATTAAGATAAAGGAGCAGATGAAATCAGTCATCAGTAAGATGCCTCCAGCGTATCCTCTGGTGCCCTCACAAGTTAACCCTCTGGACGTTCACTGATAACAGGCTACTTATTCTCACTAGGACGAGGAGGCACTGCATCTTTCCATGTGTTTGACTAGTTTTATCAACAGTGAAGGACATGTGTTTGACTGGTTTGACTTATGAATCAAATGCACTGATTGATATTGTGTTGAGGTTGTAAGTAAGATTTCTTTTGCATAAGCAGTTGAAACGGTTGGAGTGGTTGATCCTGTATGAGAACTGCCAGGTACAGATTGGAACTGAGGCTGGACTGCGGAATATTTGGCATGCTTGATGAAGAGGTCCAGCTGTACCGGTTCAAAACTAACTTGATGAATATCAGTAGTTTTCAGAATTTCAACATAAAGCAGGGTCTGTGCACTCAAATATATCAACAAGCATTGAGTGAAATAGATGAATTATTGTTCATTGTTTTATGCTTAACAGGAAATTCCAAAGCTGTGCATTTAACATATATCAGTTCCAACATACATCTGCGTACATGTATAGTGAAATAATTCCAGACTACCTGAGCCGTTTCAACTGGGTTACGCGAAAGCAGTCTAAAGCAGTGTATAGATCTGGTCTGTGTTAATTTTATGCCTGATTTAAACATAAAAGTTCCTTGACTTTTGACTATATTAGCAGCATGGTTTGAAATATTCAAACTGCACAAATATGTGCTGGAAACAAAAATGTGATTATTTGACGTTGTGAAATTTAAACTTACATGTTAGAACAAAAATGATTACCACATTTATTTATATATACAAATATAAACTTGTTTGGCGATACAGGAATGTAATATTCAGGTAAAAATCAGCATTAATGAATGATTCTTGGATCGTCAAATACAAGTTTCATGATAAGAGAAACAGATATTCTGCTAAAGCAGATACCCTTTGCTTGACATTGTTTTCTGGAGAATTAAAAATTTGTTTAAAACTGATATTTTTGATATGCTCAAATTTTGTGTTTACAAATTATTCATTTTCGCTGGCACTTGATTTCGGGGAGAAATCATGCTTACGGAATCCCAAAAGTTCACAGTGTTCTATAATCCATAAAAATTTCTTCTGTTTATCATTTAGATGACATATCGATTGATGAAATAACAGTTATCACAAATTTAATGAAAAATAAAAAACACCTACAAAAATTAACAATTTTATAATATTGTTTTGCCCACCACAAGTTGGTGTACCCTTTGTTAGGTGAAATTTTCTTGTCTTCCATACATACACAGAGCAAGACTTGGTGTCAAATTCTAGTTAAGATTTTCTCATCCACTACATACATACTGTAACTGTCAAGCTTCAAAATTGCATACCCTCTGTTAGGTAAAACTTTGATTTCTATCCTACATACGAAGGATAACCCTTTCCTTTAAAATCTTTACTATTTGATAAATAGAATTTCCACACCTACACTGGAAAAGCCACAATTCCAAATTCTTCCGTCAGAGATTTTCCTCTACTAACATACCTGTACAGAGCAAGCCTTGGTTCCCTATATCTTACTTTGTGAAAGCAATATGCAAACTCCAATATTTGCTCAAGAAAGAAGAGGACTTTTGTCTATGATATGATGTATTTTGTGCTTATTTTACAGAAATCATTTAAATTCCAGAAATTACCTTCTTTTTTCAACTTTTTATACTCATTTTTGTATCTACATTTTGTTAACTTGGTGAAGTTCGACAAGTTGGTCTTGAGAAAAATTTAATGAATTGTAAAGCTGTTAATGTAAAACTAGTGTCAGGAAAACTGTATTTTGATTAAAGAAGCTCAACACCAAGTTACATATCCTACAAATTCCCAAACAATATTATTTGAAGAATCTTTAAAACTGTATCACTTCAGTAAGCATTCTCGTCAGTAACAACTGATTCATCAGTTCTCAAACATGAAATTGTTAATGTTAATTTCTTTTGCATGTTTTCCAGTTTTTGGATTGATATATACAGGTGTTTAAGAGTTTGTATACATGTACATGATGGCGAGACGAGTAAATGAAGGATGTCATCATTACCTCTGTGTGTCATGCTGGAAAAGTTATTGGCTTAAAACTATATGAATGCAAATAGGGATCATGTTTAAATGTTGTATCACAGATTTTTGTATGTTTAAGTGTGAAAGTTTTTTATAATCTAGGTACATATATGTATAATATTGGTGCTATTCAATTGAATAAACTACACATGTAAAATGCTACTTGGTTTCCTGTTTTGTCTGAGGGCTTTTCCAGGAAAACATCAATTTTACTGAAAGACTCTTGAAATGAATCCCTTCAATCCACGACTCAACTTCCTGTTTATAAATACTAATCACGTCATCAATTAAATACTAAATGAAACCTGGAAGGGGGCTAGATGTTTTACCGGAATGGCCCTGAGGAGCTCTTTATAGCTCAGCTGATGGAACATCATATTTTACACATCATGGAAAGAATCTACACTGGGCGGTCCGAGTGTCTTTGGAAACCCAAGATCACCGACTGTCCCAATACTATTATTGCTGTGTTTCTATGGGCAGTAATGTTGCTAATTGTAATCCTTGCAAAGATCATTTGAAATTATGGACATCTGAGATATCATAACCATCTCTTATCTCAGTGACTTTAGAATTCTTGGTGAATATGTTTAACAGGTAACTCCATATCTGGGAGGGTTACATTTCATAAAAATTCTATAATGTACTGAATGTTAACCTCCTAGAACATGGAACCAATATCAATACATGTTTATCTAGATTAATGCTCAGGTTCCTGTGGTCTAGGTATAATCTGAAATCTGTGAAAGAACTGAAAGTACACATTCCTGTTAAGTGGTCCAACCAGGAAACAAAGGTCTCTGATGTGATAATCCACAGCTATAACTGAGCCAATGAAGCATGCTCTGTCAGACAAAACCATATATAACACTATGTACAAGCCACACAGTCTCAATCGTTTTACACTACTTTCATTGCCTTTTCTCTGGAAATTTCTAAATCTGGACCGAGACTCTTGTAAGGTTATATCACTTTAGAGAGAAAATGCACATTCCCTCAGAATGCCACTTAAGGCCTGGGTCTCTGGTGTGATAATCCCATTTCTTTACCCACCAAGCCAATGAAGTTCGTTACTTCAGACGATTGAGAGACTGTATTATACAATATGTACAATTCATACTGACACACATTTTTTTACAAATGTGAAACAGGACCCTGAAATCACAGGGATTAACCTGCAATGTTTATAAGTGATGTTCAGGACTCGGATTTATCAAAGTCCTGGACTCTTGCTTTTCTTTACCATGTTCTGAACTTGCCTTAAAAAATCCTACAAAATTACTTTGTATTATTACAAAATACTTTTTTAACTTCAAAGTACGAGTGCAACTATTACGACAAAAACCAGTTTTGAGGACTGTTTGCTTTTTCTATTGTTTAATTACAAGTATATTTCAATGAGCAATATTGCATAATATGACAGCACACAACATAACCTAAGGGGGGAGGGGGTTAAAATTTGAGATAATATATACTGATCTTTGTGTCGGTACTTCCGGTGCTCCAAGTATCATAACAGGTTTGCCTCCAACTTTTGACACACGAGATTAATGGGTTTTTTTTTAAATGTCAACACCATATCTTGTCCTCGAGGCAATCTAGCAAAAAGGGTTGTTCTTAGTGTTTATGGAAAGGATAGATATGTTCTAAATTGTGTTGAAAAGGTCCATTTTCCTGTATCCTTGTACTAATTAGTGGCCATGAAATTGGTTGAAACAGACTTTATAAATTGGTTATATTAAGCAATATAGGGGTTAAAATCACATCTTTTCACACACCTTTGGTTTGTGAAACCAGTATGAATATAAAATGTATAAAGATTATAAGTGATATTAGAGACTCTATATCCAGTTCTGAACTCCTCAATTTTCTAGGGGCAGTCACTGAAATTTTAAGGACATGCTATGCCTCCCAAGTAACTGGACTTGTCAAAATTGTGGTATGCGTAACTGCAATATAATCAATATTTGGCCAAAATAGATAAATGACAAGTGGATTGGCTATGTATTAACAATACTATTACAGTGAATTCCGACATTGCATATGATCTAAAGAACCTTACATAAGATGGGATCAATTGTCTTCCAACAAGCTGGACAATGATTTTACCAGATTTTGTGCATCAATGTTGGGCATGTATATTAAATGGTCAACCTATTTTCAAGAAAATTAACTTTCACAGCAAGCCAGGTCATAAATGCATATATCCCTGTATTAGCAATCTATATATAGCTAGGATTCCTTGTCCATATTACAATGAACCCAACCCTGCTAGGATATACATCATAACAGTATATGGGTGAAAAATCATGGTAAGAGCCCTGTGCATTCAATGTATAAACAAGGTATCAGTCTCTTTAAAGATGTGTGCAATAAATTTATTGTTGGATAAAAATTGCACATAATTTGGCATCATAGTAATGTCAGACGGGCCCATTTTGCAGTGTTCTCTAGTTTCAAATTAGCAGGTCATTATTTAGGACGTTTACCCTCTTTCACAACGCGACACAGAATCGTTTTGCAAAAAAAAAGTATTGGATAATACACAATTACATCGTTCAAAACGTCTGTAAAAACACATTTGATGTCAATCAAAGTTAGTCAGCTACTAAATGTTTAAATGCGTATCTCGAGGCTTCTCGAAAGCTTTTCGAGCGAGATGGTTGGCCCTGAAAAGGGCCGTTGAAGGTATTAGGAAGTTCTCCGATATTTAGAACTCCTGGGATTGTGATGACTTTCCTTTAGCAGCTCCGGTCTTCTTGGGCAGAAGGACAGCCTGGATGTTGGGTAGAACTCCACCCTGGGCGATCGTTACTCCCGACAGCAATTTGTTCAACTCCTCATCATTCCTGATGGCTAATTGCAAATGACGGGGAATGATTCTCGTCTTCTTGTTGTCTCTAGCTGCATTTCCAGCCAACTCCAGAACTTCGGCCGCCAGATATTCCAGAACAGCAGCGAGATACACGGGAGCTCCAGCTCCAACTCGCTCGGCGTAATTTCCTTTTCTGAGAAGTCTGTGGATTCTGCCTACTGGGAATTGAAGTCCTGCTCTGTTAGATCGGCTCTTGGCCTTAGCCTTAGTCTTTCCGCCTTTTCCTCGTCCAGACATCGTTGTAGTTATGCGTTTAGGTTAGATACGTCCTTATGCTTCAACTGTAAATCCTTAGAATGAATTTCGCGCGAAATCGGCTGTTTTTATACCGACAAGTGGGATTGAAACGGTAGCCAATGAAACACAAGCACCCAAAGAATTTATCCAATGGATAACGGCCTCTTTTATCTATCGTCACTACCGGAAGTATGTGAACCAGATATCGTTTTGTCACGTCGAAATCCCACGAGAACTGACATGGCGGATAAAGTAGCGGTTTTACCGGTGTAAAAGATTAGATTTTAAAGTATAGTAAAAATGGAGATAAGTAGTACACAGACACACCTTTTAATAAACACAGGAATGTCGTTCATAGGGTTCCTGTGTTTGTTAAACATAATTCCGAAGTTGAAAGACATGTTTGTGGCTGCTAACCTCTCTGGAATCGACATGAGCAAACCAGGGCGTGCGAAAATGTCAGTATGACCAGCTGTGTGACCTCTTAAGTTGTTTCATCAGCTTCTTTATCTAGTTTAATCTTAATCAAACAAATAGCGTAAAACCTTCCACTTACTAGGTCTATTGTTACCAACAATCCAACACTCAATACAGCAGTTTTTAGTGATTTTTTAGTGATAAGCGTAAATGTGACTTGCATCAGTCTTTCTGAGATTTTTAACAAAAGAGAATTTCATTATGCCACCATCAATTAGGATACCCTTGTGTACACAAAGTTAAAATAACGGCAGTTGTCAGACATACTCTTAATATCGTGTGTGCCCTCCCCAAACACCTGTAACGTCTCTAATTCTGTATGAAGTTCATAAGGACATTGACTGTACATAGAGGAATGTTATTCCATTCTTCTGTAAGTGCATTGGCCAATTGGCGGAGGTTATTTGGGATGTTTGCTCTATTCCAAACTCTTCTGTCTCACACGTCCCACAATTGTTCAATTAGGAACAAATCGGGACAGTACAGAGGCCAATCAATGGGGATGGTGTTCTGGGTTGCTTATTTATTCATTCATTTATTTTAATAGGTTTTACATCCACTATTACGACCTTTCGGTCTTTCAGCAGACAAGAAGAGATAGGAAAAAGAGTAGGAGGGGAAAAGTAGGATTGTTGGGAGAGATGAGGTAGAGAGGGGCTATCTATGCTACTTGACCTGATCTAAAAGCTATAATTTAGAAGGCGACCCCAGTTTCTGTTAGTATACCTAACCTAACATTCAGCATGACACAGCAAGAAGACCAGTGTCTGGGTTGCAAGAAAGTCCCTATAAACTATTGCATCGCGTGGTCTGGCATTGTCATGCTGAAAGGTCAAATGTTACCTTATAATGAAAGGCACAACATGAGGCCTCAGGACCTATCTCAATAGCATACAGCTGTGAAATTTCCATTAATGATCACAAAAGATGTCTTTAAATTCCTCCCCAAACCATAACCTATCCACTCCCTTTGTATGTGTTTCTCTTTTAAAGGATCCTGCATTTGAGTAACTAATTGATTGCTGTAAGCAGGAACTATCCTTCAAAAGCAGATCAATGTATTAATATGTTAATCTGCAAAAGTTAATAATCTGTTGTGTAAGACATATGTGTGGAACAAACAATTGTAGTGCTATTTATAAAGGAATATTATAGCATTCAGCAAAACATTAAAGGTCAGGAATTTTTATATTTTCAGGATGGATTTATCACAAAAATAGTTAACCATAGATATGTAGAGTAATTATAACTAGGCCCTATATGCTGTGTAATTGATTAGTGACTGTCACATATTTTTATGTCCTAGAAAAATATCGTTCTATCTGAGCCTAATACATTTCTGTCACTTGTGATTGAAAGTAGTAAATTTTTGTGCAAGGAGATTTTTAATTCACCTGGCCAAAAGGACTAAGTGACCTGTTGGCATACTGCAATGTCTGTCATCCGTCAGTCTGTCAATAGTAGAAATAGAGCAAATTCTTTAAAATAATTGGGTTTCTGCCAAATTTTGTCTGAAGCATTCTTGGGGAAATGGGAATCAATTTTTTATAAACTGTAGGTCTCAGCCCCCTGCTAGAGGAGGGGTGTGGCCCAATAGGGAAAATAAGGCAAATTCTTTAAAATCCTACTTCTCCCGTATGAATGGTTTGGCTGGTCCCCTAAGGACAAAGTGTTTAGATCCAATATGAAAATATATATATTGTGCTGTGTTCTTTTTCCTTCAGTTTTATTGATGTAATTTCAGTCAAGTAAAGCCAGGTGAGCGATACAGACCATGTGAACCTCTAGTTTTATATCATCTACCGACTTCTTTTAAAACTTCTTGTTTTAAGTCTGTACACAAGTTGAGACAACAGGGAAGGCATGCATGTTAAGCAAGACTAAAATTTCTGCCTCTAAAATGATGATATAATGTCAATATTCTCATATACAAGTATTGTGTTGTGATTGGTATTAAGAGTTTTACTGATTATGCTCATTTCAATATGAGCAGAATTAGTAAAAATAAATTCTAATTATTAATAAAAGCATAATGAATATCAAGGTAGACATTGAGACATTAAGAGTCAGAAGTTGGGGGCCCAATTTTTGATGTCGGTAAACCAACAAAATATACATACAACACAATTCATGAACATGCATTACTGCTGTGGTCACATGATATTGAGCCCAGAAATAATGAGCATTATGAGTAATATTTTTTAAAATTTCTTATTTTGACAAGGAGCTAGCCTGATTGTTATGTATTTGCTTACAGAGAAAAATATTTGATGAGGCTTTGTTAAAAAAATCCAGATATTAAATCTAATACTCACCTCTGTTTACTGAAATTCAATGAAATACTTAAAAATTTCTGTGTCATTGTTGTTTTCAGCCCAGAGGCTCAAGGTGTGGTATGTGGAGCTGTGTTTCTGATCATCATGTTTCTTTTCATTCCATTCCCATTCTACAAACATCTTGCTGTCAACCATTCAACTAAATTCCCACATAATGAGGTAATATTGTAGACCTTGTTCTCAAATCTCAGCCTATTTGGCTCCATCTTATAGTTCAAGCTTGCATTCCAGTGTTTTTCCTTGGAATCCAGGGAAAATTCAATGTAGGAAATTGGGAAATTTTACATGTAAACTATATAAAAAAGTACATATCAGTAATTGTTTTCTTATTGTCCTGTTTTCTTATCTATTTTGTGTAAAGTTTGACATCAGATTTTTCTGCTGTTTCAGGAGTTTTAAACATCTATCACAGTAGAGAATTTTCTGATTGTAAAATTTGTCTGAATTGTTCAATCTGTTTACAGTATAAAATGTGATAAACATGTTCATTTCAGTACATAGAATACATTGCAGCCCTACTCTCCATATGTTGCATGATATTTCTGGGGTTTGCTGATGATGTCTTAAACCTGAAATGGCGCCACAAAATCTGGTTACCGACTATGGCGTCTCTCCCTCTACTCATGGTTTACTTTGTAAACTTTGACTCAACAATCATCATTGTTCCACTTCCTCTGCGGCAATTTCTTGGTCATGACATTGACCTAGGTAAGAAGTCAAACCTCAGATGCTTATGTTGTGCTGCTGCATCTGCCTGTCGTCCAGCGTAGTTAAAAATGACGTTAACCCATATTCAAGGTTGTAGTGATCAAACCTTTTTAACAACTTCTTCTGACTAACCAAAATGACCAGTGGTTTGATATTTGGCTGATTGATTTATTGTATGAATCCAAAAAAGGTTTATGAAAAGAAATGACTTTGACCCATATTTAAGGTCACACAGACCAAATATGTTAAAAACTTGAAATGACTTTCTGAATAACAAAAAGTTCTAGAAGCATTTGGCTGGTAGGTTCCTAGGATGAAGTATGGCTTAATTATGTATTTGGGCATTATCTGTTATATTTTTAGCTCACCATCTAATAGATGGTGGGTTATTCAAATCGCCTTGCGTCCGTGGTCCGTCCGTAAACAATTCTTGTTACCGCTATTTCTGGAAAAGTACTGGATGGATCTTTTTCAAATTTCATATGCAGGTTACCCTTGGTCCCTAGTTGTGCATTGTACCTTTTTTGAACTGGTTCGCATTCAAGATGGCCGACAGGTTTGTTACCGCTATTTCTGGAAAAGTACTGGATGGATCTTTCTCAAATTCCATATGCAGTTTTCCCTTGGTCCCTAGTTGTGCATTGTACCTTTTTTGGACTGATTCGAATTCAAGATGGCCGACAGGTGGCCATCTTGGATTTTGGAAGTAAAAGTTTGTTACCGCTATTTCTGAGAAAGTACTAGATGGATCTTCCTCAAATTCCTTATGCAGTTTCCCCTTGGTCCCTAGTTGTGCATTGTACCTTTTTTGGACTGATTCAAATTCAAGATAGCCGACAGGCAGCCATCTTGGATTTTGGAAGTAAAAGTTTGTTAATGCTGTTTCTTGGAAAGTACTGGATGGATCTTTCTCAAATTTCATATGCAGGTCTCTGGTTCCAAGTTGTGCATTATACCTTTTTGGACTGATTCGAATTCAAGATAGCCGACAGGCAGCCATCTTGGATTTTGGAAGTAAAAGTTTGTTACTGCTATTTCTTGGAAAGTACTGGATGGATCTTTCTCAAATTTCATATGCAGTTTCCCCTTGGTCCCTAGTTGTGCATTGTACCTTTTTTAGACTGATTCGAATTCAAGATGGCAGACAGGTGGCCATCTTGAATTTTGAATGTAAAAGTTTGTTAATGCTGTTTCTTGGAAAGTACTGGATGGATCTTTCTCAAATTTCATATGCAGGTCTCTGGTTCCAAGTTGTGCATTATACCTTTTTGGACTGATCCGAAATCAAGATGGCTGACAGGCAGCCATCTTGGATTTTGAGAGTAAAATCTTATTACTGCTATATCTGAGGAAGTCCTGGATGGATCCTTCTGATATTTCACAGATATTGGTTTCCCTTGGTCCCTAGTTGTGCATTGTACCTTTTTTGGACTGATTTGAAATCAAGGTGGCCCACAGGCAGCCATCTTGGATGTCGACAGTAATACAGCACAAACATATTGTCCATTATCCACCTGTAACTGACTGCTATCTAATAATACTTTGGAATCTTTTTCAAATGATATTTGCTAATAGGTGCTTAATAAAATATCTTGTGCCATCATTGAGTACATTCAATGAAGACCAGTTCATGAACATTTACAACACCTGTAACAAACAAACAAAAAAAAAAATAAACAAATCTTCAAGAACTGAAAACAGATCCTCAAATGGTGGGCGCCAAGATCCCTCTGGGATCTCTTGTTATGGTATGGGTTACAAAGAATGGGGACTGGATAGGTGGCATATAAATATATCTGTCTGTCTTCTCACTTCATGTTCTGTTCTTATTAATCTCTAGATTTTTATTATAAGAACATCTCAAGAGATTTATATTTACCTATAATATCCAAACATCAAGTAATTCTGTATACATCTGATCAGAGTTTGGTTTGCATGGCAGCAAGCACATCTTCTATTTTATTGTTCAACTATTTATTGTATAGAACTGTGATTCAATATCTACAAAGGTATTTTAAAGTTGGTTTTATCAATACTCATACGTTTTTTGTTTACAGCTGCAAGATATGTTTTAAACAAAAAGAAATAAGAGATTATGATAAAAAGAATGTTCACATCAATCTATTTGGGACATAGATATTTGAGTTTTGGTCTCATGCTTTTCCTGTGAGACTCACTCAAATTTTGAGAACCCACTGTATCTTTCAGTATTAGGACTCCTCAAAATTTTGGAAATGGTGTTCAGGACTCGCCTAAAAAATACTACAAAAGTTTTTCCAGATTTCTTCATAATGTTATGAGATTGGTGGTAGTATAATGTTTAATTGTTAAGTATTAACTTTATACTTTATACATATATATATATATATCACTGTTTCAGGGGTATTATACTACGTGTATATGGGTATGCTGGCTGTGTTCTGTACCAATGCCATCAATATTCTTGCTGGAATTAATGGCCTGGAATGTGGACAGGCTGTGATCATAGCCCTCTCTGTCCTTCTCTACAATTTCATTGAAATGTCAGGTGGGTAAACATGTGTACATAAAGAAATAAATTGTCAGTTTAAAGGATTACTTTTAGAAATATTCCTTATTTTTTCTAAAAGGAGAATATTGTTGATTGTTTAAGTAATAAAGAGTGACCTCCCTTTTAATTGACATTTCCTGTAAAGAGACACAGGAGACCTTGTTCTTAAAAATTGTCAATGTAACATTAATACAAAGGGGCAATAATCCTGTTATACCTACATTTTTAAATATGGGTCAGGTAGTGATTTTTGTCAAAACTTGTCAGTAAAATCAGTAGGGTTTGCTCTTTATTTTCATTATTAAACAAACAACCTTGGTTGAAATGGTCAAAATGTTTATGCTAAAAAAAACAAAAAAAAACCCACCTTTTTTATTTGTGGATTGAGAGATCAGAGGTTATCAAATTTTTGGCCCAAATGAGGCTATGCTGTGGTGTGGCATCAGTGGTCCGTCTGTTGTCTGTCCATCCAAAATCAGCTTTTCTCTCTGAACGACTTCATCTTAATAATAAAAGGCCTAGAATCATGGCTGGAAGGTCACCGGTATAAAGCCCATCAAAGTTTGCTAAGTAAAATGACCTTTGGTAATAGTCAAGGTCACAGGGGTTAAATTAAAAGCTATATGACTTATTCTAGATAACCAAAAGGCTTGGAATCATGATTCATCGTTGAAATATTCTTGGGATGAAGCCTGAAAAGGATTTAAGCAAAATTACCTTTGACCCCATTTTTCAAGGTCACAGGGGTCAAATTAGGTTATTGATCATTAGGTTTTATTTTTAGGACATATGTGTAACATTTTTCTGGCTTGAAGCTTGTTATATTTGGAAGATAAATAGATAACTCATCATGTGGAATTTTGGAATGAAATCAGATTCAGAAAGTTCAGATTTAGTTGATACAGGAAGGGGGAGGGCAAGTGTGCTCTAACTTACATCTTACTGTAGCTAGATATGTTCTCATGTGAAATTTTAACGACCTTTATAACACTTTCAGTGAAGTGTTAATCTTCACAGTTCTATCCCTCCCTGCTTGTAACAGTCTGTGTTTCTTAGGTGAAGATCTGAGGTGTGGTTCTGTCCCTGTTCGCACGGTTAGTGTTTCTAAGATAAAAGTCCAAGGTGTGGTTCTGTCCCTGTTCGGAACAATTTGTGATTCTCTGGTGAAGATCCATGGTATGGTTCTGTCCCTGTTCAGAACAATTTGTGATTCTCTGGTAAAGATCCATGGTTCTATCACTGAACAGAAAGCTGAGTTTACGAACAATTCAGATTGTGAAATCCCTGTGGGACTAAGTTTTAATGTAACTTGTTTGATTTGTTACAGGTATCTACCACCAGGCTCACGTCTTCAGTGCTTACTTCATCATTCCATTTTTAGCTGTTAGTCTGGCCCTTCTCTATTACAACTGGTAAGCCATACTATCTTTTGTACTGTTTTAACCGTGTTCAACAGAGATAACCCTGGTAACAGTTTATCAATTAATAACCTTGTTGACAGTTTAACAATGATAACCTGTCATCTGTAGTTTGATAACAGATCCTGTTGTCTAGCTGTTTCACAAATGTATCTTGAAGTTCTTACAGATTCATATTTTTATGGGAAATCTATAGAATCTAAGGATGAGAAAAGAAAATTATTTATTCTAAACATACAGTAAAATAAAACACATGACCATCAGGAAACATTGGAAAGTATATTACACCTGTATAGTGTTATTGATGATAACTTGTTTTACATGTTGTAGGTACCCGTCCCAGGTCTTCGTTGGAGACACCTTCTGTTATTTCTCTGGAATGACGTTTGCTGTTGTCGCTATTCTAGGACATTTTAGTAAAACCATGCTTCTTTTCTTCATACCACAAGTCATCAACTTTTTGTACTCTGCGCCACAGATCTTCAAACTAGTACCATGTCCTCGCCACCGACTTCCCAGGTAGGTGAAACAATGTTTCAATGGTCTATTTGGTCATACACTTACCATGTAGGTAAGCTTTAGGTTTTTTTTTGGTTCATAGCATCAAACGATCAAGCGATCGTTTTAAATGTCGGTACATAAAGTAATTGACTTTTTCAGGCTTGTGAAATGACAATGTTTTCAGTTTTGGAACATTATAAAATCATCGAAAAGGAAAAAGTTTCAAAATTTGCTTTATGGTTGTCATATGATCCATATTACTGCATTGGTTTAAAAAACAAAGAACATCAGGGCTCTCGATCTGCCAGATTTGGGGCCGATATTTGGACCCATTCCCAATGCAAAATAGTATCTTTTTTTCCAAATTTAGACCCCAAGTTTTCCCAAATTTAAGGAAAACACCATTATTTTTCCCAATTCTAAGGGCACCGGGCCCCGTCCCAAAATGGGGTGTGAGAGCCCTGAACATATACAATATGTAGTACCAAATACTGAGATCCATTTGTACAGATGGGAAAATTAGAAATTCTTTTACAGTAATTTTGTTGTTTACAGAGAAAAGTAGAAGTGTCTAATGATGTCATCAGTTTACGTGATACTCTCGATTTTACTATTTTTCTATAGTTATGACCCTAAGACTGATAAGTTGAAGATGAGTATGACCGTATTTAAGACATCAAGTTTGAATCCTATTGGACGAATCATCGTAAAATTGATGAGAAGCCTGGGGATACTGTACGTGGAGGAAACAGACGAGACGTTTTCCTGCAATAATATGACACTCATCAACTTCATCCTCAAGTTCATGGGTCCACTACACGAACGGTCGCTTTGTGTAATACTCTTGTTTATTCAGGTAATTAATTTGTGTTAATTGAACAAGGAATCCTCACTGATGTCTCTGTAATTTTTATTCAGATTTATTCTGTGTTAAACAATTAAAGTATATTTGATTCAATATTGAACAACATAACACATATATATGATAGGAATTGGATCGAAAAAACAAGCTTAAAACATTTATATAGAACTAGAATTGTGCTATTTTACACAGGAGTTGTACAATACCTTGTTGTTGCAGTTATCAATTTTTGATCTGAGACAATGCTTTCTATTAATATTTTAGGTGCTGTGTAGCTGTGTAGCATTTTTTATACGATATCAACTGGCCAAAGTGTTTTACGGAGACTGAGAATGTGATAAACACTGTATTGTAAATTTGCAAATTTGTCTACAAATTAGATTGATTGAGTAGAACTTTACTGATGACTAATCTGGAACTGACGGGCCGACACAAGGAAAGGACGGGATGAATTCACTTACATAATTATTATAAAAACAAATTCATACAATTTGGTGCAAATTGTTTTAAAGCTCTCCTTCAGTTAACTTTACAATTGTAAATGGTCTGTAACTACAATCACAGGCTGATAATGCATTTAGTGGAGGAATTCTGTGACTCAGTGTAAATAGTTCCTTTAATACCAAATATATAATATAAATTCTGTATTGGTTTTAGAGACACTAATACTTGTTTCCTCTATCTAGCAATACCAAATCAGAAAATTGAAACATGTATTTCTATTAAGGCTATACTGTTATATTTCAATTCAAATTTGCAATATAATTTGGGGATGTATTTTGTTGAGAGGATAAACATGAACATTCTTGTTAAGAGTTATGAAAGAAGTATGTTCAAGGTCAGGGATATTGAATTTGGTTTCAATCTGGATTCTTTACCGATTTTTTTGAAATGTCGTCAACTTGATACACAGAACATGAACATCTAAGTACAGATGTGATAACTATGTAAGCGAATTAAGGTTTCTTGTTTTGAATGCCCTTAAGTGCACCCCTTCAGTTTACCCTTTATTTTAAATGGTTAATAATCAAGTATTATTATGTTTAGAGGTTGGTGACACAGTGTAGCGATTTCAAGACGTGGCGTAAGTGCCATGTGGTTCTTCTTCAGAAACTCTGGCTGTCCTCTATCTGGCACGTCCTTAAATGACCTTAGCTGTTAATAGGAAAACAACAATTAACATTGGTTTCAGAAGTGTGTATGTGATATCTATAGATATGTCTGTCAACAGGTGATAGTGTGTGAAGATAAAAGTGTACTTATTTGTCAAGAAGCAAATGTCCGGTAATAAGCCCATTCATGTCTTCAACTGTCCAGTAAAATTATATATAAATGCTACTACATGTACAGTGCTATCAGTCAGTCCTCTGACCCTGGGATTATGAGTTAGATCCTGGAGTTCAAAACAGAATAAAGTAATTAATTTGTATATTTTCTGTGAAAACCCTCAGAATTATTGCAGTATATCTGTTGATTTGAATGTGTCCGATGAGAAGAATTTATAAAAACAAATGTTTTTTTTAATTGCAAAGAGATGTAAATGTATGATAATTTCATCAATTCTGCTCACTAACTTGAGGAAAATAATGCAGAAAATTAGACAGCATTACAATATCTTTTATCCATGATGTGTGGATGCTTACCAATATCCTAATCATTATCCAGATAGCATGTTGAATGGACACAAAATGGCAACGAGTAAAAAAAACCTATCAGTATCAGTGGTCAATCTACAGGGGTCCTGTATTCATAGAATTTTGATTGGACTCGTAGAATTTCTGGAAATACCTAAATTTTACATTGCGGCCTCCCATATGTTGTTCAATGAGGAAGTGACCAACAAATAGATGGGGCGATCAACCCAACAGACAAAACGAATCAGCCATGGAGAGTTTAAGGGCTGTAGTAGATGTCTGATTTATGTACACGAGTCACAATAGCTTATGAATTACCAGACTGATGTAATTTTTTTTTCTATTTTCATCAAATCCACTATATTGTGCAATGACTATCTCAGACTTATTTATAATCTAGATCATGTATGTTTGAAGCAGATCTTAAACGGTAGAGTTTTACTGTTAAATCATATATATATAGTGATCATTGGAACATGATTTCCGTGATAAATCTTGGCTATGAAATCAATTATTACTATAATCTATGTAAATATGTATCTGTTTATTAGAGGTTAATTTACGGATTCCTGTACCCACAAATTCAATGAGAATAAATCCCTGACAAAATGATTTAATTTTACAATACATCAATTACCGAGTCAGTCTTATTTAGGAAGTGTATGACCTTTGTAGGTATTTTCGACACTGATCATGATTTATGTTTGTGACTGAGAGTAAAGCTGGGCTTTGGTATGTAAAGCAGGTCGAAATAATATTTGGCAAGTTTTCCTTCTTAAAAAACTTTTCATCATTTTATTGTGCAAGTGCATATTGATCTGTTAATCGTTTTCCTCATCATAATGTTTGCTCGAGGTAGACGAAATCTAGTTGAAACGGGTGTATTAAACTTTCGAAGAATTTTTTAACGGCTAAACATCTTTCGTATTATTTATATTTGTAGTTATTACTAATATGGAACCTTAGTATAAATCGGGCCTAAGTATTTGCAATAACAAATTTTTATATAACTTTAAAATTGGAAGTATGTGTAAGCATGTTATTTTACCCTGTGTAAACTTTATGTATATTTGAGTTGATATGATGTCGTGTTCATGAATTGGAATGAAATCATGGCCGTGTGTGAGTATGATCATAATTTATTTATCATGGTATCTGTTAACCTGGGACTTTTTCTTTTATTACAGAGAAGTATAATACCAAAACTATTGTTATTTGTTTGATTGACTTTATAGTAAATATCAGTTTTCTTGATGTTTTCTTTCTTTTTTTTCAATTATATGATATGAGTTACAATAAACATTTGTTAATCTCTGATGTGTTCATAATTTTTTGTTCTGATAACACATACTGTGACATATCTTGTTTTGTGAAAACAATACAAACAGCAAGATGATATTGACAATAAACACAATGAATACAAACAGAAAACTTTAATATACTTTCATTTTAAAACATAAATTTTCTGATCAGGTAATAAAAAAGTTATATGTAATGATTTGATTAATATTAACTTCACTGTCACCAGAAATACACTGGTTCGTTTCTGTTCAGATGGGATGGCTTACAAACAGGTTCAATGGTAAAGAGATCACACTATATTATTCCATTAGACTATTTGATTGAATAAAAATGTATCTAATTAAGATTTTTTTTTATTTTTAAGAGTTGATCATTTTCTTTATACTATTGAGTACACTTAAATTTCCTCCGATAGGGAAAAGATGAAGGGATCAGATTTTTATTGAGAATTTTTGCATGACTTCCATTGTTTTTGTACTTATCATGAGTTCCCTTTCTCTATTCCAGTGCTAAATGTGAGTTATCTACCCCTGTTATGATTTAGATATCCCTGTTTTTCGTGTTGGTTCTGACAATCGGTTATACCCCATTTTAGTACAGACAATGAGTTATCTCCCCTGTTTTAGAGCTGACAATGAGTTTACTTCCCTTTTTCAGTACTGAGGAAGCAAGAAACAGTCAAGTTGCCTTTTTATTGAAATTATAGGACATGTCTTTGAAATATAGGTAACCTTACATGTAAATATGGGAGCAAATTCAATTTCTTGTAAAGCTAGTTTTTGGTGTTTAGACACAAATTCAGTACAATCAAAATAGTAATTTTGTATTCAGTACAAAAATATTATTCTGAAAAATAGGAAGCCACACAATGTCCACTTCAACATGGCTATACAAACTTCAGCGTGGACTTACTCGTATAATTTCAGAAACTGTGTACTTCTACCTGAGCATGAGTTAGCTTCCCCTGTTAATGTTCTAATCATGAGTTATCTATCCGTTTTTTAGTACTGAGTATGAGTTATCTACCCCTGTTTTTTAGTTCTGAACACGAGTTTTCTACCCCTGTTTTTTAGTACTGAGCATGAGTTATCTATCCCTGTTTTTTAGTTCTGAACATGAGTTAGCTACCTCTGTTTTTTAGTACTGAGCACGAGTTATCTACCCCTGTTTCAGTACTGAACATGAGTTATCTACCCCTGTTTTTTAGTACTGAGCATTTCCTAGCTACCCCTGTTTTTTAGTACTGAGCATGAGTTATCTACCCCTGTTTCAGTACTGAACATCAGTTATATACCCACGTTGTTTAGTACTGAGCATGAGTTTTCTGCCCTATTTTAGTACTGGACATGAGTAATCTACCATATATCATATTTTACTATGATTTCATCATAAATCAAAAGTTCAAAAAGAAACAACAAAGCGGTAAAATAAATTAAAATAATCTAAATAATTAAAATAACTTTAAAGATAAATTTTTAATAAAACTACAAATTGGTTCTTCTTAATACTTCTACACAATTATTTTGTTATGGGGATAGGAAGACTAAAGGCATAATCAGAAAAAAAATAAAAACACTCACAAACAAATATATCTTTGAAAAAATATGTTTGACCTTGATCTATATACAAAAGGTCATGATATAAAAACTAATATAATAAAACAAACAATCCAATAAGTTACCAAATACTACCCAACATTTCACAGGAACATGTAGGATTCCTACATGTGATAAAATACGGCACATGATGCCAAATAGAAAAAACCAAAAACAAAAAAAATCTGTTATGACATTTTGAATTGCTCCTCTTCTAAATATTTACCTGATCCTAAAACTACAACAATAATTTTCCATGGTTTGGTATCTTGCTTAGTACTATAACATAAATCAATGACATTATAGATATAGTGCCGTTAAGCAAGAGGTCCATTTGACAACAAAGAACTGGTGTCTGTATACTACAAGTAAGAGTGGAGGGGAGATCTTTTCCCTGATAGATAAAAATAATTAAACATCTGGAATTTAACATCAAGCTGAAAATATGTCCTGGTTTGGATTATCTAGAAGACCATTCTACAATCCTACTGGCTTACCTTGTAAACTTCAAAATTGTGATTAGTTTTAAGCAAACAGGAAACATAATAAGGCAGAACAAAATATATATAGGTCATTTGTTTAAAATCCTCCTAAAATCTATGTCGTAGAGATGTTTAACCCTTAAAAACATTACAAGATGTTCTGCAGACAGTTGAATGTCTGCAGCATAAATCTGTACAACCTTGACCTTCACATACAACATTGACCTTCACATGATTTAATGTCATTTTATGAACAATGAAAAGTTCAAGTATAAACTTAATATACCTGTCTAGTTAAAATTGCCCTGATTAAAACTTTCATGGAGACAACAGGGGGAATTAGTGAGCACAACAATGGTAGATTAAATATCATGATTTGAGATACAAAATAACACATTATAAAGAACAAACCACACAAAACAGCATATATAATGTTAAGTGAACACTTGTTTTCTTTGTAGCTGCAGCATAGAAATTCTCCCTGATCATCGGTATTAGTGGTGATCATGTCAGCAAAGCAAACTTGTATCATCAAAAATCAAACATCGAGAAGCATAAATATGAGCAATTTATTACTTTGAGCACCGACCATTGAATGTGTAACCAGCACTGACCTCAGGAATGCACCCAGCAGCACCAACCCTATAGAAGGTCAAACAAGCACTGACCTCAGGTATGCATATGCATAGTGATTTACCCATTACGATCCATAGTGATGTGCCCTGTATTGTCCATAGTGATTCACCAAGTACCATCCATAGTGATTCACCAAGTACCATCCATAGTGATTCACCAAGTACTATCCAAAGTGATTCACCAAGAACTGTCCATAGTGATTCACCAAGTTCTGTCCATAGTGATTCACCAAGTTCTGTCCATAGTGATTCACCAAGTACTGTCCATAGTGATTCACTAATTTCTCTCCATAGTGATTTACTAAGTACTATCCATAGTGTATGTCCAAAGTGATATCCAAGTTCTGTCCATAGTGACCAAGTACTGTCCAAAGTGATTCACCAAGTACTGTCCATAGTGATTCACCAAGTACTGTCCATAGTGATTCACCAAGTTCTGTCCATAGTGATTCACCAAGTTCTGTCCATAGTGATTCACCAAGTTCTGTCCATAGTGATTCACCAAGTTCTGTCCATAGTGTCCATAGTGATTCACCAAGTACTGTCCATAGTGATTCACCAAGTACTGTCCATAGTGATTCACCAAGTACTGTCCATAGTGATTCACCAAGTACTGTCCATAGTGATTCACCAAGTACTGTCCATAGTGATTCACCAAGTACTGTCCATAGTGATTCACCAAGTACTGTCCATAGTGATTCCATAGTGATACACCAAGTACTGTCCATAGTGATTCACCAAGTTCTGTCCATAGTGATTCACCAAGTTCTGTCCATAGTGATTCACCAAGTACTGTCCAAAGTGATTCACCAAGTACTGTCCATAGTGATTCACCAAGTACTGTCCAAAGTGATTCACCAAGTACTGTCCATAGTGATTCACCAAGTACTGTCCAAAGTGATTCACCAAGTACTGTCCATAGTGATTCACCAAGTACTGTCCAAAGTGATATACCAAGTTCTGTCCATAGTGATTCACCAAGTACTGTCCAAAGTGATATACCAAGTACTGTCCATAGTGATTCACCAAGTACTGTCCAAAGTGATATACCAAGTACTGTCCATAGTGATTCACCAAGTACTGTCCATAGTGATTCACCAAGTACTGTCCAAAGTGATATACCAAGTTCTGTCCATAGTGATTCACCAAGTTCTGTCCATAGTGATTCACCAAGTACTGTCCATAGTGATTCACCAAGTACTGTCCATAGTGATTCACCAAGTACTGTCCATAGTGATTCACCAAGTACTGTCCATAGTGATTCACCAAGTACTGTCCATAGTGATTCATCAAGTACTGTCCAAAGTGATTCACCAAGTACTGTCCATAGTGATTCACCAAGTACTGTCCATAGTGATTCACGCAGTCTTATCTATAATTGATAAATACAACACTCGCCATATTATATGTATGGAACAGCAGGCCTTTAAATTTGAGTCAAAAAGTCACATGATATAAGTTTATATAGTATTAACTGTATATAGGGAAACATTGCCCCAAGTTTGCTTGTTTTTTCCCCCCACCTTCTTTCATATTTAACATTTTTTTTTTTTTTTTTTTTCCTAATGTAAAATTTCCTCTTATAAATATACCAGCAAGGTTTTTTCACTGGTTTGAGATATCTGTATCTGTATATCTGCCTGATTTTGGAAGAAATTTGGTGCATTGTGAAGTAAATTTTCTGAGGAAAGACATTCCAACCTTTGATAATTTCACATTAAAATAAAAATAATTTGAATTGGGAATGAGGCTGCAATGTATATTTCAGCTTTAACATTAATCTTTAACCAACATCTTACTTTTGGCTTATTGGCAAAAAGGATGAAATGAGTCTAAGTTTGCCTGTATCCAGTGTGATGAAATTCATCTTGGCCGACATGAAAAAGATGATAAAAACAGTTGTCAGACAATTTGTGTGGCACTGAAAGCAAGAGAAAATAGTGCTGTGAGGAAGGATATAGGAGAAGAACACAGTTGTATTTGGGATGTAGAGGGAAGGGGGGTTTGAGGGGGGGAATGTGGAATGGTTGAATTGTGCCAACACAGCTGTGTGACAAAAGAATGGAACAGACTGATACCTGTGGAATGTGTGAAATGGCTGGTCAGTGCTGAAAGAAATAACAGACGGATGACACTGATACAGATGGACCATACTGATGGAAGTAGGTAGGTAGGTGTTGAACATGCTGATTGTTAGTGGCATTATAAACATCTGGCATAGAGGGACTTTATTGTCAGTGTTAGAAACTTGTGTTCTCCTGAACTGGTTGGGTGAGAGGTACTTGAGATTCAAAAGTTTCTACAGTGGGGTATTGTTCTTGTCTCTGCGATCTGTGCTCCTTGAGTGCGGGCCCCCAGTCTTCTGTGGAACAGGAAATACTTTTGATAACCTGGAAAAGAAACAGGTGTTACAGTTCTAGACAGAGCAACACAATTCTTTAGGATATATACAGTAAATTAATTTTTGTGGTGGAATTATTTTCGTTTTATTTGTGGCTACTCTAAATCTATAAAATTAATGTCCACAAAATGAGAAACAGACAAAACTTGACATGAATTATAGCAGCACTGATGGATTTTGTTAGCAAGACTTTTTACAAAATCATGTATAAACAAAAATGCACATAAATAGTATACATCTTTGGAAAACTACAAAATCTGAGACTCACAAAAATGAATCATTTTACATTTGCAAAAACCCTTCCTTAATTGGGACATTTCTTGTCACAGTAGTTTTTTTATCAACATCTGTAACATGATTAATTTTGCAGTGACTGAATTTTCATTAATGCTCATCCAAAACTGATATGTCCATGATAAACAAATTGGATTCTAGTACTAATCAAGTGACAGAGCAGCATGGTACGGATATATTATGAAAGATCTGCAACAAAACAGGCTTAATACAGCTAATAATAGTTTCAATATCCTTGCATACAAAAAGACAGGTTTTTTGGACTTGAAATTTCTGGTAGTTGGTGGTGATAGATTTTCCTCAAAATGGCTACAACCAACGCACACACATTGTTCAGGTCAATAAGTATAATTTCCTTCCACACGTAAATAAAAGGAAGGGTCCAATGTCTGAACAGTGACCATTATCACTCACCATGAGATTTACTGTAAAATCACAGATTTTGGTGGGGCTCAATTTTCCTTGTTTTTCAAAAATTTATTATTTCGCAGACAAAATATTTTGTGGGTAAAAATTGATCAATAAATTTACTTATACTCAGTTTAATTGTTTATGGACATTATAATTTATTAGTGGATTGAGAATATCCACAACATCAATGAAAATAAAATCCTCCACAAAAATGAATGGTTTGACAGTATGTCTATATCTTTTGGTGTGCAGTAGTAAAACATACATGATTGGTTCTAGTAGGGATAAAGTTTCATACAAATGTTTTATTGAATTGTTAGATTATGACCTTGACATTACCTGTTTTAAAGACATGTCCGGCCGTTTTGACCTTGCCCTAGTGACCTTGATGATAGCCACTATAGGGATGAAGATGACAGAAGAAAAACCTATCAGAAAACCACAACCTTCGGCCCAGGGTGGGAAAACGTAGACATCGTATTTTGTTGGTTTGAAGTCAGCCCAGGTAAAAACCAGAATAAACTGCAAGCAAACAAAAATAAAACTGATAAAGTGAAAATGATGCCTGCATTTGGTCTGTCAGCATATGTTATTGTTGCATGCTTTTAATGCTGTAAACTGACATAGCATCTGAAAAATAAGTTTAAGTTACTTTTTATAACAAAACTAAGTGAACTTGCATTTTGACAGGTTTTGAAGTAAAAATCAAACAAATGCAGCCATTTTGTTGTGACTTTTCCAATTCAATTGCAATAATTTCTGACTGAAAAAATGACCCCAGTTATACTGAATTAGTGACAATTCACTGGATAACTGTGTTGTGATAAATGTATGTTTTATCACTCGTGTTCACACAGACACTATTGTCACCATGGCGAATACTTGACAGACAAATTCTAATTGAGGAAGTAATACAACATCTACTTTCAGTTCCTGCTTTATTTTAGTAAAAACATGACATGACTAAGATTGGATTCTGGCTTTGATACAATATTGAAAAAAATTTGCTGGCGTTGAAATAAACCTGCTCTGCCGTATTCTGGGTCATATAACCATTATGAGAATAGAACTAGTATTAATGGAGTCCATTGGTCTCTATCCAGACCACTAAACCCTCGCTCATTTCAAATGATAATTTTACTACACTGACCAGTAAATTATATACAATATTGAAAAAAAATTGCTGATGTTGAAATAAACCTGCTCTGCGGTACTCTTGGTCATATAACCATTATGAGAATAGAATTAGTATTAATGGAGTCTACTGGTCTCTATCCAGACCACTAAACCCTCGCTCCTTTCAAATGATATTGTTACTACACTGACCAGTAAATTATATACAATACTGAAAAAAAATTGCTGGTGTTGAAATAAACCTGCTCTGCGGTACTCTTGGTCATATAACCATTATGAGAATAGAATTAGTATTAATGGAGTCTACTGGTCTCTATCCAGACCACTAAACCCTCGCTCCTTTCAAATGATAATTTCATTACACTGACCAGTAAATTATATACAATACTGAAAAAAAATTGCTGGTGTTGAAATAAACCTGCTCTGCGGTACTCTTGGTCATATAACCATTATGAGAATAGAATTAGTGTTAATGGAGTCCATTGGTCTCTATCCAGACCACTAAACCCTCGCTCATTTCAAATGATAATTTTACTACACTGACCAGTAAATTATATACAATATTGAAAAAAAATTGCTGGCGTTGAAATAAACCTGCTCTGCGGTATTCTTGGTCATATAACCATTATGAGAATAGAATTAGTATTAATGGAGTCTACTGGTCTCTATCCAGACCAATAAACCCTCGCTCATTTCAAATGATAATGTTACTACACTGACCAGTAAAGCCAAGGGAGCTATGTATGACCAGCTGTACTTCCATATGTTGTGAGGTCGTTTTCCTATCATCTGCTGTATATCCGAGAGAAATCTATCTGCCCCTGTAAACAAAACCAGAAACAGTACATGATAAATTAAAAAAAAAAAAATCACTGAGAAATGATGTATTTTTAAGGTAACGTCACAAAATATTGGCCTGATGGTGTAAGTGAATTATTTATGGATCACAATTAAACAGGCATGTATAAAGGATCTGATCTGACGTGGAAAAGGTGCAGGGTCACCTGTCTGACCATGTTGACATAAGACATTCAGCTTACATAATGAATCTTTGGTGCTAGTAGATATTTCTATTTAGTTATATTTGCTTTGTTATAAGCTCAAAGTAACCTAGCTCACAGTAACCTAATAATGAGCTTGTTTGCTTGGTGCATTCATCCCCCCCACCCTGAACAGTCAGGGCCATTTTGAGGAAGGGTTGTCTAGTATTAGCAGGTGGCTACCTAACTGAAAGTCATAGGGAAGGCCCATTGGATGCCATCAAAAGCAATCAGGGTAAATTGTCTTACCCTTGAGAACAAAACCAAGTCAATACAGCTTCCTCAGAAACACAAATGGCGCAGTTAAATAGTGTTGAACCACACGCCTTGGATCTTTACCAGAGGTGGTATAGGTTAATGGCTAACTGACAGAGCTTGTGAGGCGTCAAAATCAATGATTAGATTAATCAAGCATACTGAGTACTGCTGTAGCAATAAATGTCCCCTATCAGCCCCTAGAAGCTAGAGCGCTAACAATGATTTTCTAAAAATAGTATTAGTGACCTTGACCATGACCCAACAACCCTAAATCTAAAAATTGTCTATGATAATTTGGTGTGTTTGAAGTCTGATGAGAATCCCTCAAGGGATGAAAATGCTACAAAGCTGAAAATGATTTACTTAAAATAGTAACAGTGACTTTGACTTTAAACCAATGACCCTGAAGGTCAAAATCGTTCAAGATATTTTTCTATAAGACTGTGTTTGATGAGAATTTCTCCAGGAATGAAGCTGCCAGAGCGTTGACAAACTTTCACAGATGCAGGGGCAGAAAGACAGACAGAGAAGGAAAACTATGGTCTCCCCACTCCACCACACCCAATCCCCTCGGCGTCACCCACAGGGGACTAATAACATACCATACACCCAAGAAATGGCGAAGCACTCTGTAAGCCCCACAATGAGGAGAGAGTAGGTGGCAGCATAATTGTCAAACAGTTGTAACACATACATCCCACCCTGTAACAAAGATAACATAGGCTATTATATAACATAAATCACAATGCTGATACATCAGATGGATAATATCAGTTTTACCATTTTTCCCTGTTTCTATGATCCATCTATAGAACAAAAACATTTATATGAAAATCTTTCATCTTTCTTTGCAAAAATGAAAAATATTTTTGTAATAAGCAACTTTCAATGATAAAATCGTTGACAAAAAATTGACACTTTATCCAATAAAAACTTTTAACTCCCTCCTCTCTATTTCTTGTCCCCTAGGATATAAAAATAAATATCAAATCAGAATATCAGAATTCAGAAATGTTACCTTTTAAGCATTTGTCAGTGTCTTTAATTGCTCACCTGAGTACAAAAGGGAAGTCCAACCAGGAAACAGCCTACCGATATCCCAATGAGAAGCAGCAGCTTCCGGTGTCCACGTCGGAACATTTCTGGAAACTGGTCCAGAAGGGTCGTGTGTACTGTTGTTACCGTGGCAATCTAGACAATGGCAATGTCACAATACAGATAAAATACATTCCATTTTGCAGAAGATGATAATTTTTGAGGGATCAGAGAAAGCATTTGTTCACTCATATCATTAGTTAAGAGAACTGTATTCAATAAATAGGAATATCATTTACTTCTCTAAGTAACATATGTTCTTATTTTGTTTCTATTTAAACCTGTCTATAAAGGCCACAACAGAGAGCACAACAAAGTGGCCTTTATAGACAGGTGGCCTATATACAGAGGTTCAATTTGTATGATATAGGTATTTGAAACTAGTGCCTCTTTAGAGACAAATTTGTTATATACTGTTTGTAATGGCTGTGGGATATATCATTATGCTTTATCTGTAATCATCAGATTACTGTAAATTAAATAGCCAGCAAGTATTTAACAAAGAATTGAAGTCTAAGGATAACTATGTTATATGCTTGTATACTTGGATAACAGTATTCAGACATGTGCAAAATGAAATCCCTGCAAAAACAATTTTTAGTCTCTCAAAATGAAACGACTACACTGTATGTCGTTGGCCTTTTAAGTTAGGTTTGTCTGTATGTTCTGTTACATTTAATCTAAAGTAAAGGACCACATCTATGTAAGAACTGTTTATAATGTGAATTTTAAATTTTTAATGTACAGTTTATAGCTTTCATTTGAATTTTCTGTCAACAAAGACCATTTGTATTGATTCTCAATGTAATACTATTAGGAATCAGCTCAATGACAGTCACAACATGTAACATCACCTTACTAAATGTCACGTAGACTTATTCCAGACATTTATTATAATTAGCATCAAAACGTTAAACACCTGGTAATAGTATGAAGTATGGGACAGAAATTACTTACCTGTGTACCAAGACATAGTTTTACCTGAGAGTGTACAGAGTCAAGTAAGGGACAGAAATTACTTACCTGTGTACCAAGACATAGTTTTACCTGAGAGTGTACAGAGTCAAGTAAGGGACAGAAATTACTTACCTGTGTACCAAGACATAGTTTTACCTGAGAGTGTACAGAGTCAAGTAAGGGACAGAAATTACTTACCTGTGTACCAAGAACCTACCTGTGTACCAAGACATAGTTTTACCTGATAGTGTACAGAGTCAAGTCAGGGACAGAAATTATTTACCTGTGTACCAAGATAAGTTTTACCTGAGAGTGTACATAGTCAAGTAAGGGACAGAAATTACTTACCTGTGTACCAAGAACCTGATAGTGTACAGAGTCAAGTAAGGGACAGAAATTATTTACCTGTGTACCAAGATAAGTTTTACCTGAGAGTATAAAAATCAAGTCAGGGACAGAAAAGATTTAGTTTATCTTGGGCCTGTTGAGTCTGAGATAGAAATGACTTACCTGTGTACCAAGACCAAGCGTAATTAACATGGCAAAGAAAAGGATGGACCAGAGTTGTGATACAGGTAACTTAGTCACCACCTCCGGGTACACCACAAATGCCAATCCCGCCCCTGCAACATATATCACATATAAAATGCACTACTTTTATGATTAAGTGAAGTATAATGAAATCTCTTTAAAACAGCCTCACTCTAAATTATTTCCAAAATCCATAAACCAGCCTCTCTCTAAACTTTCTCCGATATCTCTCTGAACTAACCTCTCTCTAAACTATCGTCAAAAAACCTTCTAAACCAGGTTTTTTCTAAATTTTCTCCAACACCTTTTTAAACTAACCTCTCTGCAAATTTTCTTTTAAAAATCCTCCTTAACCACTCTCTAAATTATCTCCAATCTGGCCAGATGACTTGACCAAAGCTAAAAACTGCTTCATTTCACAGTTCCAGATAATTATTTTACAGGAGAGTAATTATAATTAGTTTTAAACATGTTAAGTAAAACTTTGGCTCAATTCCACAACAATAATATCTCACAACACAAACATCTTTGAAAGAACAGAGACAAATGCATCCTACTGAGTGCCCAAACCAGGAATTGAACCAAAGTCTCCAGCATGATAACTGACTGGCTCTACCACCGGAGCCAAAGAAGCCTGGCCTGTCAGTTGAATGCGACAGAAGCCATATCTAACACTATAACTAAGCCACAATGACCTACTAAGCCATTTCAAATCACATATTTTAGGTATTACATCTAATCTTATGTAAAGAAATGTAATAAAGGTCATCATTTATTTCAATGCCTCCGCTAGAATTTGAACCCGAGACCTGTGGCTTACTAACCTGATACATATCAAGCTAAAGAAAAACTCTCTCTAGCGGAGCAGTATACTGCAGCCAGCTTTTTAACAGGGTTCCAGAAATATTTAGTTGTTTATGCCAGAATATTTTGTCATGATTACTAATTGAAAATTAAAACCAGGGAAGTGGAAAACTAAATAAATGATTATTTGATCATTTCCATTCATTGTCATCATTTTTAACTTCAACCCAAGTAACACATTACCATGAGGACCGCATGGTTCCTTAATCAGTAAAAAATATTAATTGCAAATTCTACAATCCTGACTTCTCAAAATACGTGACAAATTATTTATTCCCAAGGGTGCCCATTTTATTAATAATCAACAAGATGAATTTTTCATTTTCTCATTGTTAATTAATACTTCAACAATAAAGTTCAATTAAAAAAGTAAAAATATTGCCACCTCATTACTACATACCTTCACTTGCTACTTGATCGATTGGCTGGTCAAGCTCCTTAGCCATGTAACCAATGATGGAAAAAATGACCATTCCCGCAAACACACTGGTGACCGAGTCAAGTACAGACACAATAACAGCATCACTGTAAGGAGATAATCCTGAGTTAGTGGTTATTTGGTGAGTGTACCTTCAAAACTTGTCAATTTACAGATTTCTATTTGGAAACAGAATGTAAAAGTACAGGCTAATTACATCTATATCTACTTAAAAGTACAGAATAATTACATCTATACTTAAAAGTACAGGATAATTACATCTATATCTACTTAAAAGTACAGGATAATTACATCTATATCTACTAAAAAGTACAGGATAATTACATCTATACTTAAAAGTACAGGATCATGACATCTATATCTACTCCAAAGTACAGGATAATTACATCTATATCTACTAAAAAGTACAGGATAATTACATCTATACTTAAAAGTACAGGATCATGACATCTATATCTACTAAAAGTACAGAATAATTACATCTATATCTACTTAAAAGTACAGGATAATTACATCTATATCTACTTAAAAGTACAGGATAATTACATCTGTACTTAAAAGTACAGGATAATTACATCTATATCTACTTAAAAGTACAGGATAATTACATCTGTATCTACTTAAAAGTACAGGATAATTACATCTGTATCTACTTAAAAGTACAGGATAATTACATCTATATCTACTTAAAAGTACAGGATAATTACATCTATACTTAAAAGTACAGGATAATTACATCTATATCTACTTAAAAGTACAGGATAATTACATCTATATCTACTCAAAAGTACAGGATAATTACATCTGTATCTACTTAAAAGTACAAGATAATTACATCTGTATCTACTTAAAAGTACAGGATAATTACATCTATACTTAAAAGTACAGGATAATTACACCTATATCTACTCAAAAGTACAGGATAATTACACCTATATCTACTTAAAAGTACAGGATAATTACATCTATATCTACTTAAAAGTACAGGATAATTACATCTGTACTTAAAAGTACAGGATAATTACATCTATATCTACTTAAAAGTACAGGATAATTACATCTGTATCTACTTAAAAGTACAGGATAATTACATCTGTATCTACTTAAAAGTACAGGATAATTAAATCTATATCTACTTAAAAGTACAGGATAATTACATCTATATCTACTTAAAAGTACAGGATAATTACATCTATATCTACTCAAAAGTACAGGATAATTACATCTATATCTACTTAAAAGTACAGGATCATGACATCTATATCTACTCAAAAGTACAGGATAATTACATCTGTATCTACTTAAAAGTACAGGATCATGACATCTATATCTACTCAAAAGTACAGGATAATTACACATATATCTACTTAAAAGTACAGGATAATTAAATCTATATCTACTTAAAAGTACAGGATAATTACATCTATATCTACTTAAAAGTACAGGATAATTACATCTATATCTACTCAAAAGTACAGGATAATTACATCTATATCTACTTAAAAGTACAGGATCATGACATCTATATCTACTTAAAAGTACAAGATAATTACATCTGTATCTACTTAAAAGTACAGGATAATTACATCTATACTTAAAAGTACAGGATAATTACACCTATATCTACTCAAAAGTACAGGATAATTACACCTATATCTACTTAAAAGTACAGGATAATTACATCTATATCTACTTAAAACATTGCTTTCTGTATCTTTCATGATTTTACTAGAAACAAGGTCAGGAGATTTTGTTTTTGTCAAACAGCAAATGGCTAAAAAGTATTGTCAAATATTTATTAATAAGAAAATGAAGTTTGAGCTTTTTGGACTAGTGTGGTAATAAACTGTGGCTATTTATGAGTGATAAAATTTTGAAAGATTGCTTTGTGCCTTTCAATTATAAAAAATCAAAAAAATATTTGAAGCAAAACTTGCGAAAGAATCTGGATTTACCAGACAAACTTATTTAAGCATATATTTTTTTCACTGAAAAGGATGAAAGTAAACTAACATTGTAGAGTTTTTGTAATCTTACTGCTTGGCTATTATCCTGTGTAACAAACTGATCATGAAAACCTTTTGAAATGTAATACACTTGCCAACTTTTTGTGATATCCTGTGTGACTCCTAATGGAGTTAGAACCAACATCCTGGTATTCTCCATTCATACATCTGTTCTTGAAGGTTTTTCAAATAACAGTTAAATGGCGAGCAACAGAATGATTTCCTATTTAAATAACTGGTACCATGGGATATACATACCTCAGTGTGTTATTATGGAACTTGTTGTAACTAGCTAGTGTGATAAGACCACCCCAGCAGGGAGATAGGGAAAAAAAGATCTGCACTGCAGCATCACCCCACACCTGAAACAAATATCACTTATTCTCATATTTTTTGTGAGAAGAATGACAATGGTAAATACCTCATTTATTCAGTAATAAGCCCATGTCTGGTAATAAGCCCATCCATATATATTGCAGTTCAGATGAATTCCAAACAAATGCTAGGACAGTGTCCTGTAATAAGGTCATTCCCTGACTTTGAGTCAGAATTTATATGATAAAATGATTCAACCATTACTAAGGCTCAAATTTGTGATGTCTTGCTTTCAAAGCAAATGAAATACAACTGTACTAAAAGGAAAATTCCTATTAGCTGTAACAGCAAGTTGGTCTGCACTTTCAATTTTAACAATTCTCTCCCCCCCCCCCCAAAGTCACAAATACCCCCGAAAGACAACCCTGATTCAGGTTCAGACATTAAACAAATTTATCTCCATCTCTTACACTAATAGCTTTGAATTCAATTGTTGCAGTCAGTGACATCACATATCAGTGGAAAAATACATAACGTTTTTCAATTTCTTTGTAATATTGCCCTTCCACTAGGCTAGTAAGATGACTTATATTTTAAAACACATCTGAATATATGATAGTGGAAAGGGAAAGGGCAAGGAAAACTAACCCATGAAAGGACCACACTGAGATATAACCTGTAAAGTGCTGTCAACACGACCTACCCTTGCACTGAGAAGTTTGTCCCACTGTGGTGTGATGTAGTAGACAATACCATCCACAGATCCATCCAGAGTGAGGCTACGTACCAGGAGAATCAAGAGTACGATGTAAGGAAAGAATGCTGTGAAGTATACTGCCTGTATTAGAGAAACAAAATAATATTTATATAACTTCAATACCACATACCAAGTATTCATTCATATCAATTTCAATGAATTTAAAATTTAACATTTTTAAATTCTCTGGAAAATTGGGAAATAGTTCTCAAAGATATTGGACCTTACTGATGAAGTTTGTCCCTGACGAAAGACTTACCTTACCAGAGGTCTTGATGCCCTTGGCTAGACAGATGGCAACCAGAACCCAGGCCACTGCAAGACAGCCAACCAACTCCCACTTAATGGTTCCCAACGCATGTACGCCTGGTGTTATACCCAAAACACTGACACTGGAACAGTATTTATATACATGTATGCCTGGTGTTTTACCCAAAACACTGGAACAGTATTTATATACATGTAGGTCTGGTGTTATACCCAAAACACTGACACTGAAACAGTATTTATATACATGTACGCCTGGTGTTATACCCAAAACACTGACACTGGAACAGTACAGACATTTGAATGTCTGTTGTCATACCAATAACACTAACACTGGAACAGTACAGATATTTGAATGTCTGACGTCATACCAATAACACTAACACTGGAACAGTACAGATATTTGAATGTCTGACGTAATACCAATAACACTAACACTGGAACAGTACAGATATTTGAATGTCTGACGTCATACCAATAACACTAATACTGGAACAGTACAGATATTTGAATGTCTGTTGTCATACCAATAACACTAACACTGGAACAGTACAGATATTTGAATGTCTGTTGTCATACCAATAACACTAACACTGGAACAGTACAGATATTTGAATGTCTGACATCATACCAATAACACTAACACTGAAACAGTACAGATATTTGAATGTCTGACATCATACCAATAACACTAACACTGGAACAGTACAGATATTTGAATGTCTGACATCATACCAATAACACTAACACTGGAACAGTACAGATATTTGAATGTCTGACATCATACCAATAACACTAACACTGGAACAGTACAGATATTTGAATGTCTGACGTCATGCCAATAACACTAACACTGGAACAGTACAGATATTTGAATGTCTGTTGTCATACCAATAACACTAACACTGGAACAGTACAGATATTTGAATGTCTGACGTCATACCAGTAACACTAACACTGGAACAGTACAGATATTTGAATGTCTGACATCATACCAATAACACTAACACTGGAACAGTACAGATATTTGAATGTCTGACGTTATACCAATAACACTAACACTGGAACAGTACAGATATTTGAATGTCTGACATCATACCAATAACACTAATACTGGAACAGTACAGATATTTGAATCTCTGACGTCATACCAATAACACTAACACTGGAACAGTACAGCTATTTGAATGCAAGAAGTCTTTGTAAACTGGACTTACTGGAAGTATTCATCACTGGGGGACTTGAGACTGGCACCTTTTGTTAGGTTGGTACAGCTAAGTTCATTTCTGAAGGATATATCATAGCTGGACAGGTTGTAGTAACACGTTTCATTACACCAAGCACCATTAGCCTCAGCACAGGTCTTCATGGCAAAGCGGGCTCCCTCACTGCAAGCTGGATACAATAGTATACAGTGGGTATCAGATGTGATAGTTTACAGTGGGTTTCAGATGTGATAGTTTACAGTGGGTATCAGATGTGATAGTCTACAGTGGGTATCAGATGTGATAGTCTACAGTGGGTATCAGATGTGATAGTTTACAGTGGGTATCAGATGTGATAGTTTACAGTGGGTATCAGATGTGATAGTTTACAGTGGGTATCAGATGTGATAGTTTACAGTGGGTATCAGATGTGATAGTGTACAGTGGGTATCAGATGTGATAGTTTACAGTGGGTATCAGATGTGATAGTTTACAGTGGGTATCAGATGGGATAGTCTACAGTGGGTATCAGATGTGATAGTCTACAGTGGGTATCAGATGTGATAGTCTACAGTGGGTATCAGGTGTAATAGTCTACAGTTGGTATCAGATATAATAGTCTACAGTGGGTATCAGATGTGATAGTTGATAAGTTATAAATGTAACATTGGTAAAATACTAGCCATATTTTACTGATAGGCTAAAGAAACTTTCTGTTAAGCTTGATTGATGAGCGTAAGATTTATAATTCATAGGTTCCAGGATTGAACCCTCGCAGAGGCACTGGATTATATAATGACAATGAAGGTCGTTCAGAGAGCTGAAAAAGGACTTTACAAGCAGGTAACTTTAGTATGTATAATTTGTTTTCTTGGTTTTCACCCTGTCAATAGTAATGGTCATTTTGAGGTGGTTTTCTTTACCCTAAATGATGACTACCTAACTGAACAATATATGGAAGGCCCATCACATACCATGTGGGGTAAATAAATATCTTCTGAAAGACACCATCAGCATAACACAGACTTCCCTACTTAGTAAACTTTTTGAGAAAGAGAAGTTGCCTTGAACAAAGGTCACTAAAACGAATCTAAGATCTTTACTTCAGGATTGCATAGATGAACGCTCTACTAACTGAGCCATCACAGTCTGTATAACCATAACAAGAGGCCCATGGGCCTTAACGGTCATCTGACTACAAAAACTGTCAGCAGGGAGAAGGCTTGTATTTTCTACTATTTTACTAATTTTCCATGACGCAAATGATAGTTTTAGTGAGAAGTAGTTAACTGTAACAAGTGTTACCTATTTTTTTACATTAAAGTTGGAGCTCAATCCAACTGGTGAAACTTGAGAAATTTGAAATAGGTGTTGAACAGGAAAAGCATGATTGTACAATTATGTTACAAAATGCCCTCCCTGACTGCCATGTTGAAGTTTTGACAAGGTCGAAAAATAACAACACTGTGTTGGCTACCTTTCCTTAATATCTTTGATTCCAGTCATACCAAAAAATAACAGCACTTGGTAAGGACCATCTCAGGATCATTTCATGCAAGTTTGAGCTCAATCCCACTGGTAGAATTTAAGAAGAATTTTGTCAAAAGTTTACGCATGGCGCACGACGGATGACGATGGATGGCGGATGACGACAGACGAAGCACAATGACTAAAGGTCATCATAACCCTTCAGGTCAGATGACCTTAAAAGGTCAGTTACAATGAATTGTATTCATCCTTATTAATTAACACATTATATCATGTTATGGTCTTAGTGAATGGGTAACTGGTTTTAGTAATTTGGAATATATGTACTTACATGAGGTACTCCAGTCTCCACAGAGACTCCAGGGCAGGACCGAGGCAAATGAAGCAAACAGATAGTACAGCGTATAGGCAATTATCATGTTGTAGTAGATACAGATGTACACAGACACGATGAACATAGCCCAGCCCACACCTGTAATATATAACACACATTAAGAAAATTTCTGAAAATATGAAAATCCGGTCCCCCAAGCATGCTACTTCAAAAATACCATGACTAAAGACATATTTGTTAAGGAAAGAAGTTTTAACTTTTTCATGCATTTGGCCCATGTGATGTTGAATGTGAGTTAGAATTATTCATTTGTACACTGTTCATAGCCCTATATCACAGCATGCTACAGGCCCAATATTAGTATCCTAGATCTCTCAACTTTTGAAACATTTGAAATAGATGAGCTGAAGAATCGAGGTTATGTATTTGGACAGCCATACATCCCAAAATGCTACAAGCCAAATATCAACACCCTGAGTGTCTTGGTTATTGATAACTCCATGGACAATATACATTACTGTAACAGTTTTCCTTCACGTTTATAAGTTAATCATAATTGAAATGTTTACAGTTACCATGTGTACTTGAATAACATTAAATATAAAAGTTTTTAGTTTACATTTCAGCATTTAAAAGGATTTTTCATCCAGGCATATAGTAGAGGATGATTCTGAAACATATCTTAAGTCTCTGTAGTTCACTTCAGTTATGGTGTCTGAGATATCTGCTGTTGAAGATGTGCTAGTTGAATCGCTTAAAGCTAGGTCTTCCCTTAATGTGTCCATTGCATCTGTATCTGGGATCGCTTTAGTAGTCCTGGCAGGTCCATTAGTGATGATCCCTTTAGCTGGTGTCATACGGAATTTGGCTGCTAACAATTGTTGTTTAGTGAGAACTTCAAACGGTCTGGTACTAGCCGGTTTTTTTGCCTCGGCTCTGGTCCGATCCTCCATTAATTCTGGTTCTATAACGTATCCCGGTTGGGATTGACGTAGATGTTTCTTATAAGAATCTTCTCGTCCGTACCTATGTTTGCATATTTTGCATTTATACCATGTCTGGACGACTGCATGAGTGACGTTGACATGTCGTCTCAAAGTTTGTAAACGTGCGTACGTTTTGCCGCACGTAATGCATGGGATTTTTTTATTCACCTTGCGTGCTGTATTTTTTTATGTAACTGGTGTCCTGCAGTCGTCCAGACATGGTATAAATGCAAAATATCGGGTATGATAACAATAGGCTATTTTAATACGTCATAACAGAGAACTACCCGAAAATTTAGTACTTCAGGGGTAAAGTCTGTACCCGAAATTGTCCTGATGAAGCCCAATCGGGGGCGAAACCGGTCGACAAATAAAATAGACACGGAAAATAACCAACTTGTCCCTGGTTTGTTGCGATTGATGATACCCTTTTAGAGTATTCAATTTGTTGCATAGAATCATATTTTTTATCTGAATTTGGTGTTCCCAATTGTGCAACAGACAAACTACCTCAACTGTCATGTAACAATCGTGAAGGGGTGTCCTTGGCCAGGTTTGAGCAAATATAATCGATCAAGCAAAGAGACTTCATATTTTCACATGTGTGGTGGAATGGATAATGATTATTTATGCACGCATATATTCTAAATGATTTTTTTGTTTTTTTAAACTTTTTAAATTGCTCAAATATAGTTAAAGAAATAGACCAGAAAATTCAAAAATAGCATTTGTTTGTTTCAAGATCATGTTGCATTATCACAGTAAAAGACGCTCAGTGCTATTCACCCCTGTCCTTGTGCTCTAATCAGTTGACTAGTGTCAAAGTATTCAAATTTATCAGTTTACAAAAATGAGGACAGAATCATAATTCTCCTTGCCTTCTATATAATTTATACTCCTCCTTGCCTTCCATATAATTTACACTCCTCCTTGCCTTCCATATAATTTATACTCCTCCATGCCTTCCATACAATTTATACTCCTCCATGCCTTCCATATAATTTATACTCCTCCTTGCCTTCCATATAATTTATACTCCTCCTTGCCTTCCATATAATTTATACTCCTCCTTGCCTTCCATACAATTTACACACCTCCTTGCCTTCAATATAATTTATACTCCTCCTTGCCTTCCATACAATTTATACTCCTCCTTGCCTTCCATACAATTTATACTCCTCCTTGCCTTCAATATACTTTATACTCCTCCTTGCCTTCCATACAATTTATACTCCTCCTTGCCTTCCATAAAATTTACACTCCTCCTTGCCTTCAATACAATTTATACTCCTCCTTGCCTTCCATACAATTTATTCTCCTCCTTGCCTTCAATATACTTTATACTCCTCCTTGCCTTCCATATAATTTATACTCCTCCATGCCTTCCATATAATTTATACTCCTCCTTGCCTTCCATACAATTTATACTCCTCCATGCCTTCCATATAATTTATACTCCTCTTTGCCTTCCATATAATTTATACTCCTCCTTGCCTTCCATGAAATTTATAATTCTAACTTGTATTTGCTGTTGTTTTAAGGCCGACCCTATCATAGTTTTTTCCTCTGGCAGGCTATCATTAAATATACATTTTATTTTTGTCAAAAAAGTAAGGTCATTCATTTAGCAAGGTCAGATTTTAAGACATCAACTAATTACTGTTTTTAACAAATATCAACTCCAAAACCAATACAATTCTTTCATTTGAAAAATCAAACTAATTTAGAATACCTGGAAAATGAAAATCAGTGAATACAATTTACATTCAAGAAAATGTGAGAAGAGTGTACCCTCTCAGCTTTTAGAATAGAATCAATGGTATGAGGATGTCGATATACATATACCTATATATTTTAACATGTGGACAGACCTTCATAAAACATTGCGAAAAGATTCCTAAAAGATATATAATATTCATGTCTTGTTTATTGTTTAAATTTCTTACCATTCCTTTAACACACAACACCTGTAAAAACACATGTAAATCACAAAACACCTGTACAACACATAATACATCTAAAACACACACAACACACATATAAAGACAATTAAATATGTAATACACAAAAGCATGGCAACACACTTTAAATATAAACATCATATATACCAGTGATATTTAAACTTGAGAAATATTAAATTGATAACAGTGATATTAAAACCTGAGAAATATTAAGTTGATACCAGTGATATTAAAACTTGAGAAATATTAAATTGATAAGTGATATTTAAACTTGAGAAATGTTAAATTGATAACTCTAATATTAAAACCGGAGAAATATTAAATTGATAAGCGATATTAAAACCTGAGAAATATTAAATTGATAACATTGATAAGTGATATTTAAACTTGAGAAATATTAAATTGATAACAGTGATATTTAAACTTGAGAAATATTAAATTGATAAGTGATATTTAAACTTGAGAAATATTAAATTGATAAGTGATATTTAAACTTGAGAAATATTAAATTACCAAGCATACATGTAAAAGATGAAACATATCCTAGATTTTAACTGTTTTTCATTTTGTACTGTTAACTTTGACAAAATTATAAATATTTAGACTAAGAAGTAATGTAGCTAACATATACCATAGTTATTTTCTGTTATTTAAATCACATTTGTTCTAGGATTACCTGTGTTCTTGTTGTTTTGCATCATTTTGACTGATATATTTACAAACTGCCTGTTAGAAATCATTTGTATTTACATGAGTAAGTGTACACACTGTTTTCGCATGTACTAGTTTACAGGGTGTGTATGGTGACATATGTTAGGTTTTAGTGCCAAGTAGTTTTCCCCCATGGGAGGCCCCTGTCCGACTCTCCCACATTCTCTCATGGATACCTAGACTTCTTACATCGTCACTATACACTGTATATAAATATATCTATGGCAGACTGAAAGAAAAAAAATCTATAATCAAAGGAATTGATACAAATGATTTCCTATGAAGCGGTTTTTCAAAGTAAAAAAATTAGCAAGTGAATTAACTTGTATTCAGAGAGCTGTAGATTTCTTAACTGATTTTCGTTGCTCTATAGACTCAACAACCAAATAATATTAACTTACATTGATAAATAGCTGGTGGGCTTTAGCTGAAAGAATCACAATAGTAACTATAAACATGTCATATTTTTCATTATTTAAAAATTTAAAAAATTGTTTGGAAATTTTTCAATGATCAAAATTTTAAATTCCTCTGGCAAAATTTCTAATCTGGCATCAGATTGAATTAAGATATAAAGCGGTCGTAGATTCAAATGAATGATCAATAACCCTTTTCAAGGACATACAAATGAAAGTGTTAACCAAATATAATCTACAGCTTAATGGTATATTTCTTTAAAGAAATTTTAAAAGGATTGTTAAAATGAATATTGCCTTTTCATCATAACATATCTGTGTTTCAATATTAGGAACATTTTACCACAGTGATCTTGTAACCTATAATTATATGATAGAAAGAGAGACAGAATCGGATTCAGTAAATCTAACACATTGTATGTATGTAAGTGAAACGACCGTTCATAGCTTCTAGGTTTTTTAATTCAGATTGACCTCTTCATTCCAAATCATCAAGTGTGTACAGTATACTGTTTTATTGTTATAAACTTTGGACTGTGTTATACTTATTAAAGTCTGCTACCCTTTACAACCTGCTTAAAGTTTAATCCATCAATGACGTACTGACCGACTTCTGCTGGGGTTTTTCCACAGTTGCTTTGTATAAACAGTCAGTATTTATTTCTTATCAATTTTGCAACAGTCTACATAAACCTAAGGACTCAGCTAGCATTATGATATAACAAAACTTTCATAAAATTTGGAAAAATATTTTCACTTTTTTCATAATTTTAGAAAAAAATGCCCTTCTAAGTAATGGGAAAATCCCTATATACAGATGTATATACAGAGCCATAAAAAGACTATTGACCATGAACAAGCCGTCACAGACAATACTGCACACAATCTGACAAACATGTAAAGCCTTAATGGAAACTTTCAAAATAAAATTTTCTTGGAAGTGCAAGGTTATCAATGTCCAATGGAAAGATTGTTGCTTAATATAGTGCAGCTCAAATCAACGATATTCATGACCAGCAGAACGTAGGAAAAATCCCAATTGCACCATTTAAATAAACGGCAGCACTCCTACAGGTACAAATTTTAACCTTTTCTTATTAATCAGTATCCTAGATCTAGACTGAAATAGACAGGTTTTATTCAAGAGTAACCTAAGAAGCACTAGACTTACACAAGTCTCCTTACCCAGCAGTTGCCCATGAAGGAATCATTTAAACATGTACCTAAGTCGTTTATCCCAAAAGTAGCCAAGGAAGACCTTAAAGTTCACAAATCAATTAACATAAGATTATCCCAAGGAAAACTAATCTTACACAAGTCATTTTTTACCAAACAGCAGCTCAAAGAGAACTACACTTGCACAAATTATCAGACCCAATTGTAGCCCAATGTGAACTAGAATCACATGAGTCAACTTTAGAGTCCTCTATTTCTCTAAAATATTACAAATGTAAAAACAAGGTATTGTTTGCCAACCTGAGAAATCCCAAAGAAGGCCTTCCCTAAAAATATAAATGTGTAGACATTTATCAAAATGTTTAGATATGTCAGTGAACAGTCAATATGTGACTCTTATTCAAAATTGTTTTAAAGGATTTAATAAGAAAAGTGAAAAATGACACTATTCAGGAGTTAGATCAAACATTTCACTGTCTATTGTACTGTGCAGTACAGGACACACCTAATTTCTAAATCCTGGGTAAGGTTTAGACAAACACATTATTGACAATCTATATTTACATATAGTGTTATAAGCTTTCCTAACCAAACATTATTTTTTCTTTAAATTTCAGACAGAAAATACACTACCAAACTGACACAAATATCCTGAAGGATTCTATTCTGTTAATTTATAAACAAAACACTGAACACTTACTTTATACATACTGTATAGTTAGCGAGGCTATTATACAGTGGTTGTTCAGCTATTTGTAATTAATTCATGGAGATTTCACATGTCTATACTGTCCATTGACTCTGGCGAACAGATATTTCCTGAGATTATGATATACAGTAGAGAAAATTACTTCGTTAAATATAGCGAAATTAAATGGCAACATTTTTTTGTAAATCAGGACATATTTTGATGACGTTATAATTAACTCTAAAAGTGTCTTTGTGTGTGGCATTAACCTAGAAACTAAGATCAAAAGAAGTTTCCATGGTTACAATGCCACTCCAGTGTGAAAACTGATATAATCCTTGGATGAATCTAATATCAAAGCTCTGAAAGATGAATCCATACTGTACTTACCCTGAAATATTGGAGAAGCTTTCCAAATAGAGACAACCCCTGAGCTAGCATACTGGCCAAAGGAAAGCTCCATAAAAACCAGTGGGATTCCAGTCACGAACAGCATAATGATAAAGGGGATTAAAAAAGCTCCTGAAATAATCAAATTGTCATTCTCATTAGTTCCTAACCTTCTACCTAACTACCCTTCCTACGATTCAATCACTATCACTTAATCCTGATTAACTGCACCCCTACTCTCCTACTGACCCCCTCCCCTTACCTCTCCTACAATTGAATCATTATCCCTAACTCCTGACCTACTGACCCCCACCCCTTACCTTCCTACAATTGAATCATCATCCCTATCTCCTGACCTACAGACCCCCTACCCTTATCCTCCCTACAATTCAATCATCATCCCTATCTCCTGACTTACCAACCCCCTCCCCTTACCTTCCTACAATTCAATCATTATCCCTAACTCCTGACCTACCAACCCCCTCCCTTACCTTCCTACAATTCAATCATTATCCCTAACCCCTGACCTACTGACCCCCACCCCTTACCTTCCTACAATTCAATCATTATCCCTATCTCCTGACCTACCAACCCCCACCCCTTATCCTCCCTACAATTCAATCATTATCCCTATCTCCTGACCTACCAACCCCCTCCCCTTACCTTCCTACAATTCAATCATTATCCCTATCTCCTGACCTACCAACCCCCACCCCTTATCCTCCCTACAATTCAATCATTATCCCTAACCCCTGACCTACTGACCCCCACCCCTTACCTTCCTACAATTCAATCATTATCCCTATCTCCTGACCTACCAACCCCCTCCCCTTATCCTCCCTACAATTCAATCATACTCATAATACTTTGCTCCTGACCTACTGCTCCCTTCCTCCCTCACCATTTCTACATCATTCCTAGCTACAGTTGTGAAATCGCACAATTTTACGTGATGTGCGATATGCACACAATGTCTGCACAATGTATACACGATGTGCAATGCGTGCACAATGTCTGCATAAAGTATGCAAGATGTCTGCATAATGTATATATGATGTGCAATGTATGCACGATATCTGCACAATGTGTGATTCTATTGTTGTTGATATAAATTAAAAAATGACTGATAAATAAATATATAAAAATACAATGAAGTATATTTCCTGATTAATCCAGTAATATATAGGTTGGACACACACTGAATAGTTAGATGCACTCGGAATTTTAAGTGTTTTGTTTACAAAGAGCAATATGTGACCAGTCTTGTTGTACGGACAACCTATATATACATTATATATGTAAACATTAAATGGACGTCTCTTAATGTCACAGCAATGAATCATTTAAAATCTCATACCGTCAGAAAGAAAATTTTATTTTCATTACTTTTGTATTACTCTCATTTTTCATTCATTTTGTAAACAAAAAATACATGCTCCGGTAAATATCAAATGTTGTGTTTATTACAGGGGTGACCCAGCCGGTACGGATCTGGACCTATCACATATATATCCGTATACAGGTAAACTTTTGTTGCCGGACGCACCACTACTCGTCATTTTAAACGTTGAAACTCTATACCATAAGACTAAGTAATGCAGGTCTAATGTTATTTAGAAAACTGTCAAATTGAAAATGACTTCTATAATCACAGATCAATTTTAAAGGTCATGTAATCGCTATTTAGTAATGACTTCAAGAATTTTTCGTTTAATTTTCAATCTGTAATATCAGCCAACCATTTTCACCAAACCGCACAAAATGTGCAATCCTATTTCACAGTTCTGCACACAATATTGTATTTTGCTTGTGTGCACACGATGTATGCCTGATGTTTCAGTGTGTTGTGCGTTATCACAACTGTACTGTACCTCTATACCTCTCTTCCTTACACCTCTATTATCATCCCTAACTCCTTGCCCGACACTCCCTGTACCCACCTCAAAATTACATTATCAGACTTTGCTACTCGCTATTGACTTATTTTACCTTTTCCCTCCCCACATCTTCATCCTTTGCTCCTGATCTACTGCCCCCTCCCCTACCCTCCCCACATCTCCATCATCAGTTCTAATACATAATCTACTGCCCCCTCCCCTACCCTCCCCACATCTCCATCATCAGTTCTAGTACATAATCTACTGCCCCCTCCCCTACCCTCCCCACATCTCCATCATCAGTTCTGGTACACGATCTACTGCCCCCTCCCCTACCCTCCCCACATCTCCATCATTACCTCTAGTACATTATCTACTGCCCCCTCTCCTACCCTCTCCACATCTCCATCATCAGTTCTAGTACATGATCTACTGCACCCCCACCCCCTACCCTACTCTCTCCATATCTCCATCATTACCTCTAGTACATAATCTACTGCCCCCTCCCCTACCCTCTACACATCTCCATCATCATTTCAAGTACATGATCCACTGTCCCACCCCCTACCCTCTCCACATCTCCATCATCAGTTCTAGTACATGATCTACTGCGCCCTCCCCTATCCTTTCCACATCTCCATCATTTACTCTAGCTACTTACCTATTTCCCCCATCCCAAACCCTATTTATATTTTCATCATTATCTCTAGCTATTCCCCCTCCCCAACCCTTCCCACATCTCCATCATCAGCCACAGTCCTTCTGTCCCCTGCCCTACCCTCTCCACATATACTGCCTCCTCTCCAAACCTCTCCATATCTCCATCATCATTCCTCACTACTTTATCCCCCTCCCCCTCTATCAACTACTTCATCATCTTTTATTATCTTTACTGACCTGCTCCATTTCTGTAACAGACATATGGGAATCTCCACACATTGCCCAGGCCTACAGCATAGCTCAGACAGGACAACATGAAGTCCAGCTTCCGAGACCAGTTGCCCCGCTCCACATTCTCGTCCCCACTTGTGGAGTCACTGCCATCACTTCCATTTTCTGTTCTATCCATTGCTGCCTTTTCTGACATTACACTTCACACACTATAAACCGTTTTGCTAAATATTCACAGTGGATTTATTATTCAGTGAAAGTGACTTCTTTAGATTTAAAGAAATCTTGATAGATCCAATTTCTGTTGAAATGATCAGTATCGATGGTGATGAGAGCCTTCAGAATGCTATTTTACCTCTCTATTAGAGCTTTTTCTTTTTTTATGGCTGTCTATTGAAACATTCACAAATAAATCTCCTTCTTTGGTAGAACGGAATGACTTCTAACACCTGTAGTGACCGATGTATTCAGGGGAATGCTCACTGTATTGATTACACAATTTACAGACACAATTAAAATATCTCTCTTACACATATCACTGAAGTTTGTCTATGGACATCACTCAGACCATGACTTTCTATGGACACAATGTCCATCACAAGTAATAATTTTGAAAAATAAACTTCATCATTCTCTTTTGGAATCAAATTTCAAATTAGCAATTGTTGTACACAACAATTTCACAGAACACCCGCAACTTCTGAAATTAAAAAAAATATACACATCATAAGCAATCGTCACCTGAAAAATTTAAGGCTATATGTGACCACTTTATAGACAAATACTAAATGATTAGGTACAAATGTACTGTACAACTGATATTTTTTTTTACCCAACTTTAATAAGTTTTATCCCTCACAAATACAAGCTGCAATATATAGTACTATTCAGCTAGAAAGAACTAGTTTAGATTAGCTTGGTTGGTCAATTGTCTGACTAGTTATCCAGATATCCAGGGTCTTATTCCAGGTGGAAGCATTGAAATAAAAAATTACCTTTGTTAGGTACATATGAAGTATAAATATGCTGACAAACTTCAGTTGTGTGAGCATTACATTCCCTGAATGAGCAATATGCTGTGACAACCTTTACACTGACCCATTCATGTTTCCTGACCATAACGTCAGTTGGCTTTGTATAGACAATACCTGATCTCGAGACAATACCTGACTTACTCTGACTAATCGCCAATTAACCTATTCTTTATTTTCTTTAAATCTTTCTGATACATTAAACAGTTACAGGTTAATGTCCAAATAACTTTATAACTCACTTAAAGAGTCTATGGCAGTTGGACAAACAGAACAAACCATTAAAAGCTGGTTGTCAATAGAAACAATTTTGATTCGTTTATTTTATTAAGACAATTATTTTCATACTGTTTTATTCTTTTCTAGATAAAATGTTTGATAAAATTTTTAGCAAGAAATACTGATAGCCACACTGAAGAACACTTATTTTTTCCTCATTTACCCAAACCTGCCCAAACCAGGTAACTTGCTTCATCGTTCAGATAACAGTAGGTATTCTGCTGACATTTAAAACTACATGTGTATGTATACAATAATGTTTCACAATGGATCTCTCAGTCTGGCATTTACATCTAAACATCATTTAAATGGTACAAAAGTCTGTGAGTTCATCACCTCTAAATGGGCCATTGGAAACTGTACAGTTTGTTTATTTATGAAGTATACAAACATTTGTATTAATTTTGATGTTTTTCCTCTTTGTCTTACTTGACAGCATGTGCCTAAATTATGAAAATAGATCATTTTCTATTTAAAATTTGGGAGGACATATGGGAAAATTGTTTTGATGGAACAGTTTTTTCAGCTGTAAAAATAAATTTGTAGGGAATAAAATGTGAATAAAATCATTTTTATGGCATTTTTTCTTTTCTTGAATTGTAAATCTGCCGGAAAATATATAAATTGTAAAAATAAAGCATAATATATAAATTGTGAAGGAATTCCTAATATTTTTAATCAATTTTGGGAAAATAGCACACCTTTAAGCTTTATGGAAACAGACTTTTATAGGTTGTAAATTAAAGCCAAATTAAGTGTTCTGAATATTAGCAACAACTTATTTTGACAAAGGTTGAAGTATTTCGTTAAATTTTTACATTTGTTTTTATTTATTTATTCATCTTGGTCATTTAAATGCATTGAGCACTGCTGTTTGTTTGGCAATCAATAAGAAAATTTCAAAACGTTCAGGAAAAAAAGATCCTGCAAAATAATTACAAAATATTCCACATAGTTTAGACAAATTTACATTATTTTACAAATATTTGCAAACAGATATTTGACATTGTTAGAATTCACAACAGTTTTAAGTAAATTTGAATGGAAAAAGAAGTTTATAAGAACATTGTATCGTGCTATTTATAGTCTTATTACTACCAGACCACAAGACTTTTCCAGACTTATTTTAAGCTGTAGTGCATTGTTATAGTCTTAGTCTTTTAAAGAATAGCCATCCTGTGAATTTCTACATCTATTCTGTATTGTGTACAATGTGGTATACAATTTACTACACACTACAATGATTTTAAATTGTCAGTTAATGGAGTGTCAACAAAAATGCTTTAGAATTTTAAGACCTGAAAAGAAATACAATTTAAAGGTAGTAGGCGTGCTACATCCTGCACTGTAGTGTATTTTATACGCTCGTTACTGAATCATGGGGATATTTGTTGACAAAAAAACGTGAACATTTTCAGCTGCCTGGCATTGTCTGAACCAAATTCACTGCATCTGACGAAACACTTCGCTTTCAGTATAGGGCGATAAAAAGGGTCAATACGGTAATACACGTGTTGCAGGCACTTGACACGTGTACTGCATGCTAAAGTAACGCTATAGTTATGTCAATGGAAAGTTTTGGGGTAAAACCTTACAGCAGGTTAAATCTCAACACGTTTCTGAAAATTATTACGAGTGAATGCACTTACCAGACAGACTGTTCAGTGTTTGCTAAATTCGTTACTGTTGAAATACGTTGATTTCATTGCTACTTTCAATCAATCCCAGTGCGATACGCGACGAGACGTACTCTAGGACCGTTGTAATACACCGACCGTTTCATGGATCAGCGGTATTCAGTACCTATGAATTAGGTATATATGTCACTGGGTGTAAACGTTGTTTGTCGGCGTCAGTTGATATTTAAAAATCCAACTTATTACGGAACTTGCCTAAAATCGTTTCCCAGCAGTATCGACATGCCAAAACAGGCGTCTAGGATACATACTCACACATTATTTAACAGTCTTTCGTGCAATGAATTATTAATTTCATCCACAACATTCTACAGAAAACTCATCATGTCAAACGCATTATTTCATAGACTCCGATTGACGTTCCAGGAGAAAAGTTTTAACGCCCGCGCAATTTCGAATTACCGCATCTGTTGTTGAGAGAATTTGGTTTGCATGATTTTCAATGTTCTTGGTTTCGAAGACACAAGTCAACTGTAGAACTCGCAGCACTCCTTGAGGATTTTGGTCAGTTGTATTGACTTAAAATTAAGTATCCAATTCGGAACCGTTCGGTAACCGTTCGGTCACCGTTCGGCTCGTTTCCGGCTCAGCCCGATTAGATGTACGATCGGCCGTTTTGCTTAATATAGCATTCGGCCGGCCTCTCCGTCGCCTATTCCAGTTGAGCTTTTCATTCGGCAGTGTAGTTTATTAGATAGAAATGCTTCAGTTTAAATGTTTTCTGAATGTAATTCATATGTGATGTTATATAAGTTGGGGGCTCTGCTACTGGTAAAATCAGTAATGGTCTGAGGGAAGGGACTGTGATTTACAGCTGAATAGGCCAGGGTGTATTTCTAAACTCCGGCTATTGGAATTTCGATGTATGACTGTTTGTTTTGATAAGGATTACATATAGTTTTTTTTTTATAAAATGAGCATCAGTCCCAACAGGTAGATTTACCTGTAAAACTTACATGATGGAACTTAAGTACCTTTGTTGTATCAATGTAAATGTTTATTTGTTATTTTCTTTATTTCTGTTTGTTTGGTTTATATATATGCCTGGTTTATGCGTCTGTTATGATATTGCTGTAAAATTATGTCTAAAAAGGTGTTATTCTTTCTCATTCATTAACACCACATGAAAAATTTCCTTATTTGACCGTTACATATCAATTCCACTTCTGTATTTGATAGCAATCAATTTCAAATTGCGACACCTCAACAGGTATAAGATGCATTGATGATGAATTCATATCTGATGACGTCATGTAAAACAGACTATAATAACTAAAGATCAAGGTAAGTATAGGTGGTAGCTAATGATTCAACAATGGAAGACATCTGATAATAACTAGTGACTAGGGCGAGATCACATCCAGGCCTGGGTAACTACATAGAAAGAAAGAGTCAGGGTCTTTTGTCTAGAAACTAAAGGCGAGCTAACACGCTTGTACACTACATACTGCTTAGTGACATATTTCAACTGCATGCAGACATTTTTTTTATCACTGTTCCTTAAAATCAAGCAATACCATTTTGAACATTGAATTGTATTTTGAAAATGACCATTGCAATCACTCGTTCGAGATTTGTTCCGTTTCCGACCGACCGTTCGTTCGCTCGGCCTGCTGATGTGTTTAAGTACAGTTCGGCTCCTGGCTGGCTAAAACCGTTCGCCTGGACCTTTGCTTCCGACGGCCACCATTCGTCCAGCGGCTGACTCAGTGCTGATCTAACTACGTTATAAATGCCACTTCACATTTTTGGTCCACCACATTTTGTTGTGTATTACACGAGATCCAAATGGTTGCCAGACGACCACCTTGGATTTCGATATTCTCGATACTCCAGGGGTTATGATCACTTTTGCTCTCTGCATTTCCTGGAACTTGTCATGGTAAAATTAAGGGCACAAGCAAAGTCATCTGGTTGACTCTTGGAGATTCGTTTGATGTGCATTAAATTATCAAACTAGTCTGTTGGTATTGTCTACTAAATGTCGCACACAGAACCTTCTATTTTGCCATGGCATGTGCCATGTGTGCCGAGAACGAAAGTGATCGTAACTTCTGAAGTATTGAGGTTGGGATTTTTTATTGTAAAGAAATGTGATTTTTTTCTTCTTTTGAATTGATCGGCGGAAAATCATGGTTTAGATGTCATATCCGAACATTTTTTATTTAAAGGGTTGTTTACACGATGTAATTGATTCCATGAACTGTTAATGTTACCACGTGACGGTGTGACGCAATCAATTCTATTGGAATTGTTGGGAAGGCTACTGTATTGCATCATGGATTTGAAAGGGTCAAGTCTACCATGTGATACGGTGGCGTAATTTATTTGAAATGTTGTGGTATTACAAAGTGACACCTTATTTGTTGGGTTAAGACTTCCATGTAGAATAATGGCTTTATTTATATGGGGCTGCGATGTCAAAAAACTTTGTGGGATGTTACGGTTGCCAGGTAACACAATGACGTAATTTATTTGATGGGTTGTGGTGGTGCTGTGTGTAACAGTACCACTATCATTTTAATCGTCACTATGGCTACCATGTTAACTGATTGTAATGATAGTTCATTAAGTTAAGAACGAGATTAGTTTTATCTATGCAAGGCGTGGAATAAGGTTTCCAGGTTTTTTAGCTGATGGTGCGAGCTTTGGTTCCCAACATAGATTGGTGCATTAAAATTCTCCACTTAAGGTGTGGAAAACAAAAGACATTGGGAGCAATGTAGAGGGGGATAGTAGGTGTGACTTTTACATTAACTACAACCTCTGTCACTTAGGAGAATAACCATGCTATGTTAGGCCAAGTTGGCGGGGCACTGAATTATCACACTTAGATGAATAACCATGCTATGTTAGGCCAAGTTGGTGGGGTAGTGAATTATCACACTTGTGTGAATAACCATGCTATCTTTTGCCAAGTTGGAGGGGTGGTGAGTTATCACACTTAGATGGATAACCATGCTATGTTTGGCCAAGTTGGTGGGGTAGTGAATTATCATACTTAGATGAAGAAACGTGCTATGTTAGGCCAAGTTGGTGGGGTAGTGAATTATCACACTTAGATGAAGGAACATGCTATCTTTTGCCAAGTTGGCGGGGTAGTGAATTATCACACTGAGATGAATAACCATGCTATGTTAGGCCAAGTTGGAGGGGTGGTGAATAACCATGCTATCTTTTGCCAAGTTGGTGGGGTGGTGAGTTATCACACTTAGATGAATAAACATACTATGTTAGGCCAAGTTGGAGGGGTAGTGAATTATCACACTGAGATGAATAAACATACTATGTTAGGCCAAGTTGGAGGGGTGGTGAGTTATCACACTTAGATGAATAACCATGCTATCTTTTGCCAAGTTGGTGGGGTAGTGAATTATCACACTTAGATGAAGGAATATGCTATCTTTTGCCAAGTTGGCGGGGTAGTGAATTATCACACTGAGATGAATAAACATACTATGTTAGGCCAAGTTGGTGGGGTAGTGAATTATCACACTTAGATGAATAACCATGCTATGTTAGGCCAAGTTGGAGGGGCACTGAATTATCACACTTAGATGAATAACCATGCTATGTTAGGCCAAGTTGGTGGGGTAGTGAATTATCACACTTATGTGAATAACCATGCTATATTTTGCCAAGTTGGCGGGGCACTGAATTATCACACTTAGATGAATAACCATGCTATGTTAGGCCAAGTTGGTGGGGTAGTGAATTATCACACTTAGATGAAGGAATATGCTATGTTAGGCCAAGTTGGTGGGGTAGTGAATTATCACACTTAGATGAAGGAATATGCTATGTTAGGCCAAGTTGGTGGGGTGATGAATAACCATGCTATCTTTTGCCAAGTTGGTGGGGTAGTGAATTATCACACTTAGATGAAGGAATATGCTATGTTAGGCCAAGTTGGTGGGGTAGTGAATTATCACACTTAGATGAAGGAATATGCTATCTTTTGCCAAGTTGGCGGGGTAGTGAATTATCACACTGAGATGAATAAACATACTATGTTAGGCCAAGTTGGTGGGGTGATGAATAACCATGCTATCTTTTGCCAAGTTGGTGGGGTGGTGAGTTATCACACTTAGATGGATAACCATGCTATGTTTGGCCAAGTTGGTGGGGTAGTGAATTATCACACTTGTGTGAATAACCATGCTATCTTTTGCCAAGTTGGAGGGGTGGTGAGTTATCACACTTAGATGGATAACCATGCTATGTTTGGCCAAGTTGGTGGGGTAGTGAATTATCATACTTAGATGAAGAAACGTGCTATGTTAGGCCAAGTTGGTGGGGTAGTGAATTATCACACTTAGATGAAGGAACATGCTATCTTTTGCCAAGTTGGCGGGGTAGTGAATTATCACACTGAGATGAATAACCATGCTATGTTAGGCCAAGTTGGAGGGGTGGTGAATAACCATGCTATCTTTTGCCAAGTTGGTGGGGTGGTGAGTTATCACACTTAGATGAATAAACATACTATGTTAGGCCAAGTTGGAGGGGTAGTGAATTATCACACTGAGATGAATAAACATACTATGTTAGGCCAAGTTGGAGGGGTGGTGAGTTATCACACTTAGATGAATAACCATGCTATCTTTTGCCAAGTTGGTGGGGTAGTGAATTATCACACTTAGATGAAGGAATATGCTATCTTTTGCCAAGTTGGCGGGGTAGTGAATTATCACACTGAGATGAATAAACATACTATGTTAGGCCAAGTTGGTGGGGTAGTGAATTATCACACTTAGATGAATAACCATGCTATGTTAGGCCAAGTTGGAGGGGCACTGAATTATCACACTTAGATGAATAACCATGCTATGTTAGGCCAAGTTGGTGGGGTAGTGAATTATCACACTTATGTGAATAACCATGCTATATTTTGCCAAGTTGGCGGGGCACTGAATTATCACACTTAGATGAATAACCATGCTATGTTAGGCCAAGTTGGTGGGGTAGTGAATTATCACACTTAGATGAAGAAATGTGCTATCTTTTGCCAAGTTGGCGGGGTAGTGAATTATCACACTGAGATGAATAAACATACTATGTTAGGCCAAGTTGGTGGGGTGATGAATAACCATGCTATCTTTTGCCAAGTTGGAGGGGTGGTGAGTTATCACACTTAGATGGATAACCATGCTATGTTTGGCCAAGTTGGTGGGGTAGTGAATTATCACACTTAGATGAAGGAATATGCTATCTTTTGCCAAGTTGGCGGGGTAGTGAATTATCACACTGAGATGAATAAACATACTATGTTAGGCCAAGTTGGTGGGGTGATGAATAACCATGCTATCTTTTGCCAAGTTGGTGGGGTGGTGAGTTATCACACTTAGATGGATAACCATGCTATGTTTGGCCAAGTTGGTGGGGTAGTGAATTATCACACTTGTGTGAATAACCATGCTATCTTTTTTGCCGAGTTGGAGGGGTGGTGAGTTATCACACTTAGATGGATAACCATGCTATGTTTGGCCAAGTTGGTGGGGTAGTGAATTATCACACTTAGATGAAGAAATGTGCTATCTTTTGCCAAGTTGGCGGGGTAGTGAATTATCACACTGAGATGAATAAACATACTATGTTAGGCCAAGTTGGTGGGGTGATGAATAACCATGCTATCTTTTGCCAAGTTGGAGGGGTGGTGAGTTATCACACTTAGATGGATAACCATGCTATGTTTGGCCAAGTTGGTGGGGTAGTGAATTATCACACTTAGATGAAGGAATATGCTATCTTTTGCCAAGTTGGCGGGGTAGTGAATTATCACACTGAGATGAATAAACATACTATGTTAGGCCAAGTTGGTGGGGTAGTGAATTATCACACTTAGATGAATAACCATGCTATGTTAGGCCAAGTTGGTGGGGTGGTGAGTTATCACACTTAGATGAATAACCATGCTATGTTAGGCCAAGTTGGAGGGGTGGTGAGTTATCACACTTAGATGAATAACCATGCTATGTTAGGCCAAGTTGGAGGGGTGGTGAGTTATCACACTTAGATGAATAACCATGCTATGTTAGGCCAAGTTGGAGGGGTGGTGAGTTATCACACTTAGATGAATAACCATGCTATCTTTTGCCAAGTTGGAGGGGCACTGAATTATCACACTTAGATGAATAACCATGCTATGTTAGGCCAAGTTGGTGGGGTAGTGAATTATCACACTTATGTGAATAACCATGCTATATTTTGCCAAGTTGGCGGGGCACTGAATTATCACACTTAGATGAATAACCATGCTATGTTAGGCCAAGTTGGAGGGGTAGTGAATTATCACACATGTGAATAACCATGCTATCTTTTGCCAAGTTGGCGAGGTAGTGAGTTATCACACTTAGATGAATAACCATGCTATGTTAGGCCAAGTTGGTGGGGTAGTGAGTTATCACACTTAGATGAATAACCATGCTATCTTTTGCCAAGTTGGAGGGGTGGTGAGTTATCACACTTAGATGAATAACCATGCTATGTTAGGCCAAGTTGGTGGGGTAGTGAATTATCACACTTAGATGAATAACCATGCTATCTTTTGCCAAGTTGGCGGGGTAGTGAATTATCACACTTAGATGAAGGAACATGCTATGTTAGACCAAGTTGGTGGGGTGGTGAATTATCACTATCACTTTAATTTCATCTCCTCCATGTGTGTTTCCTTGCTCATGGTGTGGTCAGTAATATCCTTTATTATTTTGACCTCCTGATCAACCCCAGGAAAACAAGATGATGGCATGGAGATGAATTTTAAATCAACTGGCTATAATCTTTCTCTGTTCATACTCCAAAATGCTTTGGTCTCTTCAATATACCATGCTTTGAAAACATGTTGCTGGAACAATTTTGACCTCCTGATTTCTATATTTGACACATAGGTTTAGTACTCACTTCAGATTAACAAAAAACGAACCATTTGTTTGTCTTCACTATCTCAATATGTTTCCATTGTTTGCTTTGAATAATACATTATATAATAACAAACAAGTGTTCAAATAAATATTTATTCAAATAAAAAAGATATAAGTTAGTGATTGTCAATATCACAATGTACAACCTAATCTCAACTTCTCTTGCTATGCCTCTAGCACTCATTGAGGGTCTTCTACCCTCAGGACTGATGAAGGAGCATTTTCTCATAAGCACTATTCCCATAGTACTGATAATGAGTTTTCTACCCTCCACATTGGAGGAGTGCTCTCCCCTTAATACCGATGGAAGTGTTCTCTCTTTAGCACTTAAAGAGGAGTGACCTCTTAATACATGAGTGGTCTTCCCTTCTTCCTGGGTCCACCCCTAAGCACTAAGTGTTTTCTCTTTAGCACTTACAGAGGTCTCCTTTTACCACTGGGGAACAAGTGCTCTCTCTTTAGCAATAAGGAAGGAGTGTTCTCTCTTTAGCACTTAGAAAAGAGTGGTCTCCCCTTAGCACTAAAGAAGAAAAACTCTCTCTTTAGCAATGAGAAAGGAGTGGTCTCCCCTTAGCACTGAGGAAGAAATGTTCTCTCTTTAGCACTCAGGGAGGAGTGTTCCTTGTTATGAACTTATAAAAGGAATTCTCTAATCTTTGAATTGCAACTGTAACATTAACATTAGGGAAAAACTAAAAATGTTACTTGCCATAAGTTTTTAAGGCTAAAAGGTAAAAAATGCATTTAATTTGAAAACATAGAAATGTAAAAGGATAAAATGTATCACAAACCTTGTTTGAAGTAAAATTCTAAAAGTTCTCATTAAATAGCTAAAGCTATCGCTAAAATCATATTTTGTTTTATCAAAAACATTAAAAATACAATTTACTAAGTTTCCACAAACAAAACACAACAATCAGACATACTAATTTTGTTATAAACATCTACCTACTGTAAAATGTGGTTGATTTTCTTGTTGACACCACACTGCATGCATCAACCCAATGCACTGTAATGATTATTTATGAAAGAAACATGTAACCCCAAATGAAGATGACCTTGTAAATATGGCCTTGAAGATTCAACCCCAGGAAAACAAGATGATGGCATGGAGATGAATTTTAAATATGATCTTTAAAATATAAATAAATTCCACTCACTCAGTTGATTATCTTGCATGTTAACTTTGTGGAGTTGAAGAATGACAATTAATTAATACTTCCACTTCTTCCAAATGTGATGAAAATGCAATTTGAAATATGTCCTTGACCATGTGACCTAGAAATATCAAGGTCAAAGCTTTGTAAAATCACTGTTACAAGTGATCATTTGTAGGTAATTTCTTCTGCATTGTTAAATAGAGTGAAATGACCATTATTGATTGTAGTGATATTGCACTGTTGCCAAGTCACTACTGGAACAAAAGGCCTTTAAGGTGTGACATAACACCTGAGGTATGTATTTTTGGTACCTTCCTCTACAGTTCTCCAACATCAAGGAGATGGACGAAACTGTTAAGTAGGTACAGTCCTCACTGCTTTTATTCCAAAGAATACCAAGGATTTCAGCAGGCCATTGATGTTTGGCTATAACGGTGAAGTGACTTTAATATGATAGCAATAGAAGTCATGCAATGGTCATTTACTCAAGGCCTTACCTGGAGCTTCAAATGTATTTTAGGGTCATATCAAAGATGACAGCAATGTGAACCATCAACAGATAGAATGTCCCTGTCTGTAACTGTATCACCAACAGATAGAATGTCCCTGTCTGTAACTGTATCACCAACAGATAGAATGTCCCTGTCTGTAACTGTACCACCAACAGATAGAATGTCTGTAACTGTATCACCAACAGATAGAATGTCCCTGTCTATAACTGTATCACCAACAGATAGAATGTCCGTGTCTGTAACTGTACCACCAACAGATAGAATGTCCCTGTCTATAACTGTACCACCAACAGATAGAATGTCCCTGTTTATAACTGTATCACCAACAGATAGAATGTCCCTGTCTATAACTGTATCACCAACAGATAGAATGTCCCTGTCTGTAACTGTACCACCAACAGATAGAATGTCCCTGTCTATAACTGTATCACCAACAGATAGAATGTCCCTGTTTATAACTGTACCTAACAGATAGAATGTCCCTGTCTATAACTATCACCAACAGATAGAATGTCCCTGTCTATAACTGTACCACCAACAGATAGAATGTCCCTGTCTATAACTGTCACCAACAGATAGAATGTCCCTGTCTATAACTATCACCAACAGATAGAATGTCCCTGTCTATAACTGTACCAACAGATAGAATGTCCCTGTCTATAACTGTACCAACAGATAGAATGTCCCTGTCTATAACTATCACCAACAGATAGAATGTCCCTGTCTATAACTGTCACCAACAGATAGAATGTCCCTGTCTATAACTGTACCACCAACAGATAGAATGTCCCTGTCTATAACTGTATCACCAACAGATAGAATGTCCCTGTCTATAACTGTACCACCAACAGATAGAATGTCCCTGTCTATAACTGTCACCAACAGATAGAATGTCCCTGTCTGTAACTGTATCACCAACAGATAGAATGTCCCTGTCTATAACTGTCACCAACAGATAGAATGTCCCTGTCTATAACTGTATCACCAACAGATAGAATGTCCCTGTCTGTAACTGTATCACCAACAGATAGAATGTCCCTGTCTGTAACTGTATCACCAACAGATAGAATGTCCCTGTCTATAACTGTCACCAACAGATAGAATGTCCCTGTCTATAACTATCACCAACAGATAGAATGTCCCTGTCTATAACTATCACCAACAGATAGAATGTCCCTGTCTATAACTGTATCACCAACAGATAGAATGTCCCTGTCTATAACTGTATCACCAACAGATAGAATGTCCCTGTCTATAACTGTACCAACAGATAGAATGTCCCTGTCTGTAACTGTATCACCAACAGATAGAATGTCCCTGTCTATAACTGTACCACCAACAGATAGAATGTCCCTGTCTGTAACTGTCACCAACAGATAGAATGTCCCTGTCTGTAACTGTACCACCAACAGATAGAATGTCCCTGTCTATAACTGTATCACCAACAGATAGAATGTCCCTGTCTGTAACTATCACCAACAGATAGAATGTCCCTGTCTGTAACTGTATCACCAACAGATAGAATGTCCCTGTCTATAACTGTATCACCAACAGATAGAATGTCCCTGTCTGTAACTGTACCAACAGATAGAATGTCCCTGTCTGTAACTGTACCACCAACAGATAGAATGTCCCTGTCTATAACTGTATCACCAACAGATAGAATGTCCCTGTCTATAACTATCACCAACAGATAGAATGTCCCTGTCTGTAACTGTATCACCAACAGATAGAATGTCCCTGTCTGTAACTGTATCACCAACAGATAGAATGTCCCTGTCTATAACTGTATCACCAACAGATAGAATGTCCCTGTCTGTAACTGTACCAACAGATAGAATGTCCCTGTCTGTAACTGTATCACCAACAGATAGAATGTCCCTGTCTATAACTGTACCAACAGATAGAATGTCCCTGTCTATAACTGTATCACCAACAGATAGAATGTCCCTGTCTATAACTGTATCACCAACAGATAGAATGTCCCTGTCTGTAACTGTATCACCAACAGATAGAATGTCCCTGTCTATAACTGTATCACCAACAGAATGTCCCTGTCTATAACTGTATCACCAACAGATAGAATGTCCCTGTCTATAACTGTACCAACAGATAGAATGTCCCTGTCTATAACTGTACCACCAATAGGTAGAATGTTCCTGTCTATAAATTTTTCAAAAACATTTAGAACATTCCTTCTAAAATTCTACCATCAACAGGTACCGCAAGCGGTTCTGGCTCTCCTTGTAGACCAGGTATTCACTCTGAGAAAAACTAGAAGTAGAAGATGCCTTCTGTTGGATCGGCCTACCCTGGGGCACTATCACTTTCTTTCCATCTAGAGTCAATGTCGTATCTTTCTTAGGATCTAAAATAAAATTAAAATTCATATTATTCCAGTTTTAAATATTTATGTTCTGACTCAACATCATTACCTATTAGACTTATTTAACTTATCTAACTATATGAAAGATCTTTCCCCCACTCATGACTCATCTTACCAGGTAATGCAAATAATGTTATATTAAACCTTATGAATCCAATAGCCCAGCTCCTCACCCCTCCTCCCCCATGACCCTATGACCTCCAATATCTTGATGACTTACCTGGCTCTGTGTGACCCTTGGCTATGATACAGTCATACCCAGCTGGTGCAGACTTGAGTGTCCAATCATCTGTGAGAATGTGGTGTTCCTCACCAAGGGCAACCTCATCCAGAAACATTATACCTATGTTACCAGCAGGTCGGACTGTAAACACAAGAACTAGACACTCAGAAAACTAATTCAAACTAATAAAATGCAAACTTATCTACGAGATATCACTTCTGTCGATACTATGCTAATCAGAATATGTTAAGGTGTAGAACTTGATTTAATAAAAGTTTAGGGTAAAATAAAAACAAAATTGGTTGCGAGGTTCTCAAGAAAACAGATTGATTTCGAATAGGATGTGATGGTACATGGCACTAAAAATGCATAGCTTAAATATGCAAAGGGACATAACTTGGAACATTTTCTTCAAGAAATTCTTATAACACAAACAGTAGAAGATTAGAGTGTGATGTTTCAAGGACTTCACAGTCATACACTACATATGTCAGTGTTACTACACTCCATACTACTGTTAGTCATTTGTCTGATGACGGTGATCGTGTAGTCATCAAAACGTCACACTCTCTAATCTTCTACTGGTTTGTTATAAGAGCGCCTATTCTAAGGGGAGATAGCTATGAAAAAATGCCATTCCAATTGTATTTTTATCTGTGCCATGGATAAACTTACCATAGCCAGCAGACTTGCTGTTCTCTGAAGCAAAGTAGATGCCACTCCCAACACGCCCACCACTGTGTGGCATTATCCGAAGTCCACCTTTACATATGGCTGCCACTACAGCAACATTGGTTCCATGCCACAGCAGTTTACGATTAGTTATCTTGTCATGTGCCATGAAACGATCACCCTGCAAACACCCTTTATAAATTTTCAAATGCCTCAAACATTAAACCCATAGGGCCTACACATCAGACTAAGTGTATGGGATGGGCTTATTACCAGACAATCAATTACCAACTGGTTGTAACTCTACTGATAAATGTCAACTTATTGGGCTTATTGTTCAGAAATAATGCTATTCATTGAACATTTTAAAACATTTTGAACTTTATTTAAAGTGTATAAAACATTTCTGGCATTTTATCTGAAGATACTGATAGTTTTTTTATTTAAACAAACCTCTCCATCTCGGTCCATACGCCATATGTGTTTGATATTGGTCCGTCTCCAGCCTGTATTGCGTGTATTGTTTGTGTACGTCTCAAGGACCTGTTATATATAGCCAAACATCGGACATGGTACTGACAACAACACATATATCAGAAACAAATAAAAGTTTACAGCATTTTTTTGGATGATTTTCAAGTTCTGTGAAGTCATCAATTTCTTGGGCATTTTAGTTTTGTTGATTTCTAGGTTACTCTAAATCTATAAATTCGGATGTTTATGAAAAGTTAAACTAGTATAAACAGACTTATTAATGCATATTATCCACAAGATCAAGCATCCATGAAATTGTAATATAACAAAATAAAAAAGAAGAATATATAGCAGATATTATTTTATGAAAATACAAAATGGTAAAAAATGTTTTAACCCAAACTGGTACAGATTTTGTTCTAGATCTAGGCAGTTTCACTAAAGTGAAAATGCAACCTTATTTGCATACTTTGGAAATCTTGTGGAAGATTTATTTTACATGATTTTGAGGTGTAATTCCACCAATTTATATATTCATCAATTTTTTTTATGTCTATATATATCTATTCATGAAATCGAATGTCAATGAATTTGCATTTTTTGAGAAAAAAAAAACCCTGTGCTTGATGAAAATATATACAGTAGTTATAGCGGAGAAAAAGTAAGGTTTGTCAAATTCCTGTATTGACCATATATACATGTACATATATAAGTGAAGTCAATATTTCAAATCCTAAAACTCATCCTCAATATTTCAGGGACTACAATCACTTTTGCTCCAACACCTCTGGAACATCTCATAGTGAAATTTGAAGGTTCTGTGTGCAACACCTTGATGATAAGCTGAGGAGACTAATTTGATCCTTTGATGTCTATTAAACTAGTCTCAGGGTCACCTAACAGTATGTTGTAATGGCTTAGAAGTTTGGTGTCTGTCCTTTGTAATCTTTAAAGGAGCATATCAGTCTGTGATTGGTCAGATTCCTCCCCCCCAACCCTCCATCACCTGAAACCCACCCAAGACAATAAAATTACTTAGCTTAAGCCTTCATTTTTGCCATGAAATGTTGCAGGGGTTACTATAACTATATCTGGTTATGGAACTGGTCTACGAGGAGAAGCACAGAATATCAAACAGGCAGGCATATGAAGGACTTTACCTTGTATTCCTGTGATTTCTTGTCTAAAAGGTCCAGCTGACATTTAAGTAAGCCATAGTTGACATCAAGCGGATGAGGCTCCTTTCCAGCATTCTGAAATCACCATAACAACATTATTCCCCCATGACAATACCATTATCAATAAAACATAGGAGAAAATTGACACTGAAAGATGGAACTAATAGATTTTAATATAAGCTGCTATAACTTGATTCAAAATTGTTGTAAAATAAATAAAGTTGATAATTGATACTGATAAATTTTTCTTCATTTCTAAAAGTAACCATTCTGAAAATGTACATTACAAAATTATTGAGCTCTCTGAACATGTGTGAAGAGTTATCTACCTTGTGTTGAGAGCTATTTGCCTTGTTTGAAGAGTTATCTACCTTGTGTGGAGAGATATCTATTTTGCATGAAGAATAATCTGTCTTGTGTGAGGAGCAATTTGCTTTGCGTGAAGAGAAAGATATTTGCCTTGTGTAAAGAGATATCTGTTTTGTGTGAAGAATTATCTGCCTTGAATGAAGTGTTATCTGCCTTGTGTGAAGAGTTATCTGCTTTGTGTGAAGAGTTATCATCCTTGTTTGAAGAGTTATCTGCCTTGTGTGAAGAGTTATCTGCCTTGTGTGAAGAGCTATCTGCCTTGTGTGAAGAGTTATCTGCCTTGTGTGAAGAGTTATCTGTTTAACATGAAGAATAATCTGCCTTACATCAAGTTATCTGCCTTGTGTGAAAATAATCTGCCTTTTATGTAGATTTATCAACCTATCTACCTTGTGTGAAGAGTTGTCTGCCTAATGTGAAGGATAATCTGCCAAGTGTGAAGGATAATCTGTCTTGTGTGAAGAGATATTTGCCTTGTATGAATAGATATTTGCCTTGTGTGAAGAGATATTTGCCTTGTGTAAAGAGATATTTGTCTGGTGTGCTGAGCTACCTACTGTTAATCTTGCTGAAATTGATATAGAGCAACCTACCTTACTGGATGATCTTGTATTCTTCTGGAGACTTTGTGCTATCTCAATATCTCCTAACACCTGTCAACAGACAAACATAACAATCTTATTCATTGTACACGTTCTTATGTTAAACTCATCTGAATATTAAAGTTAATTTATATATATATATATATTTTGTTTGAAACAAAAAAAGTACTCCTCCTCAATATTATCCTTTGTCTTTGAATTCAATGAGTTGATTCATAAAAAGAGTTCAAAATTAATGAATACAAGTATTCTTTATTTTAATTGATTTTTTGTTTATTGAATCACTGCATTTATCAAAGACAAAACCAACAGAACTGTTATTAATGCATGAATTGCCATATATGGCATTACAGAACGCTATAATTGCTATCCAGTACTGTATTATCTGATTGTAATAGATAAAGAACATACCAGGAGCATGTCCATCTTTTGACGAATAGTCTCCAGGGAAGCGATTGTTGGTGGGATTTTGCGACCAAAGTTGTGAGGAATCAGTGTGTAAAACTTAGAGGATAGAGCTGCCAAAGTATTTTGGGGCTTCTTAGCCTTGATGCTAGCCTCAATTTCCTCAAGGCAATCAAATCCCTTGGCAATCTGGGCCTTACTCAACTTTCCAAGGGGCATCTTCTTTACGTCTACAAAATATAAGAAAACCAAATCAGTTTGCACACAATCCATTTGTTTGTTCCTCTACCCAGGTTGCGACAACAATAATCTATAAATATATGTCGTTCCAGTCACCACTAATCTGGTTGTCCCACTATCCAGTCACCACTAATCTGGTTGTCCCACTATCCAGTCACCACTAATCTGGTTGTCCCACTATCCAGTCACCACTAATCTGGTTGTCCCACTATCCAGTCACCACTAATCTGGTTGTCCCACTATCCAGTCACCACTAATCTGGTTGTCCCACTATCCAGTCACCACTAATCTGGTTGTCCCACTATCCAGTCACCACTAATCTGGTTGTCCCACTATCCAGTCACCACTAATCTGGTTGTCCCACTATCCAGCCACCACTAATATGGTTGTCCCACTATCCAGTCACCACTAATCTGGTTGTCCCACTATCCAGTCACCACTAATCTGGTTGTCCCACTATCCAGTCATTACTTAACTAGTTGTTCCACTATCCAGTCACCACTAATCTGGTTGTCCCACTATCCAGTCACCACTAATCTGGTTGTCCCACTATCCAGTCACCACTAATCTGGTTGTCCCACTATCCAGTCACCACTAATCTGGTTGTCCCACTATCCAGTCACCACTAATCTGGTTGTCCCACTATCAAGTCACCACTAATCTGGTTGTCCCACTATCCAGTAACCACTAATCTGGTTGTCCTATAACCTCGCTATCGAATGGGACAAAAGTATGATAAATAACAAAGGGCAATGAGAGAATTATGATTCTTATCCACTGCCCTCCTTCTGGTTGAGAACTATCCACTTATGATGTTTCATGATGATACCTCTTATAGTTTTATTGTAATGCTCCAGACAAAATTTAAGTATGAAATATAAAAAAGGGCAATAACTCTTAAATCATGCAGACAAGAGTGATTGTGTACTGAACTTCTCCTTGATGGATCTATCTACCTATGAAGATTTATGTTGATACTTCCTATAGTTTTTGTGTTATGCTCCAGACAAAATTATAATGAACGGACAAACAGACAGACAAACTGACCGACAAAAGGAGAGATGGATGGACCACAGACCACAGACCACAGAAGTAGGGCAATTTGATCAGATGGTGGGCTAACAAGCCAAAAAAACTTACCAATATCAAACTTCACCATGGCTTCCTTAAACATGTCTTGGTCAAATATGAGTTTCATCAGCATCTGGGTAGCAGTATCCAATGTACAAGGGGCAGTAGGACCGCTGACCACTGGTACCAACTATAATATATAGACAAACATCAGTAAATACTGACCATTGTATCAGAGCCTTGAACTAAAACGAGGGAACTCCTAACACAGTAAAAAATTGCTGGTAATACAATGTTTGCACAAATAGAGGTCATGATTATCGGTGTATATAAATAAAGGTCATGATTATCTGTGCACACAAATAAAGGTCATGATTATCTGTGTACACAAATAAAGGTCATGATTATCTGTGTACACAAATAAAGGTCATGATTATCTGTGTACACAAATATAGGTCATGATTATCTGTGTATATAAATAAAGGTCATGATTATCTGTGTATATAAATAAAGGTCATGATTATCTGTGTACACAAATAAAGGTCATGATTATCTGTGTACACAAATAGAGGTCATGATTATCTGTGTATAAAGGTCATGATTATCTGTGTCATGATTATCTGTGTACACAAATAAAGGTCATGATTATCTGTTTATGTAAAGAGAGGTCATGATTATCTGTGTATATAAATAAAGGTCATGATTATCTGTGTACACACATAGAGGTCATGATTATCTGTGTACACAAATAAAGGTCATGATTATCTGTTTATGTAAAGAGAGGTCATGATTATCTGTGTACACAAATAAAGGTCATGATTATCTGTTTATGTAAAGAGAGGTCATGATTATCTGTGTACACAAATAGAGGTCATGATTATCTGTGTACACAAATAAAGGTCATGATTATCTGTGTACACAAATAAAGGTCATGATTATCTGTGTACACAAATAAAGGTCATGATTATCTGTGTACACAAATAAAGGTCATGATTATCTGTGTACACAAATAAAGGTCATGATTATCTGTGTACACAAATAAAGGTCATGATTATCTGTGTATATAAATAAAGGTCATGATTATCTGTGTACACAAATAAAGGTCATGATTATCTGTGTATATAAATAGAGGTCATGATTATCTGTGTACACAAATAAAGGTCATGATTATCTGTGTACACAAATAAAGGTCATGATTATCTGTGTACACAAATAAAGGTCATGATTATCTGTGTATATAAATAAAGGTCATGATTATCTGTGTACACAAATAAAGGTCATGATTATCTGTGTACACAAATAAAGGTCATGATTATCTGTGTATATAAATAAAGGTCATGATTATCTGTGTACACAAATAAAGGTCATGATTATCTGTGTACACAAATAAAGGTCATGATTATCTGTGTACACACATAGAGGTCATGATTATCTGTGTATATTATCTGTGTATATAAATAAAGGTCATGATTATCTGTGTACACAAATAAAGGTCATGATTATCTGTGTACACAAATAAAGGTCATGATTATCTGTGTATATAAAAAGAGGTCATGATTATCTGTGTATGTAAAGAGAGGTCATGATTATCTGTGTACACAAATAAAGGTCATGATTATCTGTGTACACAAATAAAGGTCATGATTATCTGTGTACACAAATAGAGGTCATGATTATCTGTGTACACAAATAAAGGTCATGATTATCTGTGTACACAAATAAAGGTCATGATTATCTGTGTACACAAATAAAGGTCATGATTATCTGTGTATATAAAAAGAGGTCATGATTATCTGTGTACACAAATAAAGGTCATGATTATCTGTGTATATAAATAAAGGTCATGATTATCTGTGTACACAAATAAAGGTCATGATTATCTGTGTATATAAATATAGGTCATGATTATCTGTGTACATAAATAAAGGTCATGATTATCTGTTTACACAAATATAGGTCATGATTATCTGTTTACACAAATAAAGGTCATGATTATCTGTGTATATAAATAAAGGTCATGATTATCTGTGTACACAAATAAAGGTCATGATTATCTGTGTACATAAATAAAGGTCATGATTATCTGTTTACACAAATATAGGTCATGATTATCTGTTTACACAAATAAAGGTCATGATTATCAAATAAAGGTCATGATTATCTGTGTACACAAATAAAGGTCATGATTATCTGTGTACACACATAGAGGTCATGATTATCTGTGTACACAAATAAAGGTCATGATTATCTGTGTATATAAATAGAGGTCATGATTATCTGTGTACACAAATAAAGGTCATGATTATCTGTGTACACAAATAAAGGTCATGATTATCTGTTTACACAAATAAAGGTCATGATTATCTGTGTATATAAATAAAGGTCATGATTATCTGTGTACACAAATAAAGGTCATGATTATCTGTGTACACAAATAAAGGTCATGATTATCTGTGTATATAAATAAAGGTCAATCTGTGTACACAAATAAAGGTCATGATTATCTGTGTATATAAATAAAGGGCATGATTATCTGTGTACACAAATATAGGTCATGATTATCTGTGTACACAAATAAAGGTCATGATTATCTGTGTACACAAATATAGGTCATGATTATCTGTGTACACAAATAAAGTCAGGTATGATACACAAATAAAGGTCATGATTATCTGTGTACATAAATAAAGGTCATGATTATCTGTGTACACAAATAAAGGTCATGATTATCTGTGTACACAAATAAAGGTCATGATTATCTGTGTACAAATAAAGGTCATGATTATCTGTGTACATGATTATCTGGTATGATTATCTGTGTACAAATAAATATTAAGGTCATGATTATCTGTGTACACAAATAAAGGTCATGATTATCTGTGTATATAAATAAAGGTCATGATTATCTGTGTACACAAATAAAGGTCATGATTATCTGTGTACACAAATAAAGGTCATGATTATCTGTGTACACAAATAAAGGTCATGATTATCTGTGTACATAAATAAAGGTCATGATTATCTGTGTACACAAATAAAGTCATGATTATCTGTGTATACAAATAAAGGTCATGATTATCTGTGTACATAAATAAAGGTCATGATTATCTGTGTACACAAATAAAGGTCATGATTATCTGTGTACACAAATAAAGGTCATGATTATCTGTGTACACAAATAAAGGTCATGATTATCTGTGTACACAAATAAAGGTCATGATTATCTGTGTACACAAATAAAGGTCATGATTATCTGTGTATATAAATAAAGGTCATGATTATCTGTGTATATAAATAAAGGTCATGATTATCTGTGTATATACACATGATTATCTGTGTATATAAAAGGTCATGATTATCTGTGTACACAAATAAAGGTCATGATTATCTGTGATTAAAGGTCATGATTATCTGTGTACATAAATAAAGTGTCATGATTATCTGTGTACACAAATAAAGGTCATGATTATCTGTGTATATAAATAAAGGTCATGATTATCTGTGTACACAAATAAAGGTCATGATTATCTGTGTATATAAATAGAGGTCATGATTATCTGTGTACACAAATAAAGGTCATGATTATCTGTGTACACAAATAAAGGTCATGATTATCGGTGTACACAAATAAAGGTCATGATTATCTGTGTATATAAATATAGGTCATGATTATCTGTGTACACAAATAAAGGTCATGATTATCTGTGTACACAAATAAAGGTCATGATTATCTGTGTATATAAATAGAGGTCATGATTATCTGTGTATATAAATAGAGGTCATGATTATCTGTGTACACAAATAAAGGTCATGATTATCTGTGTACACAAATAAAGGTCATGATTATAAATAAAGGTCATGATTATCTGTGTATGTAAAGAGAGGTCATGATTATCTGTGTACACAAATAAAGGTCATGATTATCTGTGTATGTAAATATAGGTCATGATTATCTGTGTACATAAATAAAGGTCATGATTATCTGTGTACACAAATAAAGGTCATGATTATCTGTGTACACAAATAAAGGTCATGATTATCTGTTTACACAAATAAAGGTCATGATTATCTGTGTATATAAATATAGGTCATGATTATCTGTGTACACAAATAAAGGTCATGATTATCTGTGTACACAAATAAAGGTCATGATTATCTGTGTATATAAATATGATTATCTGTGTATGTAACAAATAAAGGTCATGATTATCTGTGTATATAAACAGAGGTCATGATTATCTGTGTACACAAATAGAGGTCATGACTATCTATTTGTACAAATAATATTATCTGTCAGACAAAGACTAATAAATGGAAATTTCGAATATGTTATAATAACTATTTGCAAAAGAAATTTTAATAAAGAGAGTTAAACCCTACCACAACTAACCTCTTAAATTCACAATGAATTATTGTAAGAAGATATCATCACTCATTAGACAAAAAGTTATGACCATTTATGAGAACAGAATTTTTTTTTTGAAAAGAAGGAACCACTGGCAGAATTAATCAAAAGCCATTGACTAATAAAGGGAGATAACCATTTACAGGAAATGATGTTCCATCTGGTTATTCCAAGTATTCCCCATCCTTTGACTTACTGGCGCATCCACCTCGTCCTCATCATCATCATCATCCCCTGCCATTTCTATTAGAGTGTATTTTCCTGGAGCTGCTTTGAAACTCCCTCGGTTTGCCCATTTGTTCTTTGTTTTATCTGAAAACTTCTTTTCAAAATCAGCTGTTGCTTTGGTAACATCTGTAAATGGCCCCTTTAAGGCATTAGTTCCAGGTTCTCCCTGTAAATTGATATCTATATGTATGACTTCAAAGCCCTCATTAGCATTATATCCTTACAAAAGTTTACTTAGCCATAGTTTTCAGATATAAAGTGCAAGATAGCATATATAAATCCTACAGGGAGATAACTCTTGACACTGATTTCGGGTATAAAGTGTAAAGTACCATATAACCTTATGGGCAACTATTCTATACATTGATCTAGGGTACAAAGTGTTAGGTAACATACAACCTTAAGGGATATAATTCTTAACATAGATCCAAGTTATAAAGAATTGGATAACATAAAGCTTTAAGGGAGATAATTCTTAAAGTGGATCTTGGGTATAAAGCAAAAGGAAGCATATTGCCTTAAGGGAGATAACTCTCAACATTTATCTATGATGCAGTTTATTTCATCGTTTGGCTCTGCTGTATTTAACTCTAAATTATCAAAAGGTGGTATTCACTTGTGTGTCTTTTGTATAACACGAAAGGCAACCTTATGAGAGACAATTCTATTATGATCCACAGATATGTGTTAGGTTATACACAGCCTTAAAACAGACAACTTAAAATTACAAGCACAATGTACATGGCATATATCACATCAAGAATCATAATTTATACATTGTTAAATACATATTACCATTTTTACAATCTTACCACTCGTCCCCATCTGTTCCAGGCATAATAATTGGCCCCTTGCTGCAGGACCTGAATCACATAGTACTTGTTGTTGTTGTGTCCAATATTTGTCTGGTTTAGCATACAATCATAGTCACTATACACCTGCAATAATGAAATAATTAGCAATAGTAATCAACTGGCAGAATTACAATATTCAACTCAGACTTAGGTATTACTACCACACATTCTTAACACAAGTAACTTCAAGAATATCATGAACCTGTTAATCATGTATAACAGTGTGTAAATATATATGATACAAATTAAAGTTGTCTTTCATTCAGTAATTGCCAATAAGTGTTACTTAGTTGTATACTGGCCCCCAGTCAATCAGATTTTTATCTGTATGTCTGTTCCCTTGTCAGGCAGTGTTACTTGTATACTGGCCCCCCTGTCAATAAATGTTATTTGTATGTCTGCCCCCTTGTCAGGCAGTGTTACTTGTATACTGGCCCCCTGTCCCCTTGTCAGGCAGTGTTACTTGTATACTGGCCCCCCTGTCCCCTCGTCAGGCAGTGTTACTTGTATACTGGCCCCCCTGTCCCCTTGTCAGGCAGTGTTACTTGTATACTTGCCCCCTGTCAATAAATGTTACTTGTATGTCTGCCCCCTTTTCAAATAGTGTTACTTGTATACTGGCCCCCTGTCAATAAATGTTATTTGTATGTCTGCCCCATTTTCAATTAGTGTTACTTGTATACTGGCCCCCCTGTCAATAAATGTTATTTGTATGTCTGCCCCCTTGTCAATTAGTGTTACTTGTATACTGGCCCCCCCTGTCAATAAATGTTATTTGTATGTCTGTCCCCTTGTCAGGCAGTGTTACTTGTATACTGGCCCCCCTGTCCCCTTGTCAGGCAGTGTTACTTGTATACTGGCCCCCCTGTCCCCTTGTCAGGCAGTGTTACTTGTATACTTGCCCCCTGTCAATAAATGTTACTTGTATGTCTGCCTCCTTTTCAATTAGTGTTACTTGTATACTGGCCCCCTGTCAATCAATGTTATTTGTATGTCTGCCCCCTTTTCAATTAGTGTTACTTGTATACTTGCCCCCTGTCAATAAATGTTACTTGTATGTCTGCCCTCTTTTCAAATGGTGTTACATGTATACTGGCCCCCTGTCAATAAATGTTACTTGTATGTCTGCCCTCTTTTCAAATAGTGTTACATGTATACTGGCCCCATGTCAATAAATGTTATTTGTATGTCTGCCCCATTTTCAATTAGTGTTACCTGTATACTGGCCCCCTGTCAATCAATGTTATTTGTGTGTCTGCCCCCTTGTCAATTAGTGTTACTTGTATACTGGCCCCCCTGTCAATAAATGTTATTTGTATGTCTGCCCCCTTGTCAGGCAGTGTTACTTGTATACTGGCCCCCCTGTCCCCTTGTCAGGCAGTGTTACTTGTATACTGGCCCCATGTCAATAAATGTTATTTGTATGTCTGCCCCATTTTCAATTAGTGTTACTTGTATACTGGCCTCCTGTCAATCAGTGTTATTTGTATGTCTGCCCCCTTTTCAATTAGTGTTACTTGTATACTTGCCTCCTGTCAATCAGTGTTATTTGTATGTCTGCCCCCTTGTCAATTAGTGTTACTTGTATACTGGCCCATTTCTCAATAAATGTTGTTGTCAGGATACTCCTAAATATTTTACCACAATGTTTACAATTGTGTAACTATAAGTTTACTATGGAGGTTACTCAACCATGACAGGTCATTCACATACCTGTTATGCACGCGCTGTGCCTCAGTTAACTGTGAACTTATCAGATCAGTGTGGGCAAATGTAGGCACCAGGTAGTTCTCAGGTAAGTTGGGGAACTTGTGCTAAGCATGCACTTACAAGGTATTTTGTGGGAAACCCTAGGTGGGACTGGGCAGTACCAGACAGAACTTCCACAGTGGAGGTTGAGTTGTCCAGGGCTTGCCACCATGAATATTAGGAGTACTGTTGTGAGGGCTGTATGCCTAATTCCAGGAATTAATATGTTGGGAGCCTAGAACTGGTACCTGTTGGTATCACATTTTATAAGCTATGTGCTTCGAAGCTGTGTGGGCTGTGTGCCATGTTGTCTGTCTAGGACTGTGTGTCAGTGAGACATTTAAGACTGTGTCCATGACACTGTAGCGGTCTTGTCTGAACTGTATGTCCAGAGACTGTAGTTGTAGGACTGTTTTCTAGAGGCTGTGTGCCATATTTCTGAGAATCAGGACTGTGTGTCCAGGGTGTTCGGGATGAAGCTACCTATATATTACCCCGAAAATACTGAGGCCTCCGTTAGGAGTTTGTGACCAGAATCAGGACCTTGATGAAGGTGTTATAACCAAAGGAACTGATCATGATACTACCTTGACTGATGTCGTCCATGGAGGAGTGAATGTGTATATCATGTCGCGCTATGAACGTGTAACAACAGACTGTGATATTCAGTTAGGGATGGGATAATTTCTCAGGTTTTGGTATATAGTATAATTATTACTAAAGGGGGCTTCCGTATTGTTAGTGTAAGAGGAAAGTATGAGTGTGGTAAGGTTAAGTGGTGTGGTGTGTTCTTCGTAGGATTTTGTTTGTTTATTTTGCTTGGATTGTAAATAAATGCACATACGTTTCGTTTTGGGGTTAGCCAATTTCCCACACCCTGTGACAGTTATTTGTATGCCTGCCCACTTGCCAACCAATGTTATTGTGATGCCACTTGTCAATGTGATGCCACTTGTCCATCAATGTTATTGTGATGCCACTTGTCAATGTTGTGATGCCACTTGTTAATCACTGTTATTGTGATGCCACTTGTCAATCAATGTTATTGTAATGCCACTTGTCAATGTTCTTGTGATGTCACTTGTCAATCAATGTTATTGTGATGCCACTTGTCAATCAATGTTATTGTGGTGTCACTTGTCAATCAATGTTATTGTGGTGTCACTTGTCAATCAATGTTGTGATGCCACTTGTCAATCAATGTTATTGTGGTGTCACTTGTCAATCAATGTTATTGTGATGCCACTTGTCAATCACTGTTATTGTGATGCCACTTGTCCATCAATGTTGTGATGCCACTTGTCAATCAATGTTATTGTGATGCCACTTGTCAATCAATGTTATTGTGATGCCACTTGTCAATCAATGTTATTGTGATGTCACTTGTCAATCTGTTCTTGTGATGCCACTTGTCAATCTGTTCTTGTGATGCCACTTGTCAATCGATGTTATTGTGATGCCACTTGTCAATCTGTTATTGTGATGCCACTTGTCAATCTATGTTATTGTGATGCCACTTGTCAATCTGTTATTGTGATGCCACTTGTCAATCTGTTCTTGTGATGCCACTTGTCAATCAATGTTATTGTGATGTCACTTGTCAATCTGTTCTTGTGATGCCACTTGTCAATGAATGTTATTGTGATGTCACTTGTCAATCTGTTCTTGTGATGCCACTTGTCAATCTGTTATTGTGATGCCACTTGTCAATCTATGTTATTGTGATGCCACTTGTCAATTAATGTTGTAATGCCACTTGTCAATCAATGTTATTGTGATGCCACTTGTCAATCAATGCTACCTATATACTTGCTCACTTGATAAATTACCACACAATATATAAATGATCTTTACTTGATGAAATATTATTAAAACATTTCATGTAGTTCAACATACTGAACATCCTGTGATAGGAAAGTAACTATCAGGTTTAAATTTCTTTGCTTTCCCAGCATCAGCAGTCTTCAGAGAGGCGATTGCATCTTGTACAGTGGATGGTCCAGGTGTAGGGTCAGCCTTTGCCTTTTTCCCACCAGCTTTGGTTGCCCCAGCTGCTTTCCTCTTGGGTGGCATCTGTTATAAATCCAGAATTTTTGGTTATAAAAATCAAGTAGTTGATACACTTAACACGAACAGAAAAATAACAAGCTTGCCCAAGGACAAAGCAATAACTGGACCATTCCTCTGCTTCCTGAGAGACACCGACCGTGACAGGTAGGGAGCATGGAACCCTGCCCCTCGGATCTTCACTTGAAGTAATGCAGGCTAGGCCAATGCTATAAATGACAAAGCTTTCACTAAACTTTGTTGCCACTGACTGTGCAAAGGTACCTTGCAAATACTAAGAATGTACATACAATATTTTCTCACATCACCAAGGGATCCACTGGTTGCCAGGGATGGGACAACTCTATCTCACACACAGGTGGGGTAGGGAATGATATGCTGCATGTGTTATGATACTACTCACATGTTATTTAGCATAACGATGTTGCAAATTTATGATACTGAGATGAATAGGTTTCATAACAACTTACAATTTGTTACTGGCTTTTTGCTCACCTGGTTCAAAGGACTGATGGGTTTATGCCATAGGGGCAGCATCTGTTGTCTGTCTGTCAACTTTTTTACAAAAAATAATCTCTTGTCATGAATAACTGCACAGATTTTAACCGAATTTGGTCTGCAGCATCCTTGGTAGAAGTGGGAGCAAGCTCGTATAAATATTGGTTCTTGGACTGAAGCATTTTTGCATGAAGGGGAATCAATTTTGTATACATGGTAGATCCCTAATAGGGAAAATAGACACGAAAGCTTTCAAGTTCAAATCATTCAATTTTAGCAAACTAAGCCAGATGAACGACACTGGCCTTATGGGCCTCTTGTGTTAAAGATAACAAATATGAATCTGTTCCATGGACAGATGTATAAGATTTTTGCTGACCAGCTGAGATTTTCCTGTTTATGGAAAAGACCCATGTAAGATACTATTAGTCAATATGCATGTACGTCTACAATGTATTGTAACCGTAATGCAATCTGGATAGATTTGCAAAATGTAAACGATATTATTAGATTTACATGTTAAAAACATTACATCATGTAGTTTAGATTGTCGTCACCGCTTTTCAACAACGAACTGGTCGTGTTGACAATACTGCCCGGCTACTTCCTGGTAACTGACAGTTGAGTGTAGACCTTCAGTCCACATGTAAACAACCGACATCCTGTCATCTTATTAAAACATTGGACAAAGATAAGTAGCATGTCACGTGCACGCGTTTAACAATTGTGTTACTCACCCTTACTACACTTGACAGCCCAAGCTCAACAACTCTACAGAACGATGTTTGCAGACTAAACGCGTACTATGAACTATAAATGTTGTAATAATGCTGACACCCACATAATTCCAGCCAATCAGTAGCTGCCATACTGACGGACTACAGCGAGTTGATTCCTGTCAAATAACGTCAAAAGTACACGCACTTTACCCAAATAGAAATACTGCGTTGATAATTACATACGACTAGATACATCAGGTTTAAAACAGAAACCAGATGTATTTTAAGACACCATCCCTCATTTGTGGTATAGACAAGAAGTTTTATTATATTTGAATTTTCGTAGAGAAAACTTGCATCAAGCTTTAATCTTTTTTCCTGTTTTTGACAATAGTTTAGTTGTCAATGACAAAAATGTGTGGTGGGGCAAATCTACGTTTTCGACGTCTGAGACTAAAATCTTTTTTCTCCTCTTCTTCCCTCAAATTCATTATTATATATGTATATATCTTTCTATATAATAGTGTTTTTTCGTTCTTTATATAATAACTTTTAATGCCTATTTAATGTTTATTAATAGGACATTATAACAAGCCGAAATTTTCTACCTTTTTGCGATCCAATTGTAAAAAAACCACAACCAACAAGGACATGTTCCATTTACTATTAACGGTATAGTAAGCGTGATTATACAATACAATATCATTGATCACAATAAGATATACATTAAAGTGACATTATGATAGATAACTCCTACTTGTTTCAACGTGCCGCGCAGTTGAGTTTTCCAATGGTTATATGAGTGCCCCTAATTTTACTTTTTCTAGATAGTAACAGCCATGCATATAGTGCTGGCATACCGTAGTTATTTTACGGCATTGGATTTTGAGAGATTGTGGAGAGATGAAGACGTTGGGGATCTTTTGTTTTTTGTTTTTTTGTTTTTTTGTTGTTTTTTTTTTGTCATTATTATCTGATGCATATGATACTGGATACTTTTCTCGGTGAATTCGTCGTTTTTCCCTTGCTCTTATTTTGAGAACGTGACATTACTAAAGTTGTTTACATTACGAGTGTCGTCGATGAAGCAGAAGGCCACTATCTTTCAATTATTGTTTGTTCTCGTTTGTCAATATCTATCGATTTTTATTACTAAGAGATCATTTTCTAAATACTGTTTTTGTGTTTTTAAATCGCCATGAGTACAGATAATTCCAAAAAATAGGAATACGTTTTTGAAGCTATTTGACTATGTTTGAAAAAAACTATAGTTAGAAGAATTAATCTCTTAGATTTGAGTGTTCCATATTGCACAGAAAAGGAAGAAATGTTGACTCCTACAGCCCACTGTCTGTCAAAGAGGATGTGTTCATTATATAGAAGTTGTAAATTATTGAAAATTTCAGCTGACGCCCTACTCAAGTCTAAACGTGACCGAAATAAAGAATTTGGTGCCTAGGTTTATCAAAACGTTGACTCCGACTTAACATCGATTGAACGAGAGATTTATACTGACAGATACGTAGATTTTTTTCCGATTGACGACCACAAAACTTCCTTATTTGTTGCAAAATTGCCACTGTTGGCTTCGTTCCTAGATGAGATCGATAAGCAGCCGATGACCTTATACTACTAAATTTGGTAGGTACAATCCACGGACAAGAATGACTAATACTTTTCTTGAGAGACGAGACATATTCAATATACGGTAAAATGCAATTGTGTCGAACACGCTTAAATCGGATAAGTCGAATGTTTTGGTCGGTCGCAGTTTTCTTTTCTTTATCTTAGTAAATTAAACAAGGATGATTCGAACACTGTTGAGTCGAATACATCGTTTGTGTCGAATATATTTTATGGTCCATTCCTTCTAAATTATACCAAAATTTCCTTTTTTGGTGTCGAGCATTCAGGCGTCACCTTTTCTCAGGTGATAATTTAGCACAGTTTGTTCCGGCAAGTATGCCAATAGTCTGTTCGGAGTTCTGAACATAAAACTCGACGAAAATATTTTTACCCAGCCTGAATTCGATAAATTCTTACGATTTCTACCATCGAGTATTTTTTCGGTCAGGTGGGGGTATGTTGACGGTTCACAACGTGCCGTGTCCAGAGTATGACTTTGATCACATTTAAGGGTATGTGCGGTATACCCTTCAAATACAAAGGTATTGTCCTTTGTTGAAATATCCTGTCCAGAGCACAACTTTAAATTGCTTGCATTTAAACTGATTGAATTGATAATGAAACTTGGTGTATACATTGACCATATGAAGACAATATGCAGTGTAACAATGTTAAGGCCCACAACCCTTTAATTTCAGAGTTATTTCCCTTTGTTAACATTCTGTGTCCAGAGCGGAACTTGGCCTGCATGTAAACTACGTTAGTAAAATCTTATGTAAATGTTGTTCATACAAAGACAGTTTGCGGTGCACCGATGTCATGACCCGTAAATTACAGAGTTATTGCTCTTTATTAAAAAAAATGTGTCGCATATCTTGTAATCAAAGTTCAAACTAGCAAAATGAAACTTTGTTTAGAAATCAGCCACATTGACAGTATCTGCAGTATACCAAATTACGGACCCGCAACCTTTAAATTGAAAAGTTATTGTCCCTTGTTAAAATTTTGTGTCCAATAAACCGTTTTGTGAGAGCATACACCAATTTTAATAATACTCTTTTTTGTTTTACTTTTTGTTTTATTTTTTTTTCAATTTCTTTTAATTTCTTTAGTTTGTGTTGTTTATGTATCATGTTAGAATCACATCATATACTTCAATGTTTGTGTTTTAGTTTGTTGGTTTGTTGTTATCTATCCGAGCAATGTTGCTTCAGTGTGATTAGAATAACGATAACACTGAAGTCACACTCCTCATCAATTCGCTATGATAATCAGATGTTCAGTATTATGTAATCGGGTGGACAGATCGGGTGTAAACCTAATGATTATCACAGAAACATCAGCCTAATGTATGTACAACATTTATCCTTCCTTACTGCGTTTTCTCCATTTCTGTTGAGCTTACTACTTTTGAAGAAGCATAGATTCATGTAACTGTCCGAAGTTTTATTCTTAAGATATAACCTTATTTTGTTATACTGCTGTAAAACTTATAACATACAAGTTTTATATTTGTCGCAAACAAGCATGTTTTAACAGAACAATGTAAATATTAAATTTTGATGTAAATTCGCCAAGAATAAATGATGTAGAAAGGGTTGTATTTTATGTACACTAAGAAATGTTTGAAATATGGTAGCAGATGACCTTATACTCAAAGGATAATGTTTGATTATATACCAAATAATAAGTATTGCTTACAATCAGCTTTAATTTTTTACTTATCAGTTTTAATGGACGGTATTCACCTAAGAAAGTTTATCATACTTATGCCCACGTGTTTATTGACACATACCGGTGTGTTATGGCACAAACACACATTGCTCTCGTCCCCATTATGACACTTTTGTGTACAGGTAAATGATGTGCCTAACTGAAACGCCAGTTTAAATGTTGGTATTTGTAAACAATCGTTAAGTGGTAACCTTTGATCCTGTGCACAGGAACACACTTATTATCGGTTCTGTGAAACCATCGACAAGGAAGTAACTTTATATTTCACTGACCACTTTGACTCCGGAACAAAAACCTTGTTACAGTGCGCGGATCGGTGTTATCAGCGAATTTCAATAAACAGAATATGGACTTTTTAAAAAGTTATGAGCATTACGTTAATTGAGGACATGCCTATACTTAATAAGGGAAATGTGGAGTAGGCTTGTCCGGAAAGTGTATCCACCACTATTGTGTAGTCGTACTGAAAGTGAGGTTTATAACACGTTATAAGATACAGTACTTCCGGGTGTTCCTCAGACGCGATGGGAAGCAGAAAACAGATAATGTGGACTTTACTTCTGTTCGTTTTTACGCAAGGTAAGAAGGGGCATGACGTCTTGGGAGGGACTAAGGGAAAGGCATAACACTGGAAGGGATTACGAAAGAAATTGTGAAAAAGGAAATGCAGGTTAAAGGCATCCAGTTTTAGTTATAAATAAGGACGAGTTCCAATTTACGGTTACTATTGATTTGTTTTTGTAACCGATTCAATATTTACAAAAACAAAAATCTATTGTAACGGTTCAGAAACTTGCGCGTGTTTTGTGATGAGTATCACGAAAATAATGGATATATATATGTAAGTATGAAGTGTTTCTCAGTCCAGGATGTATACTGTATCTGTCAAGTGTTAAATGACTGTGTCTATTGTCATATGACCCTATTTCTCAGGGGAAAATTACTCAGACATGCCTGAGAATAGTGCCTTTATATCAAAATATTTTTAATATATTTCATTCATTTTATGTAGAGCAGAGAATGATGATAATTTACCGCTGAAGAGACAAAACCGATCAATAAATATTTTGTATTGGCAGCAACTACTTTTAACTTCCTTTTTTGAACGCGAATACGGAATGGTCAATAAAAAAATCAATTAAAAAAATAAAAGAATAGTAAAAATGTAAATCTTAATTGAATTAACACAAAACACTATCAGAACAACAAAGATATGTATTTGTTTACTCATATATGATCAATGAGGTAATAACGACAGTACGGACAAGTGAATTGTCAAATTTCCGAGGCAACCTGCCCTTTTATCAAGACACAAACATTACATAATGTGTGTGTGTGTGGGGGGGGTGTTAGGGAATAAAGCCCTCAAGTTTCCGTTTTATCTCTTGGTGTCTTAAATGTGTTATCTTGTTTACTTATGTCAAATTGAAATCGATGTTTAATTCCATGTCTAAATGCAAATATGCTGGCAGCAATGATATAACCGGTACTTATCAATCCATTTAATAATGCACTCGAACCTCGTTATCTCGAACTCGGAGGGATTTTGGGAAAACTTTGAGATGTCCGGGTATTCGATTAAAGAGAATTCGAATGTTTTGTGTAAAGTTTAGCAGGAACCCACGAAATGCTGCGAATTAAACGGAGTCGAGATAACGAGGTTCGAGCTATTGCTTTTTGGTGAATCTTTAGTTTATGATATTTCATCGGAAACTCTCTATGCCGTGTATTCTGTAGTACAATCTGAGTAATCGTTGAAACTTAATTTTTAGGTAGGTAAAAAAAAAATAGTTTTTACTGCAGTTTTTTAGTCCGCACAATAAAAAATTGAGTGTCATGTTTATTTTTTCCAATTTCAAACCCATTCGTCATATTCAACTTTTACACATATAAACTTATACATTATCCTTCAAATGCTAAAGTTTATTTACAATCTACTTAAAATGACGAACGTTAACTTTCTGTAACGAAGCACATGAAATTCATATGACATAGCTTACATTTAAAAAAAATTAATCAGAATACTGAAAAATCATATATTTATGTGGAGATTAATTTGCGTGATTTTTCACAATATTACTTTCATATTTAATATTTGATTCTGTAGATAAATATAACTCAATAATTCTTATAATGATTATAACAGTTGGTGGAAATAAGACATTGTGGATTACGAGTACGATGAAATCAACGAAAATAAATCTCCACGAAAATTATGATTTTAAAGTAAAAATGTATTAACACTATATCAAGATCCGGTCCATCTATATTTAATAGTATTGAAAATTTATCTGAAGTATAATCCAACCAACTTATAAGATATTAGCATTAAGAAAGTAATATTTTTAATTATGTTTTATTAGGATTTATAAGGATATTTAATGGACGCAGGCACACAGTGCCTCTATATCCATATCAATAATAATCATACAATTAAATTATATAGTCACTTCCAATTAGTGAATTGCAATGAGCCAGATGGTTAAATTTCAGTTCGAGATTTTTCCAATGATTGTCCAAATTAATTTCAAAGTCTCTGATTGTTGATGATTGGATTACTTTTTCTGGTAGACTGTTCCATAGGTCCATAGTTCTTAGTCCAAATGAGTATTTCCGAATGTCCAGATTACATGATTTCTTTTTCAGTTTCTTTGAGTGGCCTCTTGTTTTAGAATTTTCGTCTGGATCTATAACGCACATTTTTATCGTTTATGTTTTGAAGAGGGGCAATTGAAATTGTATTAAATTCTAAACTATCTTATATAAAGGGTGCTTTCCTCGCTATTTCACATTCCCTGTTGTGTATCTGTTTACTTCCTCAATGAATGTCCTCCTCAGATAAGACGTGTTTGACCAGAAGTGAAAGTAAGTGTTCTGAGAAGACCTGACTTCCGTTTTAAGAGCGGACGCGCACTCAAACGTCACATTTTCTATATATATTATTTCATTTTGATATAAAAATTACTCTTTTTTTTAAGATATGGTCCAAATATAGAATTATCAAAATACAGCTGAAAATGACTTCCTCACCATGTAACTGCATACAGTAGAGTCCAACTGATTCGTCCGTCTGGGAATTTGTAGTGATGCAAGGGACCTAAATGTTGAAACCTTGGATGCGACTGAGGAACACAATATTTTTGTGGCTTTAATGATACTTTTGTAAAATTACATTGTAAATCTGAAACAATAAACTGTTCTGATATACAGTAAGTAACTTTTGTCATACGAATCCGTCTATGTTGTATCATCATTATACTTACAGACGTATTTTGAGTAAAAAAAAGAAACAAACAAAACGCAATTTATTTCATTGTGTGGTTATTGCATCCTCTCCCACTGTATGTATATTTAGCCTTTCTTTCGGCCAGTTATAATTTTTCTCTGCTACCTAGGAAGTTTTCACACGCAAGCATATACTGAAGAGTACAAAATGGACGAGACAGCAATACATTTTAAGCAAACCTTTATTTAGTTCTCAATTTCTATTGAATACAAAATAATGTTGTTTATAGAGGTTACAGCTCAATATACAAAACACCATTTCTCATCAATACCTAAATTAGCAACTCAAAAACAATTAATTTCCGGTGTTTTCGTTTATCGTTGATCACTTCACACTCGGACCGGTCTGTTAAAATTATGTAACAATGTTACATGTTGAGGATTTGTGCCGGCGTGTTCAGGCAGTCAATTGTGTACACATGATAGCATTTCCTGTGCTCGGGTGGCGCAGTTGTAACTCACATGCCTTCCACCAAGGTTCGCTTCAAGATTTACATGTCTGGTATGTTATTGTGCCTGTAGATAAAGCGTCCAATAACTTGTTCCTTGCCTGCAGACATTATTACATTGCCTGTGTACAAAAGAATTATACTGGCTTGATGACGAGAGAAACCCCATCTACATATTACACAATCTTTCATGTTTCAGTTTTACAACTATTTACATTGCCTATCAATGATAAGGATACGGACTTTCCTCGTTGATAGTGGAATTCTAACCTTCACAAGAATACATCTAAACAACATTAATTTTGGAAAATATGGTCTTAGTCTCTTTGTATTTTTTGAAGGACTCTCCATGTAAACCTTTCTTTCGTTCATATCTTGCCCTAGTTTTATTGGATTTGAGTTTGAATTATGATTCTGTTGATATTTTCTTGTTGTTTTTCATTGTCCCGAGGAAAAGGAAAAAGTATAGGGGAGACTTGCCCGACCGCGTGGGTTTTCTCCGAGCAATACCAACGTCTAGCTTGTTTCGCAATTGTAAAATCGATAAAGTTTATTCTATACCATGTAGTGGGTTTTGAAAATGAATAGATTCAAATTAAGAATAAAGAAACACATATAAAGATATACAGAAAACCTTTACCGCTGAAGCTTTAAACTCAAAAGAAAAAATTACTGAAACTGGTTTCATTCTACATAACTTCCTATATATTTCTATTAAATATGAAATTCTCTTAAACTACGAAATGCTACTGCGTATGTGTTTTATCATGGTTCTCTCTATGAAGAGGACGTACATAATTTGTTTTACATAGTCTTCAATTTAATTTGAATTATTCAAACGAATACCATTCAAAGTAAAATGTATATAAGTTATATATCTTTAAGACTCCAGTTTTTATTTTTCAGCAATCCTCGTCAGCGGAACATGTACCGCAGCTTTGAATGCCTTCAACCCGTATCCAGAAGGTACCATGGTTAATTTAATATGTACCATTTCTCAATGTGTTAACTACACTGGGACTTACCCTCATACTGTCACGTGGGTGAAGAGTGGCATCAAAATAACCAGAGGTGTTACTACTAAAGCATCTTCTACCACTACTCGGAGTACCCTGGCTTTCACCGCGAATAGGAACGATCAAGGAGGCTTAGTAGAATGCCAATCTTCTGCTGCAAAAACAGTCTCAAACAGGCTAAATATCACATGTAAGTATTGCTAATTTACAAAAGCCGCTTACTCTTCCGGAACATTTGGAATGTATTCCGTGTCAACCTCCTTTTCCCGTTTATATTTTGCTACAGTTTGATTGAATTTAGATTTTGATTGTGCTGACATGTCGGTATTTTCTTGTTGTCTTTTGTTATGATACCACTTCGCATTTCAAGATCACTGTATCTAAATATGAAATAGCAATACTTCCGGGTTCAGGATAAAATTATGAAAATTGCAAATCTCTCAATAAGGTAGCACGAACATTTTGAGGTAAATTTTTTCGCGGTTTTATCTCAAGCGTGAATACGAAAAGATATTTCTCCATGTCTGCGGTCCCTCCATTCATTGTATGTTCAGGATGTCACACGAATTTATACTTGTAAATAGCGAGAAATTGTGCTTTTTGTATTTAACAAAAATTTACGATATTTGAATGTTTTTTTTTTACTTTTTTAAATTACATTTAATATTCATGCTTTCAATTTTTGTCTCAGTTGTCGAAGTTAAATCGATATCCAGCCTTAAAAACAAACAAACAAAACAGGCCACCCCGTAACATGGCAACGTTAATTAAATAGAACAATATCCCTTTATTTATATAGATAGCGAGAACGCACTACGCATAGGAAGTCCGATTCCATTGTTCTAAAGTTTGGCAAACCTTGTACTATGTGATAGAGATTTCATATTCTGCTTGTTCTACTCATTTGCTCTCAAAATTTCTATGATATCAACCAGTACAAACACGTCAGCTTTAAACCTGTGGTCTTGCAGATAAGCCTACCATCGACTTATCACCAGCGATTTCCCCATATACAGTTAGCGAACGAGCCTCCGTAAGGTTAAATTGTATTGGTAGAAGTAACCCGCCACCGTTGTTCTACGTTTGGACTAAGAGCCAGGGATTTATAGTGTCATCTACCTCATCGTTCAAGTTTCGGGCAAATAGAGAAGATACCGGTGTCTTTAAGTGTACTGTTGGTAATGATTTAGGAAATACTAGTGCTGAAATTCAGCTCATAGTAAATTGTAAGTATACCACGTTTGTTTATGTTATGATGCTACAATGTATATAATTTTTGTAAATTTAGTTGTAAAACCTAATACTTATTAAGCAAATATTCCTGTGAAGGTATCAATAGTTTTGATTGAAAGTTGTAAATCATACTGTAATGAACGGTATAACAACAAAGACATTTCCATAAGTATTTGCATTTAAAGCGAAAAAAAAAGAAAATATAAAAAAAATTAACGAATTAAAATTTCGTGGTCGGTACAAAAGAGGATAAATGATTTCCGGGAATTTCGCTCCCATTGTCAACTTTTACATTCCTGATTGCCGACGTTATACAAACACATTCATCTATGTAACAGATAGTCTGTATCACTTATCGTGTCGTCCGTTCGGAACAGTTGTATTTTTCGAAATACTCTGGGACAATCGAAGATGGGAAATGGTAACAATTTAGTAAAAGTTTTATATTGCGGATTTACACATGTCTTATTATTTTGCAATCAATTAAATGCCCCACGAACGTTTCCTGCCGTTCAAATCAACTTGCTATAGAACACTCACTATAGAAGGTATATTCGGGTAATTCATCAACGAAAATCGCGTCTAATTGCGTATATTTCAGAATTTTGTAATTTTCGTGTGAAGACAAATCAGTGACAAAAAGGCATGGTGACTATCGGATCACGATTACAATTGGAACAACCCACCTTTTGCTATGACATCCTTGGCTCTATTAGAGAGTGGAAATGATAAGAGGGTATTATGACATATGTGTTTTTCCTAGATAGTTTACATTCTGCCCACATGTGCGTTTCTGTAATCAACAAGATCAACTACGATCAACTGTAAAACGATTAAAATTTAAAATGAACCGTGTTTATTTGACAGATGGTCCGGGTTCCGTATCTTTGTCGCCCAAGAATCTCCATTATGAACCTATAGAAGGCCTTGATGAGATGCCCAATATCAGTTGTAGTGCCGATTGCAAACCGAACTGTACTTACAAATGGAACAATAGTCTGCCGGTTTTAATGTTGGGAATTGCTAACAGGCAGTATACAGGCGGCTATACATGTTCTGCCGAAAATGTTATAGGCAGAGCTGTCAAGTCCATCAGTATTACAGTCAAATGTAAGTGTGGATACAGGTTTTGTTGTAGACATTTAGATGAAGATTGTTGATATTTTCGAATTGGTGATTTATATGAGATAACTATAAAAGGACTGAAAGGATCTGTTTCATTGTTACATACCATTTTAGTGGCCTGTCACGTGTTTACATTATCTTAGTGAATACCTTCCTTTTAATAATCTTTTGAAACCCCTAGAAAATGTTATAGAAGACATGTTTATATATCAAAACCTGTTAAAATGTGGTTGTGATACATAGGAACAACTATCTAATTTACATTGTCATTCTGGAGGAAATTTTTTTAGAGATAATGTCCTTGATAGTTCGATAATAAGGTACAAGTTGTTGTAATTACTAACCACTTCCATAAGGAAATAACCTGCATGTCACGTTTTACTTCATTCAAGAAGTGGCGCGGTTCAGAATGTACACATGTACCTTGTTTACTAATCGATCATTCCTAAAACTGAGTCCCATACCATCACTGACGAGTCCTAGAAGGACGAAACAGCTGTATAATGTAGCATCACCGACGAGTCCTAGAAGGATGAAACAACTGTATGATGTAGCATCACTGACGAGTCCTAGAAGGACGAAACAACTGTATGATGTACCATCACTGACGAGTCCTAGAACGACGAAACGCTGTATGATGTAGCATCTCTACAGCGTCCTAGTAGGACGAAACAACTATATGATGTAACATCACTGACAAGTCCTAAATGGACGAAACAGTTGTATGATGTAGCATCAATGAAGAGACCTAGAATGTCGAAAGAGCTGTATGATGTAGCATCTCTACCGAGCCTAGAAGTACGAAACAACTGTATGATGTAGCATCACTGACGAGACCTAGAAGGACGAAACAACTGTATGATGTAGCATCACTAACGAGACGTAGAAGGACTAAGCAACTGTATGATGTAGCATCACTGACGAGACCTAGAAGGACGAAACAACTGTATGATGTAGCATCGCTGACGAGACCTAGAAGGACGAAACAACTGTATTATGTAGCATCACTAACGAGACGTAGAAGGACTAAGCAACTGTATGATGTAGCATCACTGACGAGACCTAGAAGGACGAAAGAACTGTATGATGTAGCATCGCTGACGAGACCTAGAAGGACGAAACAACTGTATGATGTAGCATCACTGACGAGACCTAGTAGGACTAAACAACTGTATGATGTAGCATCACTGACGAGTCCTAGGAGGACGAAACAACTGTATGATGTAGCATCACTGACGAGTCCTAGAACGACGAAACAACTGTATGATGTAGCATCACTGACGAGACCTAGAAGGACGAAACAACTGTACGATGTAGCATCACTTATGAGACCTAAAAGGACTTAAAAGCTGTATGATGTAATATCACTGACGAGTCCTAGAAGGACGAAACAACTTTATGATGCAGTTTACTTCATTGTTCGGACTTAATGTATCTGTACTCTATCAGAGAAAGTTCTATTCACTTGTGTGTCTTTTGTACAATCCTTAAGTGCTGACATGTCCTCACTTTGAGAGTTCGTCATGATGACTTGTACGACGAGTTTTAGTCCCAGTCAAAGTTCACTATGTCAACCAACCAAAACACGTTGAATGTTTTGTTTAAGAACAATTGTACTGATCAGTTGATGCTGTGGTAATTTATAATACCCATATATCATAAAAAAATGTTTTTATGTCTTAGCATGAAAGGACAATTATTGGCCGTTCAAACCAATTTTCTTTTCTACTGTCACTAGACCACCCTGATATATTTGCCACCACAAGACAAATTGAGGAGGGGAAGGAAGCATGGTTAAGATGTAGAGTTAACGGAGTTCCCGCCAATTACACCTTTTATGAATGGTACCAAGAAATCAAAGGAGAAAGGATTCAGACAGGAAACATCAGCAGCAATGGAATCATGCATATACCTCGTCTGTCTTACATGCATAATGGTTTATATTATTGTTCCGTGTCCAATGGTGTGTGGAACCGCGAAAGAGAGACTATCATCACCGGTAAAATGACGACCCTTAGGGTCAACGGTAAGTAAATATAGTGACTACGGTAATTACAACTAAAGTTAGAAAAAATTATGGTCATATTAAACATGGTAAATATTGTTGGATTTTAATAAGATACTTTATACATTAGACTGAACGAAGGGCAACCTGAGATAGTTACGAATATCAATTATGGTAAATGCAGCTTTTAAGACTTATCCGTTGAAAATAAGAAAGAAGTTAAGAACATAAGCTGGTTTCCGCCACCGTCGAAGATAGTCAAACATCGATGTTCAGGGGACTACCAAATATACTTCGAGACATTGAGACTTCGAATCATTCATGGTGGGTTATGTCGATGTTTATAAGTTCATGGCTATAGTTGCAGTTAAAGACACAATATCCTACCTGAGCGAATACAACAAATATCAAAACACAAGTGAAAATTAAACGGTGCATTTTTATCTTTTAAAAAACAAAATATTTTCATTCATGAAAAAATTAAAAAAACCATAACTTTAATTAGAAGTCAACGAGAAATCGAAAATGCGTGTTTACGTTAACATGCTCTGAAAACGGCTAGTCTGAGTCAACGCATGGAGAACGCATGGTTGACAGATCAATCTGTGTTCTTTTTCAATACATCGAAAAGTTCGATTGATAAAACTTCGATTCATAAGGGGGTAAGTCAGTAGTAGTATATAGAATTTACATTTGGGACCGGACAAAAACTTCGATACATCGAGAAATTCGAATTATCGAAGTTCAATTCATAGAATCTGGCAGTATGTGGAAGGTTATCCCGAACTGGCAGTTCCAATTGCAGGCTAACATACCGATCTGTTGAAACTTAATATTTAATAATTAACGGTAACATATCAACATTATATAATTTTTCAACATGATGTGAAATCCTTAATTTTGGGTATTTATTTTCGTTCATCCAATAGGTACTCTTAATCAATTAAGTGGAATTTCCACAAACTGTTGAGTTAGCCTAAGTCGATTTATTGAGTTAGATTTATATACAAAATCAAATATCAACGAAATAGTAAGTTTATTGAAAGATCACGAATATTCAGCTGCACGATAATAACAGTACATTATAATGTATTATGAGTATTTCTCTATGTCATATGATAACAAAAAAAACTATAATTAGACATTATTCTTAATATCGGCACGGGAAATTCGTTTTGCTTTGTTGGCGGTCGATAAATATAGACGACACCGAACGGTTTTTAAGTGAATGAAATAGCTGTTATGTCTGTGTTCAGGGTATTTTATTCAAAGAAATGTAAAACCTGTCAAAATTGGAACAACCGCGAAATTTAAGATCCGCAAAGTTAACCAACTAAACGGTATTTCAGAGGTAATAGTGGGCTTGGAAGGACATTATCTTCAGGCGTAAGAATGGACAACGACCGACATAATTGATGTTTTCTTCAGAAGTAACTTGAAGTTACAGTCATCTGCTTCAAAAGTAAGAGTAAACTACAGTCGGTACTGAAGACACTAACTTCAGAAATAAGTCTGTTTTGCGACTGCTACAGAATACATAGACAGAATAGGCAGCCACAAGCAGAGACCACACCATAGGTTATTTAGTCCGAAGTAGGAATCCGTAAGGAATGGCGACTCACGTGAATGCTGAGTTAATAGGATTTTGTCGCGATAAAAGGCGTTTACTTCCCCCAAACAACTTAATATAGAACTGATCAAAATATGTTTTTGATAGAAATCAGAATGAAAATGAAAGATAACATGAATATTGAACTTCATTATAAACATCGTTACTATGGTTTCAGGCCCACCCCACGATCTCAAAGCCCTCTATACCAAGACGGGAGACGTGGGTGCGGGAATCACGTTCCTTGTGGATTTCGTTCAGTTTTCAAGCGGACAAATAACTGTCATGTTGTACAACATGACTTCGGGAGAGTTGGTTACACCAGACCGGGGCAACATCACTTTGGAAGTAACCGATTTTCACACGAAGTTCTTCTCAACCGACGTCACAATAGAAGCTCATCGTATCAAGGCGACAATAGCGGAAGTGACGTCTTGGGATTTCGGCTACTACATCGTACATTTGGAGAGTTCAGAGCAGAAAAGGGTGTTTCATCTCAGAATTGACCGGGGTAAGTCTATTTCCAATTGCTTACACAATTTTCACAACTATGACAGAACTAAAGATTGACAGGATGATGGGCAATACTGTATCTATTATCCGTGCTTTGGGAAGACAAGGATATATGTTGAGTATTCCCTGAATGCTGAAGTTATTGAAAAACAGACGTTCTATGGTCATACTAAAATCCGAGCAGATTACCGCCCAAATCCACTGGTTATGATGTTACAAATTCTACTATTGTCTGTTTTAGTTTCCAACCGTTTTTTAAGTTTGTCCTTGCTGATTCTGATAACTTTTACTTTTAAAACAATTTTATTTGGTAGAATAATTTCTATAGCGTCCTCGATTGATAAAAGAAATCTGCCCGACATTGTGGTTGCACTCGAAACTCTTGGGTAACTACTATCGACATTAAACAAAGAAATTAAATGACAGAGATTTGATCACAAGCGACACTATGTTTTATAATCCTCCTTGTGGCCAACTTCATCATTTCAAATTGTTATACAGCTGAGACATGATAACTTAAAATGACACTATAATGAGTTCTAAAAATAACATTTAAATGAGTTTTCAAAATGACACTTAAATTAAAACTCAAAATGACACTTTAACGATTACTCAAAATGGCACTTTAATGTGTACTCAAAATGACTCTTATATAAGTACTCAAAACGACACTTTAACGAGTAAGAAAATTACACTTTAATGAGTTTTCAAAATGACACTTAAAATGACACTTAAAACTGAAAATGACATTTTAATGAGTACTCAAAATGACGCTTTATTGAATTTTCAAAATGACACTTAGATGATTACTAAAAACGACACTTTAACGAGTACTCAGAATGAAAATTTAATGAGTACTCGAAATGGCACTTTAATGTGTACTCAAAATGACACTGTGATGATTACTAAAAACGACACTTTAACGAGTACTCAGAATGACATTTTAATGTGTACTCAAAATGACACTTAAATGAATTTTCAAAATGACACTTAAATGTGTACTCAAAATGACATTTTAATGAATTTTCAAAATAACGCTTTAATGAGTTCTCAAAATGAGACTTTAATCAAGAAAGAAATATTTGAATACAATTGATTTCTTTTTATTCTTTTCGAAAGTTTCCGTTTCTACAACTGGAAAGGCAAATGGATGGATGGTGTCGACTGTAATTCTGCTGGTGGTGATGGTGGTTCTCTTCCTTATCGGGGGTGCGTGGATCTTAAGACGAGGTATATTGACTTGTTACACATGTTAACTATATATTTTGTGAAAATTAGTTTGTGATAGCATAGCCGATATTTTTTTCAGTACAGAACGTTACAGGTGGCACCAATGACATTTACCATCTTGAAATATATACGGCTCCATCTGGACCATTGGCTCCATCTAGATCCACAATAGCGTTCATGTCGCCTCCAGATCTTTCGTATGTTATCAGAGTTAAATAAGTGAACCAGGCCTAAACAATGACAGTACCGGAATTCATCATAATCAACCCAATACATTTCGAATCCTGGAAAATTCACAACATTGACATCAGTTTTATACGCACAAACCCCAATATATGCATCGCCAATAGGAAACACAGGTGTGTCCTGGAATACCTTCGACAGTTTGGCGACCGTTGATTTGTCCATTAGATACCCAGCTCCACTACAATATGGCGGATACAATGATCCAGAATACTCCTTCGCAGAAACATAATACTTACTTTTCTGTCTCCTGGTTGATTTCACATACGATTCATAACAATGCCCAACGATTGTGTTCTTTGAATAATATCTTCGGATAATTCTAAATATGTAAGGAACATTTAGGAAAACATCACTATCTGCTTTAAATACATACTTAATATCTTGACATTCATGGTAAAACCAGAGAAATGCTGGTGTCAACTTTTCTGTGAGTTTTCTGTAATTCTCCGTGACATCTACTTGCAAGATATCCCCGTATGTAGAAAGTTCCGATGTCAGTTTGGCCGGCTGCCTCGACTGATCATTCCCTACCACAAACACTACCTTGAAATTCCCTGCCCGTTGTTCTTCTATGCTTCCCCAAGTCTGCCGTATAATTTCGCGCGATGTATAGTCATGATTGGTAGATGTAACCATTATAAGAAGCTCAGGAGAAATGGCGGACAAAGTTTGGTTTGAAGTGCATATCTTATTAGATAGGTTGCTAACAGATGCAAGTTCATAACAGTTGTCACAGCTAGGGATTGTCAAGATCAAATCTGCAGATAGGAAATAGTATATGAGAAAAATAGTCCCGGACAAACACAACGTCAGCAGAATGGACCGAACAACCTTGCGTCTGTTTGTCACATTCAAAAATACAGAAGACCTTCGTTTACTACAGCAAATGTACCTCATCGTAAGTTCTAAAAAAGATAGAAACAATAGTTAGGAAACTCTTCAACAACATCATTAGATATTTTCAGTCAATAATGATTCTCTGCGATTTTTTTTCGCTTTGAAAATCTTTCTAGTCAATATCAGTTTTTGAAGTGACACAGAGTATTTGTCACATTAGTTCTTTCATACAATTTACAATACATCTGCAAACACATGCATTGATTGCACGAGGGACAGATGGCATGTTTCCATGACAACATTCTGTAGTACCCTAATGAAGGCATAGCTCGGCTAGAAGTAAGATAAAACATACTAAAATCGCTTACCTTTTTCATGGCAAAGTAATTATTAATCTTAGACAATTAAACCTCTTTAAGCATATGTATAAATAACATTGCTGGACTAAGCCTTGAGGAATATCACGTGGAAAAAAGCACATAGGGAAATGACGAAAATAATCCGACTGATCAATAAACCTTAAGCACTTTTTTCATGAGTGACCTATCATTTACAGATCATCACTGTACATCGAAAGTGATGTTAGGTTAATTGTTGCTTTACGTCCTATCAACAGCCAGGGTCATTTAAGAACTGTTAGGTTTGGTGGTGAAGGAAAGACTGAGTTCCCGGAGAAAAACCGCCTATGTGCGGTCCATTCATGGCGACTGCCTCGAACCCAAGAGGTGGAGGCTAGTCATAAAGACGGGCGGACCCATTCGAAAATGATATTACCAAGAACACACAAAATGACGGTCAACGAAGATGTCTGAATATCTCTGAGTGTTTCATGCCTATATCAACATCCAAATTTTCGTACTTTTTTCAAGTACTCGTAAAAATGTAATTTAATCCGAATGTTTGAAAAAAGGTAACGGAGACTTCAATGGTCATTTAATAATCGAAACACGTCATAATAGTTTGAAGATAATATGTATTAAGTTTTGGTGAAGTCTTTATAACTGAAGCCGTACCACGAACAAACCTCACCGTTTCTTTGGGATATCACTTTCGACCACACGATTCTTTATCATCACTATCATATATGTTTGTATTGTATATTGGACACCTGTATTTACTACATAATGTTAAAATCTATGTTAGCTGCTTGAATCCTCCTAGCACCTCATCCACCTCTAATTTGGCATGTATGTCGCTAGTATGATAGTCAGAAACCGAATGTGATGACATGATATGGGTTGAAGATGGTGCAACAAACTTACTGCCTTTGATCATTTATGTCACCATATATTTACTTTAAAATTTGTTAAAATGTCACTTCTCTGAGTTACAGGATTGAAACAGAAAGTATGTGATCTTTCTGTGTGATTTTATGAAACTTGTTTCGAAGTTTTAATTTCCGCTCACCAAGGCTCACAAAAATAAAAACTCGAAAGACTCGTGTCTTAAAATCTCGTAAATATATATATCTCAAAATGCTTTTAATTAATTAACTGATTAATGAAATGTAGGAGAGTCATCGTCAGAAAAAAAACCGATTTGAAATAAGATAAAAATAATAAATTATGTAATGAAAAAACAATTTTCGAAACTAAATCTAATGTCAACAAAATGTAACTCGGAAGCCAGTGTGTTACCTGTTGGTGATCTTTCTATGCCGACAGGTGCACTTGCTACTTGATACGTTTTAGGTGTTATCTGAGTGTGGCACGTTAAAGCCGGTTGCTGCTTGGGGTCGTCGATGGTTTGGGACACCTTGTGGTGAAGAGGAGTCCTAGCTGTACCTGTATTTCTCTGACTATGATAGACGTACATCTTGTGCCCCGATCTAATAAGGCTTATATAGCGTACACATCGTTAAATATTTCATTTTGAAATTGCCAATAAAGACATGATATTTAATTAGTGATACGCGTTGAGACCTATCCCGTGTAAATACCTGACATATATCTATTTAAATATAGTGCTTAAACATTAAACGAAAATACAACTAAATGAAAATTACAAAAATAAAAAAAAAAGTCATGATGCGTAATGTATGTGAAAATCAATGGGATTTATTTTTAAAGATCTAATTATGAATGTGGTCCCAGTATCTGTTTAGACTCGTGATTAGTAAATACGTCATATAAGTATGACATTTTATTTATCACGAACTCAGATGTATCCTTATATCCATAAGTACGTACACACACATATATATATATATATATATATATATATATATATATATATTCATAGTAGAAGTAAATTGGGGTTTTCTTTATCAAACACTGTATTGTTACTTTAGTACAAAGACATTAAACTTTGGTTCCCTGTGTGGCGCCCAATATTTTTAGGGAAACGAAATAACTTTCACTCATGTTTCAGGTAAGAGGAACAAAATTTGTTCTTTCAAATACCCAAATTGCCTTGAATCATGATCTTAAGCTGAAAGCTGATGAATCCCTTCAAAGTTTGCGAAATGAAATGTCCCTGGAAGTAAAATTTATTAAACTATTCAACCGAAAGCCCTATCAGTTTGATATCTAGCTTGTACAAGTCCCAAACCGTTTAGCAGTCCCACAGAAAGCATTCCGTTCACCCTTAATGCGTAAAGATCGTTTCCGTTCTGAATCTTTTACCGTTTGCTTTTACGTCCGTTTGCGTTTACGTTTAGGTTCGTTTTCCGTTTCTGTTCGACGCGATCCGTTTTCATTTGCTAACTGTATTTGAAATATCGGAATCAATACGCATGCGCAAGAACAATTAATTATTGAAACAGATACCGGTGCGACCTGATGCAGCCGGGTAATTACAAAATACTTCACAGGCTCTTTATTCTTTGAATTTATATAGATTCAAGAACCTACAAATCAAATTGCATGTTCTTAAAATAAATCTTTGTTCTCACACCCTTACATACTCAATCTATCACCTTAACTTTCAAAATCAATTAGATAGACTGTACAAGGAGTGACATAGGTTACTTACCTGGGAACCGCGCATAGGAGGTATCACAGGAGTGACACCTGTGCGAGTAAGCCTCACACAGGTAGCGGGAATAAAGGATAAACCTATCATTCGCACGCTCGCACGCTCACTGTACGCATATCCATGCGCGCATTGGTGACCATATGTCCTGAATATATTTAAATCCATGTAACAGTGAGATATAGAACACACGAAGATTGAATTAATATCTGAATTAATGCACACAATAATGTTTACGCCAGGATATACGAAAAAGCCTCAGTTATGACAGAATCGTTACTGTAACAGATGAGAAAATTCACAATGTTCCATTCATCTTATACATAATATTGTCCATTGAAAACATCGGTCGGTGAATTAAGTTATTTAGGTTTCAAATAGAACGACATAGCTTTTCGGTGTTTGTAGCATTCTGCTACATTGAATTGGTCACCTTAACGCACTCTCTGTCTCTCTCTGTCTCTCCCTCTCTGTATATTTAAGCTTGGTTACCTGTATGTATCATGATTATACATGTCAACATCACATATCCCATCCTTTTTTTATCAGACGGGCTGCCAAAATGTTTACAAAAAGAAAAAGAAAAACCAAGGTAATTGTTTAAGAAACATGTTTTGAGTGGCTCTCTGGTTCTTCTATATTGGCACAGTGTTTGATCAGTACGCTAATGCAAAAATATAAAGGGTAGTAAATGCTTGCTAGAATTGGAATTTTATAAACGAATACACCACTGATTTTATTTCAAAGCTTAAAGTATTCTTTATATCAGGTGGTTATCATAACATTTACAAAGAATATATCTAAATTACTGTTATCAGGATGAAAGACAAACAATACAACTTCAGCCTATCAAGGCTTAATGAGAAAAGAATGAAATGGAAATTAATGATGAATTTTAATGCTATTCATACTTCAAAGAAAAGCGTTTTAACACTTAATATATTCATGTTTCAGTGACACAGGGGACAATGATGTTGAAAACTACAGTGGTAAGTAGCGTATTGCATTGATCACATGTCATTTCCTCTGCCCACTGACCAATAAAGGTCATATGTTGGCGGAGTTACCATGTTGTGCAAACCATGTGTCTACCTACTGGTAGATATAGCCTTGTTTGGACAGAAAGTTGAGGTTTACTGCGGTCATGTTTTGTTATCCTCCGCCTAACAAAGTTGGCGGGAATATTCAAATATCTTCCGACCGTCGGTCCTTCCGTACATCTGGATACAGCTTTCGACGTGATATCTTTTGAAGGACTGGTCAGATTTTGATGAAACTTGGTTGGTACCCTTGTAACCGTAATCCCTTGCCCAAGTTCGATCCACGGCAAATTCTGCTCATATTTAACTAGGCTGCTGTGACCTAATTGACTGATTTTTCTTTAATCTACGGAATTTTTCTACACAATTTCGTGTGAAGGACTAGTCAGGTTTTGATGAAACTTAATTCCTTGTTCAGGTTCAATTTTCGGCAAATTCTATGAATATTTTATGAGACTGCTGTGACCTGATTGACTGATATCTTTCAGCACTCTAACTGAATGCTTTTCGCACGTTATCGTTTGAAGGAACAAATGAACAAAATACGAAATTTGCTTGGTAGATTTGTTACCTTAATTCCTTGTTCAAATTTGATGATCGGCAAATTCTGTGCATATTTAATGAGGCTGCTGTGAACTGATTGGCTGATATCTTTTCCAGTTTTACATCTTGCTAGCTTTAAATGTATATATGTTACAAATGAACATGGGCGGGGCATCTTGATGACTATGTCCTCGTTAAGAATTAGTGATATATTCGTATAGATATATACAAAATACTTGGAAACTATTTCCTTTGTACAAACAATGCCTTTTCCATTCTCTTTTTATTTTCGAAATGCAATGCATATCACAATCATTATGATGATGTTGTCTTCTCACCCGTCTTGTAGATACTCAGACGATTGATGGGATGTCTTATGACCCAAGGTAGGTTTATGAAAACGAGTGTAATCACGCGAGATTGGTGGCAATGGTAGGTTTACAAGGACAAACAGTATTTCTATCTGTTTTTAATAATTTAAAGCATTGCCGACCCTTGCTGAGCTCGCATAATTTGACGTTTTTTTATATGAGGAAGGGGAGAGGGGTTGCTGACAAGTAACTGTGATCAGCCAGAGACAAACTACAATCACAGATAGGTAGTTGGAACCCTTCATGCTAAGTTTCTGATATCAAGATTGTATATCTTAAAATTTAAGTAGCACAGTAGTTGTGCTTTCATCTCTCCGACATTTCATCGTAAGAGGCACACAATATTAACTATAGCCGTGTGGTCCTGGTCCGAATCGATGTCTTGTTCTGACAACCATAGAAAATAGAAAGGTCAAATTTGACAACATATGTAATAAAAAGTTTGTGAGAGTTAAATGAAAATGTTTGCAATGAAGTTGTCTTTCATGTTTTGTAGTTTTAATAGTAAGTTAATTCCTTTAGGGAGTCAGACAATTATACAGTCTTTAGTGTACACGCTACACCTCCTTAATTTTGCCAGTTGAATCCACGTTAAAATGAATGACATTTTACCTTTTCATATTCAATGTTCATTTATATTATTACTTTTGCATTATAGGATTACAAATCTTATGACCATTTACTTGTTGGTTGTCAATCTGTTTTATCTATGTCTGAGATATTGTGAAAATTGTTCTGAAATAGTAATTAAACACACAAAAACGGCCATGAAATTCCACGAAAACTGAATTTTATAAAAAGTTTCCAATTCATATGGAAGTTACGAAATATGTTCCCTCATTCTACGGAGCTAGAGGGGCTGAGTTTTACTTTCAGTTGTTTACTTTTTGATAGTGTGTACACACCTCTTCAAATAAGGCAGCCGGTGGCACCCGAAAATCCCTATGGAAACCTTCAAAACCAACCGGACCAGACCTACGAATTTTTAAAAGCAAAAACCATTGATGAGCAAGCAACAGATACGGGTGCAGACTTTCAAAGTTCGCAAACAGGACTAGAAGCAGCCTCTACCGCAGCGGAAGCTTCTTGTCTCTACCAAAATGTAAATATTGCAAAGGGGAGCATTCACAATGCATATAACAAAGAAAAACGAAAGCCACCAAAACCTGCGCCAAAACCTGCTCCAAAACCTGCGCCAAAAGAGCCACGATCAGGAAAGCCGAAGAAGCGCAGAAAGAAAGAAGGTGAGTATTGAACTATTGTTTACAAACTATTTAAGGTATGACAGTTGTGTTATTAAATGTGGTTAAATTTTATGAATGATTTGCTGACGTTTCAATCATTACTCTTGTAATTTCATTTTATTTTCAGTTCATACAAATGGGGCTTTTTCAGAAACCAAAGAAATATGACGGAGTTTAGGATGGAATGTTATGTTTCATAGCATGTGACAGAAAAAAATCCCGAAAAGTTACATGATTTAAATAATAATAAACTGAGAAGACACGAGCTGTTAATGACACAGCGACTGTTGACTGCCACAATTACAGAATACGATGGAGATATATCTCAGCTAACGGAAAGTGAAGATTTCAATTATCCCTGTATCATGAAAGGATGTGTGACTCCACAATGGAGATCTTATTATCCAGACCTAGTCGAGGAAATGTTGTAGTCATAACGACCGAAAGTGAATCTGTCTGTTACATAAAATGGAATATCATATGTGGAATATATGGAATTGTGATTGTTTCGAAGACTCAGTATTATATTGATGACTTGTATCGTCCCTGAAATTGAATATTTTGCTGACATCGTCTGGATTAGGAATTCGAATGTCTGAATGCCTTATGACTTGAGTTCTCAGTTACTCTATGTTGTCAATATACTCAAAGATAGTGTGAATGTGTAAGTGGGCTTGTCTAGTAAGGAAACTTGAATGACTTAGTATGTCCATTCCAGAGTTTGGAATTGTCATAATGACACAAATGCCCCGTCGTCTAGGTAACCGAAGATGAGATTATGTTAACCTTTTTCGAAAGACATGCTGAATATAAATAGACAAATAAGGTATTTTGATAATTAAACATATTTTGTTTTTGTAATACCGTTGATGTTTTCAAAAGAAATTATGAAGTATCACAATTTTGATTATTTTCTTTCCACTGGGCACCTGTCACTGCATTGGTCAAGTCCAGGATTAACATGTTCTGTCCCTGTCTTATGTCTCGTGTATATGTTGCATGTTATTGATCATTTATGATTTATTTTATTACCCTTTAAAACAGCTCAATATCAACAATGATAAATAAGATAAAAACATGTGGTATTTTAGATGTTTTATAAGCATGGGTCAATATTATTATACCATATGTATATAATGCCTTTCAAAACAAAATTAAAAATTATTAAAAATGAAATGTATTTCATACGTTTATGCCAAGCTGTTACCACATTGTGTTTCCAGGGAGTTTTTCAGTAATTTCAAAAACTGGTGAGCAATACATTTAATTACAACATTTTTTAAAACAAATCATTTCAGCTTTGACATGATGTCCAACAAATATCGTCTACAAACTCAGTTAAAAACACTACATGAATATGAAAAATAATATATGATATATATATTCATTGTCAACGTACATTTAGTGGTCATCTTTTTATAGCGCTTAATGTATTGCTAAGATAGAATCGCTCTAATACAAGTTTTGTATGTTGTATGAAATTGTTTTGTATGCGGGAATTCATCATTGCGCTTATTTGTTCAAAATTGATATTGCAATAAAATGTATTGTGCCAGAAGAAGTAAATTTACGGAATACGTGTATTATAAACAGATAATAATCATTATCTCCCCTTTAATCAATAGGCGTTATTCTAGATTTGACAATGTAATTAATAATTACGGTTCAAATATTCGTTTTCATGTAAAAATATCACTTATTCAAGAGACGAGTTTGTGTTATACATAAAAGTCATATAAAATAAGATATATTTAAGAAATAAATGTTTTCTTTAATTATCGTATTTGAAATCAAATAACATGTTGACAAAAATAGAAATAATGAATTTGATGATAGAATATTTTTCTTTACATTCATACGTTATTAGTGTTTCGTGAATTTTTATAAGTCTTAACCATGTATATATATGAATCTGGAGTAATAGACAACGACATTATCAAACAAGAATATTGCATTGTAACACACTGAAATATGTACGTTCAACTTAAATGTTTGCTAAACATCCAACGTAAATACGTTAGAAAAAAAAATAAAAATAAAGTATAAATATATTTGTGAATAGAATATACTTCTCTGTTATTTATGACATATTGTGCAAATAAAAATCGTGTACAAGAATTCCTATCATCTAATTTAATTCTGTCCTAAAATTGGCAATTGAAGCTTATTTGAATTTGTATCTTTAGTTGGAAGATATAGTTCAGTCAGTGATTTCTAATAGAAATACGCGCTAGTCCAATGTCCAACCCAAACTCTATAATATGCATATTGGATTTTATTTTAGTATATACCATAGACTGATGATCCGGTGACAATCATGTTCACAATCAGGTTGATCGCCTTTGATATTTTAGTAATGTAGGATTTCTACCCGAATCTACCATGCTTATTCCAGTCGTATCACTGTCAAGTTTCACCATTGTTATGGCCTCCATTGGTATCTTTGCCACAACGCTCCATGATAACGCTGCACATACAGTAGCACTGGAGATGTTAACACCTCTAACTTACTTTGAGACAAAATATTTTCACCCGTAATTATACAATTTCTTTTTCAAAATATCGAAATTGGTTTCCTATTTTCGTCGCTTTACAGTACACAGAATTACTAACTTCGCAATCAATTTTGTAATGCCAGTTACAACAACTTGTTCTATAATCTTCCAAATGTCTTCTTTGATTAAATATTATAATTCAGACCCATTGAAACTTTTTCCATTAACACAACAATACTGTTCTTCTGGTGTTTTTATTGTCTGATGTATTGTATTTGAATTTTTTTCCCCAATATCATGATTCGGAACCCTGTCTGCCATTCGTATAATTGTGTTAAGCATTTCCGATATCCATTCGTAACCACCTCCGTATTCCGATGCAGAGTATAACCATTGTTTTCAGCCGCACAGTACGTTTATCACAACTGATCGCAAACTCTTAACATGGTGAATAACGAGTTTTTATCATACTGATGGACATATCAAATAAATAAAACACCCGTAGAAAAAGTTTTAAAATGTTGATTTTCGACATTGTCTGAATCATGACGTCTTGGATTGCTGACGTGGTCAACCTCTCTCAATGCATGGAGTTTATATTTCTTCCTTCAATATTTTAATTCAAAAGTTTCCTTTTGGAAAATTGAGTTTGTACATGCGGACACAAGGAAAATTAGCATGTAATCTTTATCATTTAACTACAGTATTGTTGAAATTCACAACTTCAGACATTAAAGATCACTGAATAGTTATTCCTGTGAATGATGGAGAGACGATAATTTTCTGTTTAATGAGTTGATTATAGAACCTGGCGTTTACAGGATTCAGCTTCATCGTCTGGATGAAGAATGAATGATGCTTTCCTGAAAATTATGTATTGATCAAGGATGTTCCAGGAAAAGGCATCGTCATTTAAACGTATTTTCTGATTAACATAATCATTTATACATTCTTAGCATTTTTGTTTACTATAGTGTTAGTAGTCTAGACAACTCTGTGATAACCGGTAAAAAGACACAGTTGTTTCCTTAAAAATAGTCGCTCTCATAGCATCCTTTGGTATTCCCGACTAATCTAGTTTTCCTGAGTCATCCATATTTTTACATCACATCATTGTACTATGGTTACACTGACGACTGCTGTTCCCTGTCCTTAGAATGTTACATTTTCTCCCCTTGGTAAGCCTTGTTGTCCATACCAACCGTGAGATTCTCATTACCGTTTTTGTAGCCGACTTTCTCAGGGAAATCTCCGTTGATTGAAGAAAAATTGCCATGAAGAGGAGAATAAACTCCCGTACGATCCTCATCTGCAGCAGGACCCCAATGGGGTTCGCTTCTCAGTGCCTTGCGAACCTGAAACACGACAACACATAAGTGCAACTAAACCAAAACATTCTAAAGTACTCCGTACCACTGTACATACAGTTTTGCTAACGTTTCCTCATTCACAGAACTCCACTTATTGTATATTAATATTCTTCTAGATGTTTCCTTCGTTTCTAATATTCTTCTATAAAACATATTTACTGAGAGGAAAAAGAAACGCAATTAGCAGAAAGTTAATATTGTAAATTAATTCCTTGACGTACACCCTTGAATCTTGACAAATGTGTGCATTTGAGTTAGGTCCCTATGGTACCGACTTAAAATCACTGATGCATAACTAAACTGTGTACGCTGCTTGTACAAAAGAATAAGAGACAAAAGCACGATATCTCGAACCCAGTATAAAGGATTGGCTCAAAATCTGTGTGTGCGAATCTTCAGACATATCCGTCTTGATTTCTCACATTTTAAGCATAAACAGTTTACCGTAAAAAATGCAACGACTGTCCGAAGTTGGCAGGGGTCGTGCCATTGCACTTCTTATGCAAGGTACCCCGCAAAATCAGGTCGCTAATCAATTTGGAGTCTATCCATCGAACATTTGCCGTCTCATCCAAAGACTACATGCCACCGGAAGGGTTGCAGACCGTCCCCGAAGCAGTCGCCCTCGTGTGACGACGAGTCGGCAGGATAGGGCAATGCTAGACGAATGCAATGGCTGAACGCACATTCCGTAAGACGCTTCCCAATGCAACGTTGGAGAAGGGTCCTGTTCTCAGATGAGTCCAGGTTTTCGCTTTACCGGGCAGACGGCCGACGTCGCGTCTATAGACATACCAACGAGCGCTATGTAGATGCTTGCGTAATAGAGAATGACCGCTTTGGAGGAGGATCGGTCATAGTATGGGGAGGGATTGCGTATGCTATCAGGACTCCTCTGGTCGTTATTCACGGCCGTCCGCTATAGATATCAAGTCCTAGCGCCGCATGTTGTTCCCCTAGTACAGCAGCGTCAACTGACGTTTGAGCAGGACAACGCCCGGCCGCATGAAGCGAGGGTTTGCCGTGGTTATCTCGCAACAAACAATGTCCCCACCCTAGACTGACCCCCATACAGCCCTGACCTCTCCCCAATAGAACATTTATGGGACGAGTTGGACAGAAGGATAAGACGTAGGCCGAATTCTCCAATCAACGTCGCTCAGTTGGCGTTGGCGCTGGATGAGGAATGGAATCGTATACCAATGAGGAGGGTTAATACCCCGATCAATTCAATGCACAAAAGAGTTCGTGCAGTTACTGCAGCTCGCGGGAGCACACACGATATTGATGGGTCCTGAACGCACTTCATTTTGAGTGGTGTACTCTTGAATCAACGTCAAATTTGAAGGGTTTACTTAACGTACACGAATGAAATTCTCGTAGATGACAGAGTAGTCAACTATATACCAGTTACACCATAGTTACATTTTAAAACCCTTTTCTATTTCCCGTAGTTGACCTGGAAATTCCTAATTGCGTTTCTTTTTCCTCTCAGTATAGTTGTTTTCTCTTGCCGGCTACTGCCAAACTCACAACACGGAGTTTCGAGGACTGCAGGTTGATTAAGTTAATGGTCGTTATAATGAAATCACCGAGAAATATTTCATTTCTTTTTATGATATCTGGATGTTTGGTGCTCGTTTGTATCAGTTAGTTCCGTTGTTCGTTAGCTTGTTCTTACTTTAGAACTGACATAACTTACTTATAGTGACTAAGATGTCTAAATCTTTCTTTTGTGCCTACTTTGCCCTAGTTTCATCGACTTTCTGATGGCATATAGATTCATTTGACAAGTCGTTATTTTCTTAATTGTCTTGTACAATATATGTAAAAAAAAAGGAGAAAAAAAAAAAAAAAGAAAAAATCAAAATTAAAAATCGGTCGTAATAAAGAGGAATATTTCATCAAAGAATGTCCATGTAGGTCGTTTGGACATTTTACTTCGTTAAGGACGCCATAGAAACAACACACATTTGGTGAACTGCTCGTTTACACGTGTTCTGCTTGCGCGGAAAAATATATCCAACAAACAAAACCACTTTGAGTGAGAGGAATGACTTGTCATTAGCTGTAGCTACAACCCTACCATATACTCTCAATCCCTGAAAGAGTGAGAGGAATGACTTGTCACTAGCTGTAGCTACAACCCTACCATATACTCTCAATCCCTGAAAGAGTGAGAGGAATGACTTGTCACTAGCTGTAGCTACAACCCTATCATATACTCTCAATCCCTGAAAGAGTGAGAGGAATGACTTGTCATTAGCTGTAGCTACAACCCTACCATATACTCTCAATCCCTGAAAGAGTGAGAGGAATGACTTTTCATTAGCTGTAGCTACAACCCTACCATATACTCTTAATCCCTGAAAAAAGTACATTCTTACGTTTCATTGATTCAGTAATGATAATAAGCTCTTCGTTTTTAACCCCGAAAATTTATGTAAAAGGAAATTGAACGGGTTTTTTTTGTATTGAACCAATGGGACAGATTTGTGTGATGTTATAAGATATTTCTAACATTGCTAACGAGGAAACATTGGTCACAATGAATCACCATCCTGTCATCAGATGTTACCGGAAATTTCCCCTCTGTATTCTTGTTAAGGCTAGCCAGACGCACAGGAAATTAACAATAAAATTTCAATAGAACATGAATTTTTTCTTATTTCCCATTTCCAGAATCATTACGGACTGAATTACTAGAAGTTTATCGTATCCTTCCTGATGTACTGGATAACACCACAAACGTATCACATGATCCCATATGGACGAACTGACCTACAACAAGTAGATCGGAAATGCATATGAATCTAATGTTACTCGAAACTTACCCCTCCTTTCCTAATGGACTGCACAACAAAGCCAATGATGATAAGCAAAACAGGAGACAGTGCCATGAGCCATCCGAGCACCTCAGCGAAGGACGGGAAGGTGTAATCCCCCAAGTAAGCGGGTACATAGTTGATGGCCATCATTATAACGATGAACTGGAAGAAAAAATCGTAGACATTTGATTTAACAATATTTTTCTTTATCTTTCAAATAAGCACTATATCCTTTCATCAATGTTATAACACGCCTGGCATTTTGTATGGACATAAATGTAATGTGACCTAACGGAGCTGTTGGCGACTGAATATTCTTATTGCTTCGATTGTGACGTCATACTTTCAATTCGTCATATACATTATGACGTCACTAAAGAAAGAGATAAAGAAAGAGAATAACGCCAGTTAAGTTTTTTTTTTTATCAATCTGGTAAAAAGAATGCAAGTAATGTGATGATCATGATCTGATATTCGTTGCCGCTTCATATATAATTTATGAATATCTGCACGACTTTTCTTTCCTTGCTAGGGGCTGCGTTAGGGGCTAAGACCCGTTTCCGAGACTCGTAAATAAGACAACAAAATTGAAACTAAATAACATGATAAGAATTGGAGATACTGAAATCACGTAAAATATATAAGAGATACTTACAGCAATAGCAATGGGTGTGATACAACACCACGTGACGTAAAAATACGCCCACAAGATAGGGCTTGTTTTCCCCAACATCATCTCCACATCCCTGCGGAATCGGTTTATACCTGGTGAGATAAAACATTCAATGGCTAGTGTTTATAAAAAAACACTGGATATATGACATTTACAGCGTGAAATACAGATTATACACAAATAAAGAGAAAATATCCAGGAACCACCAGTCTTAAAATAGGGTTAGTGCGACGATTATTGCTTATTATAACTATCATAACGTTCCTTCATTAAAATCAAGTATACGTTATTAAGTTTCTTCAATTACAGATCTTGCTAATCTAATATAACCTCACTGGTTTGCGGGACTGATTCCAAAGTATCGATGTGTCTAATTTAAAACGATAACACAAACAATACAATTTACCCTTAACTAACATTAAAAGAAATTGATTTTAAAAAACCGTCTCTATTCATGCAGAAATGTTATCTTGTATAAGATTTTGATAATATTGTGCACTGTTTAAACAGGCGAAGTCAATTATTTTAAACAAAAATATGATCCTATTTGGCGGGGAGTACCATCATTACATAATCGGTTTAATGTAAAGGAATCAGAGTTGAAATTCTACCTTACATTTTAAAAAAATGTATTATTTTCCTAAAACAAAGTTTTAAAAAAAATCACTTTTCTGAAATATCGAACTTCAATAAATTATTGTATTAAGATACCAGTAGTGTGGCAGTTTTAATTATATATCATTGTAAACGGACAAAGCCTCAACAAAATAAAGAATTGAGAAGTATTCTAGTTATGTTTGCGATAGTAATCCGGACGTGTTTGATGTTCCGTACCTGTTAGTTTCGTTGTTATCATTTGAGAATTTGACATTACTTCCTTGGATCGATGTATCGGGTGTAATCGATGAACCAGAAGTGGTGTAATCTACACGTCTTTTTCTCATTGTACTTCATTGTCTCAGTGTATTTTTTGTTTATATCTAAACCTCGTTATATTGAATTTGAGTTTGGATTAGGATTATTATGTTCACATGTTCATATTTTCTCGTAATTTTTTTTCTGTACAATAGTGCATCTGTTAAAGTAAATATTGCATCATGGAAGGAAGCTTCCTCTATCAAAACTACGGCATATCTTACATGCTCCAGATAAAAATTAAAATCATATTTTAAATAATAGTATTCCGGACGTGTTTGCTGTTCCGTACCTGATGTTTTCCCGTAGTTTTCTCGTATTATATTTTAATTTTGGGGTAGCTGCACCTCCCCGTCTAGATTCAGATTTTTTTTTATCACTTTGGGTTTCCTTAATCGCCTTAGGCTTCAAAATTTAGGCACTTAGCGTCATTGACGAGTCCTAGAAGGACGGAACAGGTGTATGATGCACTTTAATTCATTGTTTTACTCTATTGTATATCGCTCTAAATCATGAAAAAATGCCTTTCACTTGTGTGTTTTATGTACAATCTTATAGCTCAATTTGGCTGAATTTTTTAATAACGGAAATATCCATCTTTCACACCACTCGTATAAAATGATACATTTACGAGTTACCTCCCTTTGGACTCTCAGTGCTCGCCAGTAACACAACCACGTGGCACACTATTGTTTGTCATCCGATACATTTAATTATGATAATTTAATATGGCCTATGATCACAATATAATTCACAGTAACTTAATAGCTCAATCTTCTATTTATATCTTTTCGTGTGCGTAATTATGCATATTCGACGATTTCGAATTTATTATCAATAAAAACTGTGGTTTAACATTGAAATGAATTTTACAAAGAAAACTGATCCTTTGAAATCGCCTGTTGTTGATAAAAAATCCCTACAAACGTAACTATATCAAGTATATGCATTGTATCCTGTAAACTAACAGCAACAGTCATAATTAAAGCGACCAAATTAAAGTGCGAAAAATGTGGGCATTTGTATCTGTTAACGTTAGTTTCTATAGATATTATGTGACACAAAAGCGGAACTACCAAATCTAATTAAATCCTTGATTTTCCTTATCAGTCTTTAACGATCATTTGTAACTTGAAATCATTTTTACCATGCTTTCATTTCCAGAAATCTGTTAATATAACAAGATATTATCTATTATCACTAACCTCGTTAATGTCTTTCGGAGTAAGAGACTGCATGCCACTTAAAGAAAATTTTACAGAAAGGGATAGAATCTGTAGACATTTTACTTTTCTATTTTGATTTCTTTTAACCTATAATAATGATTAATTGGAGATTTTTTTTTTAAATCCTGAGAATCTCGGTCGTTAGAATAGAAAAAAGAAAAGAAATACTAGCCTGTCAACATCCTTAGCAATTCCACTCGCAAATTAAACAAAACCAATAAATAAAAACATACAGAAAAGAAAGATAAAACAAGGATAGTCGTGAGAAAGTAATTCACGTTCTCAAATGAGAACAAGGTATACAACAACGGAACAAATCCCTAAACGAACGAGCATCAAACACGTCCAGCTTCATATGGGGAAAAATATCAATATTAATGAGGTTGCTATGGCGACCCTGAACTTCCCCGTCTAATTTTCACCACCAGGTGTCTTTTGAAACCCCCTGTTACGAGTTTGTCCCTTAGTTGACGTTTTTCGCACGAAAATCGTGATTATTGGAAATTAACTTTGACATGTAAACACCATAGGTTTGGCATGAAGGTATGTTGCTATCTAGAAATGGAAAATGCACAATAGGGAAATTGAAATCATCACTGTTATCATGGCTGAAAGCTGTCCATGTTTTTTTCGTGGTAAGAAAAGACCGAAGCGGCTGATATGGAAGAATCTATCTTGTCGTTGATATATCAATTGTTTTAATATATTTTCTCATTTCATGTATTTCAAAGTTGAGTAAGCATTTATCTAAACAATCATTTAGAAGTAATTTTATGTTAAATGCCGATTAATGGATTAAAAAATAAAGAAGATAGACTTTATAAACAAACAAAGATTCACATCCAGTATAACTGGTTTTATTCGCAGGAATGATATTTTCGCTATTATCCAGCACATTAAGGTGATCGCGAAAATTTAATCCGTAAAATGATATTGCATGTGTATACTCGATGACTGTTTAAATACAAATACCGATACTTTTAATTCATTGATATTAAGTTCCGTAGTTTTAAAAGGAAATAGCGAAAATTTCGAACCGCAAAAACCAGTATTAATGGATGAATCATCCTTACCGTACACGTAGCAAATGCATACGATTTCGCAAAAACTGACAATCATAAGGTTGTAACTGCCGGAATACCAGTCCACAAGAGTAAGTAGGTATATGCCTCCCTGTAAATATATAACCCGACATCATTAATGTACGCAATACCAGTCCACACTGAGTTAGATCCTTCTTTGTAGATATATAACAATAGACGTGTTCCGGTTTATTTTGTAAATGTATTTTGCCCTGTAAATGCATAAACAAATGTCACGACTGTTTGGTTAGAAACGTAAGTAGGTCAGCCCCTTTTATAAAATACAACTATAATTATTATTTTTGTTTTTATCAGGTTTGTATTGATGATCAATATCAAGAACATATTGTGTGGGGATACTTTGTCATTGTATCAAGCCTTTACCATTTACTATAAAGTAAAGAATTGGGGCGGGTCCAGAAATTGTCTTATAATATAATGACAAGGAAATTATGTTGTATCGGAGATTCAATGTAAAGATTAACGGAATTAAATCAAATCTTAATCAAGATCCACCATTCATGAATGAAAAGTGATATTGATGGTCAAAGGACATTGCATACATACCTTAGTAGCCTGTGGAATTCCAAGTAAAAATCCAATCATGCAGCCGACGAATGTGAAGAGCACTTTCCTGCTCCGGAGTTGTTTAGGGAAGACATCTGATATCCCACTCAGGACAGTTTCCATCATCACAAACTGTTAAATACAATATGATATAACCCTTATATGAAGTCGTCTTGTAGCGATTTAGTGATGCTGACCGGCCCCGAATTATAATACCGATTCCAGCACTGTTCTAATGCTTCGTATAAACGTATTGTCATGTGTATGATAAGCGTCACAGAATGACACATTCTCACTAGTAAGAACATATTACTTTCTGTGTGTTTTTTGTGAAGCAAAATTCAGGAACTTGCTTGTCACGTGATAATTCTAGTCATGTGATTCATACCTGCGAGTCGCATCCAAGTGTGAACAACATGAAGAAGAACAAGAATGCCCAGATTGGAGGACTTGGTAGCTTGGCAATGCCCTCAGGATATGCTACGAATGCCAGACCGGGACCTATGTAGGGACAATGGATTGGATTAAGTACAACATATAATAGAAGAAACGCAAAAATAAAGAATATTCACTTTTCTAGGTACACGACTTGATGCAAGACTTACTTCTATATCCGAATACAGTCAATCACAAACAACATAACTGTCGAACGTTAAGTGTTATTTATAAGACATTCAGGCATCATTTTGTTACCTGTGCCTTTGTTTCTGTGAGTTTAGTGACGAGTAATACACCCTCTTTATCGGTATACTTACAGGAAAACACGGAATAAAATCGGAGGTAAAGGAGCTTTCTTATTTTCTAGACGAACAAGCGAACATCAAAGGCTTACCGCTATCAGCAACTTTGTCTACGGGGACGTTCGTGACATAGGACATGTAGCCTAACAACGAGAAGATGGCGAACCCGGCAAACACACTGGTTCCACAGTTGATTATTGAAACAATGAAAGCATCCCTGAAGATAAAATAAAACACTGGAATAATGCTTCCATTGGATAATTTTAGAAATATGCAAGGACTTCTTTGGAAAATTTACTTCTTGTGGATTAGAATTAAACATAGCTCAAGCTTGAATTAATGTAACGAAATACATAACATGTTCTTTCCGAAATCGTTAAAAAGTATATATATATATATATATAACGCTGTGCAGGCTAATTTAACAATTAAATGATTAGGAATATTATTTACTTTCAAGAATATTTATTATTTTGGTACCTCATGCAGTTGTTATTAAACTTGTTGTAACTGGCCATAGTCAATAAACCTCCCCATGCTGGACCTAGGGAGTAAAAGATCTGGGTGGCAGCGTCTCCCCATACCTGCAACATAGTGTACACTACTAGCTGTCAATGAACCCAAAATCCGGCAAGAGATGGATTTCTTATAACATAAGAAGGTGATGCCATAACACGAGGACAGAGGTTTACTAATGGCATTTTGACGTATACTGAAGAGGAGTCGATAACTAGAATGTAAATTTGAGTTTAACTTGATATCACGTTGAGTTACAAATTTAAGACTAGACTTATGACTTCTTATCTTATTTAAACAAGGTCTTGGTCATTTCTGACTGTACAATCTAATTTGTTTCAGCTATCATTGATGAAGATACCACCAGCTCCTAATGATTCTCCAACTTACTCTAGAGACCCTCTTTCTCATGACAATCGTTTTTTATTCGAACTTTTCTTATGCTATATTACTGCCAAGGCAGACTGATCACAATGCCTGGTTTCGGATATCGAAAATGACGATGGATAATAGACATCAGACAGCGGCAATCTGTTTTAGTGATTTGCGAAAGGTAACTCACACACACACACACACACACACACACACACACACACACACACATATATATATATTCAAATATAAAAGTTGAATTCTCAGTTTCCGGTGAAATATATTATTATAACTTATAACAACACGTCGAAGTAAGCATTAGCGCTTTCACTCTGAATCTTCATGATGCTTAATAAATTGCCTAGATACAATGTCCGTGACATAATAACGTAGTATCTAGGCAATTTATTAAGCATCATGAAGATTCAGACACGAAAGTGCTTATGCTTAATTCGACGTGTTGTTTTAAGTTATTCTAATATATATATATATATATGCAAACGCTAGAGAATTATAAAAATGCATCCATCATCTATGTAATACCACTGTAGTGAAGTATTCAACAAATCAGTGTTATTCTAAAGTTTCTGTAAAAATGTAACATTACGCATACGCTATGCTTTTTTTTTCAAAATTGGAATTTTAAAAACAAACTTCAAGCAAAAATGCATTTTTGAACGTAAGTTGTAACCGAACTCGTTCCAGGGTTTCTACTTGCGATATTTGAATTCATCCATCCGTAAAAATATTGTGGTCCTTGTGATATAAAATGACATCCGGGGTCGAGTTCCTACCTTGGGATTCTTGAGAAGCTCCCATTTCGGAATGATATAGAACTCAATCCCCTTGTAATACCCAGGCAATGTGACACCTCGAATCAACAGAATGATCAGAATGACGTAAGGAAATGTAGCCGTGAAATACACAACCTATGGAAGACAGAAAAAAAACTTTTTACACATCGTTCGCTTCCAATGTCGCTCTGAAATGGAATATTTAGAACGAGGTGTCAATATCCGAAATCAGACTTGGGGTTATAACATTTTCTGGGGGCTGCTTTATGTAACAAGCATTAAAAAAGAAGGTAAAAATTTAAATGAGGTCAAAATCTTGTCTGTATAACTTGGTATTGGTACATGGCTGAAAATAAGAATTATGATAGTTAATTATTTAATTTTTGAATATCATAAAAGAGAACAGGAAGAAAGACTGACATGTCAACAGGATTTTAATTCAAACAAACACAATAAGGACAGTATATACAGAAGAAAGATTATCACGGAGACCCTAGAAACGTACACGGAGAACAAAATCAATGGCATTTGTAATGTGATACAATCTTATATATCTTAGAGTCAGATGAATCTTCAGTTTTGATTTTAAACATTCAATATTCTTGACAAAAGTCGGAAACATTGCATATCACATGCAGTAATATCCGAGTTATAACCTGACTCATCATGATTATTGAAGATTGAAGACACAAGTGAACAGCACCTTTTAATACAATTTTAGATACTGTAGAATTAAACTACATAATACAGCTGTTTCGTCCTTCTATGATTCGTCAGTGATGCTACATAATACAGCTGTTTCGTCTTTCTAGGATTCGTCAGTGATACTACATCATACAGCTGTTTTGTCTTTCTAGAATCGTCAGTGATGCTACATCATACAGCTGTTTCGTCTTTTTAGGATTCGTCAGTGATGCTACATCATACAACTGTGTCGTCCATTTAGGACTCGTCAGTGATGCTAAAGGCCTAAATTTTGAAGCCTTGAAGACGACTAAAGAAAAGCCAGGGATCGCGATAAAGTCATAATCTGGACGGGGAGGTGCAGCAGTCCCATAATTACACAAATTTCGCCAAGTACATGTGTATATCCTGAACCGTGCCACTATTCGAATGAATTAAAGACTAATGAAAACTTACCTTTCCTGAAGATTTGACTCCATTCATGAGACAAAAGAAGATGAATACCCAACATAAAAGTAGGCAAAGAACAATCTTCAAACTGACACCGCTTATGTCTTCCAGACCGCCTGATTCATGTGAACGTAGGACATAGCGGCTAAAATGTGAGAAAAGTAAAATGTCATGCCTGATGATATGTTTATAATGCTGGAAAAATGTCGTTGGTTACTGTGCTGGTTATGGTTATGAAAAATAACGGAATTTCGATTTGCCGTTGACTTTTAAAAATCCTAATTTAAATAATAGCTTTTTCATTAAAATTATAATTGTTAATAATAAACCTTTCGTTCATATGAAAGTCTGTAAAGACATTCAGGTTGGTACATAATGTTGTAAATTCAACGCTATATTTTGTGGATAATGTCTACGTTGATATTTTACATCCAACATGACATTTGAAATATTTGTTTTCAAAGAAGAATAAAGTAAAATGTCTGAAGTTAACCGGAACAATTTAGAAGTACAGCAGAGTTTGTCTGGAAAAGAACATAGCTTAATGAGAAGTAAGTAAATGAAAGGAACGCCAGCAGTCTATGTAGCATGAGGATCTTACTTCCAAAACTCGGCACTAGGGGTAGTGAACTTGATATCACAGCTCTCCGTGTAGTCAGTCAAAAGGGAAGAATTCAGGTCTCCTACGACATTGTATGTGTAGTTCATCATGGCGCTGATGTTTGCAAGCAATCCAGTTACACATCCTGATTCCTTAAGTCCTGGAATGAGGCATAGTAATATGACATGGTTGGACGAAAAGTGTCAACAACAATGACTTCAGACAACATAAATATTGTTATAGTTATTTCTAGTACAGCAGAAGAAGGGTCATGTTGCCCGTGGTATGTAAAACAACCATTGATTGTTAACAAAAATCGATTGTTATCTTGCAACATAGACGTCTATATAGCATAATATCTATTAAAACAATAAAAATATTTCCAATAAGTGACCAGAATTTTAATAAAAGGCGAATTCAATAACATCAGAAGAGGGAGATATCAAGATATAAAAAAATGATAAGATCAAGTGTTCCAGAAGAGTAAGCGTCTCTTGCTTCATCGACGACACCAGGAATGCAAATCTTTGTTTAATCCAAGACAGTAATATCATATTCTCAAATACCAATACTAGTTTGGGGATGTAGGCTTGTTGTCCTCCACAAATGGAAACTTCATAATTGGTGTATTGAAGTTATCACGCATTTCATGAGTGAAAGAATACACACAATCTAGATTCAAAATTACGGTCGGGCATTATGCAAGAATATTATCCACTGACAGATAATATGATATGAGAATTTTGTAGGAATGAGAGTCATTGACAGTTTGTGGTTCACTGACTTCACACAATAAATTACGAGATACGGAGAGGATAGAAAATTATCTAAAAACGATCTTACATGAAAGATTTACCACATGTATTTTTAATAGGTTTTATGAAAGACTGCATAAACTAAAAATATGCTGATTCGTGTTGTCGCGAAAGGAGACAGGCGTTCGTTGGCGATGAATGTAATTGACACCCCCATTGTCCACAAAACAAACACCCTTTAATTTTCGAGATGTATGAGGTGTAAATAATAATCAAAAGTATGAGGTGTCCCCACACTATAACACATAACAGTGGTGTATTATTTCGACAATGAACAAAAAAGTCTGTGTTTATAATCACAATGCCAATCACAGATGTCGGGTATGAGCAGAATACATCTCACCTAGCAGAGCTTCAAACTTGCTGGTCTCGTTCATACCGTCCATGGATGGGTAGGGCTCATCTCGGCATTTCTCGGTATTCCACGCTTTCCCACAGCTTTGCCATGGTAACTCGTCGTCAAGGTTGACAAAGGATACAAACATGTAGTAGACGGAGTACGTAATGATGACGTTGTAGTAAGTGCAGACCATGGCACTGATCATAATCATGGCCCAACCGATACCTGTAGATATGTATCATATTGTCAGCAATTATCTGCAATCAGTTTCTGTTAATCAAAACTCGATTTTGTTATTTACGTACAAACAATCCTCCTTCTGTTCAATATATAATTTTTATCATAGTAACACAATATGTAAAAACATATTTAATTTATTACGTCATTTTATTATCTACATGATTACGTCACAAAAGTCTAAAAAAATATATGACGATAATTCAGTGCGTGTTATACCTCGAATGATCATGTATTATTGTCGATAATAAACACCCTGAGTATGATGTTGATATCAGAACTCTTTTTACACATCAAGTAATTTCAAAGCATTTTGGTATATATCCAACTGGTTAAACGAAATGTGAGTATCTACATTTGAATTCATATTATTTGTTTTTTGTTATCAAAAATGTACTTTTAGAATACAATTTTACCATAAGATAAAAACGATCAAAATAGAATGTGTTTTACGTCATAATCTCAGGTGTTTAATTCAGAATGAGGTGACGTTACAGCGTCTTCATGGTGTGGGTGTGTTTTCACAAGCAACAGCTAAACAACTTGTGAAAAATGTCTACTTTTGTGCTTACACCTACACACATATTTTTTTGGGTAAATACCACATAAATAAAAAATATATATCTTAGTCATGGCTTAATGGCTACATTAATAGGGTAGCAATGTTATCACATGATACAGTACTTTAAACGTCAGAAACCGGTTATATGACGCTGTTGATGAAATCACTCACCCATGAAAAATGGGCTTATCGCCCAAGCGGTGACCGGGCCCTGTGAACAGAACTGTCCGAGTCCCAACTCCATGAAAAATAAAGGCAATCCGGCCACAAACAACATGATAGCGTACGGCACGAGGAAAGCTCCTGTTGAGGGAGAGACACAGAATTAAGCTAAGGTACATTCGCTGAGAGACTTCCAAACTAAGTTTACGTTTGTACACTTGATTACAACACAAAGAAAAAAAAAAGTAGAATGAATATGTTAACGTGTTTTTATTGAATCGAAATTCAATAACATTTATTTTGAACCCCACCAGATTAACTGAATATCTCAAAAAGGCTAAAATATCTCAAATATATTCAATCGATGAAACTGGACTTTTTATGTATATTTCCGAATATCCTTTATATTTGAACTTCTGTTCATAGATGGTGTTAAAATCCACTTTAATAATTATCACTTTTAACCAATACTGATTACCGTCCCGGTGTATTCGGTCGGTTAGACAACACGGCGATCAAATCTAAATGTAACCTGATTTTCATAACACATTGTGCTGCATTGTAGAGATATTGGATAATAAAAGGAAAAAGATCATAAATGTTTTTTTTTTAAATTTTGTAAATATATTCTTTTTATATTTCATTCAGCATCATACGTCACAATTTGAATAATTTTGAATAACTCGATGATAAGCATGATTCACCCAGTCATTATTAAACCGATCAACGAGTACGATTCTGCTTCTGTGGCAACGATAACATACGAGTTGAAGATAAGATACATTATCTACAAACATTCATCCTTGACAGGTCACGTAAAAGCAATTTAAAAGTATTCATACAGAGATTTACATTCATGCTTAAGTATCCCTCACTTTGATGTTGGATAAAAATACAGTGCAATCCAGTTTCCTTTGATTATTGTATTCATAAGTTTTCAACTCAACCAACTGTGTGATCACTTATGTGAAATCAGTCCCCCGTCTCGTGAGAGCAATTATTTTATGTTTACTCACTCCCTGCGTTTAGGAAAGAGTGTGATTATGTTTTAATTTCACACCTTTCTCTACAGCATTTGATTGCGTTTTGTGGTTTTTTTAATATTCACATGCAATAGTGATTAAAGTGATATGTAGTGAATGTTAACCTCCTCCCTTGCTTAGTTGAGAGTGAAACAACGTTTTACGGTCTCATTCCTCAGTTCTGCCTCAGTGTGATTACTTTATATGTCCTACCCCCTCCGATTAGTCTCAGTGTGATTACGTTATATGTCTTACATCCTCTGTTTAGTCTCAGTGTGATTACGTTATATGTCCTACCCCCTCTGTTTAGTCTCAGTGTGATTACGCTATAGTTTCTACCCCCTCGCTTCAGTCTCAGTATGATTACGTTATATGTCCTAAACCCTCTGTACAGTATCAGTGAAACTACGTTATATGTCCTACCCCCTCTGTTCAGTCTCAGTGTGATTACTTCATATGTCCTACCCCTCCGATAAGTCTCAGTGGGATTACTTTATATGTCCTACACCCTTTGTTCAGTCTCAGTGTGATTACGTTATATGTCCTACCCCCTCTGTTCAGTCTCAGTGTGATTACGTTATACGTCCTACCCCCTCTGTTCAGTCTCAGTGTGATTACGTTATATGTCCTACCCCCTCTGTTCAGTCTCAGTGTGATTACGTTATATGTCCTACCCCCTCTGTTCAGTCTCAGTGTGATTACGTTATATGTCCTACCCCCTCTGTTTAGTCTCAGTGTGATTACGTTATATGTCCTACCCCCTCTGTTCAGTCTCAGTGTGATTACGTTATATTTTCTACCCCCTCTGTTCAGTCTCAGCGTGATTACGTTATATTTTCTACCCCCTCTGTTCAGTCTCAGCGTGATTACGTTATATGTCCTACCCCCTCTGTTCAGTCTCAGTGTGATTACGTTATATGTCCTACCCCCTCTGTTCAGTCTCAGTGTGATTACGTTATATGTCCTACCCCCTCTGTTCAGTCTAAGTGTGATTACGTTATATGTCCTAACCCCTCTGTTCAGTCTCAGTGTGATTACTTCATATGTCCTAACCCCTCTGTTCAGTCTCAGTGTGATTACTTCATATGTCCTAACCCCTCTGTTCAGTCTCAGTGTGATTACTTCATATGTCCTACCCCCTCCGATAAGTCTCAGTATGATTACGTTATATTTTCTACCCCCTCTGTTCAGTCTCAGTGTGATTACGTTATATGTCCTACCCCCTCTGTTCAGTCTAAGTGTGATTACGTTATATGTCCTACCCCCTCTGTTAAGTCTCAGTGTGATTACGTTATATGTCCTACCTCCTTTGTTCAGTCTAAGTGTGATTACGTTATATGTCCTACCCCCTCTGTTCAGTCTCAGTGTGATTACGTTATATGTCCTACCCCCTCTGTTCAGTCTCAGTGTGATTACGTTATATGTCCTACCCCCTCTGTTCAGTCTAAGTGTGATTACGTTATATGTCCTACCCCCTCTGTTCAGTCTCAGTGTGATTACGTTATATGTCCTACCCCCTCTGTTCAGTCTAAGTGTGATTACGTTATATGTTCTCTCCCATTGATGAGCACAGTTACTTTTCTAGTTCCCACTTCATTCATTCATGTATTTGTCTTCACTCTCTGTGATTGTGAATGTGATTACATCCTTTATTCAGTCATGAATGTGATCAGATGTTCTCTAAATCCCCTCTTTCTTCAGTTATTATAATTGATTTCTTATTCTCCCCCACCCCCTCGATCCTTTGTGAGTGTTTTTTTTCTATTGTCACCCTCGCTTCACTTACCCCCTCCATTCCTGTAACAGAGATATGGAAATCTCCATACATTTCCAAGACCCACGGCATATCCAATGCAGGACAGCAGAAAGTCCAGCTTCCCGGTCCAATTCCCACGCTCCGGAGTCCCGTCTTTATCCTTTAAGACAACAAGACAATTACTTACACTTAACAGCTTTATTTAAAATGAAAAACAGGTTTCTATGTCATATGAAAATATATACCTCATTTATTCACTTTTTCATCCCCTTTTGTAATTTTCCCACCATACATTAAATGTGTCTATCAATACGATCAGGGCATTCGTTCCTTTTCGTTTAACATCCACAGGAATACCATTACAGGGTAAAACCGCTAGACGTCAGATATAGAACTAAAACGACGAGCAACATGCATTACAGTATAGACATCAACACTGGACAACCTTAATCACCACTAATATGATACCGAATATCATTGTTCTGTCAAAGATGGTTTCAAAATTATTGTATTCTCCACGAACTACTTTAAAAGTAACAATTAGAGCAAAACAAAATAATGGCGGATACATCAAATAAATGATATGATTATGCAAATATACCGATATTCTCAGTTATGAAAAAGCCATTCTCTTTCGCCGTGGTAGGAGAGATATTATAAAGATTGTGAATACTATTCAATTCTATTAATTAAAAAAAATGTATCGATATTTTGCAGATACAAATACACACTAAAACGCAGCTTTCGTGTTATATTTTTTTTCTTCTAAAACTTTAATTGATATAAATAAATAAATACTTGTAACCGGTTAGTTTGTACTTCAGTAATAATGATAATAATAAATCTAATATGCCAACAGAATTTTATGTTAAACTCTCAACACCCTCTTAACATCCACACAATTATGGCGAGAATCAGACCATGTGTCTCGGAAGGTCAAGCGTCTTCTACTTCATCGACGGTGTCCGTCATGTAAATTTTGCACAAATATCTCATGCCAACAAACGATGACCACTGTTTGTACTCGATGACCAACGGACATCAAAACATGTCGCACACGAAATACACTATTACTGTGGAGGTCATAATGACGACCTTCAAGCTTCTCAACAACATCTCCAATATATCAAGTCGAACGCGCAATCTGTGCTCGATGGCCACTGTTTGTACTCAATGACCGCTGTTTGTACTGTTTGTACTCAATGACCGCTGTTTGTACTGTTTGTACTCAATGACCGCTGTTTGTACTGTTTGTACTCAATGACCGCTGTTTGTACTGTTTGTACTCAATGACCGCTGTTTGTACTGTTTGTACTCAATGACCGCTGTTTGTACTGTTTGTACTAGATGACCGCTGTTTGTACTCGATTGTTTGTACTAGATGACCGCTGTTTGTACTCGATTGTTTGTACTAGATGACCGCTGTTTGTACTAGATGACCACTGTATTTACTCGATTACCACTGTGTGTACTCGATGACCACTGTGTGTACTCGATGACCACTGTGTGTACTCGATGACCGCTGTTTGTACTCGATGACCACTGTATGTACTCGATGACCACTGTGTGTACTCGATGACCGCTGTTTGTACTCGATTGTTTGTACTCGATAACCACTGTTTGTACTAGATGACCACTGTGGGTACTCGATGACCGCTGTTTGTACTAGATGACCACTGTTTGTACTCGATGACCACTGTTTGTACTAGATGACCACTGTTTGTACTCGATGACCGCTGTTTGTACTCGATGACCGCTGTTGGTACTCGATGGCCGCTGTTTGTACTCGATGACCACTGTTTGTACTCGATGACCGCTGTTTGTACTCAATGGCCACTTTTTACTCGATGACCGCCGTTTGTTTCCGTGTTGTTTATCTTGTCCTCTTTTGATAACATGACATTGATTTATTAATATTGTGAGTATCTTCGAATGAAGCAGATGACGCTTGTACTTCCGGAACACCTGGACAAAATCCCTATTCTTGGTCAGGATTTTGTGTGTAAATCTTACGCATGTTCATATCGCGTTTTTGTTTCATCGGTAATGTTTGCATGTGGGTATTTTTGTTGTTTTGTAAACATTGTTATCGGACGTATGGAAATGCAAGAAGAATTTAGATGAAATGTTATCTCGGAAATTGTTTTATCACCTGCTGAAGGTATAACACTGGATTTATGCATGAATGAATCCATAAGAAAATGTAAGAGATAAAGAGTTCTAGCTAGTAAGCTCAGATGTCATACAGCGATTATTGTCATTCGCCAGCTAAAGCGGAATTAAAATATATTTCGTTGATGTATAAGATTACTCGGTATGCGCAAAAAATACGCTCAACGCTAAAATTTAAACTTTGAAGATAACTATTATAGGTTCATGACAATGGAAAACTTAGATAAACAGATAAATGCTTTCTGTAAAGAACAAATGATCAAACAGTACGCTGTTGATGTTGACAAATATCAGGGATAATAATAACAGAAAATAATAAAAGAAGGAATCTTAACGAAATGGATTATGAAAAATGAAAATTAATTTGAAATAAAATGATTCTGAGAGCCATCAGTGAGGACTTTATATGAGTCAGGAGATAAAATGAGAACAAAACAAAACAAATTCATTCAGAAATAACATGAATCTTTATCTTGATTAGAACCAAAGGCGAGTAAAACACAAACAAAAGAAATATTTATGAAAATACCAATGAAAAGCGAGACCAAATGTTAAAGAACGGTAAACATCTGGTTCATTAAAGACAGAAGAATGATCCACATGAAGACTCCAGGAAAAGTCTAAGGAGAATAAGACCAGCTGTTCTGGAGGTTAAGCATATTCTACAAAAGAACAGTTAAGAAACATAATCCTAAACAGATTCAATAAAACCTGATGTTCCGGAACGGAAAGCGTCTTTAACTTCATCGCGGACATCTGCCCCGTCATTGGAAGAAACGGTCTACGCAGAGAAACTTATACAAAATTAGGGAGAATTTGACCAGGTGCTCCGGAAAATTAAACGTCTTCTGCTTCACCTGCCTCTGCCATATACATCTTGTCGATCCAATTTCCATTCACAAATGAAATCAAGGAAAATAACACAGCTGTATGTAAATACCAGGGCCTATTTTTACAATATTTTGGTGGTTGAGACCATTAGAGTAAATATCATACTGCACTCGAAATTATGGCTAAATTATTTAGTTCTGTATTCAGATGTCCCAGTTTGAAACGTCAACCGAGGGTGTTTTGGGGGACACTATTTGTGTACAAATACTTAGTAATATAGGGTTTATTTGTGAACCAATTATCAGTATGTACATCTGAAATATTAAACTTGTTGGGGCAAAAAACTGTATCTTTATTCAGTAATTATACATCTTCCGTCTTGCTTGCAATACAGTTTACAGTCCTTGAGGCCATTGTCGCAGTAGTCAGGTTACAATAACAAGATTTAAGTCTACTTTCTGTTTACAAAGTAGTAAACAAATAAAACTCAATGACGTTGACAAACTGAACTATGAATCATTCCCATAAAATTATCTACTCTCTGGAAATAAAACAATGTATATACAGGTACACCGATGTTGGTTTTAATGTGATACTAAAAATACAGCATAATAAGTAGACAGACAGCAGGAAAGTTGTTTGACAAGGCAGTTTATGTATTTCATTACTTAGTGGAATTCAAACTGATACGTCTATTTCAAAGAGCTCAATGCAGGTAATCGGCTTAATTATATAGGAATTTATTTTAGTTATAAAGATATATCACGAGAAATTCGACGTAAATAGTCTGAACAAGGTTAGAAAGGCATTATCAAAAACTAGTGTTCGTCGTGTTCTTCATATCAACTTACAAAAATGGCTATATGAACAGCAGATTGAGTTACAGGAGAGATCTATTTTGGAAAGTTCATGGAGTTTTAGAATGGTAGACACGGCACATAAGTGGATATACAATCTTCACGGAGGAACAGAAGAGATCGTAAGATAGATATTTCAATGGTAGTTAATTTTAATTACGTAGAGGCGAAAACTGGTTTAAGAAAAAAACTTTTAAAAAGCTGTACATTAAAAACATATGTCACACTGAAGCGGTGTTGTCACATGGTAAAAAGGGTTTAAACGCTGAATAAGATTCATTTACGAACGGTACCCTGAAAATAGTGTTAGAATATTTGTGTCATACTTTATACATTTTCACACCCCTTTGATATTCTTTTGAAAAATTGTTAAGTGGTTATGATCGTCTGTATCATTGACCCTCCACCTCTGGGCTCGCGAGATCGAGGCTCACGTGGAGTTGTCGAATACTGGCCGCAGATCGGTGGTTTTTCCCATGGAACTTCGGCTTTCCGCCACCACCCAAACCTAACACGAACTTAAATGACCCTGGCTATTAATAGGACGTAAATCAACAATAAACAAACTTGATGTACTTTAAGTACAAGGAAGTATCGAGATCATCACCAGAAAAAGTCACACACAAAGGTGTAACCCTGTAGAGTTACAGGTAAGATCATAATAGAGTAGCAATTAGGATGTTTACCAGAAGAGGTATTGGGCCAAGAGATGTTTTTAATGTGTATAGACATTTCCGTCCAGACGAGCTTGTTTTGCCAACGTATGCGTCATTAAAAACAAGGGGTTCTTGTGACAATCACGTGAAGCATAATCATGGGTCATGTTTACGTTGCCTTTGAGTGTAGACAATAATGTTAGATATTTGGATGGCCTCCCCTTACTTCCGGTTCCTCCTTATCGGTTGCTACAGTTTCGATTATTGCTCATTTCTGCCTCGTCGTCTTCTCTTCTTCATCAACGTTAACGTCGACGTCGTCATTTCGTCTTCTTCAACCCCGCCGTCGTCTTCATCCTTGTCCACATCCTCCTCCTTGTTGTCCTTCTTATCCTTGTCCACATCCTCCTCCTCGTTGTCCTCCTCCGAGTCCACATCCCCCTCCTTTTCCTCGTCGTCTTTCTACTCGTTCATATCCTTCTCGTCGTCATCTTTCTCGTCGCCGCCATCGCCGCCGACCTCCTCCTTTGGATTCCTCCTTTTCTGTTTCCACTTTTGCACTATTCTCGCTCTATACCACCCCCCCCCCCCCAATCAGCCTGACAAGACTCCTCCTTTAAGCTCTACCTCCTCACGCTGTGTCTGAGCTTCATTTCCACTGGTATTGTGAAAAAGTTTTACAAGTGTAGACAACATTAAACGATCACTGCTGCAATTCACGAAGAATGTGACAAATTTTAAAACATTCCATATTTAAAAAATAAAGTATCCAGTAACCATTTTTAATATCAACACTGTGTGCTTTGTTAGGTCATTGCTTCGCTGAATAACCGGTTCTCAATGAATCGGAGAGATATTTACATAGACAAGGAATTTCTTTATTATCTGAAGTTAAATTCTATCAATACCAGTTTAAGAACAACCCCTCGCACAATGTTTGCTGATACAATGATTTTACAGAAAACAGCACTGGATCGCCCATATGTACGAAACTGAAAGTTTTTTCCCGGTTTGGTGTATGTTCCTTATTGTCAATACTTTCAAAGTCGCGACGAACATTAAAAAACGTTTAAAATTTGTATGGTAAAGAAACTTTTGTAGTTACATAATAAATATTAAATTCCTGTTTTACTCTTTCAAAATCACCTCATAGAATATTTGCAGGGTTCTCCTTTCTCATTTTCAGTAATATCTGGGTAAGGTTATTTTTCGTTTGTTTTGTCTTGGATCAGGATTATGATGCACATAATACAAGAATCAGGGAGACAGCAGTAAACATGATACAAGAGTCTGGGAGATAGTAGTAAACATGATACAAGAATCAGGGAGACAGCAGTAAACATGATACAAGAGTCAGGGAGACAGTAGTAAACATGATACAAGAGTCAGGGAGACAGCAGTTAACATGATACAAGAGTCAGGGAAACATTAGTGAACATGATACAAGAGTCAGGGAGACATTAGTTAACATGATACAAGAGTCAGGGAGACAGTAGTAAACATGATACAAGAGTCAGGGAGACAGCAGTAAACATAATATAAGGGTCAGGGAGACAGCAGTTAACATGATACAAGGGTCAGGGAGACAGTAGTAAACATGATACAAGAGTCAGGGAGACAGTAGTAAACATGATACAAGAGTCAGGGAGACAGCAGTAAACATAATATAAGGGTCAGGGAGACAGCAGTAAACATAATATAAGGGTCAGGGAGACAGTAGTAAACATTATATTAGGGTCAGGGAGACAGCAGTAAACATGATATAAGGGTCAGGGAGACAGCAGTAAACATGATACAAGGGTCAGGGAGACAGCAGTAAACATGATACAAGGGTCAGGGAGACAGCAGTAAACATGATACAAGGGTCAGGGAGACAGCAGTAAACATGATACAAGGGTCAGGGAGACAGTAGTAAACATGATACAAGAGTCAGGGAGACATTAGTTAACATGATACAAGAGTCAGGGAGACAGTAGTAAACATGATACAAGGGTCAGGGAGACAGCAGTAAACATAATACAAGAGTCAGGGAGACAGCAGTAAACATGATACAAGAGTCAGGGAGACAGCAGTAAACATGATACAAGAGTCAGGGAGACAGCAGTAAACATGATACAAGAGTCAGGGAGACAGCAGTAAACATGATACAAGAGTCAGGGAGACAGCAGTAAACATGATACAAGAGTCAGGGAGACATTATTATCGTTTATATGTAATATATTCGTGTTTATTGTACGAGAAATGTTGTCGCTTTGGAAATATTTTTTATCAAAAGGCAAGGCTCACTTACACTTGTCGATGTTCCTATTCAGGAAGAAAACATATCTTAAAAGTGATAATACTTAAAATTACAACTCATATCAAACAGTGAATTAATCTATCGCCGCGTACAAAACACATTTTAAATGTGAATTGAATCGTCAACACATGGAAAATGTATATAACAGCATTGTGATCCTGTAAACAAGTATCACAGCGTTATCATTGAAAAAATCATAGCATGAAAATACAAGGGGGTTATACAAGTTTGATCGTCAAGACCCACGAACGAATGATATAATTAGACTGAAATATTAAAATATCGTCGTGTTAAGACACAATTAAAATATATTCAAAAGCGCAACTATAAGTAAACAATAACAAATAAATAAATAAATAAATAAATAAATAAATAAATAAATAAATAAATAAAGCGTCATAAATCCATGATGAATATACACAACAGCTCCCTATCACCAGGACAAAATATACCACAGTTCATGTTACCAGGACAAAATATACCACAGTTCATGTTACCAGGACAAAATATACCACAGTTCATGTTACCAGGACAAAATACACCACAGTTCATGTTACCAGGACAAAATATACCACAGTTCATGTTACCAGGACAAAATATACCACAGTTCATGTTACCAGGACAAAATACACCACAGTTCATGTTACCAGCACAAAATACACCACAGTTCATGTTACCAGGACAAAATACACCACAGTTCATGTTACCAGGACAAAATACACCACAGTTCATGTTACCAGGACAAAATATACCACAGTTCATGTTACCAGGACAAAATACACCACAGTTCATGTTACCAGGACAAAATACACCACAGTTCATGTTACCAGGACAAAATACACCACAGTTCATGTTACCAGGACAAAATACACCACAGTTCATGTTACCAGGACAAAATATACCACAGTTCATGTTACCAGGACAAAATTGCCACAGTTCATGTTACCAGGACAAAATACACCACAGTTCATGTTACCAGGACAAAATACACCACAGTTCATGTTACCAGGACAAAATACACCACAGTTCATGTTACCAGGACAAAATACACCACAGTTCATGTTACCAGGACAAAATATACCACAGTTCATGTTACCAGGACAAAATACACCACAGTTCATGCTACCAGGACAAAATACACCACAGTTCATGTTACCAGGACAAAATACACCACAGTTCATGTTACCAGGACAAAATACACCACAGTTCATGTTACCAGGACAAAATATACCACAGTTCATGTTATTAGGACAAAATATACCACAGTTCATGTTACCAGGACAAAATATACCACAGTTCATGTTACCAGGACAAAATACACCACAGTTCATGTTACCAGGACAAAATACAAAACAGTTCATGTTACCAGGACAAAATACACCACAGTTCATGTTACCAGGACAAAATACACCACAGTTCATGTTACCAGGACAAAATACACCACAGTTCATGTTACCAGGACAAAATACACCACAGTTTCATGTTACCAGGACAAAATACACCACAGTTCATGTTACCAGGACAAAATACACCACAGTTCATGTTACCAGGACAAAATACACCACAGTTCATGTTACCAGGACAAAATACACCACAGTTCATGTTACCAGGACAAAATACACCACAGTTCATGTTACCAGGACAAAATACACCACAGTTCATGTTACCAGGACAAAATATACCACAGTTCATGTTATTAGGACAAATATACCACAGTTCATGTTACCAGGACAAAATACACCACAGTTCATGTTACCAGGACAAAATACACCACAGTTCATGTTATTAGGACAAATACACCACAGTTCATGTTATTAGGACAAATACACCACAGGTCATGTTACCAGGACAAAATATACCACAGTTCATGTTACCAGGACAAAATACACCACAGTTCATGTTACCAGGACAAAATATACCACAGTTCATGTTACCAGGACAAAATATACCACAGTTCATGTTACCAGCACAAAATACACCACAGTTCATGTTACCAGGACAAAATACACCACAGTTCATGTTACCAGGACAAAATACACCACAGTTCATGTTACCAGGACAAAATATACCACAGTTCATGTTACCAGGACAAAATACACCACAGTTCATGTTACCAGGACAAAATATACCACAGTTCATGTTACCAGGACAAAATACACCACAGTTCATGTTACCAGGACAAATATACCACAGTTCATGTTACCAGGACAAAATACACCACAGTTCCATGTTACCCTGACAAAATATACCACAGTTCATGTTACCAGGACAAAATATCTCAATATCTCTAGTTTACCAACATTCGCGACAATTTCTCTACACCATGACAAAATATCTGTAATCTCAATTTTCACTTAGTCAAAATACACCACAGTTCATGTTACCAGGACAAAATACACCACAGTTCATGTTACCAGGACAAAATACACCACAGTTCATGTTACCAGGACAAAATACACCACAATTCATGTTACCAGGACAAATACACCACAATTCGATGTTACCATGACAAAATATACTTAGTAAATATACATATACCTATGTCCCTTGGTTAACAAAGGACATTAGATTTAATGGTTTAACGACAGGTGACTCTGGGTGGAAAAGGAGCGATACATTCACACACGATCGACTATTGTGATGTGGTGTTGACATTTCCATCGATAAACGAACCTTACTGGTAACATACAGGTTGAATGACCCGGCCTTGGCTCCGCTCCTTTCAATAGTGTATCTGACATAGTTTATGTCCGATTTTCACCCTATGATAGGCAGTACTGTGTGAAAGGAGTATAGTATTTGGTCGCGGATGAATTGTCAGGTAGAAAACAGAGAATATCAAAAGAAAGATGACGAGTTCATTGATGACAGAAAATATCTGTCCATGTTCACGTTGTCATTGGAGACAGAAAATATCTGTGTCAATGTATATGAAGTCAAAGAAGACAGACAAAATGTCTATACCAATGTCCAGAGATCATAGAGAACAGACAAACTATATATACCAACGTCCGGACATCATAGGGGACAGACAAACTATATATACTTACGTCCGGAGATCATAGGGAACAGACAAAATATATATATTAACGTCCGGAGGTCATTAGGGACAGACCAAATATATATACCAACGTCCGGAGATCACAGGGGACAGACAAAATATCTATAGTAACGTCCAGAGATCATAGGGGACACACAAAATATATATCAACGTCCGGAGATCATACGAAACATGATCTGTCTGAAGCAGCATCGCCGAGGTCAAAGGTGAAAGGTTGAGTGTTTAGATCGACAGAATTAAATAAAAGACACATATGTGAATAACATATTTCATTCAGTACGTATTTCTTTTTAGATATAAACAAGAGTTATTATATAATACAGTTAATTAATCTATATTTTCTGTTTTCGTTGTGATACATAGGATCTTAAGGGTTGAAACCTAGGAGGCGAAATAAAAAAAAAATAAAAAACTGAAATATTATCTACCAACGACGTGTTCACTCTTTAAGGACTGTTCCAGAGTCCCATAAGTTTTGTAACACGGAGAAAATAGGAATAAAATTAAAGGCAGTGATTAGATAAAAGTGATAGAAAAAACAACACGAACATTTGAAGCTTATTAAACTATAAAGAGCAGGGAAGGATGTAACTATTAAAGAAACAATATATACACATATATTACTGAGTGGAGACATCATGCCTTTTGGCAGATTCCATTATCTATATAAAATAATCCCTTAAGTTTTTTAATTGGAAGGGATATTTGCGGTTGCCTCTGATAAGTGTTGAATGGAATGTGCTAACATGACGTCATCTAGAGAGATTTACGACTTAGTGAAAGAACAAGTTGCGCGTTAATCATGCATAACAGCGATTTTATTTAGGGAGTAAGGTAGACCTCGCCCGGCCGTCATCCTCGCCACCAGTACAATCCCATATAACCAGCAACCTGCCATTCCTAAGAGGACAGGCGTAAGTCAAGCAAGACGCTATATTTTGTTTTTGAAACCCCATCTTAATGTTTTTACAGACGCCCTAATCTATAAAGGAAAATAAACTTCGAGAATTAAATTGATATAAAAGCCGCTCGTCCGTAAATAAACGAACAATAAATGCGAAAACTCTTTTGTCAAATATTTTACTCGTCCGGTTTTGTTGGACACTGAATTTTCCTCATCAACATTTTCGTTTCGGGGTATTTTTGTTGGGATGGTGTAATAAAAACAACGAGTAATGTAAATAGAATATTTAGCCTGTTAGGATTGTGTGGAGAGTTTTCACCTAAGTTTTATTTCATCGTCTATAATGTCTTAACTATCAAAAAATCTAATGCATGTTTCTGACTAGACAATAAGTTGTCTATGAGTCGTTTTTTAGTCTGATACATCATTAAGATTGACAGTTATGGAAATTACAGTTAAAGAAACAAAGACATTGCATCACTGTTATAGCAAATCGCTTGCCGCGGGCAATATAATGATACAATTAATCTGTCTGTATTTTATAAAAGGAAACGCGGATTTTATCTTAAATGTTTAGGTTAAAAGTTTACAATTATTTACATCAACTGAACATTTTTTAACAAAGATTTGACGCTGTAGAAGAAATTTACAGGTCTATGTTATACATCTGAAATACCTACCAAAAATAAAAATATTTATTTTTTAAAACTATTCTTCTACGTACCGCTTGTGTATAAAACAAGTACATATGCAAGAACTTATGAACTATAAGATGAATTTTATGAAATTTGAGAATATTCTTACCTTGGGAGCCATTTTTGTAGAATATGAGTTTTAAATCCCTGTAAACAGTAATTGTCCGCGGCCTCCTTGACGTTACAGACGAACTTTGTTATTCATCCCGGGTATATATACTCGCTCTGAATGCGTGGAGAGACACTCACATAAAATACAGGTAACCATGATCACATCCAAGGTAGACCGAACGAAAATAGAAGCCTTTTAAACGGGTATGATTACGCTCGAGGTTCTATATACAGTGAATACAACTTTCATTTGGTTATACGACGTTCGGATCATGCCTACACTGCGTGCATACATTCTGTACTTTATCGTTGTGAGTTCATGGTGTGTGAAATATCTCGATCACCAGAAATCATAAATTAGAATTTCTTATGACCCCGTGAAAGAAATGCATTAAAATAGATGAGAGTCCATTTCATGACGTCATGACGTGTACAGCAAGTTTCATTGACGTCACAAACATTTGTCATCCGGATATCACAGGTAAACAATAACATTTCGGACGGTATATCCTTGTTTTGTGGTCACAATGTATTTGTATTAATTGATGAAACGTCACAAACGAAATTGATCAAATTAAACCTTAGTCATTCTTGTTAACCCCCCCCCCCCCCTTTTTTTTTTATCAATTCCACATGTCATAAACATTGAAACCTATCCCAATTGTCACTCTCACGGGCCGACATTCATACAAACTGCAGTGATGAATTTTGCGAGGTTTAAGGAAAAAAATCCTGTATTTCACCGGATGTTGGGATTTTAGAGGTCTATATGCCACAAATACCAACACGACCTTAATGCAGTATACCGAAATCCACTGTACTGTATGCGGATTACATCAATATTAAAATAAGTTTTCCCATTTCGGTATAAAGTTTCTTTTTATTAATTGGCTGTTTCTCTAACCCTATAATCGTTCTTGATCCGTTTTCTCGCGCATAGAATGCTTATTAGCCGACCGGGGTTCGATTCCCGTCACGGACGTGAAAAGGTAAGGGGTCACCTGCCCGACCACGTGGGTTTTCCTCGGGTACTCCGGTTTCCTTCAACAATAAGACCCCTCGTACGCTTACATCCAGGCCAACAAGAGTGATTAGTATAAGTAAACATGACTTGTTTCGCAATTGTTGTAAAATAAATAAAATTTATATTATATTACGATGGTGTAATATAAGATATGTCGAGAAACAACAAAAAATAGGATATATGGGTCAAAAGCTATATAAAACTAGGTCATTTTAAGTTAATGTTGCGTTCTCAAATCAACGAAACCATCAGGCATACCATCTTCATATCACACAAGGAGACCCTTCTTCGTCAGGCTGTGTGGTGAGTTTAACTGCCATTCCTTAATATATGCACGGAAATGCAGATATGATGTAATAAAGAAATGGAAAATTCACTACTGGGAAATCGATATTATCACTTTTTGGAGAAAGGTACACTGTAGGTTTCGTTCTGCTTAAAGATCAATTTAAGCTGCTGATGTCAAAACTACAGAATAAGAACAGTCACATCAGCTACAGGACAAGCTAGAATTTGAGTTTCAGAAAAATGTTTTTTTTCTAGATATTACACTGTATGTACTTAGGTATTTCCGATTTTTAACAGAAACGATTTTGACGTCATAGAACAGCAATTTGATTTCAGATGTACTAGATATGCAAAGCACATCTTACAGGTTTAAAAAACCTCTCTCGCTCGTACCACCTACACTTTGTGTGAAAGTCATAATTGATCGTCTATACAGCTTATCTGTCACGGAAAATGGGCAGTAATATCTTACCGACTCACAGTATAACGAGTAACGATAGTCCTGTACCAGGATGTGTCACCTCTCTACTCGACTTCATTTTTTTTTAAATCGTGGAAAGAAATACGAGAATTAGACTCGTCCAGGATTCAAGCTGGACGATGTAAAAACACAGAAAATACCAACATGTTAACAAAATCATAAACAGAAGTTGAAAAAAAAATAACAACAGGGCAAAATATGAACAAAAGAAATAGTTACTAAGAACCCACCAAGTATACTGAAGAGCATTTAAAACGTCCAACTTTATATCAAATAAAGAAATTAAATAATTCTTATCGAGATCACTATGACTACCGTAAACTTCCCCATCATTTTCATCAACCGCTTATCTCGAATCCCTGTGTTATGACTTCGTCATTTGCCGACATCTTGTACGAAAATGGTGATATTAAGAGCTAGCCGTTAAGTATCGAATCAACTGATATGTAAACACCATAGGTTTGGTGTACAGGGTGTTGCTCTCCAGAAATGGGAAAATTACAATAGAGATATTTCAATACTCTCGCTTATCATACAGCTTGTTGGAAATATGACCCTATTATTTCGTTGTAAGAAAAAAATCGAGGTTAACGGCTGGCGCAGATGTGTATGCCACGTCCTTGCTGGGGGACGTGAATTTGTTTCCTTGTTTCTAGTTACGTTTAAGAAAAACGAAACCGGGATCCAACCTCAGGCTCCGTCCTTGTTTTCTTATTAAGGTGGGTATTTACTATAAGCATAATTAATACAAAGTACTAGTGATTCCTTCTACCTATGATTAATCAGTGTTACTTGCGATGAAAAGGATATAATCCGCGTCTTAAATGTTCGGGTATATATATAACCAGAAAACGATGACCCGTATGAGTCAGTTTATTAGTTAGCTACAGAAACACCAAGGTCAAGCATGAAGTGCTGACGTAGCCATCTGTATAAACGTTGTCATAAGCATTGTCTGAAGGACGAGAATCTCTGAACAGCGATTCGGTTAGTGTGTTAGATCACAAATTTCTTTTCTTAAACTACAAACAAAATTAAAAAGAAATAAAACAACCATAAAGTCAAATGAACAGCCGTAATGTTTTACCCTGGCTCTATGTAAGGGATTTAAGTATTGTGTTGTGCTTTCAGGACGTTTCACGTAGATTATAGAGGATAGACACATAACCACGTGGAACAGCGGTTTAATTTGATTTGACTATCTCCTACTGTTTACCTGTATTTGTAATATAAATTCAAAAGATTCTACTTATCTATGCTTATGTTATATGTCGCTGTAAGTCACGCACAACAGTTTTGTTGCATGTGTTGGAATAATGAATGTTTTCTTCAAATAAAAAATATTTTCTGTAATAGAAAACTAAATAACACACCTGTTTGTGACTACGTTATTGTAAGTATATAATGAATAAGCTCTCACCCGTCCAAAGTCGAGTTTCACTGTGACCACGGTAGCTCAGTCGTTTAATTAGCGGAGTTACACGTGTAATATTTAAGTTAGATTTGCTATGTCGTAGTATATTATTAGCCTACATTATGAAGATCCGAAGTATGTTTTTCGACTCTCAATAAACCTTAAAAATCCGGATTTGTCTGCGTTTGTGTGGTCTGTTCATTGGTAAAACACTTGACCCTAATTTCTTTACATGACATGCGACGGATCTTCCGTATCTTGTTCAATAAGGTACTCACCAGCTACCAAATAGACTGCCTAAAAATAACCCTTACACGGGTTTTCGCTATATCCCTTGGGTCACAAATGTGATTGGTAAATAAAAATTGATGGTAAATTGGTCAGCACCGGTTTTAAAGCAACATGAAAATACCAACATGTGTACAGAATCATCAACTGCAAACCCAGGCAAAATTTAAAAAAATAAAAATTACACGCCAAAACGTTCTCTAGAAAGATTTACACGCCGAAACGTTCCCTAGAAAGATTTTCACGCCGAAACCTTCCCTAGAAAGATCCCTACCTAAATCACAGTGGAATTTATTTAAATTTCTTTTATGGCTATTCCAACATCTTCACATATATTACGTCATAAGTATACACCTACCTTAAATTTTTGAGGAAAAAAAAAACTATAAATGTATCCTCTATGTGTCAGAAAAGCAACCTAAAATATATCAAAGCTAGACCACTATCAATTATTACCTGTGGTGCCACTGCTCTGAACACACCGAACTTCAGTTAATGAAATAACATTCCCATACACTGAAGAAGAAAAAAATCAATTAAAATATACATAATACACGGCTAACTGATCGTCATGGAGCATAAGGGTTTGATTTCAAAGAGATATACACGGCGGGGACCCGTCCTAAAGTTACATAGGAGGTGATCTTACTTGTAAAAGTTCTTCATAAATAGTATACACATGCTCAGTTTTGCATGGATGCTTTCAATTTAAGTAACAGTCAGGGTGATGTGATGACGGACGTCTGGGGGACACTAACAGTCAGGGTGATGTGATGACGGACGTCTGGGGGACACTAACAGTCAGGGTGATGTGATGACGGACGTCTGGGGGACACTAACAGTCAGGGTGATGTGATGACGGACGTCTGGGGACACTAACAGTCAGGGGGATGTGATGACGGTCGTCTGGGGGACACTAACAGTCAGGGTGATGTGATGACGGACGTCTGGAGGACACTAACAACCAGGGTGAGGTGATGACGGACGTCTGGGGGACACTAACAACCAGGGTGAGGTGATGACGGACGTCTGGGGGACACTAACAGTCAGGGTGATGTGATGACGGACGTCTGGGGGACACTAACAGTCAGGGTGATGTGATGACTGACGTCTGGGGACACTAACAGTCAGGGTGATGTGATGACGGTCGTCTGGGGGACACTAACAGTCAGAGTGATGTGATGACGGACGTCTGGAGGACACTAACAACCAGGGTGAGGTGATGACGGACGTCTGGGGGACACTTACAGTCAGGGTGATGTGATGACGGACGTCTGGGGGACACTAACAGTCAGGGTGATGTGATGACTGACGTCTGGGGACACTAACAGTCAGGGTGATGTGATGACGGTCGTCTGGGGGACACTAACAGTCAGAGTGATGTGATGACGGACGTCTGGAGGACACTAACAACCAGGGTGAGGTGATGACGGACGTCTGGGGGACACTAACAGTCAGGGGGATGTGATGACGGACGTCTGGGGGACACTAACAGTCAGGGTGATGTGATGACGG